CATCCCTTAAGGAAGGTAGACGCATAAATAACCTTCTCAGTTCCATTCTTAAAGTTACCATAATAGAAATTCTAGTAGTTCTTAACTTAGATAAGGAATCCCTTAAGCTATCCTAGGGATCCATCAAAAGGATTAGGAGAGTTAAGTCAAAGCTTCTCTCATCCTTCCATAATAGGGGTAGTAACAATATTAGCAGCAGCTTAAAGAGTGCAGTTCTACTATTTAAGTTCCTAGGTACGCTAGTTAGACAGGCGCATAGCGGCCTAAAGTTCTTCAGTAGCGCGGGCGTTAGCGTTAAACATTTCCTACATCTATCAGATATCGTAGTTAGCTCGTTCAAGCTGTTCCTTAAGCGCATCGTCGTCGTCACTATCGCTATCGTCTTTCATTCTCTAATCCCCAAGTTCTTAAGCAAGGTTCTTCTTAACGGGGGCCTTCCCAGCGCCAGAGGAGGATCCAGTGCTAGGGGTCTTTCCAGAGAGTTACAAAGACATCATAATACTATTAGTAGTTTTCAAAGGGTAACTTACTAAATAGGAGCAATCAAAGTGTTACAGCTAGCTAACTAACAGTAGGTTTATATTAGCAGTAAGTTAGGGATTAAGAACTATAAACAGTATCAAGTCGTTCTATAGGGCTATTCAAGTAATCATAGGTCTTTAAAGGTCTTAGTGATCAGTCAAGGCCTCAACAAGAGTCATAGAGTAGTCATCACTTAGGTATAGCTAAAAGTACCAGTAAGAGTAGTCACAAAGTTGATTGCTGAAGAGCTATAGAAGTCTATCCTTGAGCCAAGCTCCAGTCCATCCTATATACAAGTCCTTTTTCTAGTACATGCTCTTTATACCTTAGGTCGAGCTAGATCATTCTAATCGAGAATGATCGTTTAGCCCCCAAGTCTATCTAGATCATCTTGATCCAAAATGATCCTTATCTTATCGTCACGTGACTTGCACCATAGTTCTTCCCTTCCGAGGATCCCTGACCGTCCTTATGTCACTAGGTTACATATGTCCACGTTAGCCGCCAAGAGCCTGGCGGGGTTGTGTTGGTAGCTAAGCCCAACGGGTCGTAACATTATATTAGAACCTATACTTATTATACCTAACCCTAAGAAACCATTCAAAGTTAAGACCAACTCCTTAGACTACGCTATAGGAGGATAGCTAGGCCAACAAGACAATAAAGGATAGCTATACCTATATACCTTCTTCTCACATAAGCTATATAGCCTAAAACTCAACTATTAAATCCACAATAAAGAACTTATAGCAATTATTAAAGCATTTAAGGAATAGAGACCTTAACTATTAGGAATAAAGTATAAAGTTAAGGTCTATACTAATTATAAAAATCTTACCTACTTTACTATATTAAAAGAACTTAATAAATAATAGATTAGATAGTCTAAATTCCTCTTAGAATTTAACTTTAAAATTATCTACTAGAAAGGTAAAGAAAACGGAAGAGTAGACGCTCTCAGCAGGAGACCAAACCACAAAGTCCAGGTACCTAAGGAAACCCAAGTTATCCTCAAGAAGGACAAGGAAGGAGACCTTATGCTAGCAGTCAGACTCTTAATAATAGCCAGAAGAGACAGTACCAGCATAACTAGAAGAATGTCTCCTAAAGCCATTAGGGAGGTACACTCTACACCTATATATGGCTACTAAGGCGTAACTAAGACATAGAAACGTATTAAACAACACTATAATAAAACAGCTATACAATAAGAAATATCTTTAGCAATTAGGGACTATAAGGTCTACGCAAAAAGCAAACCTAGCCAACACCAGCCTTATAGTAAGATATAGCCGCTCCTAGTACTATAAACCGCATAGGAATCTATCTCATTAGACTTTATCACTAAGTTACTTAAGTCCCAAAAACTAATAACTAAGGTCCACTATAATAGCGTCCTAGTTATCATCAATAGACTCATAAAGTACTTATACTTTATCCTATATATAGAGTCTAGCACTATAGAAGACCTTACCTATAAGTTTCTATAAATAATTATTAGCTAATATAGAACGCTAAAGGAAATTATATCTAATAGAGATAAGTTATTTACTTCTAAGTTTTAGAGATCACTAATCTTACAGCTTAGATCTAACCATAAGATATCTACTGCTTTTTATCCACAAACCAATAGCTAGACAGAACAAATCAATTAGATCATAGAGACCTATCTACGCTACTATATCAACTACCAATAAGACAATTAGGTTTAACTACTACCTATAGCCCAGTTCGCCTATAATAGCATAGTAAGAGAAAGTATAAAAGAATCACTATTCTATCTAAACTATAGATTTAACCCAATAGCCTATAGAGAACCACAATAAGGCCCAGCAGCTCTAAAAGCTATAGTAGATATCAACAAACTTAAGGAAATCCAGCAAGAGCTACCTAGAGAACTCAAATTCATACGCAAATAAATACATAAATACGCTAACACCTTAAGAGTTAAAAGACTAACTCTATAGGAGGGAGATAGTATATACCTTCTCCACTAAAACATCAAGATAAAATAACTAAGTAATAAGTTAGACTTTAAGAAACTTAGACCTTTTGAGATTATAAAGAAGGTATCTAACGTTAACTTTAAACTTATACTACTAGATACTATAAAGTATCATCTAGTCTTTTATATTTTACTTCTCAAAAAAGCACCAGCAGGTTCATATATAGAAGACTACATCATTATAGAACCACTAGAACTAGAATATAAAGTCAAATAAATCATTAACTACCACAAAAACAATAGAAACATAAAATACCTCATTAAATAGAAGGGGTATAGACATAAAGATAACTCATAGGAACCCATCAAGAACCTCCAGCACTCCCAGCAGCTACTACAGGAGTATCACCAAGTAAGGGACCTAAGTCCATAAACTCCTCCCCAATCCTAAACTCAGTCTAGAAAGGGTTATTCTCAATACCTCTAGCCTAAAGATCCTCCATAACGTATCGCTTATAAGCATCCAACGCAGGAAGAACGTCATTAGCCTCCTCAAGCTCCTATATCCCCTAAGCAAACGTCTCTATATAATACTCCTTAATTAACTTCTAAGTTATATAAATATAAACTAAATAACTAGCCGTATTAGCTACCTCTAATTATACCTAAGTAAGCTTCTTATAGAGCGCTAATAGAGCATTACTAGCCTACTCCTCCTTTTCCTCTTACTCTTAATGCTAGTCACTAAGACGCTTCACTATAATAAGTTAGAAGCAGCCTATAAAGAAAGATATAATAGGACTTATAGCTTAACGTAATAACTAGTCTATTATAAGGACGCTTTAAATTCTTATACCTATAATAGACCTTTAAACCCTCCGCTATATAATAAGGACGCTTTACCTAGAAACAGTAAGTATAGGGCATAACGTTAGAAGAACTAAAGCGCTTAAATATATCGTTATAAGTAGAATAAAGAACGGATTTTAAATCTTTTAATTTTTAAATATAACTTAATATAGTATTAGCATTATAGAGATTAAGAAGCATAATTAACGCCTCCCTAACCTAGGAGATACTACCTACTTATATTAGTCTAAGGGACTAAACCTTTAAAGAGGGGACCTAATATTATAACCTATTAGGTATAACCAATAAAGGACGCCCCACTAGGATACTAAGCAGTTATAATAATATATTTATATATAGGATCACGGGAACACATAAGGATCCCTCAGGAACAAAAGAACTATAGTATAGGTCACATAACAATAAGATAAAAGATTAGATCCATATAATTAAGATATAGCATCTATATTCCAGAAAGACGGAAGCTATATACCAAGGATACGGGAGCCGTACAGGGCATATATAGCACCCAGCAATAGGACTACCCAGGACCTATATATAGGATGGACTTAAGTCCGCTCAAGGACAAACTTCCATAGCTCTTCAGTAATTAACTTATAATTCTTACTTAAGACTTTTAGCTATACCTAAGTAATAATTACTCTATAAATCTTATTAAGGACTTAACTAATTACTAAGCCCTTTAAAGACCTATAATTACTTAATTAGACCTATAGAACGACTAATAACTATTACTATTATTATTACCTAACTTACTATTAATACAAACCCTACTGTCAGTTAGCTAGCCGTAACATTATATTACTAGATAAAGAGTAGTTAAGATATAGGCCTTAAGAATCTCACTGGCTTCTTTGATAATGACCACATTGGGCTTGGCCGCCTTGATCAGGGGCTTGTACTTGGCAGCAGCGGTCGTTGTACATCCTATCAGCCGCTTGCTTTGTACAACCGAACACTTGGATTCGTTGAAGAGAGTTTCCAGTTGTCGTTGGGCTTTGTCGAAATGCTTTATCAAGTTCCGAAGCGTCTCGGCGTGTTCTTTTCGGAGGCGCTCATGCCATGCATCGATATGATGCTGTCTCTGAGCTTGAGGCATGTTCCAGATGTGTTGTTTGCCCTCTGGGATGGCCCTGCCGAGCTCGCCCGCGTCTTTTCCCTGGGCCCATCGGTCGAGCAGATAATCCGGTGACATGACCTTCTGCGCACCTCCTGCAAGTTGAAATCCATCTTCCTGCTCAGGTAAAACGAATGCTTCGTGGAAATCTTGCGCATCTTCAAAAAACTCGAGGGTGTTCAAGAGTTCCAGATGACTGAGTTTTCTCTCCACGACAGCACGAAGGGAGATCTGGATCTGTTGGCGCAATCCAGCCATATCACTCTTCGCCGCGTCGATCTTCATCCACATCTCTCTAGTCATTCTGAACTCACTGCGTTTCAGTTGTCGATCAAGAAGAAGGCTTTCCGTTTTATCGGTATACTTGGATCCAAGGCGAATCATGGAACCAGGAACAATGCCAATTTTCATCAGATCTTCGAGAAACTGATCCAGAGCGTGGTTTGTGTAACTTAACACCATTACGCGAGTACCAGGGTCTGACAGGAGTATCATGGCCGCCAACGCTCCGACGAATGACTTGCCAGTACCTAATAAAGCTCACTGTCAGATGACTTCTTCCGCCGTCGTGGGCATCGAATAGGACAAGGGTGGTCGCTGCGAGGCCAAAAGCAGTTGAGGGAAGATTTCCTTACCAGGAGGACCTTGAATAAGAGCTACAGCACTATTCAACGCATGCAACACCGCCTTGTTCTGTGATTCATCGAGAACGAAGTGCCGTGATCCTAGACCAAACCATCGACGCTGTGGGCGATACTGTGTGCGTCCTCCACCAGCCAGTAGGTCCTCCAATTGCCTCACGCAAGCTTGCACAGAAGCAGACAGAATCGGAGGGGAGCACGAACTATCGTCGCTGTTGGTATCCAATCGCAGAAGACCTCCTTCAAGAGGCATCTCGGTGATTTCCTGTAAGCATTCCAGCACCGGCTGATAGGCGAAAACCGGGGTATGAACCAAGACGAAGCGAAGGTTGGCAGGTGACTGGAGGGCATCCAACGCCCTAGCAGTGGCATCGCTGCTAGTGAACTGTAAGACAATCACAGGAGGCGACTTCATCAACTGATCAACATCTCGAAATACGAAAGCGAAGGCGATGATGTGGTCGTCTCCGCAAAGGGCGCCGAAAGATTGGTGACGGAGGAACGCCTTGTTGTTCTCAAGAAACTTCTTTCGCTTGGCCAGGTTCAACGACTTGAAGGTACCTGGCATGGCTCGGCAGCTAAGAAGCACTGCGCAACGGCGCCCTCGTTTCTCGTCGCCGGTGTCAATACCGATCGGGAGCAGTCCGCCGAGGATCTGAGAATTCTTCTTGCCTCGCTTCCGTCCGATCGCCACCTTCAGGTCATCGCGCAGTTCGCCGAGCATGTCCTCACGCAGGAGGCGGAACTGGTTGTCGAGATGAATACGCGGTCTTTCGGAGGAGTTGGCGGCCGCGACTTCAGACGCGCGTCGATAGAATGGCTGTGCGCCCGAGTAGAATTCGTCGCTGGTAGGAAAGATTGAGATCTCTCGAAAGTTGGCGAAATCATTGTCATGACGGCCACCGGCCGTCTCGGGGTCATCATCGGGCGAGGTCGTGGCCCTGAGGGCGAGAACCTTCTTGATTCTGTATAGAAGATCCCGAGTCTTATGGTCCTGGGCCTCCCGGAACGGCTTCAGCTGGAGGGCTGACGTGATATCGGAAATAATGTCGTTGTAGTCTTCCCCGGGAAGGCTCGCCAGCTCCAGGCACAGCCAGGCAAAGATATGAAGGTTCTCCCCGCTGAGCTGAGACTCTTTGTAGGCATTGAAGAGATTGCCCCAAAGGATGGGAGGCTGAACGACAAGTAAGAGAACCTGGCGAAGAAGTTGGCCATTGTACATCAGCTTCACTCCAGGATCGCTCATGTAGGCAATGAATGGTATGACGTGGTAGTTGATGAAAGAGACCGAAGAATCGACACGGAGGCTATGCCGAAGAGCATTCTGCGCGACATCCCTGGCCGTAATTATCTCCAAGCATGCAGCAGGTGAGGCGTTCATCCTCACTGCTTCGAGGAAAAGTCGCGCATCGGCAGCCGTTGCGAGCACTCGTCCACCCTTGGTGACGTCCCCAAACACCTTCAGCAGACGAGAAGCACGACGAGGATCGGGCTGATGAGCTTGACTGGCGGTCATGATTTCAGACGAGGCAAGTTCCCTTGGGCACGGCCGTCACGCGAAGGTTGGTTCGTGATATCGAAGATAACAGAAATTGGAGTGTATAGTTCCAGTGAGAGATTCCAGAATGACTGCTTGGTCTCAGAGCATAAGACAGTAATTCGACAACGACGCCGAAGGAAACATTTGACGTTGCTCTGGCGGGGTTGCGAGTGCTTATCACATGCCGCGCAGCATCAAGCAGGCAACTGAAGGTTAGGCTTTAGCTTCCAACAGCTTTGTTGGGGGCAGCTTGAAATGCAAGTAGAAAAAGTCCCGTGGAATTCAACCGAACGTTGATCTGGGCCGCCGTTGGTTCCGCGGTTGGAGCGGTGGTCGGCCTCCTGCATGAAAGGCCTGTGACTGGCTCATCATCTGCCTCCAAAACCTTCGGAGGGTGTTCGGGTGGCTTCTCATAAAGAGCGCACGACACATAACATTGTTGGCGGGTTTCGGTCTTATTGCCTCTTCAATCATTTTGCCAATAACCAAACACCAGATGAGGGGCAATATGTACCGACGCAACCACCACTGGCGACGTCCTGAGTTAGAGGAATCGTCGCCGGCTCCGCCCTTTGGCCGTCTCATAGAGTCTGTCACCATCGCGGACTTGGGGATACGAGCGAAGGCGTATGTGTCGTCTGCTCGGATCACAGGCTGCGAATTAGTTGCCTCATACAACTGGCTCGACGAAGGAAGTCCAACGATCATGGTTCCAGGTGTGTTGCAACGCTTCTGGCACTGACACTTGCTAATTGACCAAGGTGCACCAGCTAGATGGACTCCGCTTGCGGATCCTGTCAGGCTGCGGGAAGACGACGGAGTTTATTACCGCGATAAGAATGCCGCTCGATACCCAGATCACCCCATGGAGCCTGCAGTCCAAGCCGTCTTGGAAATGCACCCACGGCCTTTTGGGAAACAAGTGGATATTGTCGCGTGCGGTAGTACTCTCGGCAACCTCCTTCGTTTCGTTCGAGGCGACGAACGGCCGTTCCGCATGCTGGTTTGGCGTGTCGGTAGCGTGGTACACCTGATCCGCCGAGAAAACTCCCCCAAGGAAACCATTCCGAACGTCAAAGGCTACGGGCATACTTTCCCAGAGGCCTATACAACTTGGGATTCTGGGGTGCGCAACTCGGCATCTCATCAAAGAATTCTCCGGTATGACTTTGGCGGTCTCGGTTGCCTCGTCCGACACGAAGGTGACGGTTACCTCAAGGAGAAAGTCGGGCGAATGCCAGAACAACCAAAACAGCCCTCCAAAGGTTCGCGAGGCTCCGTCGATGAACTCATCGCCAGCTTCGGTGGCAACAAGATGAGTTCAGCGGCTCTGAACGGCTCATCTCGGCTCAATATACAGCCCGGCGGCTTCGAAGTGCCCCAGACGGCAATTTTCGACCTCAAGACGAGGTCCATCATGCGAAAAGGTCAGGACTTTCTCGGCGAAGAGATTCCTCGAATGTGGGTTGCGCAGATCCCGAACTTCGTTCTGGCATACCATAACCGTGGCACATTCAACGACATCGAGGTCTTGGACGTGTCTGCGAAGATGGCGCAGTGGGAGGAGGAGAAGAATAAGGAACTTTCTCAGCTCGCCGCTCTTCTGCACCTTATCATCGACCTTGCGCTGTCCAGAGCAGACCAGAAGATGGAGATAAGTCGTCAGAGGCCCAGGGTGCTAGATGTTCACGCTCAAGTACCAGGATTGTCTCCTGTGTGCTCGTTGGAGGTGATGGACAGATGGAAGGAGTGGTTGGGGTCTGAGACGATGAGCAGTGAGGACGAGAACAGTGACGAAGTGGGAGGAGGCGAGTTAACTTGGAGCGATGGAGATGACGATTGTGGCGACTATACTGCTTGTTCACAAGAGTGCTCGTACTGCGGCCGTTGCACGTATTGAAGCCGTGTCGTGCTGTTAGCGGCGATGTTTTGACGAGGTCTGTATCGCTTGAGTTAGTTCATTCTCGTCTCATGCAAATCGAACTGGCGTTCTTCGCCACAGTTCCATGAACGCGACCAACCAGATGAACCAGGAGTGCGAGGCGATGTGACGCGCTTCGCGACGTATGCCACCACAACAATTGGTGAAGAAACGGAACCCGCGCGACAACGCGATCAGCCGCGGTCACGTGCAAGTGTTCGGGTGTGGATTAGTCAGTCCCCCCACCCACGGTGAGGACACATCGGTGAGCATTCTCCTCACCGAGGGCATCGTCGGAATTCCGCCTACGCCCCAAGCACATGCATTTGCACATCTGTTGAAAACCCTCATGTAATATTTCCAGTGTTTTGGTTTAGAGTGTTTAGTTGGACACCCGCGAGATCTTGGACCACGTAGTTTCACTAGTGTTACCATATAGCTAGCCCCGGATGAGAGATGCCCTGCGGTGTTGACTGGACTTGCGCGTATCTCACGTATTCTTCAACTCATTGGGGCATATCTCAACCTTTTTTTAATATGCGTCTATCTCGAGAGGTTCCCAACGGCTTGCCAAAAGCTGACACGTCGGCCGGGCGTTCACTGCCGGAGGCCCTCCCGGAGCTTCAGTTGAACTATGAACAGCATGCAGCAGACCCTGAGGGTTACTAATGGCTTTGGTAATGTTCTCAGGGGTCAAATTAGAGGTTTGGACATGTTTGCGCCATATCCGCTGAGTCCTTCGTTGGTTATGATTTTCTTAATACCTTTTTTGTGCACTTTTAATACTGAATCAATACCGGCATGATGATAATCACATCAACTTCTGGACTGAACTTCTGGAACGATACTCAAATCATTGAATCAGCAACCTTGAACGGATATATGTGTATTTATTATTGATGAAGGGTATTTGAAGCAATCCGAAGTGATACTCGAAGCTGGTCAGCCTCTAGGCTGATCTCTGATGCGTGAAAGCTTAAGCAGCGCCCAGCACTTGAGACCCCCGCTCGGCTTTTTTGCTAGGTACTTATTTACACTTCATGAGTCGTCGGAGCCCCAAACAAAGTTCCTCGATGAGGAAGTCACTCTGAGAATCGAGTTTGCAATCATGTCACCTGCAGTCGATGGTATAGATATCCGCGGGCAAGACCGGGAATGAGGCCGAGCGCGACTCTCCGTCGCCGCAGCGATACCTCCTGGTCATTAAAAACAATCACCAAGGTGGGTCTCTACTTCCTCGACTTCATCGACGCGACTCGAAATCACATCACGCCTGCCATCAACGAAGATACCCAGGTAAGCTGAGCTGAAGAAAGGAAAGACGACGGCATCACGGAAGGAGCGCTGCTAACGGGAATGGAAAGTGGAAGAAGCAAACGGTCAAAAAGGCGGCCGCGACCTCCCAAGACAAACAAACCTGCAGCAACCCACCGCCACGACCAAATCAGGACACGACAGCCCAAGCAAAAGCAATAGGTTTGACAGCAAGGTGACTGTGGGATTGAAAGGGAAAAGAAAAACTTTTTCTCTTCATGTCACTCATCACCATCTGCTACCCTACCTTTACAATCACCAGTACCCTACCTTTACAATCACCAGTACCCTACCTTTACAATCACCAGTCTCACCATCATTCATCAGCATTCCACCGCTAGTTCTTTGTTCACGCGCTACAAAGCTCCGATCCAAGATAGAGTCGCCAAAGTCACCACCTCCATCCGCCCTTCTCGAGATGGCTTTTTATTATCCTCAGACGTCGGCGCCCGGACAGTTTCCAGTCCAGGTCCCGGTCCCTAATGAGTTTCGGGCCCCGCAGCAGAACCCGTACGGCGCGCCTTCGATAGCTATCAGCCCGACGCCCGCCTACCTCAAGCAGCTGCGTTCCATGACCCATCACCGCGATATTTTGGCCAAGAGCGGCTTCGTCATCGCCCAGCTCTCACATGCCGAGTTCGACAGGAAGAGGCGTTGCCAGCGGTGTAATGTTCGCTGTGAGTCACCTCTCTCTCTCGATGCTGTATTGGCCCATCTGCTCACACGACACAGGCAACAACGGAGGCAACAGAGGCAAGCCGGACGCGAGGGAAGGACGGAATGGGAATAAGAAACCCTTCCAGAAATCACCCGCGCCCAAGGCCCAACGTCAAGGTGTCCCCATTCCCGGCGTCGACGGTCCCGACAAGGCCAGGGACGACAAGGACGACAAGCCGCGATTAAAGTGCCAGTACCACACCGGCCATGTCGTTCGCATGGTAGGCGCAATGCTTCATCCTCTTTCTGCTTTCTCTAGGCTAACATGCTCAAGCACTGGAACTGCTGTCGGAACTTCGTCTCCGCACCGGGATGCACCTTCGCCCCAGAGCATCTCACGAGGGTATACTCGCCGCAGGAGCTCCAAATCCGCTACCAATTCCACAAGACGCCGGTTGCACAGCTCTTCGACTTCAACCCCGCCCCTCTCATCTCCTTTTCCTCGGTAGACTCTTACACGCCCTCCGGCTCCAGAGAAACCCGCCAGGCGGTCGCCCTTGACTGCGAAATGGGCGTCGCCTTCGACGGCGAATCGGAACTCATTCGCCTCACCATGATCGACTACTTCACCTCCGAGATCCTCTTGGACAGCTTGATCAGCCCGGCCGTGCCAATGCAAAACTACAACGCCCGCTACTCGGGCATTTCCAGACAGGACATGGATGAGGCCCGCAGAAAGGGTAAGTGTGTTCACGGTGGTTACGCTGCCGCGCGGGAAGCCGTCTGGCGATGGGTCGGTCCCGACACCGTTGTTGTCGGTCACGCGGTACACAACGACCTCGCCTCCCTCCGCTGGATTCATCCGCTCGTGGTCGACTCTCTCGTGCTCGCAACCGCTGCCAAGGCCGAGAAGGACAAGCGGGAGGCAGAGGAGGAGGAGGCGCGCAAGGAGGCCGAAGAGGAGCAGCAGATAATTGAGGCGCTCCATGCAGCTGCAAGAGCCCGGGCGACTGGCGAAGATATCGAGGATCTCATGTCTTTCGACGACGAGCAAAAGACCAAGGAACAAAAGAAAAAGGACGAAGAGGAGAAGAAGGCGAAGAAACAGAAGGGCGGCGGCCTCTCGCTGAAGAAGCTGACGAAGGAGCTCCTGGGCCGCGACATCCAGATGGGCAAGACGGGCCACGACAGCCTCGAAGACGCAGTGGCCGCGCGGGACCTGGTCCACTGGTATGTCATGCGGAAGACCGAGGAGCTGCTGGGCAAGAATGAGAACGACACCGTCCCGGGGTTTTGGTAAATAATGGTCGGGCGAGGGAGGAAACGGGATCCCGAGTTTTCCAACATGATGGTTTGGCATGTAATTTCTATCTTAAGGGAGCATTGGCGTTCGTCGGCGAAAGCGGGTTGCATCACGACAAATGGAAGCGCGAGTCTTTCCATTTTTGTTGTTAAGAAACAGATAAATGAGCGGTGTTGGGAAGTTGTCTTCCGATGTAATCAGCGCAATTACCCATCGACTAATTCATGCAAAGACGATATTCCGAAAAGTTTACTTGAAGGCTTCCGAGCGACACCCTCCCTGCCCAGGGAACAAGACGCGGATGAAGGACTTCCGGCGGGTATGGTCGTATGATTCGGAAAACACCCACACATCCCAACATCACCGCCGCAACCACAGTCACGTTCTCGATGGCGTTCAATTTAGCGTTAGAATACCGTTGAATAAAGGACAATGGCATTCGGGCCCGCGACCTCGTCAAAAACCCTGCGGTGTTCTCTATATCCGCCCGCCCCCAATACCAATACGCTCGATGCTTTATGCTTTGACTTTGGTGGCACTTCCGCTTGTTCCATGTTCGTTCCTGGGTACCCTACACCACTACCAGACTGAAGGCCGAGGAAAGACGAGCTCAAAAACAAGAAAATATCAAGGAGGCAATTCGTCTACCACCCAAAAGACACTGTCAAAATCCGCCCCCCGATAGAATATTTGTAAGAGAACCGAAAGAAACCAATGGGTCACCCCTCCATCGAGGAAGACCAGTCAACGCCTCAGAAGAATATATCCCTAAACCTCATCTCTCTCCGTCTCTCTCTCCGCCAAACAATGCCAAAAGGGGGGGCTACAGGGACCAAAAAGCCCAGCCCCGAGGTCATAAGGCTATCAACACGTTCCCCGTGCTAGTCTACTGTATTCCGTGTTTCCGCGCGCGCGCCTGGGTATAATTGTCGTTGCCTATCTCATGCCGTACGTGTCGTATTCTTCCCTCTTCTGGACGGGACTGGTTTCGTCGAATCCCATTCTCGCTCAACTTTAAGAATGTTGCAACGCGCTCGGTGTGGATGGCTCTGCCATGTCCGGATCGGCCGGTCCCAACATGGATGCCTCCATCGATATGACACTTGCCGGTCGGCTACCAGGAGGTGCAGGGCTCAACATCGAGGCCTCCATGGACGCGGTGCTGGCACCCAACGGCGCGGGTCGCCTGTTTGTGTACGCGGGGAAGCCCAAGTTCGTTCCTTGCGGCGAGATGGCGGTGGCAGTTGATGCGCCTGGCGCTGTTGGGGACGTGGGGGAGTAATGGCTCACTACCAGAGGGGGTGGGTGATTTGCCGGGCCTGCCGTCGTTGGCGAGCGAGCTGTCCGAGGGAAGCTGGGGCTGGTCGGGCTAAACAACAACGGAGCCTGAGCAAGAGGCTGCGCAAACATCGGCACCGTACCGGTCGGGGGCGCATGGTTTGGTGGCGGCGGCGGAGGGATGCCGTTTTGCTGTGCGTCGCCGTTCACGAGATTCTGAGCCAGGAGTGGTTGTCCGTCCACAATCATCTCGCTGCCGTCTAGACCCTCAAACTCGTCTTCCTCTGCCACTTCTCCGTCATCGATCTCGGCGTCGCCATTGGCTGGGCCACCATTGACGGCTTGCGGAGGATGAGGGCCGATGTTTCTGCGCGATACGAAGCCCGTGCCGGAGAACCGAGGGGCGGGAGAGTCGCGAAGGCCTTCGTATTCGGGAGAGTTGTTCAGATAGTCGCGAAGCTTGGAAACGCCATTTCCGGAAAAGACGCAGAAGACGCCGCGCTGGTGTTCCGTGAATTCTGCCCTTGTTAGCTTGATCCAGTCTCTAAGTGGAGGAGACATACCAGGTGGAGGAGATCGGCAGAAGGACGAGAACTCTTCTCGAAGGAATGCGGTTACACCAGTCAGACTGAGATGCGTGAGGCGAGGGCAGTAGTTGAGCAGTTTGATGATGCTCTGTTTCGGTTAGCCAAACGCTGCACAGCGAGAATTCGAGTACTTGCCTTCAAGGTTAGGTTGGTACAATAACTCAAGTGGACACGCTCAAGACTGGAGGCGTAGTACTCGTCAATGTTGCCGTTGGCGTCCCGACGTGCGCGGGGTCGGTGGTTGGCGCGAGCAAGCGCGAATACGGACTCGTCGGTAATACTACTACACTTGACGAGGCCGATTCTCTTGAGTTTGGGAAGTTGAGCGAGGCGCATGACCGAGTCGTCGGTCAAGAGCGTACAGCATCCCAGATCAATATACCTAATGCGATTGCATTGTGCGACCAGTGTCTTCACGGCTTGGTCGGTGATGTGGCCGCAGTGGCCCAGGTGCAGGTAATGCAAGTTCTTCCCCAGCTTCGAGATCGCGTTGACGGCAACGTCAGTGATGTTGCGGCACTTGGCAAGCACCAAGTTGCGTAAACGCGGGGCCACCTCGATGATTTTCTGTACGGCCTGATCGGTGAGTCTAGCGCACGATGTCAAGTCCAAAATGCGGAGGTGGTCATATGTCCTGTTTGGCGGTAGGCTGAGGAAGGCATTATCGTCGATCAACTCGCAGCCTGCAAGGCGAAGTTCGCGGAGAGAGGAACCCTTGGTGATAAGGGTGGTAATGGGGTCGTTTCCGATCTGGTTGCACTGGTGGAGGTCGATCTCGAGGATGTTCGGACAGTTCTGGGCGAAGGCCATGACCGCGTTATCCTGCAGCTGGGAGCACTCGTTGAGTTTGAGCTAGAGGAAGAGTCATGTCAGCAAAGTCCACAGCACGAAGCGGTACCGCGATGATCTGGCCCGCTGCGACACCAAGCTGGAAGATGCACAAAGGAAAGAAGCAGACTTACCCTCTTGATGTACTTGCAGTTCTCGGCGAGCAGGATCATGCTTTCGTTCGTGATCATTCGGCAACCCGAAATGTTCAAGCCTTGCAACCTCTTGCAGTGCTGTGCGATGGTTCTGATGGAAACGTCCGAGATGTTCTCATCGCCGGATATATCGAGGGCAAGCAACGAGGAACTGCCTTCCACCAAGGCCGTCAACCCTTGGTCGGTAATATTCTTGCAGTTAGTCAAGGTAAGCCTCTCAACGCGAGTACAGACGGCCAAAGGGATGACGCTGCCGTCGTTGATCTTATCAGCGAGATGATTGGCCGCCAGATTTAGGCGTTTGATGAAATCGCGGTAGGCGAAGAAGGGGTTCTCGAGCTGCAGCGTTTGGCAAATGGAGGAGTGGTTCTTCCAGTTGACGCACGCCGGACGGTGCCAAAGCAAGTCGACCGAGTTCTTTGCCCATCGCTTGCAGGTCAGCATGCAGTTGAAGAGGTCGGAGGGGCCGTTGAGCCTCGCAAAGATGGAGATGAGAATCTCGCTCGGCAGGCGGTTGACGGCGGGCTGGCACGGGTCATCGTTGACCTGCATGTCCTCGATGTTGGGGACTCCCAAGGACGACTGGGAGTCATTGCCGGCGATGAAGAAATCCGACTCCTCGTTGTCGGCAGGGGCGGGGGAGTTTGTGGACGAGGAGGAGCGGGAGTCCGGAGTGACTGACTGGCCAGCCATGATTTCTATTGAGGGGGCTGCGGGCCTCATCATGGGCGACGACAACAAACGACGACGGGTGCGGTCGAGCGAGCAAAGAATCGGTCGGCCGGTCGAGGAGGGAGTCGCGGGGTTTTCGGGCTTGGGGGAGGGAGGGGAGTCGAGTCCCCGATCGATGGAAGAGCGGTCGGCAGCGTCGATGACGGGCGGAGTGTTTGTCGTCGATGTGTCGCGAACCGGCTAATGTCGACAAGCAAATGGCGGGGGATTTGTCACCAGAGCGAGGTTGACTCTATTGAGTAATGGCAGACCGGTCCCACGAGGTCGATGGCGGACGCTGATGCTTACGCCTGACCCACGAAAAATGGTAGTGGAGAGGCTCCGGCGGTACGCTGAAGAGCGTAGGTACGAATAGACGCCTGGAGAGGACGGGACGGGGGTGATCTGGGAGAAGAAGGATGCTCGGTTAGGCTGGGTAGGTACTTTGAAGTGGTCGTATTGGTGGCCGATGACTAGCAGCAGCGGGACGGGGGTTGGAAGTACCTTTTGCTCGTGCCGTGCGGTGCAGCGCTGTGCCGGGCTCGGAAGGGCAGGGCAGCAGGGCAGGCTTGTATTTGTTGTGTGACGGACGAGGCGCCAAGTTGACGACGAGTTTGAGTCGACGTCAGGGAGAGACACGGTGGGTTCGGAGAGAGGAGACGGAGGAGACGGAGAGGAGACGAAAAACGTCAACGTGGGTGTGGAGGCTGTGAACGGAGCCTCTGAACTCAATGACGGACGGCGGAGGGAGCGACGAGAGTTTGTCGTGGGAGCAGCTGCTGGTGTGGTGATTGTGATTCGAGGTTTTCGATGGCACCGCGGCAGTATCTCTCCGATTCGTCTTTGTAGAATCAACGGCAACCAGGAGCCAGCGGAGGCGACGACAGCAGCAACAACGGCAGCGACAGCGACAGCAGTGACCAACACAACTTCAGGGCGAATGACGACGGACGACGGGGATGAGGCTAAGGCGGATGGGGCCTCTGGTGCGGTGGTGGAGGGAGCGACAGCAGAGAGTGACACACCCCTGGGGCGGTTGGGCTTGCTCTGGAACTCGACGGCGGGATCTTGACTAAGGTTGGCGGCGTGCGGCGTCTGGCTGGAGAATGCCCAAGGAAAGGTCGAGGTCGAGGGCGTGCTGTGCTCGGGATTGGAGACGTTGGAGTCGCGGTTGCTGGCGGAGGTGACTCGGCGGAGGTATTCTCTCTCGATGGTAGGAGTCTTTCGTGTGTCGGTCTGGTCAGGTAGGTATGTACCTCTGGGCGTCGTGAGGAGGCACCGGTGACTTTGCAACGCAGCAGCGAAGGGCGAGGGCGAGGGCTGTGGGCGTGGGCGTCCGTAAATAGGAAGAAAAGGGTCCCCGCGTGACCAACTTGCAGCTGCCGGTCTTTCTCTGCTGAGTTCGCGATGCTGATCTTCAGACTGAGGCGGGAGTCCGAGCAAACAGGGACAGCAATCAAGCGGATGAAGCAGGAGTAATGCTGGAAGCCGACCCTTATGCTTGAAAAGAGTCGAATATGCCGGATTTGGTGTTTGTAGTACGGACGAGTAAGGGATTTGCTGATTTCTCGTGTAGTACCTGGCGAACGCGTGGAAGGAAGCACAGTTGCGACCCGACGAGAATGGGAAATCGAATACCGTAATTACTCGAGGGTGACACCGGGAAAAAGAAGTGACAAAGGAAGGAACTCAGGGAGAGTCACGTATCCGTACCTTCCCTTGGAAATCAAGCAGGACAATACTTTCACGTCAGCAACAGCGCTTATTTTCAAGGTACCTTATTTGAGGTACCCAAGTACCTTCCCTCCAAAGAGAGGCTCTATTTACTGGAGGCGCAACTGCCATTTCTATTCGCTGTAACAACACCGGCAGGCACGGTAGGTACGGTGTAAGAGGCCATGGACGAGACGAGACTCCTTCAATCGAAATTCAAGGGAACAACAGCAGCAGCAATGTAACTGGCCGGACGGAGAGAACCGAAACCAGGCGAGAGGGAGACGAGACGATTTCCCCGACACAGAACGTGGGGCCATCTTTTCAGCCTCGTTGAGATGTTCATGCGTGAAGACGGGACCTGGAACTTCGAAATTCAAGATTCGAGGTTGTATGCAAGCTCGACGTGCAATTACGGCACCCAACAGCCCCGGGCCTGCTTATAGCGGGGTTCCGTCCCAGAGCCGCCGGAAAGCGAAACCTTCTCAGCATTCTACATGTATCTTTGACCACTGTGGCTGCCAAAAGATACCTCGACCTCGCTTAACATTGGAGCCGGACGTCACCTCCCGGAAATACGTACATTTCCACATCTGCACCTCGATATTCCAGCCCAAATCTACAACCCAACGAGTCGTCGACTTGTACCTGACGCTATCTCACAAGGGAAAGGGCGACACTGGCTCTGGCATGTACCACGAGTCCTTTTTCATCAAAGTTGCTATTATGGGAGACACGTTTTCGAATTGTCCGCATTCCCCTTTCTTAGGGATATGCGCATATCACAAATCAACATAGGATGCCAAGACGAGAACGAGGCGACTGAGGCGCGATGACGATGCTGGAAATTGGCTCCAAATGACCTCAACTTCCCTCAACCTCCCTCCGATATTGGTCTGTGGTCTTCGGCACGCAGGGTTGACGGCTTTCGGGCCTGGCCAACCTTGTTCTTGATGGAGGGACCATCCAATAATTCGAACCGACTGATGAAGAACAAAAAGACAAAAGAGCGTGATTGTGCCTCGCCTTCGCCTTTTCGGAGACGAAAGCTGCGTTTGATACCCGTCTTCCGCCCTCCGCCCTACGTCTGCCCAACGCTTTGACGATTCAACTCCAACTCACTCGCTGACTTGCTTCAGGGCGCCTCACAAGTTACACTCATCAAAGGACAGCACAGACGTTTCCCGTCTTTCCATTGACAAGTCCGGTGCCAATCTCTTGAATCCTCCTGCCTTACAACACCGTTGAGACGGGATGTCAGGGCCTCGGATGCTGACCATAATGCGGTACGCCCCAAGACGGGTTAGCCAGACCTTCATTCCTGTTTCGAGGTCCCCTTTTCAGATTGCATCTCGGTTTCTTGCTTACTTTTCCTAGTATCATGCCAGGGAGGGTTCATCAAGATGCGGCGTTGGCTCGCCCTACACCTGATACCAAGCAGTCCTGCTCTTCCTGGGTTATCCATGCCTGATTCTCGTCTACCCCCAATAGCAATCCAGATATGGAAGCATTGAACCACTTGTCAAACCGATTCAGTAATTCATTATTCGATAGACGGCATATCCCGCATGCCACTCATTCAATGTCGGGAGGTCGGTGGTCGGAGGTTACGAACAGCGGTTCGCGTCTTCGGTATGTCGTCAAATCGCTGCATCCCTCCCTGGGCGCGATGCCAAGCCGGCCAACACGGGCATGCAAATATGTGAACGAGGGTTCGAATGTTAATCCAGCCCAACAAAATGGACGGCTGCCTACGCTGACGGTCAGTGAGGTTGACTCCCGGGCTTCCGAGGTCCTGGGAGGGAGATACGGTACAGACCGGCCGATTGAGTTGGGCAAAAAGAAGAAAGCTTCGTGAGACCCGGGTTAAGAATAGCAACAACTGGGCTGTTGTTCAACGTGGACAGGGTCCGCGGCTGAGACGCGACGACAATCACCTGGCCTGGTCTCACCTCGTCGTCATTGGGATGAGTCGACGCAGTGTCTTCTTAATAGGTTGTTTATCATAAACAACGAATCTATCGTCATCATGACCGGCGACAGTCGTATGCAGAATACGCAAGCATCTCACCGCAGGAACATCCATCTGCAGGATCGATAAGGTGAAGACCGGTGTGCGTATGCGAGATGTCTTCCGTCGGTAGCCTTCGACTAAAGCCATCTGCAGTAAAAGTGAGCGTCGCTTCGAGGCGCAGCTTGACGGTGTACCGTATCACGGATCCTGGGACGCCGTCACGCGTGGGCGCTTAGACAGTCGACATCATCCTCTCACCTCGGCTCCTCGCCTTATCTCGCAGCCTTTGCCATATCACGGACATGCCGCTTCTTCTGTGCCCTCGTCACCGGTAGAGCTAATTTGCTCAGCCTCGCTGCCAGCCCCGGTGACAACTCGCGGAGTGATTCCTCCTCGTCAGGCCTTGCCGGAAACCTGCACGAAGAATGACAAGTTGCCTCAATCCATGAAAATGCACCAAACGCAGCGAGGCCGTTGCAGAGGTCAAGTGTCAAGTCCGCAGCATCGAATCCTTAGATCGATCACAATGCCGGGGTATTCCTCCCGCTTGTTGGTCCCAAAGCACGGACCATTGATTGAATCCAGGCCTTGGGAATCCCATGAAAAAGGAGCAGCAAATCAGCATTACCGTCCAAGGGTGACAACGTCGCAAACTCTTGCGGCTCTTCCAAGTGGTTGTCTTGGTGAGAAGTGGAGGGTGTGAACTTGACCTGCTGCTGAGTGTGTTCTTCTTCAGGGACCTGAGCTCCGGAGTACGTACCGCTGCACAGGCCACCACCTGCGGAGAATCCCGCACACGTGACAGTCAAGACGTCATTCGGCAGTCCCGCCTCCATGCATTTGCATCGGCCCACCGCTGACAGCCGGCATCATTCGAGCTCTCCAATTGGCAATTGGCCATTTGCATAATTCCATCCGTCACGATCAGACTTCCAATTTGATCTCGACACCACACTCACCGCGACCTCGCCAGTCTGTGCAGCGCAGCAGCAGGAACACCACGCTCAACGATCCCACATGACTAGGCCATGAGTAGTCGCCCTGCCCCGTCGGCACCGAAACCCATCTAACAGCACCCGTCTGCCGTCCTCCCCGCCCGAACGTCCCGTCGAAAAACGATCCATCCGAAGAATCAACGTCTCGATCCTGCACATTTCAGCCCACCTTCGACCTTTCCCCTCCACGATAGCTCCCCCGACGACGACATACCTCACAGGAGCTACCCCAAATGTTCCGCCCGCGCACTCTCCGGGCCCTGCCCAAGGGTCGCCTGCAGCCCGTCCGAACCCCTCGGCGCACCTTCTTCAACCGCCAGCGGTCCTTCGTTCACCAACCTACCGACAAATACAACATCGCCCAGCTGAGTGAAGCCCGCTCCAGCTACGACCGCGACCGCACCTACTTCCTCGCCGCCGGCGCCATTGCCGGAATCATCTCCTTCATATACACGGCCAACAAGCTCCGCAAGGCTCTCGCGGCGGAGAAGAAGCGCAAGGCGGCAGAGGCAGGCGCGGAGGAATCACCCTCCACGGATAACCGTACCGGGATCCAACTCGATTCGTCGGTGCCGAGCGAGACCTTCACCACCGAGGCTGGCAGTAAGCGCAAGGTCGTCATTCACGACGAGGAGGGCAGGGAGCTCGTGCCCACCGGCAACAAGACCGTCCCAAGCTTCCCCCGCACCGTCGAGCTCTCCTCCAAGCACTCCTCCACCTCGCGCGACCCGGAAGCCGCAGCCAATGCTCCGATCGCGGCCTCCGTCCAGGACAGCGACGGCGTCGAGTACACCCTCGTCGGCCTCGGCATCCGCACCGTCAGCTTCCTGAGCATCCAGGTGTACATGGTGGGCTACTACGTCGCCACCCAGGACGTCGCGAAGCTGCAGCACTACCTGACCAAGAAGATCAACCCGATCGCCACGACGCTGGTGCCCTCGGAGCGCGACGAGCTGAAGCAGAAGCTGCGGGATCCCGTCGAGGGCGAGGAGGCGTGGACGGCCCTGCTGCAGGAGGTCGGATGCCGGAGCGCGTTCCGCATCGTGCCGGTCCGCGACACCGACTTCCCGCACCTGCGCGACGGGTTCGTGAGGGCGATCACCCACAGGTCGTCGGCCGATAAGGAGGCGTACGGCGACGAGGCGTTCGGCGAGGCGATGAAGGAGTTCAAGAGGCTGTTCAGCCGCGGCAAGGTTCCGAAGTCGAGGGAGCTGCTGCTCTGTCGCGACGAGAAGGGCGCGCTGGAGGTCATCTTCGACGACGGCAGGAGTTTCGGGCGCCAGAGCTGCGGTAAAGTGCAGGACGAGCGCGTGTCGAGGCTCCTGTGGCTCAATTGGCTGGCCGGTAATAAGGTCGCCTCTGAAGCCGCAAGGACGAGCATCATTGATGGCGTCATGGAGTTCGTCGAGAGGCCTGTCGGCACGGTCGCCGCGCAGGTTGTGTAGATGTGGAGCCATAACTGTAAAATCACCAAGTTTCAACTCACAGCCAGCCGTAGAGTCGCGGAAAAAAAGACATGCATGTATTTATACTGGAGCGCATCGTCGAGGTCTAGAAATACTATCTATCCTCTATCCTCGTTTATCGCATGGTGGTATCTCGTGAATCCAACCGTCCTCCCACACCTATCAAACACTCGGCACCTCGACTACAGCCTGGACGACCTTTCGCGACGCGCCCGTCAGCCTCTGCCGTTGCCTTCTATCGCATCCCAAATTCATTTCGACACGTGACAGGAAATGTGCCTTACGCCTTGAGAGCGTTGGCCTCCTTGAGGAGGTTCTCGAGCTTGTTGCCCTTGAGAAGGCCCTGGATGTCCGAGTTGCCGCCGATGTGCTTCTGGTTGATGTAGCTGTTGGGGACGGTGCGCTGGCCCGAGATCTGCTCGAGGACGTCCTGGAACTCGCTGCCCTCGGCTGGTGGTACGTGTTAGTGTCGGGTGACTTTAGTAGAGAGGGGACGGAGGGGGACGTACAGATCTGGTCCAGCTCGATGACCTTGTAGTCGGCGTTGAGCTCGTCGAGGGTGGACTTTGTCTGGCGGCAGTAGGGGCAGTACGACTTGGAGAAGACGACGACCTTGTTCTCGTCGATGATGGACTGGACCTGCTGCTTGGTGACGGCCATGTTTGCTGCGCTTGGTGTGGAGGAGAAGAGACGGCGGAAGATGAATGACATTTGTCTTGAGTTGTTCGAGATGTCAAAGAGAGGGGGGGAGGGGTTGTCGATGTTTATAAATACGGGAAGGTCAGGTAAAGCAGACCCGGGAGAGTGGGTATTTGTCAGGTTGGAAGGCGGAGGCAGTTACGGTAGGGTACTTCTAGAAGGGCTGCGACGCGGGGCAAGGACGGATGTACTCCTTTTTTTGGGATCTGTGACGGGCAGCAGAAGCACGTTGCGAATTCGGGGGCCGAGTGGATGATGCAATCGGGAATAAATGGCCGCCGGTTGGGTTGGGACTTTTTTTTTCTTCTCTGTAGCGTAGACCCCGCGGCGGCAGAAACGCGGGTTCTTCGGGGGTTCCGTTTTACGGGCGGTCTGGCTGGCGATTTGTGTCACAGGGCGAGACAGGGGACACTGAGTAATCAGGAATGAATGTCATTGAGGCAATCTGTTGCGGGTTGCCGCGGCTGAGTTTTTTTTTTTTTTTTTTGAAATCAATGTGCAGGTTGATTCCATCATGGAATTTCTAATAGCGCAATTGGCAAACTGGGAAGAGCTGACCAATAAAAGACGGAGGCGTTTGTTGGATTTAGAAACTGTAAGAACCTAATTGCGAGGTTCACGCTTGTATCTGTCAGCAATCAGCTCCTGCTGATGAGGTCACTGAGGGCGCATGGCTTTAGTGGCCGTTGCCGCTGGGAAAGGTGAGGCGAAAAGAAAGCGAGGCGATAAGATAGATGGCGATAACGATAAGCCACCCGTACCCATTCAAGTCTATCCATCGTTGTTAATTGCCGTCGTCGTCGGTGCTCTTCGTTATCATCATCGGTATTAGCATCGGTATTGTTACTACCTTACCGTTGCCGTCGCCATCGTTATAGTCATTGCAGGCCTGTAAGGTAGCCCGGTATCCAACGTTGTATTATCATGGCGCAGATAGGTAAGTTACCTGTAAAGCACCCCGTCATCTTGGTCCAAGTGTCTGAACTGTGCATCCAGGGACTGATTGTGCTTTATTCAGGGATTCAGGGTCCTCGTCTGAGGCTACTACAGCCAGAGGAACACACGGTTAGATCTCACCACGTAGATGTCCCGCGTTTAGCGCCCGATCGCATCCTTGGGCATCCGTACAGAATCCAACTCGTGATGGTGCTGGTGATCTCAGGCAAGTCATGTAACACCCCTGTCCGAAATCCGAGATGCCAGCCCAGGCTCTGAACCTCAGCCGCTTCGGTAAAGCTGTCCGTCCGTACGGATACAGCTCAGTTGCAGCAAACAGGGGGCCCCGTCGCTGCTTTGTCCGGCGTCCGGGGGAGGACCTGGAGCTTGCTGATTTCCAGTCCCTCTTGCCACCTGCCACTTTGCGCCAGCTGCCACATCGCCTTTCAGATCCTGTTTCCATCCATCCATCCAATCATCCGAAAATCTTTTGGAAAGTCAACATCTCGAAACTTTGCTGTAGGACAGACAGCATCGCCAAACATCGTCGACTACAAACAACAACCTCTACACCAATCCGACGCCTCGCACCCGTCTAGCGCTCGCTACTTATCTTCCGGTCTCTTCCCCGCCGAGCCAGCCTTCCGCGCCGTTCAGGTACGTTGTCCGAATCGCCTCGTCCTCGATCCCAAGACTGCACCGGACACCTATCCACTTCAGACGCCGTCGCGATCGGCCCGGCCAATGATCACGGCTCCTCCCTCCGCATCCCCGTCATTCGCTGGCTTCCCGGTTTTCCAGAAGCCTCCTCCACATCCACACACATACTTTGACACATTCACGCGCCATACCACGCACCACTCATCCCATAGGGCCGCCGCTACTGCTCACCAACCCAACCCTTGCCCGCCGCTCGCCGTTTGCTGCTCACCAAAGCTGACACCGCATCGTCTATCTCTCCAGTCCTCTCCCAACAGCCTCACCAAGGCTTCTCTCCAACATCCTTGAACCAGGCCGGTGATCGCCCGCCGCGAGCAAAGTCCAACTTCGCCGCATTCCGGCTACCCCACTGCTCGGCGCTCTGCATCTAGCCACCACCTGCGACCTACTGCAGAACGGCCTGATCTGCCAACCCCGCGAGTCGGAAAATCCCAGACGAGGCCATCCCCACGACACCACCATCATCCACATTCATCTGGAGCTTCGCCCGTGACGCACCCTCGAATCGTGTCGTCCGCCGTCGACCCAAGCCTCACTTTCTCCTCCACCCTTCCTCCACTTCCCTCTTTTTTACCCGAGTCTGCGTCCTTAGCTTTAAGGACCGCCTACTCCCGCCAAGGTGGCTTCCAGTCAGCCTCTTCTGGCATCTTCTGGTGCCCTGTCCAACATCACAGCATTGTTGCCCACCACGCTCCAGGTCTATCTCGACAAATCCATCGCGAACCTAGCCACCGTTATCGCTGACTCCTCCGACTACGTCTCCGATAAAACCGGTGTCGATCCGAACATCATCCTCTACAGTACCCTCGGCTGCATACTGCTTGCCGTGCCCCTCACCATGTCTCGATACGGCTGGTCGACAAATCGGGACCAAATATCACCCTACGGTTCTGGCCTCAGCGGCGTCCCCGACGTCAGGGACGAAGACTTTAGCTACATCACCACCGAGGACCTCCAATCGTCGTCCCTTGACGGCTCGGTCCCCACGAGATCGTACGCCCACAACCCTCGACGCTCAAACACCCACGTGCCCGAGGACGATGTTCTGCTCGTCAAGCACAAGGGTGTGACATACCCCTCCAAGTTCCCCGCCTACGCCATCGGCGACGGCAAGCTTCGAGTCCGCGACGTCAGAGACCGAGTCGGAGTTCTGCTGGAGCTTTCGGAGCGTCGCGCGCGCCGCGTCAAGCTCCTCTACAAGGGTCGCCAGCTGAAGGAGCCGGCGGCGCCAGTCCGCGACTACGGTGTCAAGAACAACAGCGAGGTCATGGTGGTGCTGCCCGAGGGCGAGGATCCCGAGAGCAGCGAAGACTCGGACGAGGAGATGGTAATCGTCGCCGGAGATGGCGCCAGCGCCGTTGGCAGCACCGGTGGCACCGACGACGGCAAGAAGCGTCGCAAGAAGAAGGGCCGCAAGTCAAAGAAGGGCAAGAGCAGCAACAACACCAGTCCCCGCGACAGCGCGTCAAATCTCGGCGTCCCGCCCGCCAACGTCGGCAGATCGCCCTCGCCCGTCAGACAAGCCAGCGGACCCCACGCCAAGCTCGATGCCATTGCCACGCACTTCGAGACGGAGTTGCTCCCTCTATGCGACCAGTTTATCGCGGCCCCGCCCCCGGATCCCAAGAAGCGAGAGGATGAGCACCGCAAGCTGTCCGAGACCACGATGCAGCATGTGCTTCTCAAGCTTGACGAGGTGGAGACGGAGGGCGACCAGGAGGCCAGAGCCAAGAGAAAGGCGCTGGTCCAGCACGTTCAAGATGTTCTGAAGCGTCTAGACTCTAGACTGCGTTAAGATACGTTCACGAGATACCCGGCGCGTTTCAGCCCATGGTTTCTTCGACAAGATGATATTACTAGCAAGGATTTGGTTCGCGAGACTTTGCGGGACGCATTGGAGGTTTTCTTCGGCTTTGTGCATCTTTCAGCGAGAATTGCATCTAGAGAGAGACGCCGCGTAGAGGGCGGTCGGCTTTACGTATTGCGGAGGCACGAGTTGGTACGATAGGAAGAAGTCGGTCGTTCAGCTAGCTACCTGATCGAGATGACGAGGCGCATCGTTCGCCGTAGACAGGAATGGTAAAAATGGCCCAAAGTTCTGGGATCTTCGCTCCTACAATTGCGCACATGATGATAATTGCAGCCTTGGAACAGCGATCTGGTTGTGGCGTGTCGTCCAAGCAGGGCTGCAGCGTGACGTGAGCACCGAGGCTAATTCGAGGGTATATCCTGGTCGGTGGGCACTGGCAGTTGCTTAATCAGCTGCGGATAGGTCATTGACGCTGTTATCGTGGAATTAGGGAATGGAAAACCATGGGCGATCGGGGTCTGGCCGGAGTGTCACCCCGCTACCTCCAGCTGCCACACCGAGGTGACCGGCTTCGGGGCGAGGTGAGCGTCGGAAGGCGGGGCCAGCCACGGCCGGTGAATCTGGTAGGTCCCAGCCCTAACCTGCCTCAGGCCTCCACAGCTGCCCTCGCTTGTGCGAGAAAGCGCCATGCCCAATCAGGTTAGGCCGCGTCCCGCAGGTGCACTCACCGCAGAGCGTTGGGCCAATTTGTGTGCGTGTGTGCTAATTTTCTCCGCCAGCCCCGAATTCAAGATTGTCGCGACGGCTTCTTCCAAAACTTCCCATCCGACATCCTACTAACCCCAACGGCAGCACCCAGCCAGCGACAAATCTCTACCCGCCCAGAGGTTTGCAGTTCTCTTCGTCCCTTTCCCTTCATTTCAGCAGAGCACCTCGATCGGTGTCCAAAGGAACAGGAACGATGTCCTCTTTCGAGCCGGTGGTGAGTTCCTCCGTTCCCTTTTTCGAGATTCGACCGAGTGCGTGGGATACGGGCGACATGAGGGTTCTCGCGATGTGTGTTTCTGTGTGTGGCCGGACAGAAAGAGGAGGACACGCGATGCGCAGTGAAGGAGGGCTTCGAGGCATGGAAGATAGGGTCGCCGTCGTCAGCACCGTCAACAACATCGCCGCTTGAATCGAGAGAACCCTCCGCCCTGCCGCCGTTTCGATATTGGGATTCGCAGATCGCTGACTCCAACCTCACAGGTCGTCGTTGACGGCAAGGGCCATCTCCTTGGTCGTCTCGCCTCTATCGTTGCTAAGCAGCTCCTCAACGGCCAGAAGGTCGTCGTCGTCCGCTGCGAGGCCCTCAACATCTCCGGCGAGTTCTTCCGTGCCAAGCGTACGTCGATCCCTCCCCCAAACCCCCACGTCGCACCCAGTCAGCAAGAGGAGGATTATCAGCCTTGGATGAGCAACACGAAGCGAAGGCAGAGGACTGGAGTGGACGTCGACTCGATCTCTCGAACCGAATACTGATGATGGCCCTACAGTCAAGTACCACGCCTACCTCCGCAAGATGACCCGTTACAACCCGACCCGCGGTGGTAAGCTTCCACCCTCCGATGACCCCCTCCCGGCCACAGTCTGACCCGTCTAGGTCCCTTCCACTTCCGCGCCCCGTCGAGAATCTTCTACAAGACCGTCCGCGGCATGATTCCCCACAAGACCGCCCGTGGTGCCGCCGCCCTGGAGCGCCTCAAGGTCTTCGAGGGTGTCCCTCCCCCCTACGACAAGCAGAAGAAGATGGTCGTTCCCCAGGCTCTCCGCGTCCTCAGATTGCAGCCCGGCCGCAAGTTCTGCACCGTCGGCCGTCTCTCCCACGAGGTCGGCTGGAAGTACCAGGACGTTGTTGCTAGGTTGGTTTTGGTTTCTCGATCTTGTGGATGGATCAGTCACTAACGTTTACCCCAGACTGGAGGAGCGCCGCAAGGCCAAGGGTGCCGCTTACTACGAGCGCAAGAAGGTCGCCCAGCGCCAACTCACCGATGCGAAGAAGAACGCCAAGGTCGACCAGAAGACGGCGCAGGCCCTCGAGGCCTTCGGCTACTAAACGTGGCCGCTCCGGAATCCCGCGTCCGAAGAGATCCCAACTGCTGCTGGCACCTCAGGGAGGAGGATAATCCCCACCACCCTACACGGCGCAAGGCGGCGGTAAACGATCATTGACGACACCGGGGTTTCGCTCGCGCATTTCTGTCCTCTTCCTCGTGCTTCCTCATAGATTGGCGTGGCGGTTCAAGGGAAATTCTTCATTTGCTGATGGCACAATGGGCTGGTCATTGGAAGGGTGGGGGGAACCAACCAAAACACACATTTGGGGGGGAAAACTACTGCTTTGGTGAGTCTCTTCCCGTGGGTTTCAGGGAGGGGACTTCGCTGGGGAATTGTTCGTGTTCATCTTGATCGTCGCTCTTCTTTTCCCCCCCGTCCGGTTCATAAACAAAAACCTTCCCCCCTTCTCGCAATAAGTCACACAAACACAAGAGAAATCAATCAAGATGATTCATGTCCAACGTGGGATTTCATTTGCTTGGTAATGCGGCGGTTCGGTAAAAATGGGTTCTGGGCATCCTTGAATTTTTTACGGTACAAACAAAAGAAACGATGGTCAACGGTCACAATACCTTTTTTTCAAACTGTTCCCTCTTTCCCTCGAAGACGACACCAAAAGTAGTTCCTCTCCCCCCTAGATGCTTTTACCCCCAACCCCGACTGTTTTCCCTGCAGAACAACCGATAGTCCAGATGAGGCGATATGAAGATGGATGGAAAAAATGATGAATTTTCACACAAAAAGTATACCACGGGTTCTGGAGGGGGAAACAGACTTGGCGAGGCGTCTTGTGCTTGCATCGGTAGAAGTAATTGCATTACAATCATGATGAGATGGTCCCCAAGTGAGATCCTGCCTGTGTTCTAACGACAAGCCGTGTGTGCAGCAGACGATGGGCCAGAGACTCGACATCGATGACGTCCGCCTCCCCGTTCACATGACCCATTCCGGCTGTGGACGTGTCGGGCATCGCGATTTCACGCGTTTCGTGCCCCGTGTGCCCTAGCCCGGTGACCTTCCACGCCCTAACATGAATGCTGCCGGGATGGATGTGCTTTGCTCTGGCTGCCCGGGCTTGGGATTACTCATGGCTCAGCAGGGTTCTGGCGCAGAGTTGGCCGCGTCAACGAGGCGAGAACCTTGGTGAGGATTTTCCGTGAACCCGGATAGACATCATTTTGACGTCGCTGCTGCGATGGGCTGCTAGATGATGTGACATGGCTCCCTGAGGGAGAGTATGTCACCGCGCGCGGTTGAGAGGAGGGGCTGGAGACGGAGCTTGCCCCGCTGGATTGGCGATGCCCCCGCGCGGAGGCTACTGAGGTAGCAATAATGACAGTCTCTTCAACAAAGGGCGAATGGTTTAGTGGTATAATACTCGCTTAGCATGTGAGTGGTCCAGGGTTCGATTCCCTGTTCGTCCAATGTTTTTGACTCTCCGGGGTCCTCTGTTTCTTTTTGCTCATGTTGCGAGAGTAAGGTATGTCTGCTGTGGCTATCGCTCGTTTGTTTATTTCCATGTGCATTCGTTTGGGCTTTTGTGTACTGGGCTTTTGTGTACTGGGCTTTTGTGTACTGGGCTTTTGGTCGGCGGCGGGCAGGTGCGCTTTTGTTTGAGTGACTCTGTTCTGCCTTCTTCTGCCTTCCTTCCTCCAGGTGGGCCGTGCTGCGGAACGAGATCAACGACACCCGACGTTTGAGATGGCTTCCCCGACCAAATCACCAGCGAAGGAGCACTCCAAGAAGCCTGCGGACGAGACAAATCCTCCTATCAATAATAAATCACGGTCTGGCGATGCCGAGGGCGGTACCGCGGCCGTGGGTCAGGCAGCCGGAGACGCGTCTTCCCAAGACAAGGACGCCGTCGCTGACGCCGCGAAGAAAGACAAGTACGTCCATCATCCTCCACCTACGGACTCATATCTCTACGTCAAAGACATCTCATATCCGTGTATGATGGAAGTCGGCAAGCTGACGCGGGAGGCAGGGAGTTCGAGGAGGCCTCGGCCGTGGTGGCGAGGCACGTCAGGCTGCTGCGGGAGTACAACGAGATGAAGGACGTGGGACAGCAGTTGATGGGCTTGGTCGCGGAGAATCGAGGCGTTACGGTGGGTAGTCTGTATGAGACGGGGGAGTTTGGGGTCGGGCCTAAGGATTGAGGGTGTTGGTGATGTCGGTGGATGGGGGAGGGTTGGCGGGTGACGGAGGTGACTTCTGGGTGAGAAATGACAACGCAATGAGAGTAATGGCGTTAAAAACGTATGGAATATGATATTTGGTCTCGGTTTACTTGATATCTGAGGTTTTATGATCGGAAAGAGGCGTTGAAGAGGTTGTGTGGTTTTTTCTTGCTGATTTTATTGTGGTCTATTTTACTCATACAAATGATGATCCATGTAATCACGAAAGAAAAAACATTTTTTCACTCGGCAGAATCTCCGCCATTATTGTTTGAGTTTCAGACGTTGTCCGCTCCATATAACGTATCTTTATTTTGGCTTTCTGATGTCCCGGTACCTGTAGCTCCTCGTCTCGTATGAGTATGCCCCCTCCGGTGCGACTGAACTGGACTGTCCCCGGTGGCTTTCGGTGTAGAGTTGAAGCCAATATATTGAAGACCGCCTGTTTTGTTTGATGCAACCTCGCCTAAGACTCGGACTCTCCGACATTGACTTGAGTTTCTTCACGCGGCCGAGCAGTCCTGCGACTGCACGACTTCTAAGAAGTTCTTGTAAGCGTCGTCCCAGACCCTGTCCACCAAGTCTCCCGTAAACTCGCCCCAAGGTTCGGTGTCCTCTGTTATTTGGGCGGCTTGTGACGTTATCTGAAGCTCGTTGTCGCCAGATTCTTCCACGCTATCCAGAGACTCAGTCAAGGATTCCTCATGTGACAATTCGTCACTCGCGTGCTCGAGATCCAGCGATTCCGAATCTGAGCAATCTCGGAAATTTCGATAATCCCCATCAGACGAACAGTCTCCGTCAGAGGACTCTGATTCGGAATCGGATGTGTCCCAATAGTGCACTCTATACTTCTCCCACTCATTACTCGAGTCGTCCCCCAGTTCCTGACGTTTTCTTAGCGCACGAGGGCTGTGATCGATTGCAAGAAGCCACTTCTCGTTATATATCTCTTGATCTTCTTCGGTCCAAGGCCGGTGGGACCTTAGGAGACTCGCAATCACATGGTGACACTGTCGAGTTGCGTATTTGATAGCTCGAACATATTGTCGTCGGCCGCTGCCACGTGTCTGAACCCCTGAATTCAGTAAGAATTGTACAACATCCAGCCTACCCGATTGTGCAGCGCCTTCAAGCGCTGTGACGCCAAATACGTGAGCACCGGGAGCGTTGGGATCTGCACCCAATTCCAGAAGTCGTTGTATGGTGCCAAAGTGGCCATTGCTAGAGGCTAATTGGAGCGCTGTCGCCCCTTGATCCTCGAAAGCGAGTGCGTTGATGTCTGCACCATTTACAATGAGCTTCTCCATAAGATTTCTGTCACCTTGCAGAACGGCTGCCTGCAAGGGTGTACTTGGTCTGAGAAGTCTTCTCATGCGGCGATCGACAACAATAGTCTCATTTAAATCAATGCTCGTCTCGAGAAGCCACTATGTACACTCTCGTTTGTGTAGCATAATGCTATCCACGAGTGTTTCAGATGTGAGCCGTGCCCCATGTTCGTGAATCAATTGAAGGAACTGAATGTCTCCGTGATCGAGCGCGTGTATTCCACACATGAAGGATGGCTGATATCCACTCGCTAATAGAAAATTCATGTACTTGTGCTGCCCTAGGTAGGCAGCCACCTCGATGACGGAATAGGGGCCAGAACTGTAGTCGTCGTCGTCGTAGAAACCCCAGAAATCGAGATATCGGCTGTAAGACCGAGAAGGAGTATAAGGGAGTCCGTTTGGTGAATATTTCGATTTCTGCAGAAGTTGTTGGCCTGAAAATGAGACCTTTGGCTTTAAAGATGTTTCGGGGTGGTATCCCATGTTGAGAATTCTCTCTGAGATGTTCGAAACCCCGAGAACTGCGGCCATGGACATAGCTGTTCCGAGTTCAAGGTCCAAGGCATCAAATTCGGGAAAGTCAGCTGCACGGTTGAATAGGTAATCCAAGGTAGACGAGTCTGAGTGAATGGCAGACATGAAAATAGCCGCCCAAAGGACACGGGGTGTAATTGCTGTTGAGTCCCTCTCGACGATGTATGGGACGAAATCGAGTCTTCCGACTAAGATGGCAGCTTCGAGGGGCGATCCGAACACAGATTGATTTGGTGAATCGAGAATAGAAGCTCCCAGAGAAAGGAGGGTATTGATGAGAATATCCGAACCTTTGTGGATGGCAATGGAAAGCTCTCCTCCCGTCAGACTACATCCTGTTTCAATCAGAAAAAGAGCTGTCTCTGAGTTTGGACCGAGTAGAGCTGCTTGAAGGGCAGTTTTTCCCAAGCTGCCAAAGTTGGTGGAGTCATGACTCTGGTCGAGATATTTGCGATAGACAGGGCCAATATAGTGTTCCGAATCAACATTGGCATGCAATGAATCCAAACTCTGACAGAAATCGATATCTGCTCCCATGGCCAGAAGCTTGCGGACAGTCTCCAGCTGCGAAAAGTACGCAGCACACTGGAGTGGTGTAGCCACGGTCAGAGTGGTCGTGTCGCTTAGATCAAGTACATGTTCATGCAAAGCCCCAAGCCCTACTAAGTGCTCACAGAGACCATTCGAAGCTGCGGCTGCCAAGGGTGTCTCCAAGAAGGTGCTTGTCGAGTTGACGTATTCTTTGTGCTCAGAGAGCAGCGATACAGCGTGAACGCTGTTGGTTCTGATCGCTGTGATGAGAAGTTGCAGAATAGATTCCGGTGTCCGAACACGAGAGCGAAAATATTCAATGACCACCTCTGAAGCACGGCAGTATGAAGAATGACCGATATAGAAAAGACATTCTCGCGCCTTCCGCTCGTCTGTCGGATCTCGCGGATTGTAGTTGTAACCATTCAACAAGGCACTGATGGACTCTTCCCGGTGACCACTGCGCCCGCCATATACCCAAGTCTTCCAAAAGAAGCTCAGATCATTGAACTGAGTGCTGGCTCTGAATTGAAGGAGTAGCCGCATCATTTGTTGATTATTCATCAAGGCTGCGACCTGGAAGGCCGTTGCTCTGCCCAGAAAAATGCTCTCAAACCATATCTGGCGTAGTGGGAGGTTGACATCAAGCCCTGCCTCCAGTAATAACTGCACCGCCTTCAGATCGGACCTCACAACAACCTCTTTGAAAAGCCCCCAGAAAACCGACTGCAAGCTCCAAGGAAGCTTTGGGAGGCGATATGTTTTGAGGAGGTCCCAGCCGCGTGATTGATCCATTAGCCTGAGAATCATGTCGACTCTAGATCTTCGTTCCTCAGGTTTTAAATCGTGTCTGTCGAATAGGTTGTTGGAAAGGAGAAACAATGGCACTTCCAAAGAAGCTAAGCTTGTTTCATGGAGATGGGATAGGTGCAATAGGTTCTCGGCTCTGCGAACGTGCTTTTCCTGGCTTTCTTCGGGCATTACCAAAGACAAGGCCTCGAAAGTATGTTGCAATCTCGCAGTATACGTTGAAGGAAGTCCAGATTTGGGATCCAATGTCATGTTGAGCAGGCCTTCGCTCAAAAGGTGTAGTTCGTGATCCTCTAAGTCAGTACCAGGGTTGCGTCGCGGGACCGTCAAACTTAATCCTGAAGTTTCTTGTCAGTCATGCCCTTAGACTGAATTGGTGAGACTTGGTTCGCCCAGAAAACGCACCCTTCAAGAAGTCTTGAGTTTGTACCCAAGGAAGATTCTGCACGTTGCAATGATGGAATAGAGTCTGAATCTCCGGCGATGGAGTGCGAATGATGAGAGAGAGATCTGTTGGGGATGGCGGTGGGGGCACTTTTTGTAAGTTAGACACATCATCCACAAGAAGGAAGGATCATTATCTCCGCATGACCAACTTACGCTTCATGGCCTTCTCAATTGCGGTCTCATAGCAATATCGACTCGTGGATCTCTCAATCCTCGTTGGTCGCAGTGACATTCCTGAAAGATAGACACTGCTCTCTTTTCCTTGGTTGCGCCTCTTCTGAATCCTTTTGGCAAGGTATTTCCACTCCATGGGAGTCATGTTCTTGGTCATGTGCCATTGCTTCAGCTTCCCTTCCAGCTGTGACTTGCTATGGCTTGTTAGCATTGAGTTTGTGAGATGGCGTCTGCTGACTGACCTTGGATGGAAGTTGTGCAGAGTTCCGAGTATGACGAGGACGTCTTTGAGAGTCCTGTCTTCTTGCAAATAAAGCTGGCGAATGACATGTCTGAGCTTCTCCCACTCCCTGTCGTTGATCGCAACTTTCCTCGGCCGAGTAGGCATGATGCAGCGACTGATAGTGTCTGATCTTTCATAGACACATTGAAAATGATGAACTTGGAGCAGGATTAAATCTGAAGATGTACTTCTGGGGGACGCGATTTTCTGGGAAAGACCACGAAATTCTACGGTCGAGTCCAGACGGCCTGGGGGGCCCGATTGCTTAAGTTTCTACAAACTTGACACTCGTCAGGAAACCTCTAATTACTTATGATTGGCCCAAACCAAAATCTTGAGCTGTGAGGTATGTCTTCTCGCAGCGCTGACTCGACGTATGCGATTGGCTACTGCCATAATCTGGCCCATCCCACATGATACATGTGACGAGATTGACGAGTAATATGGCACCGGAGTTGCACTTTCGATGCCGCTGACAAGGAGCCTGCATATCATCAGCGCCGAAACGGCTCAGCATTAATCCCGGGGGCCAAAGGTTCCCATGTGGCTATGTTTCATTGGACCCCTCCACATTCTGGTTTCTGGAGGCTGCCTTTGTGACGGCGAACCGTTGTAATCCAGTATGCCAGTTCTCCCCGAACCAACAATGTACGTGGCTCGGGCACAGGTCGCCTTAATGCGCCGTGTAAGCCGCGCAGGACCGAAGCTGTATGGTTGGATCTCGGAGACGATGGGCCGTCTTAGGTGTCAGATTGGTCATTGGCTGTAGATGGTTGCGAATGGCCGACGCCGAATGAGTGATACTTTTGGCTTAGAACATCTGCGCTTCTGTCTACAAGTTCAAAATGCGAACGAGGAATATGTACTTGTATTATAACTTATATCTAGCCTAAATGGCCATGCCCATGACGAGGCCTCAATCCGTTCACTCATGACGAGAGCCAGTCCACCAGGACTTCATGAAACTCTTCAGGATGCGAGATCTGAGGAGCGTGTCCAAGCTCAGGGAAAGTGTGCAAGGTCGAGTTGGGGATCTGAGCAGCAACAGCCGGGCCAAGCACGTCGAAGTGGCCCAGCTTTGCGGCGACATCAGGAGGAGACCACTGCTTGCCGATGGCAGTGTTGTCCTTCTCGCCGATGATGAGCAGCGTACGCGGCTTGACGAGAGAGAACTCCCAGCTAACGGGCTGGGTCAGGACGAGGTCGACGATCTGCGCCTGGTTGAGAGCGTACGTCTTGGCCTCGGATCCCTTGTAGACGTTGACGAGCATTCTCACCCAGACGTCGTACTCCTCCTTCCACTCACCCACGTAGTAGGTAGCTTGCTCGTAACCCTTGATGGACTCATAAGAGCTGGCGCTCTCCGTCTTGTAGTTATCATCGATGGGTAGGTATGGTACACCGAGGGCCTTGTAGTCCTCCAGGCCGATGGGGTTGACGAGGACCATCTCATCGACCTCTTCAGGGTACATCAGGCCATAGCGAGTGGTGAGCATGCCGCCCATGGAGTGACCGATGACAGTGGCGCTCTCAACACCGAGAGTCTCGAGAAGACCATGTGAGTTGGTTGCGAACTGCTGCAGGGAAAATTGGTAGCGCTCAGGCTTGGAGGATTTGCAGAAGCCAATCTGGTCCGGGGCGATGACGCGGTACCCCTTCTGGGCCAGGACGCGGATGGTAGCCTCCCATGTCGGGCCGCAGAAGTTCTTGCCGTGAAAGAGAATAGCGGTCTTGCCGTTGGGTTCACAACTGGGCGGAACATCCATGAAGGCCATCTCGAGCTCTTGGAGCTGAGATGTGAACTTGTAGAGCTTCACGGGCCAAGGGTAGGTGAAGTTGGAACCGTTAAGGTCATCGGGGAAGGATTCGGAGTTGTCGTCGATGGTCCCCTGGGCGGACACGAGGGCCGCGCCCGCAGCGAAGAGGGTGGCGAGGAAAGAAAAGACCTTCATCTTGTCGACCTTGAAGTGATGTTAGCTTCGTGAAATGGTAAGGCGATAGATGCGCAGGATGCTCTTCCGAATGATCATATCATCGACATGAGCCAAGTAGGAGCATTGATTGAGATATTCGTCACCCGCAGAGCCACCGAAAAGCTCTGAAGTCATTCTTAGCTTAGAGAGACAGAAAAGTTCCATACCTGAATGCAATAACAGCTCAACCTTGACTGACCCGAGGAACCCCGACCGTTGACGCGAGCGGCTGGTGCGTGCTTGGGAGATCATCCAGCAAATTACGGCCCGGGACGGGCAAGAGTGTTTATATTCCACTCATTGTAACCGTCGCTCGGTTGCTAGGAACCTTTGTAACCACGTGTGTTGGTGGTGTGGATTGTGGATGAGGGAGGGGAGGCATGAACATGGAGAGGGAGCATGAAGGTCATGACGCCCTACCGATTTTCTTCGGCAAGACAGGATTACTTCGATAGCTTCGACTTCAGTGGCTCAACACCGCCCTAATTTCCGCTTTTCAGTGGGCCTGACAGGTCAGTTACGTTGGTGAGAGATCCAGGGTAGTGGTGGGCTGGCGCCATTATCTCAACGCCCTCGCCGGTGATGATTACGGGTCGGCTTCTTTCGGCTTCTCAGGTGAGATCTTAGCCGTCGCTGAATTTGGACAAGGCACTGGGAGGGGGAGAGGCAGAAAGAGCGACGGTTGACACCATCTTGGGTAAGCCGTGTCTACGTAATCATAAGACTCCAGATAGTGAGGTAACATTGCGAGACTGTTCTTGGCTAGGTTTGGGGAAGCATGTTGAGCTCATAGTAGTCGCGATGGGGGCACGAGCGGTCAGTTAATATGGGTGTCATGCCGGGAATAACAAGATGGAGGGAATGTTGCAGGGCCAGATCGGAATGTCACTTCAGCGACTCAGATGCCCCGAAGCACAGGCAGCGATCTATCGCGGGCTACTAGACATGAGTCTCATGTGAACTCACATTCTTTACAAGATGAGTTTTGTTGTTGACGGAGTATCGTCTCTTTACATCAAGCCACGATTCCAGCCTGTTGCGATTCCAGCCTGTGTGCGCGATGAGAGACAACTGTGGCAACGCAAGACCTCCAAATCAATAGTCCCATCTCATGAACAACAGATGCCTCTGAACCTTGGCTATCACATTGAATGCCAAATAACATCAGCCCTGGTTAATAAGTGAAAAACGTCTCGTATTCCTCGCGTCATATGGGACCGACCACACCATAACAGCAAAGCTGATATTCAGATGAACCACAACAACTTCTTCCATTTCCTCTGCAGAAATTCGTCTTTTGGTGTCCGTCAGCAACCAGGATCCCTGCTTCATTAGCGCACCGTCCCGTACACCCGACGCCTGTCGCCAATGATGGGGTCGGCGTTTCTCTCAGAAGGGTGTCTCTGTCCGATGAACCCCTGTTATTCCGACCTTACGAGGAACAGCGTGTTCGTGGCTGCACAGACGTTGGGTGTCATTGAAGACAGAACCAGGGCCGCCAGATCGGAGGAGACGATAACTAGAAAGACACATGCCAATGATCCTAGACCCCCAGGGCTGTGGTTTCTTCATTGCATGTAATGTGGCTCCCAATCGGGAAGAAGTAACGAGAAGGATTCATTGCCCTGAAATCTGCAGCATTGAGAGAAGAGGACCTGGATCGAGAGAAAGAAGGATTCATGCAAACCCCGCGCCCAGGGCACTTCCACACACCACAACGCCTGTGAGTGACGACCATCGCTGCCCGGAGAGGAAGGCAACGGCCGCGTCGCGTTGCTGGCCGAGGTTTGATCGAGGTTCATTATACGCATTTGGGTGGCCAAGATGCAAGAAAACATCATGGACGCACGAACTAACTGCTTGTCAAGGTAGGTGGTATCCCCATGAAGCATTCAACGTATAATGCTTTCACGCACACCTATATGTTGCCTCTGTTTCTCTCGTGGCTGACACTATCGTACAGCCATGCGTCGGGTGTGAGATCTCTCAATCGCCACGAGAACAGACTCAGCGGGAACGGGATGAAGCATCGGTCATTTAGCGCCGCCAGCCCCATCTCGCTCTTAGAACAGGGCAATATCAGTGCCCTAATATGATGTTTCCAGCGCACAGACGGGCCCCCGGATGGTACGGATATTTCGGGAACTTTAAACGAACGATGTTCTGTTCAAAAATGCCATCTATCAGGAAGTCTACCGTCCGGATGAACTGCATTCCTCGATGAGACTTCAATGGTACGCCGCTCTTGAAGTAATCACCGTAGAGGCATACGAAGCCTTGATTGAATCTCCGGCGCGGACGGAAAACACTCCCTTCAACGTTTCTGTCAGCTGCACGAGGCCCGATGTTGGCGGCAATGCACTATCTTGACTGAAGAATTCCCGGCCCGGGCTGATGAGGTGCTACCCAGACACCTGGAGTCATCAGCTCTGCAATAGGAGAAGAAAGGCGGATGATCAGACAGCTGTCCAAAGCTGAAGCAAAAGAAGAAAATTCCCGACCACGTCAACAGTGAGACCCTGTCTGTAGAACATCAATAGTGCAGGCCACCGCTCTGCGCCTCATTACCCCTTGCAAGACTTCGACCGACGATCAAGTAGGAAATGGCTTTCCCTTTCCCTAAGGTAAGGAGCTGAGAATCCTGTTATCGTCCGCAACCCGATTCCGGGTCCGCCTGTGCAGGCCGCGCCGTACGGCACATGAGATGCGAGGAAACATGCCAGAAAAAGAGTACATTTGCCAGGAACGGGTTCGTCGCACGTTTTGGTAAAGTAGCCACCCACCATCAAAGGGGGTGTGTAGCCCGGGTATTTGATGCGGTATCAGGTTGAAGCGCCGTTACTGGCCGGTTTTTCGTCATCCGTCCCGTCGGTTTCCAAGCATACGCAAGTCTTGCCCATGGCCCAACATTGGACTCATCTTTCGCGGCAATGAGCTGCGAGACAGGAAAACAAAAGATTCGTGACGGATCTGAAAGTTTCTTCGCCGCTGCTAACGGACTATTGCCGAAGGTTAGATATCGCCGAAACCTGAAATGCTACAGAGTCGAACGTTCTAAGGTGGGTGCAACTTCAGGACGGTCCAGAGTCTGGCCCGGACAACGTCGACGAGCGGCTTTCCTTGTCGTCGGCCTCTGCTCTGGCAACTCCTCCCAACCGCACCAAACAGGGATCTCAATTGTTTCCTCCGTCTTGCGTTAAGATCAATAATCTTCCTCACCGGCGCTTTCTATGCCTGCAGGCTTGGCCTCCGCATCCCCAATTGTCCTTCGATATCCGTCATGACGAGTGGCCGAGTGGTCTGCTTTTACCAATTCCTACGTCTCGGCGTTGAAGCCGTTGCCCCTCGCATCGCTGCAGCAGTCTGCATATTGTCACGCCGTTGCATGCCACCACCACCATCTCCATCTCCCTGCAGAGACGGAAGGAGGAAAAGAAAAGAAGCTTACCGGCATGCGTATCTGACAACCGGCACGAGAAGGATCCTCCCTGTGGAAGTCACCCAATGGGAAATCCCCGCGCTCACAACGCTGCGGATAGCTGCCGATTACTTGGTCCAGACGGACGGTCGTTTTCCTTCGCAAAGTGGACTAAGACAAGCCCCCGAGCGGAATGTTTTTTCAATAGCCTGGGCATGAGCATATAACTAGCCCCGTTCTCGAAGACCCATCTGTCCCAGACCTCTGGGTTCCCATGGAGCACGGCTATTGTTCTCTGGAATTTGTCCTCTCAGAATTGGCCCATTGAGGTCTACCGGCCTTACCCCGTCGTCGACCAGACTTCCTTTTTCGTACGCTGATCGAGGCAAGTTGCTCATCATGGTCGACGGAAACATTCCTGGCGAGAGCAATGCTCTCATGGTTCGTGCGCCTGCTATTGTCTTCTTCGTCTTGACGCCAATCTTCGTGGGCATCCGTTTTTGGTCACGCATGAAGATGAGATCTGGCCTAGGGTGGGATGATTGGACAATTCTATTCTCGTTTGTAGGTTTGTTCGGCTGTTGATTTTACGTTCCCTGACTGACGATCTTCCAGGTCTGTTGTCTCCTCGTCTCGATCCTGATGATGATCTCTTGTGAATATGGGTTCGGTGAACACATCAAGAACTTGTCGAAACCCAACAGGCTTATGACACTGAAGGTAGGAGAATCGTCGTTGTACTCTTGATCTTGCTTGCATGGGCCGCATTCTGATTATCAACAGCTCTTCTACGTCGCCCAGATATTCTACAAGATCACGATTAATCTCACGAAAGCGTCAATCTTGTTGCTGTACCTACGCATCTTCGTTCAGAAGTATTTCAGGGTCCTCTGCTATGCTCTTCTTAGTATCATCCTGGCATACATGATCGCAACTTCAGCCTCCTCTGTCTGGCAATGCAATCCTATTCCCCGCGCGTGGGACAAGTCTATACCCGGCACTTGCATCAGCCTTACCATGAACTGGTACGCCAATGCAGGCTTTTCCATCGCCACCGACATCCTCATCATGGCACTGCCTCAGCATGTTCTGTGGAAGTCTAAGCTTCCCACAAACCAGAAGAGGGCTTTGATGGTCGTCTTTGCCCTGGGTTTATTCGTCACCATCACGAGTGTCCTACGGATGACAACGTTGGACTTCTCAACTACCAGCCCTGATACCACCTGTAAGCCGCCGCGATGTCGCATTATCCAGGCGTCTGAAGTACTGACCAATCCGTTCAGATGACATCGCTTCTACGCTGTGGACCCTCATCGAGGATAACCTGGCCATCATCTGCGCCTGCCTGCCCATGTGCCGTCTACCGTTGACATACGTCTTTCCTACTGTCTTCGCCTCCAAGCAAGGATCGTCCAACGGCAGCTCCGGCTACGGTTCAGCACCACGTTCGAGCAAGGGGAATTTCAATTTCGTCCATGCCGGAACAAGTCGCAATGATTGGCATCCGTACCAAGGACGTGAGGAGAAGGCCTCGATTCACCTTACAAATGTTCACGCAGGCAGACCAAGGGTCGCAGACGACACGAGTGAGGAGTACATCTTGCAACCAACATCTAAAAGCAGTGGCAATACTCCTCGGCAGCCAAGCGAGGAGATTGAGGATGGAAGGGCAATCCGAAAAACTACAGACTTTCATATGAGTTACGCCGAGCAAGGCTCAAGGGCCTGAACTAGGTGGATCATGTTCAAAGACGGGGACCTATTAAATGTACCTAATACATTAATATAACGAGCCAAAGTACCAAAACATAGAGTTCAACTTCATGCATCAAGTCCTTGTCTGGAGGCAATACACAGAATATCTAGCCGTCAAGCCTGAAAACTGCACCAACAGATGCACTGCCAACCACCGTAGAACCTGTGACGTACAAGCTTCTTGATCCCGGGCCACCCGTCACAGCCACTGAAGAACCCTCTCCCAATGTGGTGGAGTTGACAATGACAGTACTCGTACGAGCAGCAACATCCACCTCGACAATCACGTTCTGGGAGTTCAAGGCAATCCAAGCTCGCTTCGCGTCTTGAGACAGAGCAAAGTCGTCGGCAAACGGTACCGTGCCGTTGGCTAGCACTTCAGCCGGTCCAACGGGACGTCCAGTAGACATCGAAATTGGGACTTTGAAGAACAGGTTACGGACCTGGTTGACGTAGAAGAGGTCATTGCCGTGTGTGCGGATGCCATTGACCGCGACAAGTCGTTCGGGACGGCCGGCGGTGGTCTCATCCTCGATGACCGTCTCGTAAGCCTTGGTCTCGACGTCGAGGGAAAGGACGCGTCCGAGTGCTGAGTCGGACAGAAGGAGGCGAGAAGGAGGCGAGAAGTATCGTTTGGTGATAGACGGGTCATGCCGTTCAACAGCCCGGCAGTCGGGATCTTGGCAACTAGCGATGTCTTCGCGGGATTAGTCACGGTGCCGTTGACAGCGACCCCGAGGCCTCGCAGATCAACGCGCCAGACAGCATTTGTCCCGAGAGCCGTGGGCTGTGTGCCGGTGACATTCGCAACGGTAACATGGAATATATCCTTCTCTAACTCTGCGATTCCCGTCAAGCTAGAGGCGTTGGGGATGGTGGCGATTACGCTGACACGCTTGGCCGTGGGAGACATGAGATGAAGAAGTGATGATCTGGATGACGACGCCACGATATCGCCATTGTTGCGTAAGGCTACGTTTTTGAGGTTTGAGACGTTGGGTATGGTGGCTATGACAATCAGCGCAATATCTCGGAAAGGCTCTTGACGTTGTCCACGAAGCTGTGATAGATAGCTGCAGGATAATGGTTAGTGCTAATAGCAGACTAGAATGTATAGTGAATGATTGGTAAGACCTTTTGGATTTGAGGCATAGCGACGAACAGAGGAAGAAGATAACTGCTGCTGTCGCAAAGAAGCGGTGTGCAGAGCTGGATGGCGCTGAGGTTATATATATTCCAAGGGTGCTCCTGTTGAAATCAACTCCACCAGCTTGGCAGTCGACGTGGAGTTCTATAACTACTACTGGACCAGCCGTGGTGAGTTCACCCCCAACACCACAACACCGAACCGCACCTCCCACCGCACGTTCGTCAGGAATGTGAAGTTCTTGAACTGTTATCCCTTCAACGATATCGAGACGATCTCTCCTCGACCGGTACTCTTTGTGGCGGGCGATCGCGCGCATTCAAAGGAGTTCAGTGAGGACGCCTATACTCGTGCGGCTGAACCGAAAGAACTATGCTGGATCAAGAACGCAGGCCACGTCGACCTCTATGACCGTGTCGGTCTTATTCCTTGGGCTAAGCTGACCTCTTTCTTCAAGAACCGTCTCGCCAAGAACGCAACAACCTCGAGCACCTAGGACACATCGAGTGTCTTGCCGTCTCAGCGTGAGCCCCCTTATACGTTGAGGGGATGGGACAAAATTAGAGCAGATAGTAGAGAGAGTAAAGCGTCAATTAGAAACAAGGGAAAGTCCGGAGCATACACTTCTATTTCCACAACGTATATATTTCCAATTGAATTTCTCTTATTAGCAATATCCTAAACAAAAAAGGCCAGCAAAAAACATACAACACCAGGTATTCGCTGGTCGTCACCGACCCAACTACTAATCCGGCCCTCACTGGCTTATCTATGGGAGAGCGGACGGGATCCCGAGTTCTCCAGTGGGTATGGTCGTATGTGCCAGATCCGAGGCAAAGAGTTGAATATGAAGCTTCGCATGACGAGGGGAGCTGTGACGAGCCTCGGTGAGGGGTGGCGCTTTCCAGTTCCCAACACCGTAGTATGGACGCAACGTGAGGCTTTCCATCCAAGAAGCATCAATAGATAAGGAAGATTTAGAGGATATATAGCCATTTGTATCTTGGGTAACAGTCAATAGGACAGAATCGTTGGTAGAGCTTCTATAACCAGGTACAGTTCTGCGGAAGTAACCTGCCTAGGGTCTATGCCTACCAATGTGAAGGTTCTCTAGACAGAATAGAATCACCCCCACATAACTCTCTTTAAGATTGTGGTTGTCAACATAAGCCTGGGACCGGAATCATGTGAGGTAAGCTTAACGCAGCCATATGCAATAAACCCCACCAATGTTTCCAAAATGCGCTGCATAAAGAATTTCGGAGATTGTGATGCAAAGTATGAATTTCTAATTATTTTGATTTATATGGCAGCGGTTATGAGCTTAGGCCGTCGCATTATCAGTTGCGCAAATCCTTTCTTGTCTAATATTGCGTGGACTAAGGGGAAGAGAGTCCTTCAGTCATGTCCCTCCGCCTGACCTCCAACTGTACGAAGGACTCCACTGCAGTGTAGACGCCAAATGTGTGAGGCTTTGAGATATAGCCATCTTTCATTCGAATGTCATACTTAGACAAAACATGAACCAGACAAAGTTTGAGTTCCTGGCCAGCGAAGAAACGCCCCGGGCAGATATGCCTGCCACCTCCGAAGACATTATGCTCCCGGCTCGACTGCACAAAAAGAGCATTGGGCTCGTCAGCTTGCCGCCGTTTCAAGAATCGCTGTCCATCGAACGACTCGGGATTTTCGTAAATTTCTGAGCTCCACTGATCGCTGGAGTCAACCATGATGTGTGAGCCTTCTGAAAGTTTTGTTCCATTTGGAAGAGCAGTGTCTCTGATGACCTTTCTCTCAAGACCAACTAGGCACAAGTAGTTAGATGGAGATTAATTATTTATAGAATATTCATCACTTACTGATAGCAGAAGACAGCCGTTGCGATTCTTTCATGACGCTGTCCAGCAGTTCCAAGCTGTCCAGGCCTGCCAACCCTAGTCCCGAACTGTTCAGAACTTGTGTGATCTCTTCTCTGAGTGGCGTTATCAGCTCAGAATGCTGAGCAATGTCAATGAGAATCTGCCTGAGGAGCTCGGAAGTAGTGAAGAGCGCTGCCATGGCAAGACCGAGCTGCAAGTCGCCCGGTTCAAGGGTATTCGTCGGTGCACTACAGCTCCAGGCCACGAAGTCGTTATACTGAGGAGGCTCAGCACCATGTTCTGCCGCAGCTTCTGCTTTTTGACGTCTCTTTTCGACCACGCTACGCATGATGGCGCGAACCTTTGGGACGATGGCCCTGCATGCCGTAGAGTGAGGCAGAAACCACTGTACAATGGGTCTGAGAAGCGCCGGCCAAGATCGAAGCTCACCCACCGCTGCAAAGTACTCGCGTACGTAGGCCTGGATCAGTACTTGCCACTCGGGGTCGCAGGCCTTCTCTGGGCCGACAAAGACGCAAGCCGCTGCCTTTGAAATGATGCCAGTAGTGTCTTCATTCCACTCAATGACATGCCAAGATTTGCTGTCGCCCCAATGCTCATACAAAGCTGTCGCAATGTGTTGGTTGACGATGGGAAGAACTGCTTCGTTCTGAGACAATTTGCCGCGAAGCAAGTTTATCATCATTCTGTCGGAACTGTGTACCGCTTGCTGGGCTTCGAAACCCGGATATCCTGCAAAATATTCCTCCCTGACAAGCTGGTGATGGTCGAGATTTCGGTTCGTCTTGACCCAGTCGCTGAGGGAAGAGGGTAGGATAATCTTCATGCCTCCGGGAACCAGAATAGCGAAGGGTCCATTGTACCGGGAAAACCCATTGGCGATCAATTGTTTGGCATTGTCGTTGTAATCTTGATAAGCCCTTTTGCGGAAAAGGTCTCCGGGGTAATCGTTGACAACAGGGAAATCTCGACGTCGCCTGGTGCAAAGAAAGTAGACTCTACTTATAACGGCAATGATAGTACACGCAAGAACGCTCGAAAAAAAGTTGGCGAGCATGGTGATCTGTTTGGGCCTTGTAGTCGGATCGATGAAGAGTGCAATCTGACTTGTCTGGAGTTGCTGGGGATCATCTCTATATGTAGGAAGACTCCTTCAGAGCATGCAACATTAATTCTGCAACCCAACTAAGAGTAGTCCTCGTGAAATGTTTCTTCGCTTCTTCTCAAATTTACACCAGAAGGCTCATAGTGACTTACTGATGACTCATAGTGTATCATGATGACTTCGGCAGAAGTCCGAGGCGCCTGCCAAGCAAATGGTGTCTGGTGTGATGCGTCGATCATAAAGATCAAACAAATGCTGCTGTGCACGATAAAGATGAATTATGAACTAAATGTTTGATCCTTGAGTTGTGCTCATTACAAATCCCCCTCCTGAGTACTACGCATTTAAAGCATGCTAGACTTGTTGGTTGTAGCATGCTGCTTGTGCGTCTCTAGCGTCACCCTAACCTTGGTCAATCTGACTTTGTATCGGCAGAGAGTATCTGCGTCGTTATCCTGATCGGCAGTCGACTTCAGTCATTTGGTTAGGGTTCCGACGATATGGGGAATTACATCACTACTCGATTCCTCTGTCGGTTGCGCCAAATCGACCTCCGTCCACTGGCCCACTTGACGAAGTGTTCGTCCTGTTTGTCTGCAAAGTTCGCATGAACCCATCGCATGTTTCCAAATATTATTTGTGAAAACTGAGTGTGTCATGAAAAAGCTCTCAATCGAAGTTGGTGAGGGGACTTACGTTGAAAGTATGGGACTAAGATACCGCGTTCAGCTTTGACGTGTTCATAGACATACCATCGTCCTCCCTTCTTCAAGTAGCCGTATAAAAGACGTATGTTCTTCTCCGGATCAGGAATGCTGCAGAGACAATGAACCGTCATTATAGAGTCGATGCTACCTGGCGCGATCCGGCCGCCCCAAGCCGCCTCATTTTGAAGGTCCTCGATGCCAACGGGGACCACCTCGTAAGTCGTGTCCAACCCAGCTTGCTGAACTCGGCGTTTCAAGGAAGCTGCAGAAGTCGGATTTGGCTCAACGCCGTAGATTTTGGTTGGGCCTCGAAGGGATCGAGCCCTCGTAGAGCTGATGACTTTCGAATGAGCCTCCACACACATGCCGCTCCCCGCTCCAATCTCAAGAACAACGCCCTCAAGCGGCTTGCCGATAATTTCTTCGGAGGTCTTTCCATCATGAACGCGACCCTCGAGAAGCGGGAGAACAGTCGGTTCTGCCGCAGCTTTGGCCATCGGGCCCATTACCACCCAGAAGTTTCCAAACCATGCTTCCTTAAAGCTGGACCATGACAGCAACGTCTTGACGTCACCGGCCACGAGCAGCTTAGCAGCGGTAAAGAAAAGATATATAAGTGAGTAAGCAATAAAGATCCATGGAAAAATCAACTTTGTCAACATTTTGTCGGCTGGGTTAAATAAGATGTGTGGAAAGGAGATTGTCCGAGTGCACCGAGGTCATATCACTTCAAAAAAAGAGATGTACGTCGCGAGGTTCACGATCAAACTCTATAAGAGCAACCCCTCACTCAAACCCCGCCCGTGTCACTTTCACCGGTTAGATGAGTGGGGAGAACAACGTCCGTCCCAATTTCCCGACGAGCAAGATTCAAGTCGTTCCCAAATATCCATGGAACACTAACACGTCTGCATCAGCGTCGAGATCTCCGAAAAGTCACAGATTACCACAGCGAGAACGAAGTACCCAAGGAATGAATACAATGACCAAAGTAGGATTTTTCTAAGTACAAAATTCAAATAGATCTATGATGAGTTGGGATTAATACATTGGTGGAGAACTGGTTCAAGCTTTCAGAGCTTCTTGGCGGGCTCGTCGCTGGGCTCCTTGTTAACACGCTTGCTGACAGACACATGGTCATGCAGCTCAGGCTTGGAGTCCAAGGGGCGGTCAAGACCGAGGCGGTGGTAAGTGCTGTAAGAGGCGATGCCGCCGTCGGGATCGGCCTCGGTGACGAGCTCCTTGCGGCGAGTGTCGACCAAGAGACGGATGAGGTCGGGGCGCATGTAGTGGCCGGCAAAGTCAGCGAGGACCTTGGTGAGGTGGTTCTCGTTGAGGTCGATGTCGACGAACATGAGACCGTCGAAGTCCTTGTCGGGCTTGGCGACCAAGCTGCCGTCGGGCTTGTAGATACGGGCGTGACCGTTGTAAACGGAGGGATCGGTCTCGGGCTCAACACCCTCGGGGGTGTTCTTCTTGAGGCCCTCGACGGAGAGGCGCTGGAACGGAGCAAGAACCCAGGTGCCGGTCTCGATGGCGTACGCGGGAGTGACGAGATCGGAGGCGGGGTCGGCGTAGTTGGTGGCCGGGTCGGGGGCGACCTGGCGCTCCTTGCCGGGGTAGACGGGCCAGCCGGCGATGTGGACCTGTTCGCCCATGGAGACGTTGAGGGACTTGAGGAAGGGGTTCATGTTCTCCCAGCAGTTGAGTTGGCCAACGCGGCCGATGCCAGTCTCGGAAACAGACATGAAGGTGTCGCCGGAGCCATCACCGTAGACGAGCTTCTCAACGTGGGTAGGCTTGATCTTGCGGCGGTGGTTGATGACGGTTCCAGTGGGGTCAATCAGAACCTGGGAAAGGTAGAGAGTGGCGTGGTCGAGCTCGGAGAAACCCATGGAGACGTAGATCTGGTTGTCACGGGCGGCGCGACGGATGCGGCGCATCTCCTCAGAGTCAACGCGGAGGGAGTTCTCGCGGTACTTCTTGAGCATGGGAAGAGACTGCATGTAGGTGACCTTCCACATCCAGTAGGGGTAGCCGGGGACCCCTGATGAAGATGAGCATGCGGACTATGAAGCAAACTTGAATGTTTTACTTACAGACTTCAGGGAAGGCGACAAGCTTGCAGCCGGCCTGGCCCGCCTCATTGATGAAGTTGATGGTCTTCTGGACACCACCCTCCAGGTCGAACCACTACTGAAGTTAGCATTGATTGATGTGGTCGAGCGGTTGGTGACTTACACCGGGCTCGGAGGTGACGGCAGCGGCCTTGTACTTGGTGATAGGCATATTGACGGTGGAGTTTGAACGAGTCTGAGAGGAAGAAGCTTGTGTGAGACTTAAGTCTTGAAGTGTGTTGTATTGTGTTGGAGTGTGATGCTCTGAAGGAAACACAAACAGAAGGCTGAGAAGATTCAATTGTACTTATATGCAATCTTGACGTCTCGAAGAACAATCACTCAGGTGTCAAATGGCTTCATCTTTGCCATCGGGCTTTGAGGACTCCCAGCAAGCCGTCTGGGTTGAGCTGGAAGTGAGTATGGTCTGTGTTGTCAACTCAGGCAAGCAGAAAGACATACAAACGCCGTCTACCTCAATGCTTCATGATGTTTGACCGAGAAATTTGGTCCCATGTGAGCAAGTTTCCCCAAGTCCGAGCTTCATAGCCCGCTGTCAACTTCATGGCGTGATCGATATCGAGCAGCTTCCGCGCCCAAACGCAAAAGACGGTTACGGTACAGCTGGAGACGCATCAGTTTTGCGGAGTTCAGACACGTCAAAGACTACTACCGGGTTAATCTTTCGGTGCTCCCTAAGCAAAACGTAACTCCGAGACTTGACGAACTTCGTCCGGAGTCACGCGGTGCAGAGAGCAAAAGCCGTGGGCTGCTGTGGCACGATTTGCGTGACGTAAGAATCCACCGACCGCCGTTTTTCTCCGGATCGATCAGGCGAGATCTGTGGATGGCTTAATTTAGCTCCCGTCTTCCCGGCGGCGCAGAATTTGATCTGCGTTCCTCCGGGACATCGCCGGTGGCGGGGCGCCGGGGTCTGGTGTTACGTGCATTCAAATCCCGGGGAAGCGCAGACACCTACATCGTCCGATGTTCGGGAACGCTCGATCCCGATGACAAAATCTGGAGATGACCGGCAGTCACGGGGATGGGATGTGTTTTCACTTTGATCGCAGTGACACAAAGTGTGCCTTTTCAATTCCGATGCTGCCTAGCCATTTGATTCCCGAGTTCACAGCTCGTGGAAGTCCTCGCCGTCGTGGTATCAAGTACGTACATAGAAGCCCACTCCTCCAGTCCATTCGTTCTCTGGTGAGATTTGATCTAGGACAAAAGGTGCTCGCGACCAATGATGGTCAGGGCAATTGACTTCCAGAAAGACTTCTTCTCAACGTACTCGACGTCGGTGTTGTTCATCTTATCCCAAAGGCTGGGGAGATGCTCGGCACCATACTTCTTGCGAAGGCCGTCGTATTTTCCCTTGTCATAAATACCCCAGAACTCCTGCTCGGTGTAGTAGTTGTGCGCGTACAGCCACTTCAGACCGCCGAGCTCGCGAACCTTGGCCTCGATGGCGCGGTTGTCCTCGATGAAACGCTTGAAGGCCGCGGCGCCGATCGGGTTCTCGAAGAATGGCCAAGCCGAGGTCTTCAAGCCCCAGAGACCGACGTTGATGATAGACCGAGTGGTCGGGAGGCCATTGGCGAGATGAAGGGGGGCGCTGGTGTCTGATTTGATGGGGCAAAGCCAGATCGGGTAGATGTGAAGGGCGTCGTCGGCCCAGGTCAGGAACTTCTCCACTGACTCCTGAGGAATGGCAAGATCCTGGATGATGAAGGACTGCGAGCGGCCGCTGTGGTGCATGGTCTTGTACATTGCGCTGGTACGCATGAGGGGGTCGATGAGGAAGCGCGTAAGCCGGTTGAAGGTCGACGGCTGCTGGCCGTAGATGCCCATCCAGAACACGCCTCTGTCGTAGCGAAACACGTAGTCAGCAACAGGAACGACCTCGACGACAGTGCCCTTGGAGCAGGGATTGCGAGAGTTGGTGTAGGCGCAGGTGTCGCAGTTCGTGTGACGGGCGTGAGCGACCGACTCGTGGGCATGGAGGAAGTACCACGGGTCCTGCGGCCGAGAGAATCGAACGATGGGAACGCCGGACTTGGCCTCATCGGTGAGAGTTCCAACAATGACAACACCGCTGGTGGGACCAAAGAGAATGGCCTCGACAAAGTTGACGAACGTGAGGTTGCCGGTGTAGTGGCTAAGCTTCTCGACGGCATCAGACATCGAGGTGATGGGGATGTAGCGCAACTCAACGAAGCGACGGGCTTCAACAAGCTTGATTTCGAAGAGAGTTCCGATACCAATCGTACCACAGGCGCCAACAGACCCGTGGAAGAGATCAGAGTTGTCTTTGGCGGAGGCGCGGACGACGCGGCCGTCGGCGAGAATGAATTCAGCCCAATTGACAGACTGATCGAAGTAGCCGAACTTGAACGAGGAGGACTCGGCAGCGGTGCCAGAGAAGCTGCCACCGACGGTGATACCTGGGAACTCGGGGACGACCTGGGGCAGGAGACCATGCTTGAGGGTAGCGGCAACCAGAGCGCTCATGGATACGTTGGGCTCGACGATGGCGATACCGTGATTCTTGTCGATCTTCAGGATGTTGTTCAGAGCACTGATATCCAGGACCTCGTCGGCCTTGCGAGTGCTCAAGCGAGTGCTGTTCGTTTCACCGTGATAGAGACGGAACTTGACGCCGGCAGTCGCGAAATCCTTGACTTTTCCAGCGAGCATACGAACAGCACGATTGTGCTTCTTCATCTTCTCGTCGTCCATATTGAATTGTGATAGCCCGACGGCGAAAGCTGATGAAGTGATATGTGGACGGCAGTTGCAGCAGCAAATTCGAGGGTCGCCGAAAATCGGTTCTGGATAAAAACTTTTCAGGAGGAAGCTGCAACAGAAAATGGAAGGAGTAAAACATGGCAAAATGGACAACAAGAGGACGACTAAGCACTTCAGGTAACAGAGGGATGAGGCTGAAGACGAGTCCGGAAAAGGGCGGAACTTGATGGAACTCGGAATGATCGTGTGCGGTGTGGCAGGCGTCTCTGAGTTCCACTTGTGACAGGCAAGAATTGAAAAGGGGTTAAGTAAAAGGAGACAAACCCAAGAAAAGATGAATGGAGTAGCGACAAGGAACTTCTTGAGGGAGTAAAGTGTGTATGGAAGAAAACGAACAAAGAAAAGGAGCAAACAAGCACGTACGCTTGAGAGCATGTCTTAAAACCAGGACATAATAATAGGCTCTTTCTTTAGTAATATGATCAAAGATATTGTCAATTTCTGAGTTAATGATAGAAAGACATTGCCTGAAAGAAATGTGAGAGCGTCCATAATGTACTCCCTTCATCAGCAATCCCACCAAAACATATACTGACCTCAAAGGAGATATCTCAGGGGAAGTAGGTGGATGTTTCACCTAAAGCTTTCCAAAAGGTGGCACTGGGTGAATGAAAATGCGACTTGAAAACAGTTAAAAGTGCTCTTGAAATAAATAATTTGAATGCACTAGAATGCTGAGAACATGAGTCGATGGTTTGTGTGAAGACCACTCACCCAACTCATAGTAGCGAACCTCTGCACTTTAGATCAAAAGTCTACTACTCGATTTAAATCCAGTGTTGTCCCACAAGAAGTGCTTGGTATCTGAAGAAAGGCCGCGCAAGGTAGAGCTGCATTATAAATCTACCGACTTTTCCCATCCTCGCCTTACTATCTACAACACCTTACGAAGTATCTTGACGAAATGCTCACCAACGCCGGAAACGTCGAGTTTCATGCAAGACATTGCAAAGTTTGCGGTATTGCCTGATAGGTGTCGACGTTTGAACATCTCTCAAGGTCGTTGAGGAACCGTCAGTGGCGTTTAGCCTTCACCGTCGATACCGGAAACGCTCCGAGGTACAGCGTGTGTTCTTTTCAGGGACGACCGAGATTCATCTCCTTCCATCACGCATGGTTGACCATCAAAACGACTCGGTCCTTCTGGATTCGAAAGAGAATATTGCCCCAAGAAAGAGCAAGGAAGGAAGTCATCACGGGATCAAATCGAGCGAGGAAGGCATGCTGGTTGCCCCTTTCCTTCGATCGGCACCTACCTCAGCACATCAGCCATGAAGAGGACCTGGCCTCTCCTTCGTCGCCATCGGTTTTGATCCCATCTTCTGACAACTTCCCGCCTCACCTTGTACTCAGGCTCGTAGTATTTTCCGTGAATCACTCCTACGTTCAGTTCACATCGCCAGCGTTATTTCTATCTTTTTGGGCTGAAGAACAGCGCCAGAGGTGTCCATTCACCACTGTTCACCATCTTCTTATTCCTCACCTTCCATCGCTCCGCCTTTGCCATCCTTCCGCGCCTTGGAATCCGGTTTCAATCGATACACCATTTCCAAAGCAAACGCAATGTTTTTCGCTTACAAGTATGGCGACCAAGGACAATTACTAGACCGAGACAAGATGGTCCGCAAACACTACGCGACACGGGTCTGGAGAATCACCGGCGAAGCAATGGACCGCATAAGTTACGCCATTGGGAATGCCACGCCCCACGCGCTATTCGACTTCGCTTGCATGCTGTCAGCTCCGTGTGATGATAGAGACTGGGACCTGGAGGAGACAGATTCTGAGTCGTCCGGTTCCGACGTCGCCTCACTTTGGGAAGACGACGCTCTCGATGGTCCCCTGGATGACGGGGATGCTACCTGGGACCCCACCATGCCAGAGGCAGATACGGACATCGAGATGACGGACGCCCCAGACTTATCTGCCTCCGCGGGATCCAACTACATGTCGGACAACTACTTCCAAGGCGGAAATAACGGCCAAGCCGACATGTCGACACTCGACCAAGCTCTCAGTTCTACACCACCAGGTTCGGCTGCCCCGGTGCAAAATCTCGATGATTCAGACATACCGAGGGCATTTGGTCATCTGCAGGTGCAAGACTCGAGATCCCCCGAAGATACAGCCGAGCAAGCCCTGCCATCAGATCTTTTCCAGGAAAACGAAAACAAAGGAACTTTCGAGCATATCGAAGACGTTAATGACAGTGGAAGGAAAAGCCCTGCGGTAAGCGAGGAAGACCAATGTGTCACTGAGCACGTCGAAGATGTTGGGGATGCCGAGACTGAGAATGCCGATGTTGACGATGGCGATTGCACCGACGACGAAGACACCGATGACGAATCAAACACAGATCCTATACAAAGACGCCGTACTGTCCTCGAGAATGATGTGGCCGACGTCGAAGTCTATTGGAAAACTTTCCAGCGACTTCCTGCAAAACACCCAGCGCAACATGAGATCACTGGCAAATATATCTACTGGGCACACCTCGGTGCACAGGCAGCCGGAGACTTCCTCAATGGTTTCGTCTATTACAGCAACAAAACCGAGCCTGCAATGCCGGGAAAAGTTCGTCACCAACGCTGGCGTCATGCTTTCATGTCTAAGAAAAGGGCAGCCCCTGATGAGGCTCAGGCCAATCAAGTCCAAGCGTCGCCGCCATCCTCCCAAGTATTAGCTGCCCCAGAGCGAAAGGCAGCTAAAGACCAAAAAAGAGAGCAGTTTCAACTTGCGCGAACAAGGCTCCTGGCTAGCAGACGTGAACTGGCTACACAGTCCATTCGCAGGCCTGAGGTGAACGTGGACGAACAACACGCAGCCCGCAAGGCCAAGCAGGGTGAATTCCATGGCTTCACCCAAATTACCCAGAAATACTTACCAGAGAGCCCTCTCCGGAAATCCGTCTCGGCAGATGATGTCAGACCGCATACCACGAAGTGGTGATGACCCTGGTGTACTTTGCAGATGGAAAGCTCAATCATTGTAGCTGACGGAACAGTTGGCCGGCGTTCGGGAAAAGCAAATACCGCGCTGATAACAGAGATGGTAAAATGGGCTTTTGGTTCTAGAGTATGGTTTCAAAGGGAGTCTTGCTTGGCGTCTGTTGTGAACACTAGAGAATTCTGGTATCGGAGGAGTGCATTGGACATGGCATCAGAAGCGAGGCGCGTTGAACCAGCGGTTTTTTTTCAAACGAAACGGCAACATTATAAGAGAATTGGAATTAAGATATGACTTTTATCACGCTATCGCCTCATTTGATTACAACGACGAGGCTGAAATCGCCTTTAGTTGTCTCGTCCAATGTTCCGAGGAATAGGCGATACATTTGCTTTCTCACGTTTGTCATAAGGGGCATTCTCACTGTCATTCCCAGATTTCCCCCCGGAGAATACTGTTGTAGAAAGGTTAATCTAAGGGCATAAGAAGTCAGATGAGGTGTGTTCGACTCACAAATATCCATTTCCTCGAGAGACTTTCCTTTGGTTTCTTTAATAAAAAACCAAACGAAGACTACAAGGGCCCAATTGAAGATGCAGAACATCAAAAACGTTCTCCAACCAAGATTTTGGACGGCATGAGGGGTCGCCTGAGAGAACACAAAGTTGAAAAGCCATTGCGTCGACGTTCCAATTGCAATGCCAGCCTCACGAATGCGCGAGGGAAATATCTCCCCCATGTAGACCTGCTCCGGATAAGCTTGAGTACTCTGCCGAACATGAAGATAGACTCACCCATGGTGCTGGGCCCCATGAAATGTTGTAAGACATGGCTTCTAGATAGATCATAGTCATGGATGCAATGGCTGTGGACGTCAGGCCTTGATCGACAGACTTTGGTGGGTTGGTAGCCGTCAAGCAGGCAATGATGAGCATGTAAGCGCCCATTAAAAAGGCTCCAGCCAAGAGAGAACCGCGGCGTCCCATACGCTCGACTAGAAACAGGAGGTAGAAGAGACAAGACACGACTTTGACCAAGCCGAAGAAGCCTGTAATCAAGAGATTATCCTGTCCGGCGCCGACGGCTGCGAAGACTTGAGGAGCATCTGCGAGAGATATCAGTGGCGAGACTTGATAAAGAAGTAAGGCTCTGGACTTACAATAGGCCAAAGAGGTGTTACCAGTGAGTTGCACACCTGATGCTAGAGTTAGCTTACGGAAACGATAATCGGATGTATCGTGGAGAGGGCTCGGAGGAGACGGACCAATCTGCAGAGAGATGATGAGAATGATGCGGTAACGGTTGGTTGGTTCAACCAGCTCTCTCCAAGTAAGACCTTCTTTTTGGCCCTGTTCCTCTTCAATGCTGGCAATAATCTCGGCAAACCTGGGAAATGTCAGTGTTTTGACTTCGGCTTTGGAGATGAGCCTCACGTACTCTTCCTGGACATCAGTTTTATTTTCACCACCGCGTACCCAAACTAGAGATTCCAAGGCCTCATCTCTCCGTCCGGTCTTGGCCAACCAGCGCACACTCTCTTTGCAGAGAAGCATACCAAGTCCTAGGATGGCACCGGGGACCAGTTGTAAACCAACCGGGATCTGCCACTGCAGAGTCGACGGCTTGAGGTGCTTGCTCACGCCGTAGTCGATCCAGTAACTCGTCATCACGCCCATGGTGAAGAAGAACTGGAACATGCTGCCGAGCATGCCACGGATATTCTTGGGTGCCATCTCGGCTGAGTACATAGGGATGACGACGGTGGCCATGCCAACGCCAACACCACTAATAACGCGAGCGACGTAGAAGGCGGCCAGGGAGTGCGTGTTGATCGTTTGGACGATGGCACCGGCGCAGAAGATCACTGAGGCGAGAATGATCGACCATCTGCGCCCATACTTTGCCGTGAAGGGCCAGATGAAGAAGCACGAGAAGAAGGCTGTTTGACCATCCGAATCAGCATGTTGCCATAAAGAACCTCAATTGGTAGTCACGCACCGCCTGCCTGCAAAAGACTGGTCGAGTTGGAGCCGACAGTTGCTTTCTGAGAGGGACCATATCGAAAGTCGGTTTGGAAGCCCTCAAAGGTGAGAATACCGCCGATGATGCCGGTGTCGTATGCAAATAAAAAGGAGCCCACGCAGCAAAGAGCTACGAGGTATACAGCTCGAAAGGTTCCGAGAGTTTTCGACATAGTGAAGCGGTTAAGTCGAACAACGGACTTCGTCAAGCAGAAGCCCGGTGAGGACTGTGTTGTTTGCAGAAAGTGGCTTCCATGTTGTTGAAATATTCATGGTAAATAGAAAGCGTAGCCATAGGATTTCCAAGTGTTCAGCACGCCATATCAAGCTGATCCAATAGTCAATCTTCGTGGGATCCAACGGCGCAGGTCGAGAACCGCAACTCCTCGGGCGATTGTCGAAGCCTTTCAAGCACGCCATGTGAACCTGGTGCTCCAAGGCCGGGGTTGCCATGAACATTGATGCTTTAGCCCCGTTATTTTCCTCCTTGACTCTCGAGAATCCTGCCGGATATCGGTCGGAGGACCCAATCTGGCAAGGTTGCATCTCCGGAGGAGTATCCACATGCCGTTTTGGGTGACCGGACCGACTACCGAGACCCGCGGCCGGTGACGGGGCACAACTCCGGCGAGAGTTAGGAGCGCCGCTCATCCGCTCGATTGGTCTCTCGGTACAACGTGCTTGCACAGCTTCATGTCGGTTGTCGCAAGTAATCCCTTTTGAGATTTGTACGGCCCATTTAGCAAGAGGAGGGGCATCGATGGGACAATGAGGGGCACCTTTGGAGGGGTCTTTTCGCGGAATCGGAGCTGTTCTGAGCACTGACGTGGAACGAATTCTAGCTCACATATATGAGCTTGACGCGTTCACTGAGAGGCTTGCGTGTTTTCTAGCCCATTCTCAATGCTTTGAAACCAATCCTCACAGGTTATTGTTAGCATACAATATTCACAATGACGGCTCAGAGACCGAACATCATCTTCATCATGGCTGATGACCATGCTTCCAAGGCGATAAGCGCCTATGGAGCTGGAATCAACCACACCCCCAATATCAACCGCCTAGCAACAGAGGGAATGAAGTTCAACCACTGTTACGTCACCAATTCGATTTGCACGCCTTCGCGAGCGGCTATCCTGACGGGAACACATAACCATGTAAACGGCGTTATGACGCTGAACGACAACATCAACAAGCACCTACCGAACGTCGCGAAACATCTCAGAACTGGTGGCTACCGCACGGCCATGGTGGGAAAGTGGCACCTGGGCGAGGGTAAGGCAAACGAGCCGACGGGCTTCGACTACTGGTCCGTCCTACCCGGCCAAGGAGACTACTGGGACCCCGAGTTCATCGAACCATCCGGCGAAAATGTCGAAGAAGGCTATGTCACGGATATCATCACTGACAAGTGCCTCGACTGGATCGCAAAGACCAAAGACACCGAGAAGCCCTTCTTCGTCATGTGTCACCACAAGGCACCGCATCGATCGTGGGAGTGTGACGACAAACACAAGAACCTGTACACCGATCCGATTCGCGTTCCCGAGACATACGACGACGACTACAAGAACCGTGCCAAGGCGGCAAAAGTTGCCAAGATGCGCGTCGCCGAGGATTTGACGTACCAGGACCTGGGCCTCGTACAGCCGGACGGCGGAAACAAGGTCGGCGAGCGCGTGGTTCAGGAGTCCGGCTCTGCGCAGCGCAAGATCCCGACCGACGCCAAGAAGCTGATCGACAAGGAGGACGGGACGGTGTTCACGTTCAGAAACGGCGACGATCTTGCGCATTTCAAGTTTCAGCGGTATATGCAGCGCTATCTTCGCGTTATTCAGTCTGTTGACGATAACGTTGGGCGGATGCTGAATTACCTCGAAGATAACGGTCTAGCAGAGAACACGATAGTCATCTATACGTCGGACCAGGGCTTTTTCCTGGGTGAACATGGCTGGTTCGACAAGCGCTTCATGTACGAGGAGTCTTTCCAGATGCCATTCCTCATTCGATACCCAGCAGTAATTGCGAAAAACTCCGTTTGCAACGACATTATCTGCAACGTCGACTTCGCCCCGACATTCCTGGACTTCGCGAACTTGCCGGTACCAAGTTACATGCAGGGCGTGTCCTTCCGACAACTTGTGCACGGCAAGACGCCGGCAGATTGGCAGCAGATCGCATACCATCGCTACTGGATGCACAACGACATCATTCACCATGCTTACGCCCACTATGGCGTCCGAGACCAACGATACAAGCTGATTTACTGGTACAACGAGCCTCTGGACATCGCTGGGGCGAGGCCAGGCGGCGAGAACGATAAGGAATGGGAGTTGTTTGACTGCGAGAAGGATCCGTTGGAGCTGTTCAACGAGTATCACAATCCGCAGTACGCGGAAGTTGTGAAGCACATGACAGAGTTGTTGGAGCTGAAGATGGTGCAGATCGGGGATGAACCTGTTCATCCAAGGCTTGGTGCGACGAGTGGGTCGGTCGAGCTGGCGAGTAAGTTGTGAGACGGCCTCGTAAGGCGCGTCTGGTGTTTACATGGGAATCATGAATCGATAAAAGTTTAATTTTGGTGCTAAACAATTTCAATGCTCTCGCTTTCAATTGGATCTTGCGGATACTGGTGATATTTCAGTATCACACGTCGAACCAACGAGACGAGTGATGCAATTTGAAAGGAATGGAGACGCGAAATCTTCCCCAGAAATTCGGCAGCGCGTTTTGATGTCAAGCAAGGGTGTTCATGCCCGCCAATTCCCGCTATTGGCTCATCGAAGCTCCATCCTGGATGTCGTTACCCTACCCACTCCTCGCGTCATGTAGGCTTTACTTGAGTAGGCAAAGTGTGTGTTCTCCGCATGCCTAGAGAGGGTCAACATCCAGGGGTTGTCGGCACCGAGAGACGGGGTCGTCATGTGGGAAGACAGGAGCAAGCCCATAAACGAATCGACCAAACGCTTCTCCAGACATACGTTTCCAACCTTCTAGATTTTCCCGCCTCTCTTGCAAGCCGCGCGGAACCAACAGCTTGGTTGAGTTGCGGCAGAAGTTGCAAGATGAGACGAGAACGAAGATGATATACACCAGGATGCCACTGTTTCAACAATCAGATGATGGATTCTTTCGTGGGATGCTTCCAGGCAGGACCAGCCTCGACGCGTCAAACTTGCTCACAATGCAGATGGCGGAAGGTGAGCCGGCCCCGACAGCTTGGATCGCCAAGCATATCTGCCGTCCTTCCATGGACGGTGCACATGAACGACTCGTTTGACTAACTCGACCTAGGTTCGATGTGATGACGGCTCTGAACTATGCTGTGGGAATTGTTCCCGGTTAGGACTCGACTGTTCCTTTGCCGCTGCGGGGGCGGGCTGTGAAAAGAACTCACAGAGGCTAGATCATCAGCCGTTGTCTTCTGGCAAGCCTCGAAAGCTGCGAGGCACGAGAGCTTGCCGGACTTGTCGAGACAAGAAGATCCGATGCTCCGGTACATCTCCGCAGTGTACTAATTGCAAGCGTCACGGTCGAGAATGCACTTATCCGAATCCTGCACGCACGATCCGGGCTCCATCTCCGCAGAGTACGTCCACCGAGGGCGATGACCTATCCTGCGGGGCCGAGATTGCCCAGCATCTCCCCGCTTGCGTGGAAAGCTTCTTCGAGAAGGTCTATCCGCTTTCGTCTCACGCATTCTTGCACCCTGATACAACGAGGGAGCGGTGTCGAGATGGCAAAATCGACCCGGCTTTGGCCTATGCTATCTGCGCGTTGGCAACCCTTCACTCCAGTTCGGATCCCCAAACCCGAGACAGAGCCACGCCTTGGGTTCAGACGGCCGAACAAAGAATATGGCACCACCTTGAGTGCCCTTCAATAGCCCGCTTACAGGCTCTATTATTGGTTATTCACTATCAGATGGAGACCGGACGGTTTCAGCGAGCATTCATGCTGACGGCTACGGCGGCTAGGTTTGCCGCTGCCATGCGGTTGAACCATGAACGGCCTGATCTCGACCTCGTCACTCAGGAGATCCGCCGGCGAATCATGTGGTCTTTGAAGATCACAGAGAGATATTTCTCTGTAGGGCTGCCGGAGTTTGAGGCATGCCCCATTGAAACAATCTACCTGCAGTTTCCGTCCGCGGAAGAGGACTTTTGCCCAGTTAGCAATGAGCCTGGCGATCGCAGCTGTTACAGGCTGTACGTCAGATTGGAGATTATCCGGAGGGACATTATGAAGTTGACGAGAGGAGTTGCTCTCTGCGACCAACCCTTCACGCCTTTGGCGAAACTAATAGGCGACTTCGAGAAAGACTTGACAGAAGTTGGCTCCCAAATGCCCGACGGCACAGACTTTCCTCTTTCTCAAATCCAAGCACATTTTGACGATCCTTGGTTGCGGAGACGAATCTTCATGCACGTCTCATTTCATCAGGCTCTTTGCGATCTTTACCGCATCTTGCTATCAGGATATCCCGAAGCAGCACCTCGAGTAGTCCTCGACGCCGTGGACGATGGGTATAACACAAATGCCGAATATAATTGTCTGAAGCATGCAACGGCAATCATTCAGATCTTAACAAATCTGAATCAACACAGCCCAAATCACTTGCTTCTCGAATTCGATACGGCCATATGCGCCTATCATGCCACCAGGCTTCTGCTGTTTATCTCCCGCTCCGGCAAAGGGCAAGATCGGCCGTCTCCAGAGTTTGCAATGAGCCGGGCGGCCCTCTGTCTTGCTGCTCTGAAGCGCTTCTTTCCCTCCTCCGCCTTAGTGAAGCCGATCATCGACGACATGGAGAGATTGACTCAAGGTCATGCGCCGCAAGAAGCTGGAATTGGCGGTCTTTCCTCCCCAGAGTTTCAAGAAGGCAGACGGAATCTGGAGCAACAACTATCTACAGCGGCAAAGGCGAGACAACGGCTGGCCATACACAGTCTTCTTAGACAAGCCGACTTTACCGACGAAGACGACGGAGAATGTTCTTCCTCCATGTCAACTGTTGGCTTGTCCCCTGTCATGGCGAGACGAACACCATGAGCTGAGCATCGAACAAGCATCCATCAGTGTCCCGCGGCAGCGGGATGTGGGAGTCAACTCAAAAACAAACATCAGCTACCTCGTATGGCTCCAGACTGGTACAATGAACCTCCAAAGAATGGAGTGATGCAGTTGCGTGGGCAGAGATATTCTACTTGCAAGGCCAGTAGTTCAGTCTGACTTGACAACTTCTTCCAAATGCTTCTGCAACTCGCAAGTAATCAAACTTGCAAGGATAGACAAAAGTTCAAAGGTTACCGACCGAGGGGAACCAGTAGGAAGCCGCGGACGGTCTGAATGGCGCGGCCTGCTGTCGCAACTTGACACATCCGTACACGCAAACTGAGGCGCAGAATGCCGTCTCCGTATATGGAAATCTCGATATAGCCCCAAGACAACCGTTCATGTCCACGAAATAAGCTTTCACATCCCCCGCAGGAGACTTAAGCGATCTTATTTCTTGTGCAGCTACCTTGAAGGGACCCTCTGGTCTGTGACCGTTCTGCGTTTCAGCCCGCCTCACGGCGTGCCCGTCACTTCAGAATGGCATACTACCAACTTGTCATATGGCGTCTCAAGACCCCTGCCAAACTGACTCAATGTCGCGACAAGATAGCAACGCCTCTGGTGGGATGCCGTGTAAGTGAGATCCTGAAGAGGATAAATATCACAGAAGCTGTCTGAATTTTATCACGCCATCAGCTCAAATCAAGTTGCAATCAGTTTCTCACCTTACAATCACTACATATAATTACATCTACGACTTTCTGGTCAAAGTCTCTTCTAAATCTTTTCAAAATGAAGTTCTCCGCAGTCTGCCTGTTCATCGCTTCCGTCGCCGCAGTTGCTCTGGATACCGACGTCTCTCCGCACCTCAGCCAGCCCGGCCGACGTGGTGTTGACTGTGGAGCTTGTGCGCGTCTGAACTTCTGCCCGGGCAAGCCCAACAACAACGTTGAGTGTGAGCTCGATGGCTGCTGCAAGAAGTAAATAACGTCGGCTTTGCAATCCCCATAACGACGGTACGTGCTCATCAGCCATTGCTTCAATATGTTACTGACCCAATACGACAGACGCATCACCAGATACCCATTAGAAACAACATCAAAGCAAAGCTGCCAAAATTCGATGGCAGATGGAAGAGAGCTGGAGATACGGAAGGGACTTCCGCTGTGTAAACTCGGTTGCGGCACGTGAGACGCTGTTATTGCAATGAAGACAATAAAGTCTCTCTTCAAGCTTTCCAAATTGTCCCAGTGTTCTGTATTTGCATCTCTGTGACATCCCTCAGTACGGATGACTGGGCCTTCTATTGGTTACGTCTTGTCAATAGGCCTACGTATTTGATAGCAAGACGGGAGTTGTGCAGGATGAGCTATGCATGATTAGGAAATTACTACTATGAAACTATATGTGTGTCAATTCCGCAGAGTAAACAAGTGCGCAGCAATAGACTTGATCGCCGATCCCTAGTTAGACCAAAGTCGCGTTCAACTGTTGCAAATCCTCAGTCCTGGAGCTGCTTCCGACCCAAAAGTGATACAGACCAGTCTCAACCTCCCATGCGCCGTCGACGAAGTATCCGAGTTCTTCATAAGGCACTGCCAGCCTGACGTCTCTCGATTCGCCGGCTGCAACCTCAATTTTCTCAAAGCGGATAAGCTTCATGACAGGAAACTCGATCTGGGTATACTCGGGGCGATAGTACAGCTGTACAACTTCCTTACCGGATACTTCGCCAGTGTTTGACACCTGCACAGTGACAATAACTTGGCTGTTCTGATCACATGCAGCGGAAGTTCCGATTCGGCCGACAGGGCCGCAAGTCAACGTAGGAGAGGAAATGTTGAAAGATGTGTAGCTTAAGCCGAAGCCAAATCTGAGGGGTGCGTAACGAGTAAGCTGAGGCAAATGCCAGTCGTACTCCGTGGCGGCACCAAAACCGCCCTCATCGTCGGAGGGGAAGTAATCGTAAGCAACTGGAAATGCGCCTTCAGCTTCGGGAAAGGTGATGGTGAGTTTGCCGCTGGGGGTGACATCGCCAAAGAGAATTTCGACTAAAGAATCTCCAGTGAACTCTCCTCCAAGCCAAGTGTGAAAGATTGCGTTGCTTCGTTTAGTTGACTCGTCCAGCAGGAACGTTTGGCCGCCACTGAGCACCAATACCGTCGTGACTCCCGCGTCCAGAACGGCGTCGAGAAGATTTTGCTGGAGACCGGGGAAACCAAGATCGGGGTGGCTGAAGCCTTCGCCATCTGTCCGATGCAAAGATTCGTATGAGTTGTCAAAAGATCCCCATCCGGAGCCGAGTACAATTACGGCTAGCCCAATGTCTTTGGCAGCAGCAACGGCTTCATCAATCCCAGAACTGTCGTTCGTGCTGAGGATGTCAATTCCAGCGACGAACTTGACGTTCTCGGCGCCAAGTTTATGCTCCAGACTGCGACGGAAGGTATCGCCGTAAGACGGATCGGAGGCGTTATTGGCAGCGTACTGTCCAGTGTTTAGGATGTCAGCGTACGGGCCAAGAAGTGCGATGCGTGGACCGTTGTCTCTCTGAAGAGGTAATGTGCCGTCATTCTGAATGAGGACAATAGCCTCGCGCGAGATGTTCCGATTGGTTTCGAGATGTTTCTGGTTTCGTAAAGTTGCGTTCAGGTTTTCGACGGTTGGAAGAGGAAGATCGAATGTGCCTGTGGCAAACTTAATCTCAAGAATGGCGTGCACTGCTTCGTCGATCAGTGCTGCGATCTCTGTGTTATTCACAGACTCGATGAGAGTAGGAAAGACTGATGGTGGGCGAGGGGATAGTTCGTGCTCCAAACCTCCCCGTAGAGCCTTCAAGCCTGCATCTTTGAACGATTTGGCGACCTGGGACTGGGTGTACATGTTCCGGATGGATCCGGCATCAGACATAATCAGCCCTTTGAAACCAAGCAAATCCCTCAGGACATCCTTATTGAGGTACTTGTTTCGGGACATTGGGATCTGATCGACGCTTGCGTAAGAAACCATCAGTGAGAGCGGGTTGGCCTCTTTGATGGCCTTGACGTATGGGGCACCGATGTCGTTGAGAATGTGGTTCAGGCCACCCTGCATGCTGGCAGTGTTGACACCACCACTGCTGGAGCCGTAGACCCAATGCTTGATCGTCGTCGCAACTTTAATGAAACCGTTTTCGTCTTCTTCCTGCATCGTGTTGATGTAATGAGTAGCAAACTCCCCCACAAGGTAAGGGTCTTCGCCAAACCTGAAGCCATGCGTGGTTAGCCGGGTTGATGGACGAAGTATCTCAGATATGCTCCTTACATCTCGCCATTGCGACCGTTCCGAGGATCTTTCGCAAGATCAACCTCCGGAGAAAGAACCCAGTGAGTTCCCATCGCCATATTCTCGTCACGGATAGCAGCAACTGCTTGCTCGTAGAGGGGGATGTTCCATGTCGAGCCCATGGAGATGGCACCGGGAAACAGAGTCGCCCCCGACACCATCAAGCCATTAACAGAGTCCGCGATGGTGATATACGGTATACCGAGGCGAGTATTGTTGATCTGCTCGAGCCGAACATTATTAGCAATCGGCAATAATTCTTGAGCATAATTCGTCGGTGCTCCAAAGCCTGCAATCCATTAGCCTTAAGTTAGTCGCGCGCAAATGAGGCTAACATACCGATTTGCCCGTTTTGCGTCCTCCGTATTTCATCAAAAGAAGTTTGATTGTAGGAAAGTTGGCCATTGACCCTCTCGGCAAGCCGACGGATGCCGCCCAGCTGGCCCACCTTCTCATCCCAGGTAAGGAGACGAAGAAGTTCATCGGCACGCTCCTTCGGGGAATGAGATGCATCCAGTCTGGCTGAGACTTTCGTCTGGGAAGCCACAGATGCGCTGGAGACGAGCTGGCATATGGTAGCCGCGACAAAAGAGAATGCGAGCTTGACCATTTTAGATGAATTTCCCGGCTACTGCGGCATAGGCCTCAACACCAGCACTTGGGTTCGACATCAGCAATGACTTTTATATCTGCTATCTTCAAATTACAGAAGCACGTCATCGCAGCTCGGTCCACTTTGAGCCATGACATGGACACTAAGCAGTCACTTGGAGAAGTTCGGCAAGTAAGGCCGGTCTGCGGCCCCACTTGGTCGACCGGGCCTCCGGATTTCAGCGTCGGATGTCGGTCGGCAGTCCCGAAACAGCATGAACTACAGCGGGTTGGAGTCAAGCAGCCCCGCTTCCTTCAACGACTCTAAAATGGCGCCATCGCATTCACCAGGCGGTATAGCTTCAAGTTTTATGCCGTTCGAGGACACCGACTTCGGTTGAAGCTTTCCTTTTCTATCCAATCATTTCTCTTGCCGAGGCAGGTTGGAGATGGAGGTTATCATTCCCGAGTTCTTCATTCGCAATAATATCGTTGAAAATCGGCAGTAATGAGCTCGCAAGCCTTCATGGTGCTCCCACGCGCCGTCGGGCAAACAAACCGCATACTTCGCGCGCTTGACTTTGCAGTATTGACATCGGCTGCCCCTTGAAAACAAGCGTGACACGGAGGTTATCAACTTGGGAAGCCACAGCATACTGAGACCTGCTCAGGCTAGCTTCAAAGAAGATCATGTGTGCCAACAACCCAGAAACAAGCATGTCTACGAATCCAACAACAAGACGCCATGACCAAATGCAGAAAACGGGATTGATCAGAGATATCGAAGCCGGGGATTTAAACTTGGTGAGTTCCATATGAATCGCGTTGTTTCGAAGATACTTTCTCTCAGTCCTCTCAGTGCAGTTTGATCAAAACGCATGACTCCCACATCATCGTCATTGATTCTCTATTGATCCGGCGGACGATTGCTAACGACGGCAACCAAGAAATACCTTTACCACTTGGGCTTCTTCTCTTGTACGATTCACTTAAAACAGAGAATCTACGCTGGAGTCTATTATCGTGTATTCGTTCGATTCGTACGTGTAGGATTCTCGTCAGTTGTTCTGCGAGATTAACAGATGGTTGGTCGACGACATAGATACTGTCTTGGAGAAAGAGTCAGCACAGTTGAATTCATGACTTCTATGCAAGACCCATCTGAGTAGAAAGAACCTTGGTGCATTGCACGGACGATCCTTTGATGCGGTGAAAGTCCCCGGAAAACCAATGATCAGGGCGAGCAATCTTTTGATATCAGACAACAGTTGCGAACTTGGTTCCGGAAGTTTGAAAGCCAGAGCTTGCTGAATAGACAGAGCCATTGACGGCGGTGCTAGATATCCCGAGGTTGAGAAACTATCATCGATACCCACTTGGAACGGAAGAATTATTGCTTTGCGGAATAGATGACGCCCAGAGCCCCTTGACATTCTGATTTCAGCAACTGACTCGAAGTCTCAGACTGCATTTGGCCAAGCCTTTTGTCCTTGGGCTGCATGTGCGGATAGTTCGGTCGTATAATGTTCTCGGAGGCGCGGATCAGACCCCCGAATTAACATGAAGTCGAAATTATCGACAGTGGTGGCTCTCCATGGCGATCGCTAGTTCGAGATCGGTAGACACTGGATGGATACTCGAATCGCGTCCGAAAAAGGGGCTACGTTGTATACGGGTTGCTGCCGACGGGTATCGCGTGGCACGAGGCGGGATCCGAAGATGCTGGCGGTTCCCCTCCTGTACCTTGGGTTTGACTCGGCGGCTTTTCCGTATGGACGCTCGGCGAGAACAGCATTTGCCCCATTCGTGCGAAAATCCGGGGATGACGATCACCGCCCGACTTGGGCAATGATGGAGGTGCCAAAATCAAAATGCACACTAGACTTAGCCGCATCGTTGAACGTCTCGGGGTCTTTGCCTGCATTCCCGCTTCGGCTCGGCATTGAGATGTCATGGTCCGCGTCAGACCTGCGGCAAGAAAGTTATGGGATGGGTTGCGTGGTCTCCAGAAGCGAAGGCTGCCGCCCTTCGAGTTGTCGTACAGGCAAGTCCGTATGTATGACGTTCGAAGTCTCTCACGCAACACTGAAAAGTTCTCCCATTCGCGGGATCCCTCCAGTCTTCTCCCTCCTTAACTCGCAATCCGATTTCCGTCTTTTGTGGAGTTTCAATATTTCAGTGAATTCGAATACGAACTCTCCTCAGTACTTGGTTTCAGGTACAATTTCCTGCGTTGTAGCCGTGAAGACACGCCAAGACGAGATCGATATAAACGTCTTGGCGTAGTTGTTTGGTTGGACCGACGGGAGGCCGTGGTAAGGATGACCAGGCGGGCGAAGCCTGTCCGTACGTGTGGAAAGTCTGCGCTGATGAGAGGTGAGAAACGGAGTCGAAAGGGCGGATGAGCCGCGAGACTCAAAAGTGATTGGCAAGAGAGATTTGCCAATGCAGGATGCCAACATTCACAGTCTTGGCGAGCACACAGTCTTGGCGAGCACACAGTCTTGGCGAGCACACAGTCTTGGCGAGCACACAGTCTTGGCGAGCACACAGTCTTGGCGAGCAATCCCCCTTTTTCATAGTGCAACACGCCAAGACCGCCCCTCTCACTCACTCACTCTGTCTCTCACCTTGCCAGTCGCATTTCCATCCGCAGTTTCGTGAGTCTTCAACTTAATAACGCACGCATTTAATGCTTCAAGGAAGGGAGCTGTAGAGATCTCGGTTCGCTTGCCGTAAGCTGCTGGACTCTCTTTAAGGTAAGAATAGCTGGCAGCTGTCTAATATCTGGAAGCGATGGGGAACAAGGATGATCCTCCGCAGAGACAGCACGCCAACACCCTTGTCTTCAACGCCCATCCGATCAGCGACGCATCTGCTAAGATAGGCGACGGTTCCCGCTGTAACTGCACGGCGACACTCTTAATCGAGTTCTTCCTCCAACGGCCGTCCTCGATCATTTGGGCCGCTTCTTGGCGTTCATCTATCTCTGGAGTGCCGCGCGCGCTACCAAACTCCCAAACACTCGAAACATGCGAGCTGGCAATTCTAGCGCAGGGTCGCATCATCACGCGCTGGGCAGTGGTAATGTCGAGTTGGGGGCTGACTGGTTCGTTCTTCTGCCCTTGTGTGGGCATGGGCTGGGCATCCGAATGAGCCTATTCCCAACCCCTGCAACTTCGTCCCAACATCGAATTCGTGACTTGCTAGACCTTTGACCATCTGGACGCTGCATGGCAAGCTTACTCCTGCAGGCCCCCCTTCATATTCTATTTGTTTCTTACACATTTTGGGCAGTGAGGCCATGCCCAGCCCACCGGTTCTGGCATCCCAGGCCTTCCGGCTAACCAGAATGAATCGAAAAGTGATCCTCCCTTACTCGCGGCGGTCATTTCAATGTGACGGTCTTGTTTGAGGCCAATCACCTTCCACCGCACCCAGCTCTCCGTCCACGGATATTTCGCCCTGCAATGACCAGCATCCTGGGTTGTTGTTGAGGTTATCCTGGCCCTCGCAGATGAGGAAATAAGCAAGGGCTCCGATGGGTCTGTACGGGAACATCTTGGATCGGAACGGCGGTATTGTTGGTGTTGTCGGTGACCTCGTGTGGCGCTTTTCAAGCATCATCAATGACCCCACCGAGCTTAAAGCCAAGATTGCTGTTCTTCAATATTGTATATAAGAAGATCAGTTATCGCCTGATCAGACCAACAGTTCCTTTCGATCCTCATTCGCACCCATTCACACTCTTTCGTTCTTTCTTCAGTTCATCCCATTCTTCAGATCAACCTCCAGTGCTAGTCACTCAGTTCAGACTCTCTATCCAATCTCTTTCTTGTAACGACATTATCCAAACAACCCCTTACAACTATTCAAGATGAAGTTCTCCGCTGTCACTCTCATGGCCGCCCTGGCTGCGGCTTCGCCCACCAACATCATCAGCGCTCGCAACGAGCTCGCCCGTCGCCAGGCGGCCGAGGCTTGCAACATCGGTTACTGCACGGAGAACGGCGGTACCACAGGAGGTGCTGGTGGTGACACGGTCACTGTCAAGAGCGCTGAGGAGCTCGTTGCCGCCGCCAAGCAGGAGGGTCCCTTGACCATCATCGTTTCTGGTGCCATCACTGGCAGTGCCAAGGTCCGCGTTTCCGCTGACAAGACCATCATCGGAGAGAAGGGCAGCTGTAAGTATCGAATGACCTTTGCTTGCTTTGGTTCAAGACTGACATACTACTGATAGCTCTCACCGGTGTTGGTTTGTACATTCGCCAGGTCAAGAACGTCATCGTTCGCAACATGAAGATTGGTGGCGTCAAGGCCACCAACGGCGATGCTATCGGTATCGACGAGTCTCTCAACGTCTGGGTTGACCACTGCGACCTCAGCGGTGACTTGTCCGGAGGCAAGGACGACCTGGACGGTCTCCTTGACGTCTCTCACGGTGCCGACTGGATCACCGTGTCCAACGTCTACTTCCACGACCACGTAAGCCTGCCCATTACACTATACAACACTGCCTAATCGATCGCATGCTGACCCGTGATTGCAGTGGAAGGGATCTCTCGTCGGACACTCCGACTCTAACGGCAGCGAGGACAAGGGCAAGCTCCACGTCACCTGTAAGTCATCTACAAACCTCGACACTTGAAGGATGCGCATGCTGACAACACCCTTAGACGCCAATAACCACTGGTTCAACGTCAACAGCCGCGCCCCTCTCGTTCGCTTCGGTACCGTCCACATCGTCAACAACTACTACGACAAGCTTCTCCTGACCGGTGTCAACTCTCGCATGGGTGCCCAGGTCCTTGTCCAGAGCTCCGCCTTCAACCAATGCCCCGCCAAGGCCATCTTCTTCGCCGACTCCAAGGAGACTGGTTACGCTGTCGTTGAGGACGTCGACCTCGGTGGCTCTGAGAACTCTCTTCCCAAGGGCACTCTCACTTCCGCCTCCCTTCCCTACAAGATTGCCGCCCTCGGCTCCGCCAAGGTTGCCGGTACCGTCCCTGGCGCTGCTGGCCAGAAGTTGTAAGCGGCTTTTGGATTTGAATTGGACTGAGCTGCTTGGGATGAACACCTTTCTTTGTAAATACTTGACTCAGCATATATGAGTGACGGCGATGGCTTGTTGATATACGCCCCTGATGTGTACATACGGGGTTAAGATGTTTTGCCAGAGCTGGATTTTTGGAGGCATTGTATATAAATCTGCCGTCTACCACGTAGACTGAACAAGATTTCTCCCTAAACATTTGGACGTCGGCGGTATTCGGTATGTGTGAATATGGCTGTGGAAACTTATTGTGAAGATTCTCTTTTGAGTATATTAAGAACCTGGTTAAACGCGCTCGTCGTCCAACATTAGCCACTTCTGTTTCGGCCTAGGTTTCTACTCTATTCATGAAATCTACCCAAATGGCCTAGTCCTTCTTCTTGATGCGAGGAAAGCTGAGCCAAACCAAAGCAACTACGGCAATGAGTGCTAGAATAATTGGTTGGAGAACGCCAACTCCTTTATGAGTTGCGATAGCACCGATGATAAATGGGAAGACAGTTCCTCCAGTGCCTCCAATGGCCATCGCAAAGCCGATAGCGCTCACGTGGATGTGTTTCGGAAGCAGCTTAGCTGTCATCATGACAGCACCGGGGAACATCGGACCAAGGAAGAATCCTAGAAAGGCGACCGCCACAGCTGAGACGATGAACTGTGGGACGAGCCAAAAAAGCAACTGGAGGGCGATGCAGCAGGCGAGGTAGATAGTGATGCAAAGTCTCTCGCCGAAGCGCTCAGTCACAAACCCCAGGCCTGCTCGGCCAGCTGCCTGGCCTGCCCAGAAACCCGTTGCGGAAATACCGGAAGCATATGCAGATGCTTTGCGGACACGCAGCATGAAAGTTACGATCCAGCCACCGAGGCCGACTAGAAGACGTTAGTCCTGACCATGGGAGAAGTGTTACTATGAGTGTTGCCGCATACCTTCGACGCCCATGTAAGCGAAGAAAAAGAGGGAGCAAAGCCAGGTCACTTTGGACTTGAGTGCAGTCCGGGTGCCAGCACCACCTCCTTGGTCTTCGTGTGCATGCTCTGCGCGGTAGACGGCGCCTGTCTTCTGCCAGAAAGTGATGGTAAGACCGACGAGCTCCACCACGGACATGCCCACCTGGAGTTGGTTAGCAGTCATGCTCGGTCGTGCAGTGTGATCTTTGCAATTACCATGAAGTAATAATAGTTGTACCAAGGCAGCTCAGCCGTGACCACCATGGAAGTAGCAATAAGAGGCGCGATGAGAGCACCGACAGAGTAGAACGAATGCAGAAACCCCTGGATAGTATTGCCCTTCGCCATGGTGGAAATCCATGCGCAGAAACACGCATCGGTGAGGCCATTTCCGAAACCGCTGATCATGTTGGCAATGACTAGTACAGGGTAAGGTGGGTGGAGGGCTAAAACGATGTATGTTATGATGTGGCAGATAGGTGCCATGATGGCGACGCCACGCTGGCCGAACTTTTGGTGGATGCGGGCATTGGTGAATGCTGCAACAGAGTACCCGGCGAAAGGGGTTAAGAAGATCAGAGAGACGATCGTGTAGCTGAGGCCGTAGTAGGTTTCAAGCTGTTTACTAGTGAGCTGATGTTATACCGTTGGGCATGGATAGCGATGACATACGTATGGAATCAAAGCCTATCAAGTTGACATTAGTGAATGCACAGAAGTTCCTGATACGATGAGCTTACACCAACTGCCGCATCATTCATGCCAGCGATGATGAAAGAGACGAATGCGAAACCCAGCCTTCCCATGTTGCCCTTCGGTGAGTTCCATCTTTCAACCTCACCGTGGGCATTCTCGGGGGGTTCGGTGCCGCCGCCTTTCGAATCGGTGGATTGGTGCTCCTCGGGCCCGTCCTTTTTCGGGGAAATATCGCCGAGTGGACGGCCGTGGCTGGAGCTCAGACGGGCAAGCTCAACCGCCTCAGGGCCGAAGGGTGTATGATGCGCCTCCTGCCGCGTCTCTGTGGCAGTTTGCGACATTTTGGCAGTCGGACCTGGTGATTGAATCTTTCGGTAAGAACAATTTCGACAGCTCGACCAGAATCTGGGGAAGACGAACGGCTGAAGGGGACGGGGCGGGAAGCATAGAAATATGGGCGGTCTGACTCGTTCCGCCTCCCGTCACGAGCGGGGCGGGGAAACCGGCGTCCTTGCCCCGATAATTACCCGGTCGATCGGACACTCGACCGGAGGCGCTAGCGGAATGTCGCGCGGAGTTTCCGATTACTAATGTGATTTCCGGGCGGCTTTGAAGCTGTTTGATTCGATGTTTTGTTTGACTCGGCTCTGCAAGCGGATTGACTCCAGGGAGCCGAGTCACCGGGTATGCGGTTTGAGCCTCCCGAAGGCGAATCCGAGATGGCAGATCTCACTGTTCACGTGGCTAGGTAGCTAATCCTCTACCTATCTCCTGAAACAGAGCTTGATTGAACGGCATGTGGCAACGCAAGCCGAACAACGATGGTTCGCAGGGTGCGAGTCTCGCCAACTCCATACAGTTGCCGAGCCAGTCAGTAACATAAAAGTGGGAGGGCGCATAATGATTCTCCGGCACAACATATGAGTCGGAAAGTCTGCCTTGCGCTTGATCCGTCTAGTCTCGATATTTAAGCTCCTGTCTGAGAGGCTAATATAACCTAGACTTAGTAGCTCATATCGATTTCGCGAGTTGGTGGCCAATGCTGTCAGAATAACCATCAGGATGCCTCTTGTGTCGTCAAATTATTTTTCTGAAAGCAAGACTGGGCGCAATAAGTGGTCAACCTCCATGAGTTTAGCAATAGCAAAGAATCTGCCATGCTCTCATTTTTCGCCGATCTGATAAGTAATATTCCAATAAGACAATCTCACTCGATGTAATTCAAGATACTGCGTAAGTACTGGTAGGAATCGCAATCTCAATACGATTGAGTGAGTTTTGTTGTGGACAGCAGATGAAAAAGACGTCAACAATTGGGTGATCATTAATTATGCGTAAGCACCTGCGTGAACAGCATGAACGCATCACAATCATCCAATTTAGCTTCTACGTCTTCGCGGCCTCCAAAATGGATTAGAGCCGAACTAACGCACTGGTAGCTCTATCAAGTGCGTGACGCTCACGATAAGCAATGCGGCAGATTGCGCAATGAGAAGGAATGTGGGAGCCATTTTGCTCTGTAAGCCTCTGTCATCATGCCCACATGAAAAGTCCAGGTTCTTTCATTCGCCAGCAACCCAAATGGGAGCTTTCCCCTTGTTCATAGTCTAGTATCTCCACAAATTTCTTTCCCAATGCGAATCAGACGATGTTGCCAGGATGCGTGGAGAGCCTCCTGAGTTGAGACGAAACTGAAGCCCAACTCCGCCCGGAAATAACACCAACAAACCACAAAAAAGCATCAATTTGAATCTGGGTGTTATTTGGGTAATTGCATTGTGTACATATCACAGGGTTGGGGATGTAGATAGAAAAATGAAAATGAAGAATCAATTTGATGGGTTCGTCATCCCATTTCAATTTTCACGTGGTAATTCATGAACGTATCATTCATTACCCTTGAAGAATCACTACAAGCGGCCCACTTCGAAACCCGGCGTCCGGTAGAAAACGTGCCATCCTTAACGCCAGCCGACGCTCCTTTTCTTCGATCCTCCCCTCCACTCCCCGCTCGCGTTAGAGAATTTCCGAAAACCTCCTGGGCGCGCTGTCTGCCATCGACAAGAAGATCACAACAGCAATCAGCAACGTCGCCCAAGTATAGTGAATATGGCTGCGAATCAGGAAAGAGCAACGAGGGCAGGTCAACCGCCCGAGTTCATCGAGGCAGGTAGTGCGGATGGGTCTGACGATGATTTTGGGCCCCAGGAATGGGACGGGCGCTCCTCGGCCTCAACTTCGCTGGCTTCGTCGGTCCACAGGCACGCGTATGCCAATGGCAGACGGTACGAGATCTGGCTAGCCCTTAATAACAACTACCTCGCTCACACCAGTCTTCACCAGCTACCATTCCTATAGGGATGGAAGATACCCTATTCCAAATGATGAAACCGAACAGAATCGCGAGGATATGAAGCATGCCATGGTCCTAGAGCTGTCCGATGGAAAACTTTTCCATGCACCCATCGGCAACAATCCTCAGAAAATCATTGATCTTGGAACCGGAACAGGTAAATGTTACTCGCTTGCTGCCCGCTAAGATCATGAATCTAACAAAACCAGGAATCTGGGCTTTGGAAGGTATATCAAACTCATAGAAAGACAACATTCTCGTTCTGACGCGATTGTAACAACGCACAGTTGGCGACAAGTACCCTGGCGCCGAAGTAATTGGAGCAGACTTGTCCCCAATCCAGCCTGGTTGGTAAGCAGTGGTCGACCGTCGACAAAACCTCACAGCGTCATGCAACTGGTCACTGACGTTGAGAAGGGTGCCACCCAACGTCCGCTTCATTGTCGACGACGTAGAAGACGAGTGGCTGGTGAGAACTGAATTTCTGCTTCCACCATTAAATTTATGCTAATATCACTAAAACTAACATAGTTTCCCAACGACTTTGACTTCATCCACATGCGAAACCTCGCCACGTGGGTTCATGATCTCCCTAAACTGCTGGAACGCTGTTTTGAGTAAGGCTAACATATTTCCCCGGAAATGTCTTTTGTTTTCCCATCTTCAAAGCCGTACATGGGTTTGACAGACAATAATTCCATTTCCTAAATGCTACACGGAACTAACACTATGGCTGTAGGAACCTGAAACCCGGAGCCTGGGTTGAGACTCAAGACTTCAACTCCAATGTGGGGTGTGATGATGGCACAATGCCTGATGATTGGCCTCTCATACAGTTTTGGGCGCAGCTTCACGAGGCTATGCTGATGCTCAACGTAGATATCCGAATCGCTCCGCGGATTGGAGATCTGATGGAGAAGGCAGGCTTTGTCAACGTCAAGAGAACAGCTTACAAGGTACCTGTTGGGGCCTGGCCAAAGAACCGCACTCTCAATCTTGTAGGCGACTACATGCGTACCATCATGGAGGACCTCCTGGGCGCGGCTGCTAGCAAACCGCTGTTGAAGTTGGGATTGGGTGCGACTGAGATTGAAATCTTCCTGGCGTCTGTTAGATCAGCGCTCAGGGATCGTAATGTGCACGCTTACGGCACATATTTCTCCTGGGCTGGACAGAAGCCATACTAAAGTGGCAAAAGCTAGCAAGACTTGTTGCGAAGAATATATGGTTGCTTGGCAATTTCGAGAGACGAACGGGATCAGATGAACTTGCAACATGTATCTAATCCATGCGAACGTGCAGTCACCACTCAATGTGGTTATAAGATGTCTATGTGACCACACTGCTAGCTTGGGAGAGGTAAAAGCTATTTTGAAATGGGGTTTACATGACACCCCCACAGGCTTGGAAGTTGGGATTAGTTGAGGATTCAAAAAGGGCTCAATTGACTGCGCTGACAGTAAAGCAGCGGATCGACGGAGATATTTAGCTTAAGGGCTCATGGAACTTCTGGAAGTCCTTTAATGGGAGCTGTTTATGATCCCTAGCAAGTGGAGTTACCTCGATGAATTCCTTCAGTCCCAAATCCATCGTTCTACTGCCCGAGTCAGATATTTAGGAAGAGACCTGTCTCGGAAGAGAGAACAATCTGGAATGACGAGGAAGACTTCTGTCCCAGCCGCAGCAGCGTTTTCTTGGCTAATCGATCTATCATGCTCACTTTCATTCTACGTAGTATGAATCGCACATAGCCTGCTAATGATCTGGCTCCTCCCTTCTCATCACATTCTGTTCTCGCGTTTTTTCTGTCAAAACCTTTCTTCGTACGAGGCCTATCAACCAGAAGCGATCATCAAGATATTCTGGAGCAAAAGGATCGGACCAACGTAAGTAAAGTGAAGAGAAATAATTCTCCCTTCTGGCGCATCAGCCACCAAATATGTTGATCAGACTCTGGCCAAGACCCGAGAATGACGGTCTCAGTCACAGCAAGCACTGCTGTTTCCTCTCATTTGTCTATATTAGTTCTACCCGTGAGGCTTGGGTCAAACCTAGGGGTAAATGAAAGTCGGTGCTTTGTGTCGCGTTGCAATCTTCCATAAGTGTTCCGAGTTTGGCCTGAGAGGCGGGTAAGCAGGCGGTCAATGGTCAATCATTTGGCATGGGGAGGCGAGTGGCACAGAAGGATGCAGTTTACCGATTGTGCTTCCCCATTGTCTCAAGACTTGACCCTTTCCACATCCCGGTCGCGCGTTTACCCTGGTTTGCCAAGATACGCATGTGTTTGTTTGTGCAACAAGCTGAAATGCTGTGTGACATGAAGAGAGCGAGTGGATGATCAATTGTCTGGGAATGATGGCTTGTTTACCTGGGCCAAGACGATAATGGATCGTTTGTCAAGATGCCCAGACAATTAGAAGAAATCTGCGATTGGCGTGTCGTATCGAGTATGTTGGGGCTTTACTGCCTACGGCAGGGCCTGGTATCTCGGTACTGAGGAGTAAGACAGCTCATGAGGCGTGAGACACACCTTGCGGACTGGGCGCTGCAATATGAACGCGAGATGCCCGTGTCTGTGGGCCAGCAAATCCTGCAGGCGGTCGTTACTCAACTTTGAATGCCAACTGCACTTGACCGCCGTCCTCTAGCTGATTGAAAAGGGGTTCCTGCTCCGAGGTGCCATTCTGTCGATCTCGCGGGGCACAGTGTTACAATTCTCGGGCATTAAGTCCCATTCATTATCAAGATTTTCGGACTCAAAAATTAGTCGCATCCTTATTGTTTCTATTTCTTTTGTTTATCTCGGCGCGGGCTGCTGTTGCTGGCCTACCTGTCATCGTCGACCACATTTGATCAGTCCAGACCTCTGTCTGTCGGTTCTTCGTGCAGGCGTCAACATGCCCGATCCTCATGGTGTCACTCAAGATAGGGATTTTGTTCTCTCTTCCGACCACGATGGCAAAATGAGCGACGCTGGTATCAGCAATCCCACACCAGATGCGTCTTTGAAAGAGAAAACTAGCTCTTGCAACATCGAATCAATTGAACCAATTGATCATGAGAACGATGGAAGGCTTCGATCGTCACTCGTCCGCAAGTTCGATCTTCGTCTGGTCCCAGCAATGTTTTTGGCCTACCTTCTATTCTTCCTGGACAAAAGCAATATCGCCCTTGCTCGCATCAACGGCCTTGAGCGAGACCTCCGCCTTGTCGGCAACCAGTTCAACACGTCATTAGCCGTATTTTCCATCTTGCACATTCTCTTCAACATCCCAGGCAATCTTGCCGTCCGACGTGTCGGTGGAGCAATATGGCTGCCCTCCTTGGTTATCGCATGGGGTATTGTCACCATTTCCAGCGGCTTCATCACAAACTTCACCGGCCTATGCCTCACTCGCGTTTTTTTGGGACTCACAGAAAGCTCCTTCCTTGGCGGTGTGCTCATCTATCTCGGATTCTTCTACACCGCTGACGAGCTTGTCCTTCGTGTTGGACTATTCTACTCAAGCACGGCCCTGGCTGGCTTTCTTGGTGGCCTTATGGCAGGCGGTCTCGGGCAGATCAGAGTCCAAGGGTTCAATGGCTGGCCTTGGATCTTCTTCATCGAGGGGGCTTTGACCGTGATTCTTGGGATTGGGCTCTTGTTTTTCCTTCCACACACCCCGGCAGACGCGAAGTTCTTGACCCCGGCAGAAAGGTCACTTGCTGTGCGTCGAATGCAGAATCAGGATCGCTGGCACTTCCTAGGTTCTCAAGAAACGGGCAACCACAAGTCTCTAAAACAGGACCCCTCTACGGAGTTGGCAGCCGCCAAGGACCCTCTGAACTGGGCCACAGTCAAGAGCGCCATATTCAATGTTGTCACACTGACCATTGCGGTGGCATCCTTCTTCTCCATCGAGGCCATCATGAGCTTCTCCATGTTTCTTCCGACCATCATCTCCGTCATGGGTTTTGAAAAGCTCCAGGCGTCCTTGATGACGGCGCCTCCCAACCTTCTCGCTCTGATCTTCACTGTTGCGATCTGCTTCTGGAGTCAACGGTCGGGGAAAGCAGCACTACCTCTCAACATTTGCAGCATCATTGGAGCTCTTGGGTATCTCTTCCTGATCATCGGGTCGCAGATTGGCCCTGCGCCCCTGTTTCTCAATGTCAAGCTCCAGTATGCTGGTTGCTTCCTTGTCGCCATGGCCGTCAACGCCACCCCGCCTTTGGCCCTCACTTGGCTCAGCATCAACGCGTCGCCACACTATGTTCGTGCCATCGCCCTCGGCTTTGTGCTGTCCATCGGAAATGCAGCGGCCTTCCTCGCATCGTTCACGTATATTAAGACGGAAGCGCCTCAGTAAGTACTTTTCTCATCAATACTAGTCATCAGGCTAACCTTCATGATAAGATACTTGAAAGGACACTGCATCAACTTTGGATGCTTATTTGGTCTTCTTCTCATCGGCATTGCCCTCCCACTGTACATGAGAATAGAGAATAGAAAGCGTGATAGGGGTCAACGAGACTACCGCCTGGACGAGAGTCGCCGCAATGGGTTATCAAAGGAAGAACATGAGTTCAGACTTGGGTGGATGCATCCTGGATTTCGTTTCAAAATATAACCTGGGTTCCATAAACCTGTAGTAGGACCAGCAAACGTTAAGAGTTTTATAGAAAAAGAAATCACAAGGTCATTACTCAATCCTGGGAGAAAGTACAACATGTGTGTCTTGAAGCTGGCAACCTGTAAGAGGACCTCACCCAGGTTGGCTTTCTCACTCGCAGGTCAGGTCAGTTGTTCCGCTCAGACATAATTCAGAGGTCCGTCTCTATCTCACTCATTCTGTACCGATGAACTGATTAGAAAGTAGGCTCATTGCTATCGAGAAAACAAAATCAACCATGCACTGTTATACATTCTTGCCTAACGTTCAGCTCATCGCATCTCACTCATTGCCTCACTTGCTCATCTTGTTCAAGCTGAAGGTACGTGCGCTGCCCCCGCGCGTAAACGTCGAATCCCCTTCGGTTATCTCCGCGCTTCTGCAGCCGATGGCAGCAACGCTAAAACACACCTTGACAGTCAGGGGCAAACACAATTTCGATTCAGCGGTGGATCCCCCGTCAATCCAACCACTGTTCACTGCTTCTCTCAACTTCAGACGACACCATCGCCGGCACGTAGCCGAGACAATCTGTGCGGGCCGTGCTGTGTGTCGTGAGCTGGATCTCACCAGAGCTTGCATAGGGAAAAGATGACGGCTCACGGTCTTCTCTTCTTCATTCCGGGCAATCCAGGCCTGGTCGACTACTACACCGACTTCTTCGACTCGCTGAAGACTCGCATCGGGTGGGCAGAAGGCCACATCCACGTCCACGGCCGTGATCTCTTTGGGTTTCGTGATGAGAGCCACGAGCCTTTCAGCAACGATAACCCCCCATACGATGTGGAGCATCAAATTGAGGCCATCTTCAAGCACCTGGCGTCTCTGAGACGGACAGACTCAGCTCGGAATACGCCGGGGAAAACGGGCGAGCCGTATGACTTCATCATCCTGGCAGGGCACTCGGTGGGAAGCTACATTGCGCTTGAGATCTTTCACAGACACCTGAAGGACCCCTCACGCGCACCGCATCTAAAGCTTCATGCGGGTATGCTGCTGTTCCCGACCGTCACGCACATGGCGCAGTCTCCGAGCGGCAAAAGGCTAGAGCTTATCCGTACGACGTCGATGCTCAATAACACCGCCCACATCGTCGCGCAAAGGTTTCTGGATCTGTGGCCTGCATGGGCTTTGCGATGGTTCGTGAGTAACGTGCTTGGAATGGGCCCGAAGGCGGCGGAGGTCACTACGGGATTCTTGAAGAGCCGCGACAGCGTATGGCAAGCCATTCACATGGGCAAGGATGAGATGAAAGTCATCACAGAAGACAAGTGGGATCAAGAGTTGTGGGGAATTGAGGAAGAAGAAGGAGACGCCAGCAGCGGCATCAGCAGCGGTAAAAGAACCACCCCCAAGTTCTATATGCTATTCGGGAAGAAGGACCATTGGGTAGCGGATCATTTTCGGGATCATTTCCTTCGAGCTCGCGAGAAGCATATTGAGAACGGACGAGCGCGCGTGGAGATTGATGAGAAGGGAATTCCTCACGCGTTCTGTACTACTGAGAAGAACAGCGATGTGGTGGCTGAGAAGGTGGCAGAGTGGCTCAGAGAAGTGTGGGATGGTTTGGCACAGAGCAGCTCATGAAGGCGGGTTTCATCAACGATCATTTGAAAGTGTGTATTACTAGACAATAGACAATAGTTGTATCTCACTCAAACTCTCCACGCCCGTCCTGCTGCTGGAGGCTCTTGGCATACCCTCTTTTCTCCATAACTCCCCCGTGCCAAATGCTACTGTTGGATCGAATTTTATCCACCTCTCTACATTTGTTCTTGCTGTCGTGGTCCCTGAGGACTTTTGCCGTCTGGCTGACGCGTGGTATTTATTTTAGATTTGACGAATCTCTGTCACCTCCTCCGTTTCCTAGATATAGTTTAGTTAGGCATCGGCCTGCCAATTTGCAAACTACTAACGCTGGCAGTCTGCATTCATGTCAGTACAACGAGCGACGTCCTCAAAGCTGAGAACCTACCTCCGCCTCAGCCTTGGCCTTTCTTCGTCTCATTAGACCGTAGATGAAGATGCCCATCGCTAGGAGTGATACACCGGCTGTGACATATGTAAGCAGGAGATATGACAATGCAAAGACGCTTCACTCACCGACACCTCCGAACACACCCAGGAGGACGACAGCTGTTGATGTACCACCAGCGCCTTTGGGCGTCATGGTTGAAGAAGCTGAAGAAACAGGTGGAATCGCGGCTGCCGGAGGTGGCAACCCACCAGGTGCAGGAGTAGCACCAGGGGGGATAGGTGGAGGGAGACCCAAGGAAGAGCTCATAGGAGGCAGGGGCGGCGGCGGCGGCGGGTTATTGACCGGTGGAGGAGGTGGTGGCGGAGTGTTTGCAGGAGGCGGAGGAGGTGGTGCTGGTGCGGGTGCCGGACTCGTAGCTGGAGGCGGTGGTGGTGGTGGTGCAGGTGAGGGATTCACGATGGGAGGCGCCGGCGCCGGTGTCGCAGTAACGGTGACTGTTGTCGGTACCATAATCATCACCGTCTCCGTCACAGGTGGTTGCGTGACGAATATTGTCACAGTCGGTACGTTGGCGTTGTTATTCGGTGGAAGCCCATTAGCCGGTGGTGCTGCTGGATTCCCCGTGATCTGGCCGAGAACAGAGAGAAGCTGATTTGGATCGATGGGCAAGGCGTTGGCGTTGGGCTTGCCCTCCGCCGCTGCCGCCGCCTTCACGGCTTCGGGCTCAGGCTTCGCATCCTGGCCTTCCCTCTTGACAACTTCCGTCATTTTGGCTTCCTTTGATCCTCCTCGAGACTGAAGGTGTTCTTGCTTTCCTGAAAACCCGGCTGTCGTGATATCTGGATGATGTCCGATGTCCTATTCGGTAGACGAACCGAGATTTCACAACGCACTTGCAAGCATATCACAGATTGCTTGCCGCGAGTGACCGATTGTTGAGCAACCGAAAGAAGCGTCTGACTGGGGAGCGGATGATTGTAGTCCGAGAACAGCAGCCGTGGTGGCACCCATGCACTTCTTATCCAGGGCTGTCTTTGACCTTCAGACATGCCAGACTATTTGACTTCTGGCTCGTGTCAAACTCAAGGCACCGAGGCGCCACCTCTCGGGCCTTCGGACTGGTCTACGGGATGTGGTATGTCCCAATGAGGCAAGTGGGCAACAGGTTTCTGCGTGAAGTTGCTGATATTTGGGTGTCAAATTCTAGATCCCCGAACACTGGAGGAAAAGAAGGTGTAATTGTGGACCTTGAGGCATAGAACGTGCGTTCCCCGACCCCTCGTTCTCCTCAATTTTCTCATCTTTCACTCAGGATCCAAGGTTCGGCTCCTCTGATTTGTGTTGATGCCATAGAGGGGGGAGATTGGGCCACACCTCGATGCTTGTAACGACCGCGACGCTGTGTCGAAGCAGCCTCGGTGTTTCATGACATTGCAAGATGTGGCTCAAAATATGGGATGCCAAATAAGTTTCTGTGATTTTCGAAACCATTTCCTGTAACTTGCACTTGCCGTGCATTTGAGGGGTGGGAGCTCGGCCGTGCGTTGAGTCGCAGGCCACCCTCGTCAAAGCCTAGCCAGGGGTTGGACCTGTTCCCCCACCCTTCCCATTTCCTTGGGTTCCCAATTTGAACTGCTTACCTTAAATGAAGCACGTCTTGCTCTGTAGTATTCGCGATCTCCCTGACGTCAAGCCCGATGATGGCGGCCAGCCGGCTGCGTCACTGCGTGGCGGTGGAAGTAATGGCTAGGAGCGTTCCTCCGGGCGACCATCGCCGGCGATGCACTTATATGCTTCAGAGGAACCGAGCGCAATAATTTGTGATGCCGTTGAGATAGGTTCTGTAGACTCTCTTTGCCGACAACAACCGAAGAGAAACCGGATTCAAGAGAGCTATGAACCCCAACAGACTTCAATCACAGCAGCAAAGGCCCGGCGTGAAGAAGAGTGCTTTGGGAAGTTTGTCGGCAGCTACAGCGGCAGCCTACAACTTTCTTGCTCACGACTTTGAATTCGTACCGGACCGGTATCATGACGATAAGTTCTTACCAACACGGCTATCTCGGGCGGGATCTGGAATCCGACTCGGTCGCGCTCGAGGCCGGAACAACTACCCGTTAAGACCGCCGCCCGTTCGAAAGAGAACATGGCAAAGGGATGTGAATGGGGAGTTACGCAGCAAATCATTTGAGGAGTCACAGTTCAGTCACCCATACGATGAAGCACGCGGAGGAAGCGGCCGAAACCCATTTGATGACGCCAATGAGGTGGAAGAACAGGAAGACGAAGATGAGTCCAGTAACGACGAGCCATATCATGTCTTCCCGAAGCGACAAAAGTGGGTGGTCATTGTTATCATTGGCACTGCAGGACTCTTCAGCGGCTTGTCGTCCAATATCTACAACCCTTCTCTCGATGCTATTGCGAGGGTAAGAGCAAGCGTGGCCCGCGGATTCCCGTCCTGTTTGAGAGTGCGAGGGTTATCGAGACGCTGATTATTATTTGCAGGATCTCAAAGTGAACTCCTCACAAGTTTCACTCACAATCACGTCTTATCTGGTCATGCAAGCTATTTCCCCTCTTCTATGGGGTCCCATGTCTGATACGTTGGGTCGGCGGCCTACCTACATCGCATCTTTTGCAGTTTACATTGGCGCCAACGTCGCGCTTAGCTTCTCGCCAAATTACCCCGTGTTGCTTATTTTCAGGGGTATCCAGGCCGCGGGCAGTGCTTCGACTGTCAGCATCGGTAACTCGCCGGCCTTCCCTTCAGTTCCCTAGAATGGTAACTGACGACTGTTGCAGGCAATGGAGTCATCCAGGATATCTCTCCGACTTCCGAGCGTGGAGCTTTCATCAGCTTCTATCAAGCTAGTATGTCAAATCTTGTCAATCATGATCAGAAACCTGATGCAACGAACAGTTCGGAACTTCTCCACAGCTATCGGTCCTGTCCTCGGCGGGGCCTTGGCTAATTCACTCGGGTTTCGGTCCGTGTTTGTCTTTTTGCTCATTGCCTCGTCACTGATTCTCATTGCCATTGTTGTTTTCCTACCGGAAACAATGAGAAGCATTGCCGGAGACGGCTCACTAAGACTCGATGGCCCTGTCTACAAACCTCTCATCAGATACGTGACCTCGGAGCCTCATTACATGCAGGATCCAGATGGCCCTTTGAACCGCAAGAGCGTGACGATCTGGACGTTTTTAAGACCTTTCAGACTTTTTAGAGAGAAGGATCTCGTTATCAATCTTATTTGGGGTGGTTTCATCTACGCCATCTGGAACATGGTTACAACCAGCACAACACCAGTCTTCAAAGCTCGTTTTCCATTTTTGAACGAGCTTCTCTTGGGTGTTGCGTTCTTGCCTAACGGTAAGTAAACCTGCCCCCCGTTTCCATCAGATGCAACGCAATTTGAAGCCTCTTAACCGAGGGAAGCACACGTGTGAATGGAACTAATAAATCATGTGAACAGGCTTTGGGACCATTGTTGGATCCGTCTTGGCTGGAAAGCTCCTGACTCGAGATTACAAAATTATTGCCGCCGAATACAAAGCGACGCATAACATCAGAGAAGACGAGGAACTGTCACCGAAAGACATACCTGTCGATTTCCCTCTTGAGAAGGTTCGGCTACAACGGCTGCCGTGGATCGTGGCCTTATTCACCGCATCTATTACTGGCTATGGTTTTTCCCTGGCATACCCAACGGCGACGTCACGCAACGGATGGATTGCGCTTCCGCTGACCATGCAATTTCTCATCGCGGCTTCAGCAAATGCCATATTTGCTCTGAATCAGACGATTATTTCGGATTTGTGCCCTGGGCAAGGCGCAAGTGCGACAGCCATCAACAATCTGGTGCGGTGCGGATTGGCTGCTCTGGGGGTGGCATTTGCCGAACAGATGATCAACTCTGTGGGGCCAGGGACGGCGTTTCTGGTTTTGTCCATGGTAGTCATTGCGATTTCACCTATTCAGGTGGTCAACCAGTTCTTGGGACCCAAGTGGCGCGCGGAGAGGGCGAGACGCGGAGGAATGAAGGCTTCGCAGGCGGAAGAGGATCGGCAAAAAGCTTAGAGACGTTTGGTCTTATATCGGGAAACAAAGTCAAGTACATCTGGTTGGCAGGCACATTCAGCCCAAGTTACATACATACACGACAACGTAGCAAAGCAAAGCGAGTGCGGCTGGCCAATAACCATTGCGGCTGACGCTGCAAACAAGATAATTATCGCCATCCATTCCAGCGTCTTCTCTACCAAGCTTCGGGATCTTGTATGTGATTCACGGAGAAGGCTTCGATCACAAACTAAGCCGAAAGATCAATACATCGAGATACCTATGTGACCAGATTTGGGCATTACATGGCACTATCACCACATTATTCAAATGGTCGATCATGCAAACCTTTTTACATGATATCTTGCACGATCGATCAATCGAATACCTCTTATAGTAAACGTACTCTGACGGGGTAAATCCTCCACGAGAACGGGTGCGCGGTTACCCTGCACAACAAGAGAAGAATTCAGAGATACCCAGGGCTGATCATGTCCGGCATGGGTCGTCTGGTGTTTGCGTTGAAACAGAGAGGGCCGGCATGGAAACATGGAGATCCCAGCTCTGTTCGCCTCAGCACAACACCGGCAGTCTGATGGTCGTGCGTTTGCTGCGCATAGATTTCCTAAAAGAGGGGTAGCTCCAGAGAAAGAGTCGTCGTGCGCCGAAAGTCGCATTCACGTGGCATCTCGGCTCACTGGCATTGTCACGTTTGATAGATTGGACAGCTCCTGTCAAAGTCCGGCGGAAGGATTTCAAATGATTTGATGGCTGAACCTGTACTAAGGCTGCGCATGTCGGCACATCATGCTGCTACAATAGACACAGTTTTCTTGATGTATAATGAACTCCTCGTGATCTGCTTTTCCAGTTTGGAGGTTATTCTTCATCGATGTTTTTATCAAATATTTTAGCCTTTAAGCTTTTGCCTCCCGGCTGAGCCATGTAGTCTGTAAGGAGTCGCTCGAACTAACTGCTGATCCCTCGAAGCCGTGCGGAAGAATGGAGGGTTCAGCATGCTTGAGCCGGGAGATCCTTGCACTGTAAACGGCCTGTGATTTGCTGATCTGGAGGTGATCTTGACTTCAGTCTAGTAACTCAAGATTGAAGTAATGAACTGCTGACAATCGTCATGAGAACATGTCAAAGACAAGGTTGAGGAGACTTGAAGTCTCGATCATCAAATAGGCTTAGATTGTCTAGTCAAAGCAAGTGCCTAACTTGGGTCTCAGTCATGTCCATGGCGACGTTGGTTTAGAGACTGACGCCATTCTCAGCCATTCTGAAGCTAGCACTACTTGATGACTGCATACATGGTGGATTCATCAGACGACTAAATAGAGACTGGATGGGCTACTTTGGGCCTTCCTAAAGTCGTCTTCGACTACGCACTCGAGTGAATGGCGCTTTCACGTCTTTCATATTATTTCATGTGTATTATATATTGAAGCAGAGGCTCATATCATACCTATTAGTGAGACAGCCGTATGTGTTGTAGCGCTGCCTATATCCATTTATTTCATTGAGAGATAACACGGTCTAGAGTGCTAGTATTGTGAAAAGTGTGTTGTGGAGCCTCGTATTGCTAAACCACCGTAAAGCTCATTCCGAGCCGGGTAACAGTTCATCTTCATGTGTTTTAGCGCCATGAACGACATTGAAGACACTTAAACCGTAGGCAGACTGACGTGTTTAGACCATAATTATCTTAATACAACCCTCTGATTCCAGATGGAACTGTGCTTATTTCGTCCTTTTGATGAGAGGTCGCCATAAATGCTGGCCTTGCTTGAGCTTTTTAAAGACACCTCACTTATGATGGATTTAGTACTACCCGATTTTGCTTCTAAGTGTCGAAGTTATATCTATAGCGGCGGTCTGGCATTGGGAGCTACAAGATCTTTTCTTCTTCTCTCTTGGGGTAGCTCGACCACGCACCTTTAACCAGGCCTTACTTTCTAGAAAGAAGCAGTGATTAATGAAGGAACCTTAGGTTTGCTATTTCTTGCGGACACTTTAGCTATTCGTATTGTGGTATCCATCCCTTCAACCAAGATGGAAAGCCTTGATCCAAATGAAATGGTCCATCTGGACTAATGTCTTCAAGTACATTGAACGCCTGTTCGTGGTAAGTGTTCTAAATCATCTTTGTCAAGAATACTGACTTTTCAAGTCGCAGATTTGTCTTAAGCTGTACGTCAAGAATGCTGTGCAAGTGACGTACAAATGTTTACAAGGGCACTCACGACCGACAATATCACAACTAATGATATCGGACCGAGTGGCTTGAGGGCATGTGTATGGCGGAAATTGTTGATATTAGGCGTGCCGACGTCTTTAACAGTCGTGAAAACTATCTCGCGTATTAGGTAGCAATTCAACTACTGCACCAGACTAGGCCAGTCAACCCAGTTGATAGGTAACATCAGATTTCCTACAATAAGAACATCCCTTTATACACCAGGAAGTCAAAAGCCGAAGTGTATGGTGTGGTAATAGCCTATGATCGTTTTGAGTTGTGACTAATCTCTATGCTTCGTACGAGAACACCAGCGATCCTTGGCTGGACTATGCCATGATTGAGCTCCATGACTATGTCATCTTGACAAAACTATAACAGCACAGTAAAAGCTTGCTTCTGGAGATCAAAATCTCAGTCACCTTACTTTTCGCTTTGTTGACTGGTTCCAAAGTGTCGTCGACACATGGACAACATGTTTTTCGCGACATCACATGAGAAGAGCACTTTACTCAATCAAAAGCTCAGGGCTCTCATAAGAAACCTTCAAGCTGGTGTTCTGCCGGGGTTAAGATTTATGCAAGTATATTAACAAATGCAATACGCTGCGTAATACAATGCAGCCACCCTTATAATCTGGTTATAGATATCTCGCTATACCTAATGAGTATATATTTAATATTTAATATTCTAAAAGAATAAAACTCTATCCTAATAAGCTTTATAGCGTGCGTGGTGGCGTGTGAATGGCCTCACTCTTAAGGTCGGAGGGGGCAAGACCTTGATGAGGGATGCTGGTCTATAAGAGTTATGCAAGTATGTTAAGCTGACAGTAAAATGGTGTTCACGTCTGTCTCGATGCTTCTTCTACCAGGGCTAGCAATCCTACTATCGTTACGCCCACTCCACAATGCCTATGCAGTTGAACTTCTCATCCAGATGAACTTTGCTCTCATGAAACTCCCCCAACTCAAACTCTTGGCCCCTAATGCATGGACGATGATCTTCACAATGAGCGAGGCGACTGAGGCAAGCCGTAGTCCATCGCCGTAAATTCATCCACATCTGTAAGATTGATATCGGCCCCATACTGTAAGAGAAGCTCAACCATCTCATTCGTTCGACGAGCAGGAGCGTATTCCAAGTTGGCTGCCAAGTGATGCAAGGGGGTCATTCCCTTTGCGTCCCGGACGTTCGGGTCAACTGCCTTCTCTCGAATCAAAAATTCGGCAATTTCGATCTCTCGGTAGGTACATGCTTGGTGCAAAGCATGCACGCGACCCTTCTCACGGGTTATGAGGGAAGACCCGTTGTGGATCAATGCCTTTGCTATGGCAAGGCGGCATCCACTGCTGTCTTCGGCCACCATGGGCATCGAGGCATCATAGGGTGCATCCGCGTGGTAGGTGCAAAAACAATTGGCGTAAGCTGAGTCTCCCATCTTCTTTTGTGACCGGGTGCTGAACTTCCTTTGAGAGCGAAGAAGAGGGCGTTGGCTCCAACCGGGAAGGGTAGAGGGTCGTCCCAAGCGTACTCGTCCGCACCCCACTTGAAAGCCTTATACTCCGAGTCTGAATTGCAGAACATCGCCCGTTGTGGATGACAGTGGCCCAGTTCCTCTTCCTCCCACCATATTGTTAACCTGCCGTCGTTTTCTTCGCGATAATATTGAAATCCAAGATCGGCTCGTCGCAACACATCGGCACCCTGTTCAATCAAAAAAGAGACCAAGAGGGCGTTTCCGTGGAAACATGCCCAGTGCAGCGATGTCAAGGATGAAAGTATTGGGAACCTGGTGTGATCCATGATATTGTCCTTGACCTCGCTCGGAAGCCGGAAGTGGTAGAAAATTGTTCGGTCTGGGGCGTTGACATCTTCGCTATGATGCAGAGCGTTGGCTACCCCCTCAATTGTGCCAATTTTGGTGGAACGAAGCAATGCGGATGAATAGTTGATTTTGATGTCGTGTTTGATTACGGTGGGATTGATGATTGCGTGAAGCTTTCTGCACGTCGCACCAAGATGAACGGCGTGCCTAACGCTGTTGAGAGTGGTGAATTCGTCTTTTGCGAAGGAATCTTCTTCGATGACTTCTGGCAGGGTGTATCCACCTCTGGGGTGTTCTCCGAGCAAGGCGTCCAAGACGAGAAGAATCACTTCCGCAGGCATGTTCTGCAAGTTTCGGGTTTCGGATTGGTTCATAATGCGTGAGGGCTGGGGTCTCGATAAAAATTTCGCGGGTTTCGATCCTTGGTGTTGATCGCAAGTTGCAACAATGCGATTGTCCTGCAATGACATTGATTAGTGACGGCGGACTCCTAAAATTTAAACCCGGCACTGAGAGTCCTCAAGTGGCTTCTAGAAGATCCTATCTCCGTACAAACTCAGCCAGATCCACAACCTCGAAGGTGCTACCTACCTACTACCTAGAAGGTCGAAGGTCCTTTCTCCGGTATGGTTGACAACTAAGTACGCGTGTTCCGTGGTTGACGAATGTATTGAATCAATGATGAAAAAAATCCCTGGTTTCTTATATTGTCTTCCGCAGGCAGGTATTGTCATGGAAATCATGCCCAGTGGAAAAGATGCGACCAGTCTTCGTGCCACGCTACAAAATTGCAATGTAAATCGATGACAGATCCGTTATTTGCTGCCTACTCTTATCTAGGCAAGATTCAGGTCTAAGTTAGTCTGCCTGACGAACCTGCATATGTGGTGTGAGTTACGCTTCCGATCCTGTCGCGACGATTGTGTTGTTTTTCGATGTTGCAACAGCCCGGGCCCGGCACATTACCGGTGCCCCACGCGTCCGTCTCCGTGTCCCACCCGGCCAAATGCCCCACATCGTCGCCCGCGCCGGTCATTGCCACAAATGGCCCGGGAGTTCGCAAAAGTGCACAAAACCTTTTACAGATAGGGCGTCATCTAAGGTTCAAAACGTCGTGTGTGGTAAGGGTGGCCTTCTGGGGGAGAAGACAGGCTGGGCGACCGGTAGCATTAGCGCGGGTGGTCGGTGATGTTTTGGGCGCAAGCCACAGCCGTCACAGTGAATTTGAGAAGTCGGTATCCGTACCTCACTTACTATGTAGGACAGGTATGGCGGGCAAGACTTTTTTCTAACATCAGGATTTGTTTCTAACGACACTTCTATCACAACAGATTGCCTCTATTATATGCTGACTACGATCCCTATCTAGCACATTTACCACGATTGCCGAGCCCCATGACACATTCCCTCGGGATGTCGGGCCCATCTACTCCTCATTCATTGCCTCCGTTATCTTGGGCGTTTAACGTGTAAGATCACAGAATAAACAGTTCAAGATGCAGAGACGATATGTTGTGTCGCCTTGTGTGGGTATTTTACATCCCCCCGAGGGATATCTAGGTTCGGTAAGGGGATCTCTTATTCAGGGAGCCATCGTGCCTCGCCGAACAATGCTCGAAGGCCAATTCATCGGGGTAGGCTGCGATTTTGGCTAGGTCGTTGGCCCAAGGCCACACGCAAGGACGCACCCATTCGAGTATGAAGCCGCTCCAGGCACAAACTTTATCGCCCAGCTTGCCACGATTCATACTTTCCTACATGCATAAAAACTCTCACTAGACACGCTAAGCTTCACTTTATTCTCCGCTAGCCAGGGACCGGCGAGCGCCGAAGAGGAACACCCTTGTCGCGTCATGGCACCGCGGACAGATGGACTGAGATCGCCAGTCATAAATCATGATTTTTAAGGTCGTGACTATGTACACAGTGCCATATTCCCTGTCAGGCCAAAGCCTTCCGTCCCGTTGCACCCTCAGATCCCCCACAAGTCGTCACTCGGTATGTACCACCAGATTGAGTTATCGAGTTGATGAAAGAATTTAGATTGATTACCCATGAATAATGAAAGGACCGTGTCGATTTAGTTCCATATCCGTCTTCTCCCGAGTGATCGCTATCTCCGAAAGTACGCCGACTCAATTCCCTGCACAAAGTGACTCGTCAACACAAAAGTTCACTCGGCTTTTCTCGCGGGAACAGCAAGGGGTAGATTTCCTGCTCCGGCCAGCTTCGGGGGAGGGGCGGCACCGGGCGCCGGCGGTGTACCGGGTCTAGGACCCTGAGCACCACCGATCAAAGCACCGGCCTCGATTGCTCCTGCCGGAGCCGGAGCGGGGCTGATGGGATTTGAGCCCTGTTGCGGGGCCGCCGGCGGAGGAGCCGCGGCAGGCGGCGGCTGGTTCGATGCGGGTGCATTGCCCGGCTTGGGCTTAGCTCCAGCAGCAGCACCAGCAGCACCACCGCCAAGAGCTCCGGCCGCGACAGCACCGGCAGGGATGGGGGCGGGTTGATTGGGTTGATTGTTGTTTGGTTTACCTTTGGAGGCGCCCGCTGCCGCGGCACCAGCGTTAGCAGCTCCAGCGCCGGAGGCCTTCTTCGGAGCACCGGCGGGAGGGACGGCGGGAGGAACAGCGGCGGGCGGAACAGCCGCAGGAGCCGCAGGAGGCACCGCAGGAGCAGGAGGCGTATTAGGCGTGGCAGGCGTGTTAGGGGTGGCCGGAGCAGGAGGCGGAGCCGCAGGCCGAGGAGCGACACTGCCCTTGGGAGGCGGAGGTGTCGTTGCCTTGGCCTTGGCCTTCGCCTTCGCTGGGTTGGCGTTCGCCTTAGCCTTCTTCGCGGCCTTCTTCGCCTTCTTGGCCTTCTTCTTCTTCTTCTTCTTGAGGACCTTCTTCAGAAGACCAAGGAGCTGTCGGGACTGGAGCTCGACCTCTTCGCCCCGCTCAGCCAAGGCGGCGTTCCGCTGTTCAACAGCAGCAACCTCGGCAGCATCGGCAGCAGCGGCGGCGGCGTCAAGTTGGGGGACTTCGGCCTGGGGACCGAGTTCGCTGCGGTGTGTTAGTTGAGTAACATTGTCGTGGACCATCCGTCATGCGCATACTTGAACTCTCTTGCAGCAACGTCGGTTCCGGCGGGGGCACCGTTGATGCCGACGAGGAGGGCCGAGGCAAGTAAGAGAAGTGGAGTTGAGAACCTCATCTTAGTGAGTGAACTGAATGTTGATAATACTAATGGTGAATGAAAGATAAGATATTGCTGACCAAGTCAAGCTTGGTGCTTGCTGGGAGGACTATACTCGTATCTGCAATGCCTGGGGGTGGGCGTGAACTGAGGGACCGGCCTGACGAACAGCATGATAATTTGGGTCGGGCCATCTGCCTTTAGTACTTCTCTCTGAATGGCCTCGACCTCTGGTTGGAGTCCAGGATATTCAGTCCTCGTCCAAACCTTGCGTAAATTCGTCCGCACTATCCCAACAAGCGGGCTTGCCGATCGATTGGCCGCGATTTCAGATTAAAATTCACCGGAAGGACGACTCGCGAGTCTCTGAAACCAGTAATTGCAAGTCCATAGAGACAGGTGCCAAAGTTCACCGGCTTGAAGTGCCCGACCCCGCGTGAGCCACGCCTCCGCATGCTGCCGGATCGACGAAGACGAGGATGGCTCTCTAAATTGGAGTTTGCGACGGATCCTCATGGATGAAGGCATCTCCCTGCGTCGCCCGATGTCCTGACTTATTCGGGCGAAATGGCGTTTCGATGTGGTGTTTCGTGGGTGGAGGCACTTCTCGTCTGATGTCGGCCGCAGGCAAACTCCTGCAGGAGGACGCGAGAGATATCGATTCGTCCCATCTAATGTGGTTTCACTCCCCTCTATTGGAGGTGTGCCTGGAAGCGAGCTCCTTAGACTCTTCGGCAAGCGGAGCCCTGTCTTAAGCTTACCTACACAAAGTGATGCGAGAACAAGGAGCGTCCAGGCAAGGGATGGTGGTCGTGGCTGAGGGACACTACCTGGCGGTTCGACATCCCCCGATGCAGGCTGGAGGCTTCGGGAAGCTTACACTCTCAGTCTTTCCCTGATTCTGACGATAGTTCAAGTAGAGTTGCGTTAGCTCTACCTCGAAAACGTTTTGAAATTTCGAGGGCGCCCTACGTGGTCCTTGGTTGGCCACCTGCAGGTTGGGAAGTTATTCACCGTCTGCCGAGGAAACTAAACTTCTCAGCCCATGCGCGGGAGAAAATCATACTCGCCGCGGAAGCATCTCATCCAAGAACCCACGTTCTGGGGAGAGGAGAGGCAGAATTCATGGTCGACATGGTCGGATTAGCTCGCGGCTCTGCCCCAAAGTTTTGCCTATGCTCACGCAATGCAATCTTGCGTCACGAGCGAGGCAAAACCAACGTCAACTCCAAGGAAATGACTGATTAACGACCGCATCAATCATCGTGACAGCGGCTCCTTGGACGTCAAGGTGCTCCTACGACAGTGACAGCTGCCGTGTGGAACGGCCGTACGGGCTTCAGATGGCGTCAAGAGGAAAGTAGCATCTCGTAGCGAACCGCATTACAACGGACAAGAGACAGTCAGATGACAAGACTGGGCGCCCTCATGCGGACGTGATGGCAGTTCCATTTGCAGTTGAGACGGCAAAGCGACGCTGCTCACGGACGTGGCTCGGAGACCAGCAGAAGATCGCACGACCGTGTTTGGCCCGGTTGCATAACAACGGCGGAAGCAGGCATGGCTCGAGTTCATGTGCCCGAAGTTGGTCACCCAGGATACTGGGAAGCACCCACCGGGATCGACGCCAAGCGAAAATCGTTTCAAGCGGCTGTTCGAATGAGAGGTGCTGGCAAGACTGGCCGAGGACAACTTGCGCGGGTTGGATGTTTGGGTGTTGTGCCAGAGTCATTGGCCGATGGGAGGTGGCCGCCTTATGCGGCGAAAATCAGCGTATCGGAAGACTGGATGTTTTCAGGCGCAAATGCAGGTACGGCGAAGTTTGTCTGCCATGTTCGCTATCCCATGAGGCGGCATCCCACGACAGAGTTCGCGAGATGTCGCGGATGGTGTCCGCCTCCTGCCGCCTCGGAGCGGAGGTCTCGGCAATGCTAATCAGTGAATTGCTGAAGATCAGCTCCTGCGAGAAGTCCGCGCAGAAACAGATTTCACGCGAGCGATTGGTCGCAGAGTTGTGAGAGAATGAGCATATGGGCCCAGGCCTCAACACAGCCACTCATGCACATCTTGTCATAACCTTTGCCAGAAAGACCCCAGCATATGACGCAGGTTTGTATCCGATGCCCACGCATGAACCAATCGTAATCTCCAATCGCATTCGCGCAGGTTATCGAGACAAGAAGAGCGCTGAGACAGCGAGGGTCGGTAAGCCAGTAGGTAGAGAAAGACAGTGACTCTTGCCAGAATTCGGGTGTAGAGAAATATACGAGAGAGATTAGCTAGTCACAGCTTGTCCCCGCGTGCGTTGTGTGGAAGTAGGGAATGATGCCAAACGTTGGAAATGAGGGCATCATCACTTGTGCGGGGCATACTGAAGCAGGCGGCGGAATCCGCGGACTCGATTGGATGCGACCTGAGCCGACGGGGCCGGGATCTCCACAATCATGGCGATAGTCTTCGGAAGAATATTACTCCGCCACGGCATGCTCGGCGGTTCCACCCGAAGAACGAGCCGGCTTAGTAAGCCGAATCTCAGGCCGCCGGACGTGGAGTCACGTATCGGCCTCCACCAACGGAGTTTTGCCCCGCTCCACCCCGGCGCACCGGCATTGCTTCCCCGCGCGATCCTTTTCCTTAGGTCACTTTTGATGAGCATGTTGCATGACCCTTCGTCTGTGCAAGCCCACGCATGTTGAGGTGGACGGCACTTCAGTCTATCCGTACAACTGGACGGAATACCACTTCGCCTACTGGCCTTCTGCAGGTAGCCGAACCATTTTGCAATTATTTACGTCATGACTTTTCCCCGCCAAGTTCTTATCAAAATGAGCTGCCTGTCTTGGTGAAAGATGCCATCTATCTGCGGGACTGGAGGCTACGCGATCCTGAGTTGCTTATCATTCGTTTGCCGTGATCGGTGCCGTGCTGGAAGCGACGCTAGACCACGCGATGCATCGGTAAACAATGCTAGGCATGCAGGCCACAGCTACGTTGACCAGGATGTCAAAGTACATATATCAGACCGAAGTCCATGCCACTTGGCGTCAAAGCCAACCAGCCAAGCTGTAAAGCATCGTCGGACCTCGGATTCGTCAAATTGGAGCCTGGGTACTTTCTCCTGCCCACACTTCTCCGTCATGGCTGTGCATCGGTCGTTCGTGGCCGTGGCCTTGATCTGGTTGAGAATCGCCAGCATAGTGAGTTGTTTGACTGGTATGTGTCCTCTAACCAGTCATCTTTCTCACGTGCGTGAATTGACTTTTGTCTCAGTCAAGGGCATCCCATTCCCAAGCCTCCTTGATGTCACGATTGACGAGTTGGCCGAAGGCCTGGAAAATGGCCTCTTCACCAGCGTCGACCTTGTGCATGCCTATCTAGGTCGCATCAGTCAAGTCAACAGCACACTGAATGTCGTGACGGAAGTGAATCCGGATGCACTTTCCATTGCATCCGATTTGGACGCTCAGCGCGCCAATGGCACCATCAAAGGCCCTCTCCACGGGATCCCCATCCTCATCAAGAACAACATCGCGACTGCTGATCAGATGAACAACACTGCCGGCTCATGGGCGTTGCTTGGAGCCAAAGTGCCGCAGGATAGCTTCATGGCAAAGAAACTTCGCGAAGCTGGCGCCATCATCCTCGGCAAGACCAATCTGAGCCAGTGGGCCAACTATAGAAGCAATAACACGAGCAATGGCTGGTCCGCCTACGGCGGGCAAGTATATGCTGCGTACTATCCTCAACAAGACCCCAGTGGAAGCTCCAGTGGCAGCGGAGTTGCTTCCGACTTAGGCCTTGCCCTCGCCTCTTTGGGCACTGAGGTACGCTTGGGTCTTGAGATTTTCATGAGTTGAAGCTGATGCGCGCCAGACCGATGGCTCAATCGTATCACCATCTCAACGGAATAACCTTGTGGGCATCAAACCCACCGTCGGTCTCACATCAAGACATTTGGTGATCCCGATCAGCGAGCACCAAGATACCATTGGACCGATGGCCCGAACGGTCAAGGACGCGGCATATATCCTGCACGCAATCGCGGGGTCAGATTCCAAAGACAACTACACGTCTGCGATTCCCAACAACGGCGAGATCCCCAACTACCCTGCGGCCTGCGACATGTACGCCCTCCGTGGAGCTCGTATCGGCATTCCGCGCAACGCCATTGAGCTGTTCTCCGACAACACGACAGGGACGGAGACCGATGCCTTCGAGAAAGCTCTGGGAGTGTTCAGAACCGCAGGGGCTACGATCGTGGATAATGCAAACTTCACGGCTGCGCAGCAGTTAGCGCAGTCGAATTCGGAAACCATCGTGCTTAATGCCGACTTCATCACCAACCTGGCCGCCTACCTCGGCAAGCTGAACTACAACCCCAACAACCTGACTTCACTCTCTGACTTGCGTGAGTTCACGCAATCACACGAGCTTGAGGATTATCCCGATCGTAATACGGCCATCTGGGACGAGGCTCTCGACGAGCAGGGGTTCAACAACACTGACCCACGGTTCTGGGCGGCATTGCAGGAGAGCGAATACCTCGGCGGCGAAGGTGGGCTATTTGGTACGCTGGCGAGGCATAACCTTGACGCAGTGATATTGCCGACCAGCTTTTCGAGTACATGGGCTGCGATTGTTGGGGCACCTGTCGTGACGGTTCCGCTCGGATTCTACCCCGCGAACGCGACAGTGGCCATGAACAGGAGGGGCAATCTAGTGGACACTGGGCCACACGTTCCGTGAGTCAATTGATCCAGCACCCGCTGAGGTCTTACTAACGAAAGCCAGTTTTGGAATCAGTTTTCTGGGGGCTAAGTTCCAGGAGGCGAAGCTCATCGGATTAGCATATGCCTATGAGCAGAGGACGATGACCAGGTCCAAGGTGCAGCCGTACATTACACCCAATATTGAGATTGGGGATTATGCTGGTTATTGAACGCAAACATGTAGCATAGAATAAATATAATGGCGATGTCCGGTCGGGATTGCGAGGTCATGACCACAATTTCGATGTAGACAGAGTTGGGCAACCCAGATCCAACCTATTCACGCACACCTTTTTGGTTTTCAAAGGCAGAAGCCGGAAGCCATACCTCATTCGCGCTCCCAGGTGCAACCAGTCAACCTACCGTGGAACTGGTGAACTTACCGATGGCAATGGCCCTGTACCTGAAGCCTTGAACCACTCTCTTGGGGGCAGTTTTATCGTATTCCTGAGACATACATGGGGCAAAAAAGCTCAATAATCCAGTAGGAGCAATGCAGGAAGCCATGCCGGCCCAGTTCCCAAACGTCATGATACTAGAAAGCAAAAGACTGTGAAAGAAACAAAAAGCAAAAGAAATTCTAGCACGACCTGGTTTCGATCCAGGGACCTCTGGGTTATGAGCCCAGCGCTCTACCCCTGAGCTACCGTGCTTGAAATGTTGCTTGATGAACAGATAAACGGCAAAGATTTCTGTGTATTGATAAAGCCTTGCAAGATGTGAGTCATCGTGGGTGGGTAGGATTCACCACGACGACCCCACACAAACGGGGGCCAATTTGCGCTCCCAAAGCCGACCATCTCCGAAGCACACCAAAACAGACACCACAACGTCACAAAACGTCCAGAAAAGAATTGCGCAAGATTAATCAGGTTTGGTCTAGATTGGTATATCTATGGAACGACTAGGCGGACCAACACACCGTGGTATATTCGCAGGACATGATATTCATTCAACGACAGTAAAACGCACTCCCCGAACCGCTTACAGCAGCCATGAGATGAAGACTCTGTAGAACCATCCGCCGCGGCTCTCCTTTCCACCGCGCGCCTCCTTCTCGGCAGCCTGGCGGGCCAGGAACTCCTCCTCCTCGCGGTCGATGATGTCCTTGCCGGTGTAGAAGTCGGCCTCGTGGGGCTTGACGCCGCGGGTCTTGTAGTAGAACTTGTGGCCGAAAATGAGGATGAGGTAGAGCGGGATGCCAAGGTAACCGGTGATGAAGGTCTTGTACTTCTCCTGGCCGAAGTTGCCGCCAGTGAAGACGTCGTAGTTCTTGGTGAGAGCGACGATACAGCAGAGGAAGAGAGCAACGTAGGAGCCCCAGATACCGAAGGGAGCGACGTAGGGCATGATCTCGTTAGGGATGTTCTGGGCAACGCGGGCCTTCATCCACCAGATGTGGGTGACGAGGATGGAAATCCAGGTCAGCAGACCGAAGATGGTGGTCAGGTTGACGAAGTATCCGAAGACCTTGGTCGAGTCGCTGGAGACGTTCATGAACGCCAACAGGGCGAACATGGCGGAGAAACCGAGGGCGTAGACGGGGACACCGCGCTTGTCGGTGCGCTTGAAGATCGCGGGGGCAGAGCCGTCAGAGGCAAGACCGTACAGAGTTCTGCTGGCAATGTACAAATCGGAGTTGGAGGCGGAGAAAACGAAGACGCAGATACAGGCGTTGATGATGTCAGGGACAGCATTGACACCAGCAACCTTGGCAGCGACGACGAAGGGGGACGCGGAAGCGCCAGTCTGAGCCTTGTTGGCGAAGACAAGATCGGGGGAGTTGTAGGGGACGAGCATGCCGATCAGGAGGACACTGAGGCAGTAGAAGAACAGGATGCGGTAGAATGTAAGCTTGATGGCGCGAGGGACGGTCTTGCGCGGGTTCTGGGCCTCAGCGACGGTAACACCGACAAGCTCAGTACCGAGGTATGCGAAGGTGGCGTTGACCATGCAGGACCAGAAACCGAAGAAACGTCCGGCATCACCGGTGTCGATGTACTCCTTGAAGGCACTAGAAAGCGTGTCAGATCGCCGGCGTGACCGAGGTATGGCTCGAGTGAAGACTTACCCAGGATTCTTCCAGTAGCGGAAACCAGTCGCGTCACGGTTGGGACCTCCGCCACAAACCAGGATGAGCGAGAAGAGGATGATGGCGATGATGGTGATGACCTTGAAACTGGACAGCCAGAACTCGAACTCTCCGAAGAACTTGATGCCGAAATAGTTGATGCACACGATGGCGACCAGGAAAATGGCGATGAAAACACCAGGGTTCACACGATCGCGGTCAACCCAGTATTGGATGGTCAAAGCAGCAGCAGTGAGTTGGTTGGGCGTGACGATGATGTACTTGAACCAGTAACTGTCATACGACATGATTAGCGTCGAACATGAGCGAGCAGAAACACGGTAGCAACTCACGTCCAGCCGAGCGCAAAACCGAGAGAGGGGTCGCAGAATCGCGAGGCGTATCCAGTGAAACCAGCAGAGATGGGCAGCCAGGCAGCCATCTCACCGAGACCAGCCATGACGAGGAAGACGATGAAACCGACGAGAGTGTACGAGATGAAGACGGAGCCCGGGCCGGCCTGCGCAAGGGCCTTTCCGGTGCCGATAATAAGACCAGTACCGATAGCGCCACCGATGGCAATCATGGTGATGTGGCGGGCCTTGAGGCCGCGGTGTAGCGACGTCTCGGCGCTGGTCTCGAAACCGCGGATGTGGGCATCGCCGTTGTCGTAGGTCTGGGTGTGGAAGGCGGTCTTCTCGGGGTCATGCGGACCCTCCGAAGAGGAGGTCCGCTTCACGAGGCCGTCGCTCATGGTTGCTGCGTGAACGAGTGGTCGCTACTACAGTCCTGACACTGGAGGAGACTCTCTGTCGTGGTATCAAAGAATGGGATGGCAGACGAGAGAGCTCTGGGAGCGAGAGAGGGATGAGGGGAAAGAGAAGGGATTGCGACGAAGAGTGAAGGGGGGTTGGAGGTTCTTTAATCAAGTTCTGGGTGCCGCGTCGACGGGACGGAAGACGGGGGGGTAGGGAACGGATGCGATAGAAGGTGCCGCATGTGAGACGGAAGCAGAGAACGTAAGAGCTTGATAGACAGAACGTAACGTAAGAGCTTGCATGCTGTGGACTGAAGTTCGGCGCATTCACCCCAGTCCTGTACCTCCCCTCCGTCCCGTAGCTTACCTCCTCCATGTTGGCAGTTCGCCTCGCCAGTTCGTGGGCTGGACCTGGCGGACTGGCCTGGCTGCGGACTGGGGGAGAGAAATCGTGTCGTATCCAACGCTAAGATAGACCCCGTCCGGCGATCCCTGCAGACGCCGCCGAGATGTGTTGGGTTGACTGGTCGGACGGAGAGGTACCGAACGGTCCTGACTTGTATGTATTACAATTGTGATATTAGCGTTTAGTTACTGCTATCTTGCCAAGTTGCGCGGTATCTCTGTGGGTTAGACAAGTTCCCCATTATGGAGTCAATGTCCCGCACCGCACTTACGGTTCTGCTCATGCGTGGAGACTGGACAGGGAGCCGCCGCATGCGTGCGTGCGTACGTCCGTGTCTCTCGAGTCGCTTCCCCATCTCTTCTTTCAGCGAGAAAGAACTGGGCATCAGAACAGCGGGCAAAAGTGAGGGGATGCCACTGGCAACAGAGTGGAGGAACGGCGTCTGTCAGGCACTAGACCGGACGTGGAGAAGAGACGAGGGTAAACGACAGGGGTGGGACGAATGGAAGATGTTGTGGCAACAAGGGTGAGGAGACAGTCGTTTTCGGTGGCCGCGGTCGTGTTGGAGGAAGTGCAAAACGGTTCAAGTGAGTTCAGTCTGAGATCATGATTGGACACATATCAAGCGTCGTTCAGCCTTGGCGAGCATCATGGAAGGCAGGTCACAAGAAAGTGAAGCCCTCTGGAGTAACTCGGCTGTCCTGGTGCGGGGGTGGTGAACGCGGAGCAGGTTGGGGGCAATTCTCAATCGACACAGCAGCTGTGAGGGCAGTGAAGAGAGAGGGACTTGGCAACAAAGTCACTCTTTAACGCCAAGTATCGCCAGACGCCGAGCACGAGTCGTGGAATCGAGAGCTGGTCACCGGCTCTGCCTAGAGATTGCCCAGTCTCTCCAAGAGTTCTCTGCATGGGAATACCAAAAGTTGGAAAAAGCTTAGATGGGACAAGCAAAGAGGTACCTGTCGAGACGAGAGACCCCTAGTCGCGATGGGGAATACCAGTGGTACCAAGAAAACACCAAGAAAATGGCCAAATGCGAGGGCTTCCTTCGAGACCGAACGCATCTTTCTGCCCTGTTGGAGTCCCTGAGAAACGCCCGCAGGTACGCGACAATCAGGCAGCTCGCTCAGCTGCCCCCAACTTGGCTGTTGAAAATTCCATAAATTTTCTTCGACGAATCGCGCGTCGCACCGTTGAGACGAGGCGTCGCTTATCTCTAAGGCGCACTCAGTAAAGCTCTTTTCCTCGCGCTTGATTTACATTCATCGCGAGATTTACTACGGTGGCTTCAGCGGCCGAGCCAACCCTGCTGGTATGGTGCTGTCAACCACGAAAATCTGCCCGTAAGACACGGGATATCTCGTCAGCCTAGCTCATACCGCACGAAACAGCCGAAGACGTCGGTCGCTTTAGAATTCAGAAAGCCTACAAGACGTGAACTAGCACATTGTATGCGTCCTCAGGCGTTGGGCGACCGGATAAGGCGCACCTCCAACTCGGTTACGGGAGCTGTTCCAGGACCATCACGACACCACCCCGTCTTCATCCAGCAACTCAGAGAGAGCCAAGAGATAGAACGCTCACGCGATGGACGTTCATTCGGGCAATCTGCGGGGGCATATTTCAGCCACGATTCAGGCCATCTCGCCAATCACGCCCAGACGTTTTCGCCCGGATCAGCTTGCTGGGAGAGCCTGGCGAGTTGGTATAGCTCAGCAGGTGCACGAGACACGATAGATATCGGCATGCCCGTTCATCCAGTGGCATTCTTCCCCAAAGGTGCATAAAAAAAAAGGTAAAATGACACAAACAGCAACGAAGACGGTAGACCATGCTGATCATAGCTCCTTGAGCTGCGGCTATCTGTCAAAGTAGCACAGAACGGCCGCTGCTTTGGGACTTAGGCCAGCACGCCAGCACGCCAGAATCTTAGAGCGACGTGTGCTTTGGCTTTCCCAAGAGACTTGTCCATCTCTTGTGAGTTCTTGTGGTCTCATCTTCCCGCAGCTAGGCATTGCTTAGCTGCCTGTACTCGTGGAGAGTAAGAGGAAAATGGCGGCAAAAACGCCCAGCACGACTAGGAGGAGACGGACTGGACGCCTTTCCAGCCTCTCCCGGCTGTCTCACCGAAGAATGCCCTGGTACCTCAGCTCATCTTATCAGGCCCGGAAGAGAGAGAGAGCCTCGCCGGGAGGCATTCTCGAGTCACGGTGTATCCAAACACTGCAGGTGCATTTCAGCGAGCATCTCGCGTCGTACGTACTCATTACTGGAAACTGTTAGGTGTTCAGCTGTTTGCGGGGAGTGTTTCCAGGCCTAATCGCAAGTCGACACTAACACGTATTGATAATATCGCGTCCTCAAGATTCCATTGTGCGTTCTAGAAACGAGGGCACCACCCACGACTCCGCCACCATCTTCCCTGCTCCCCCCTCCATCCATCATTTTCCCAGCTTTCTATTGACCATTCAGAAGAGCTTCTCGTCTCCCCGCCAAGACGTTTATCTCTGACCCAAATAAGCAGGTCCTTATCTCCTCCACATGCCCCCCCTTGGCCGCGGGCCTTGTCACTGTTTAGTGGGCTTGGGGCATGGATTTGGCCGAGCTTATCCTCGCCCTTGGCTGTTCTTAGCTTAGACTGCCGAAGGACCACATCGGATGGCTTGGGATGGCTTCGGGCAGATTGTCCCCTACTGTCAAAGGTCAGTGGATGGAATGTTTCGGTCTGTCTTCTCCAAGCCAAGATGCACAGCAATTTCCTACAAAATCTTTCACTGGTGGCCAACGTCAGCCTCGGGCCACCGTTGACTTCACCGTCGAGACGGGCACATGGCCGGAATCGAGCCCCCTGTCCCCGTCTCTGGCATTTCACGAATCAGTTGGCGTCGTTTGACAAGCGGGAGCCATTCCCAATAGGTGTGCTGCCGTCTCCCACATTCCAGGCCATCGTCCGATTTTGCACAACTCGGAACTCCTGCAAGCTAGCGCTGGCGTTGGCGCATTTCCATCAGCTTGGGCTGACGGGAGTTTCCATATCTTCGGTCAGCCTCCTTCTCTTTAGACGGGCGATATGAAGATGTGATGCAACGGTGGCAAGGGCCGTCACACATACTACATTTTCAGGTAGGCCATCTCGACTACGGCACCGACTTGGCAGTGAAAATTTCGATGGCAACGACCAAACCTAGATCGCAGTGCTTTTTGATGTCTGCCAAGTGCACTGCCATCACAAGAGGCAGCTCGTAACAATTTCTCGGCAACCGATGTTTCTCCATCCATCTCCAGACTCTAAGCTTCATCCCCGGGTCTCAGTCTTTGCCGACAGTCGACTCGAAGTGCGCCGGTTTTTAATCCCCGGCGTCCGTAGGTCCCACGTACGGATACATACTGCGAGATCTGGCATCTGAGGCGGGTCTCCATCCATTTGGCCCCTCTACCAAGAGTCAGGGATAATGCCCTCTCTCGCGTCGGTGAACGAACCCTTCGCCTGGGCCCGCTGTTCATGACGAATTTCATCTCATCACCACAACGGCCGACCGCAAACACCGTCCAACCAGACGGCACCGTACGGCGTCCCGGGACGATATGTGCGCGTCCTCTCCAGAATCCCGAAGTCGATAACGGTCCTCCGCTCCGGTCTTGTTAGTGCCAACTTGGAGATTGAAATTGCGCCATCGTGCTCCGGGTCAGCTTCGCCAAGAAGTCCTAGATGAGGTATTTTCGCGGCAATCCAAGGCATTCCTGCCCATCTTGCTCCATCGCGCTCGTATGCGTGCCTTTTGAATATTTGAGGATTATCTTGGCCCGGTTGAACCGAGACGGCAGCTGGAAAGTAGACCTGTCGCCACAACACAACCTGATAAGCGCTGAGCTGCGTTCTTGGGAGACCTGAAGAGATTTCACCCGCCTTCATGACTCTCGCAGGTCTACGGGTTCGATAGTTGCATGCCCCAACCTAGAGATTTGTGCAGCAGTAAGTTGTCAGTCAGCTCATTTCCCTATGTTGGGCAATGAGATGTTTATCGCAATGACTGCCAATCAACTGAAGTTATCGATCGCACGACCTTTCCATCATGCCTGGCCAAGATTTCTTCGGCTAGCGACGGACAGCAACTTTTCTCTCCAGCCTCCGACGGGGAGTTTCTCTGCGTCTCTGGGTCGCTAACATAGCGTTCTTCCATGCATTTTCTAGCGTTTCCGTCGCTGTCACCTCACCCATTTGGACTCTTGTCGATGTCGTCGATGTCATTCCACGTCCCGCTTGATCCTAAGAGCCCGCCCAGTGGACCTTACCCCAGTCTCCAGTGAGCTTTCGTACCTTTTGTCAGGCTTCCTCACAACAACCCCGGTTTCCCCAGGACTGGGCAGTGCAAATGCAAGATGGATCTTGCCAATGGATGCGCGCGGTGTTCCAAGAGTCCATTGGAGTCTGGTTCACTGTCTTGACCGGGCAAAAAGAGCGCACAGTTGGGGAAATAGGGTATCGATGGAATTGATGGGGTAAATATCTCGTAAGAGGTTCGCATCGCAGCGGAACCACCCTGACGCCATCTTCCTCGTGGTAAGACGCATTGGCCGTCTAAAGGCCCTATCAGTCTGTGCCATCCGTCCGAATGGAAATTATTACGTGAAAATGAAGAAGATTGATTGATTGCAAACGTGCGAAGCAACCTGGGGTATGGGGTATGGGGGAGGGGAAGAGGGTAAGCCCAGCCCGTGATGCTGCGGATGCTGCGGAGTACTCGGCCGACCCCTTCAACGCCTAACCTTCAGACGATTTTCGTGCCGGCTCCAGGATATCAACGCGTAGCTCGCAGAAGGGCAATCAAAGTGCAATTCCAACTGTCACAGTCAGCCTCAGCTGAAGTTACATTCCGGGGGTCGTCAGGAACCTTTGTGCGAAGCGCGGTGTCTCACATATCTCTGCCGGCTGTGACTTTGCTGAGCTGTGACTTGGTCGTAGAACCTCGAGGCTTCCTCGCTGCCCTAAAAGAGCCTCACTCCTGAACTTTGTGCAAGTAAATGCAGATTGTTGTCGACGGGAAAGCCTTTCGGCTTACGCAGTTGATTTCTTCTCTCAGCAACCTTCCGAAGCGCACCCGGAGGCAGTCTTTGGGTGCATCTAGGCAAGTCCACAAGGAGCGTATGAAGTGAGGAGGTTCAGAAAAGCTCAGCACGGCTAGAACGACTGAGTGATCACCGAGTGATACCTGAACATGAACACGGCATCATTCATCTAAAGAGACGTCCTTCATGATTGAGGCTACCTAACTAGCCAGTGTACAGCATTCCTGCAACACTGGCGGATGTCAATGTTGACAAGATCCCGGCAAACAAAGCAGACACAGCCACCTTGGAAACGTCGCCAGCACGGCCTGGGGCAATCTGAGAAAGGACCCCTATCTGGGTTCCGAGAGCACCAACATTTCCGAAGCCCTGCCATCACGATCAGATCAGGTCAATTCAAAGTAATTATACATCGGTTGTGAGTACTTACGCAACATGCATACGTAGCTATCAGTTTTGAACGGGGTGACATAGAGACGTAAGGTTCCGTATTGCTCGAAAGCGATTTGAAGGCGAGGAATTCGTTCGTGATGATCTTGATGCCGATGAGCTCACCCACAATGAGTAGGTCCTTGTTGGGAACCCCCAAACACCAGGCTACAGGGTAAAAGACGTAGCCTAGAATCAACTCGAGAGTCAATGGGGGGTTGTTGATGTTCAAGTACTTCCCCCACCACCCAAGAAGCCCGTTGACCAAAGCAACGAACGAGATCACGCAGAGGAGCGTCGCAACTATCATGCCGGCTACCTTGAGGCCCAGCCAGGCGCCGTTGGCGAATGCATGCAGTGCGTTGGCGGCCTTCTCTTCGTCCTCGGGTACAGTGATCTTGCCGGAGCTGATTGTCTCTTCGGTTTCCGGGTATCTTAGTTTCGACACCGCTATGCTCGCTGGTATCGACATGATGCACGAAGAAACGAGAACTTGCGCGTTGAGTCCAAGACTAATGTACCCCACCAGCACCGACCCAGCTATCGTCGCGAAGCCACAAGTCATGACTTGATGGATCTCAGCGAGCGTCAGATGTGGGATAAAGGGCTTGATGAGCATTGCTGATTCTCCTTGCCCCACGAAGGGGGTCGCGGTGGCCACCACCGCTTCAGCGCCTGAGACTCGCAGTGTCCAGAAGAAGAAGATGGCAAACTTGCAGATGAACCATTGCAATAGACCCCAGTGGTATAAGAGCTGCACCAAGGAGATGAAGAAGATGATCGGTGGCACGACACTGATGAGAAACCATGTCTTCGTCGGAACTTCATCGTCTGTAAGAAACCTGAGGCCATCTTTGGCGAACTCGAGTAGCGTCCTTGCCATTTCAGATATGAAGGCGAAAATGTCGTATCCAACACTAGTCTTTAAGACAAAGACGGCAATGAGAAATTGAGTAAGCATGCCGCCTATCACACTGTGCCATGCAATCTTTTTCCAGTCTCGAGATGTCGCAGTAAGGAGAGCGATGAGCAGCACAAGGCCGAAGAGAGAGATAGCTCGACTGGCTCTCGTGTTTTCTCCCGCTTCTTCCGGTATCATGGTTCCGACGAGGAACACTCCCACGGTAGTTGCAGCAGCTATAGGCTTATGAAGCCTTTCCGGGGTCATGTCGTATGCTTTGACGGCGGTGTTCCCCCATACAAAACGAAGAGGGGTCATGACAGCAGCGGCAGGAAGCCATAGGGTGATGATTCGAATGGTGATGGCCAAGTACACCAGAGAAGGCTTCAACCAACCGAGACTATCTGAGCGGTGGAATATGAGGCCTACGATCCACCATCTGATTCGCATCATGAGTTAGTGGCGGTGCCTGTTAAGTCGTGGAGGCGTTGTCTTACCCGGTCCAGAACAGCCATCCTATGATGTGAACTGGAAGTCTGTACTTTTTGTATATCTTCGACACTTGGAGTTTCCTTCTTTTCCGCCTTTGAACGCCCTCGTGTTGTCCGACGCCAGCTTCGACATCGCTTCCGTCTGTGCTAGCTCCCTCTTGCTGCTTATGCGGGACCTGAGGCTTCGCTTGTCCTGGAGGTTGTTCTTGATCGGACTTCTCTGGATAGTCTCTGTCGTTGGCCCCTTGGAGCCGTGTAGATTCACAAGACTCATCCTCTGCTACGCCTAAGCTGGAGGGACACATTCTAGGAATGCATACGCGATACGACACCGAGCAGTGAGAAACGGCACGAGCGGGGGTTTCGGCGCAAGGGGAAAAAATGATGTGAAGAGAAGAGTGTGGCGAACATCAGTCTGATAAGGAGATGGGACGATGTTGCCGCTTGCAGAAAGCTGGGAGTCTGTGCGATCGCGTCGTAAACAGCACCTTGTCAGCCATACTTCTTTTAAATCGTGTCCTAATTATGCGGAAAGTTATTCCTCGACGTTTTCATGATGAATAACTTTTTCTTTCCTCTTTTTCTTATCATCTTCGTCAGGCGTATCGTCACACTTTCCCCAGAGATCACCAACGAATTTCGACCAGCTCTTCCGTCTTAATGAGTCAATGACATCCTCTGCATGGTTAGGACATGAACTGTGTTAGAACAGTGAATGAGTCAACTCGCATAACAGCTGCCAGCCGAACACATATTAGTTGTAGTTGTGCAGCAGTGGGACTTTAACCGCACATCTGAGAGAGTCTGAATGAAATGGATTCCCTCCAGTGTTACTTCAAAATGCGAAAAAAGCCATATAGACGCCTTTTCATGAACGGCAAGTGCAGGTATTGCCTACAGATGTTCGTGTTTCTAGCCACAGATCGGGATTGCGATCCATCCGGGTGACCGCGAAAGCCGGAAATAAGACTGGCAGTGATGACGTCGATGTTTCACCGAAACAGGTGGCGTTTTCGGCGTGGGACAAGAAGGTCCGGATGAACTCTATCTCCAAAGAAAATTTTGCTGATGTCAAATTACCCAGTCTAGACGCACTTGTCTTGCTGGATGCTGTACGATTATAGCTTCACTCCGCAAAATCACTTTTGCAGCGATGGGTTCTCAAGCGGACCCAGGGGCCAACTCCCAGAAGCCAGTCCTGTTCTTGTGAGTGACACTCCCATCCTGCGTCATTTTAGCCTCGGCGGAATTTCGGCTGACATCCGCACGACGCGGTCAACAGCGATATAGATAACTGCCTCTATTCTCGGAGTAAGGGAGTCAGAGACTTATCGTGCAGTCATTTCATAGCTGACATGGCACACAGGTGCGAAAATCTTTGACTTGGTCTCCGATCTAATTGATGATTACTTCGAGAAGCATCTATCTCTCAGCCGCGAGGACGCAGTGCGACTCCATCATGAATACCACAAAAGCTACGGACACTCCATTGAAGGCCTGGTTCGTCATCATAAGATTGATGCGTTGGAGTACAACGCGCAAGTCGACGACGCATTGCCTCTAGAGAACATCCTCAAACCAGACCCGGAACTTCGGCAGCTGCTTGAGTCCATCGACACCTCCAAGGTCCGACTCTGGCTCCTGACTAACGCATATGTCACGCATGCGAAGAGAGTTGTGCGAATTCTTGGCGTTGAGGATTTATTCGAAGGGTTGACCTACTGCGACTACTCACAGAGACCTTTCGTCTGCAAGCCCAACGAGAGCATGTATCGCAAAGCTATGATGGAAGCTGGAGTACATGATGTTGAGAAATGCTTTTTCGTTGGTGCGTTCTTGAACCTCATGTGCAAGCTTTACAAATTTAGGATGACGTCACTAACTTTCGTTCGAAGACGATTCATATGGCAACTGCAAAAGTGCGAAGGCCTTCGGCTGGAGGGTAGCTCACTTTCTGGAGGATGGGTTGCCGGTTCCGGAAAAGCCCGCATCTCAGGATCAGATAAGCCGTCTGGACCAACTGAGGGACATCTATCCACAATTCTTCAAGTCTTAGGACTGGCTTGTTCGACAATAACGATTGAAGAGACCCGGTGGTAGATAAAACCATAGATATAACAGACATAGACTAACAGTAGTAGCGAGCTGAGTCCCTGAATATCCACGCATTCACGCATGAGATGCTGAAATCGAGGAGCTTCAAAGGAAATCAATTCACAGTCTCAGAACTGTAGAGCTCCCCTTGTCCTCGAAAGGCTATGGTTATGCAATAACAATGACAACTCGATAGCGGCAATTCAGCTGCGTACATCGTGCTCCGAAACGATACCTACACAATCGGCAACAAGCATCTGACTTTAGGATAATAATCGGCCTGCATTGGAGCAGCTCCGCAGCTCTTCTTACCCTTGGACTGCTCGTCCTCAATGCATTCAAATTGACCAAGGCCGGAACAAGTAAAAGAGCCTGGTCCTCCACCACCAATTTTCTCAATGTACCTGCAGTCTTTACGGCCAGCAATCAAAATTGGCGTGAAATCGGCTTCTTGTGCGAAGATGGTGGGTGGCCAAGAGTCGGCCAGCTTGATGTCGTCGTCGGCCTTCTTATACCCCACTCTCCTGTCATCGCACTCCCTGCGACTGGTATCGTCCACCTTTTTTAAGAACATGACCCAGTGGCCCTTTGAAATGATGGGTTGATTTGGTAATACCCGGGCCTCTTTCTCCAGTAGGTACTCTACGATGACCTGTTCTGTAGGCTCTGCGGGGGGAGGTTGGGCTTTGGTCGTGGGTGCTGGCGGCGGCGGAACAGCTGTGGTGACTTTTGGAGGCAGTGTTTCTGACGCGGTTGACTCTTGTAGTGAAGATGGGTCCACAGAAGTAACCGTTTCCGATATTGCCGTGGTAGACCCTTGTGTAGTGGCAGCTGTTGTCCCTGAATGACCGGGTCCTGGCGCTGTCATGGTCTGCTCTGAACCAGATGGCTTGCTTTGCTGCGAATGCTCGGCAGAGGATGGGACAGCGGATCTGACCGGGCAGACCTGTCGCTTTTCCGCTGGCCTCTGCGCAGTTTGGCCTTGGAAAATCTGATTCTGCGCCGGGTACCAGCTGGATGTGCGGCCCTCAAGAGGCCTATCCTCAACCCAAACACGCCAACTGGCCTGTCCAGCGCAGCTTTGTGCTGGTTGGTACTGTATGAGCAGCTTTCCGCGCGGTGAACTGATACTCGTGTCACCGATTATGTCGCGTACGGGGTTTATCAATTTTTCAGCATCCTGCTTCTCGGTAGGAACACGGGGAGCGTAGTCAATGACGTCGATTTTCACCTTGGCGAAGGTATTCATCATGTCTTTGTGCAGGTATTCCAGTCGTTGACCGTATAAGAGACTTCCCTCTCGGTAGTTTGGGTTTTGTCGCACATCTTGCGGTAGACCTACCTCTGGACGGGGCCGTGGCGCAAACAAAAAGACCTGGATCGGGAGAGTTGCATCTGCGGGAGTGCCATCGCCAAACATAACGCCGTGATCGCCTGCCTCTGGATCTTTCATGAGATGATCGATGCCGTACTCCATGAACGTTGCGTAAGGATGATCGGAGCCGACGCCCATGTGGATACCAGTGATACCTCTATCCAGAAAAAAAGCCTCTTGTTCGTGGTAGAAGGCCGGTTCCCAGATATGGCTAGCCCATGCGCCCCTCTGAGACAAGACAACCACTGACGTACAACCATATAAGCCACGGACCGAGAGAGCCCCAACATTATCCTTGAAGGAAATCCAGTTGTGGCTGGTTAGATGGTTGCCCATATCTTCGGTGGTAAGAAGGACTTCCTTGGCCTCGTAGCCAGTCTTCTTGTCTTTTATCTTGCGACTTTCCTGGATCATGAAGTCCTGCTGGTTGGCATAGTCGCTGGGGTCGGGCCAGATACCTTGGCTAGGGTTACCACGCTCTTGAAGTTCATGAGGCGATGCCACCTGAGACCTCTTCTGCGAGGCTGGACATCCGTATCGTCCACACGTGTTTTGTTCGCACAGCCACTCTGTCGGGGCACTTATTTCTGTTGTGGTGGTGGTTGCCGAGTTGGAACCAGAACAGCTGGTGATTGTGGTGTAAGCCGTTGTCGAACATCCAAGTACTGTTGGAGGAGGCCCATCTGGTGAGTTTGCTACAGATATAATCAATACAAGTTCGCTGAATTTGTGAAACAGACTTGCTCACTTTTGCTCACCGAGCAAAACACGCTCTCGTGAGTTGCCGTGATGGTTGTAGTACATGAGGAGAGAGTCGAAGTCGCTGACTGGTCATTTGATGTCGCGGATTGCTCCTCGTTCGTCTTCTCGTCATCTTTGTTCTCGTCTTCCGTTGTGTTATCATCATCTGATAATGGGCAATTCCCGATGTTCAGCCCGAAAAGCTGTACGCAGAATTCTGGAACGCGTATTGCGATGTTCGGGGGAAACGAAGTGTAACAGCCAAAACATAGGATTGGTGGTCCCGAGAAGGGAATAATTACTTGAAACATCAGTCATCGTACCTGTGGAATGTTTTGGGAGTTATACCAACCTGGCACGATCGTGGGCTCACCACCTTCAGATGTCGTTGTTGTAATGTAAGTCGGCGAAGTGTACGAAACCTTCGTTATGGTGGACGTTTGCGCCCCTTCTGGCAAAGTAGTTATAGTTATTGGAACTGTTTCTGTGGTAGATGATACCTCGGTGTTGGCGGCGTTAGAAGTACCAGGTGTAATCGCACTGTTGATTGTACTAGCGATGAGGGTGGTGGACGGCCGCTGTGTGACATCAATTACTGCTGCTGCGCTTGAAATCTCTGAAGATGCTTCTCCTAACCCAGATCGGACGCCAGAGATGATTGGGTTTAACTCTTCCGGCCCTGCTGCACTGATGCCTGTGCGGAGATCCAAGATAACATTGAGCAGCCTGCACATAACCAGGTTGATGTGTTGAATAAGACTGCTGTCATCCGAAGTGAAGCCATCGCAGGCTGCAGTTATAATGCCACCCGGAAGGTTGTTAGTCAGACCGCCGACAATAGTTACAATGGGCTGGACAGCCTCGATAGCTGCAGACCCCTGTGCTTTCTCAGGGTTGTCAATCCAGGCAGTGACCGTGGGTAAAGTGCTCGAAATTATCGAGGAGATGGAAAAGACGCTTGACTTCACTTCGGCTCCAGAGGGGTCAAGCTTGCTTGGCAAGGGACCAGGAAGCGTCAGAGTTGATGTGATGGGGCCACCCGATATCACGACCATGGTCTTGGTGACTCCGTCCTGTGGATTTTTGCTCGTTACCAACGTTGATGTTGTAAGAGTGGGATTTGCCGCTGTCCATGAGGACTCCATAGACGTAGTGTATGAGCTAGTTGTCTCCGTGTTTGGCTGTGAAGCGTCAGTCGTGCCGTCGCCAAGTGTCAAATGACACCCAAAGAAAAATAAGAAGGAGATCTACCTCCGCAATGGTTTCGGTTTGGATACCTGTCCCTGGGCCACAAAGACCAAGCTCTTTTTGACGTTGGAAGCGGCAAGTTGGGGAGGCAAGTTCTGGAGCCTGTCGAGCGCTGTGATCCTTGCCGCGGCGTATGAGCCCTTCGACAACAGCTAGTATCAAGGACAATGCAAAGACACGGTAGATAAGCATGATGAGAAGACTGATACACTCAAAAAAACAATAAAAGTAAGTCCAATTTAATACGTTCTGGTTTGAAACAGTATGTAATGATGGGTGTTGCGAATTTGATGGGTGATTGAAGGTAAGTAGACATATGGCAAGTGATATGCCGCACCTTTTATACGATTTTCCAGGGACCAACGAGTGCGAGAACGTCGAAAGGATTCCATGATTTTTTCTGCAATATCTCAAGCCCATGTTCGCTTTGTTTGGGGGCGGGGAGGAAGGTGTGATATTGTGGGGGATATTTGGGGGTGAAGTTGAGCTGTTGATGACCCGAAAAGGCAAGATTGGGTCAAACTGGGCAAGTTCATGTGTCAATCCAACCTTGAACCCTATGGATACGTTGATTCCAAATGTAGTTTACCCTGAGTCTTGGTGTATATGCACATTCGAAGCTTTACTGACTGGACCCCTGGAGGTGCTACGTGGTTGAAGCAATGACTGCTCTCGAACCCATCCAATGGTTCTTAAACCATATGCCATATGATCATCCATGAACTTCTTGAAATTTGATACTTGGATCCGATACATTGACAAACTCACAAACCTTCTTCAGCATTGGCGAGTGCCAATGTATTTATAAGCTTGGGGGCTTAACCCAACATCCAGACGACCAACAGCTGGGTGTGATCGCAGCTCATTTCAGGTGGATTGGTCTGAAACACGTAGACCGTACGTTAGGTGCTTGGGGTCGGTTGATGTTCTCCTGCAGGACCTCGTATGCCTTCTGGGCCACGAAGGAATGTAATAGACCCCAAGTCTGGCCGCGCTCTAAACTGTTTTATTGTCCCAACCAACACTGCTTTTACAGGCGCCTAACGTCCAACCACACACAACCTAGCCATGTACGAGGGCGTGATGGGAATAAATCGGTCTAAAAATAAGGCAGATTCCTTCCCCGCTTGAGGTCGTGATTTGATGTTGTTGGTCGGAACGTCACGTGGTCTTCCCCGCAATGGCTGGCTGTGTTGCCTACTTAAACCATTTGCGATGCCCAACACTTTCGTACTGAATGACTATCGGCTCTCGACCTGTCTCATCCTTTCCGAATGCCATCAAGAAGGTGCCTACAGCGTCTTCTTCAATACTCCCTCAATGGATCAAACAGAACGTTTTCGGCTTATGCTGGAGCGGATCAGCACCATTAAAGAGATCAATGACATAAGAAAGAAAGCTACGCTGTTAGGACTTGAACCTCGTATTTACGAAACTCTCAATCAACACTTGGCAGCTCGTTGGGCCCATCTTCCGCCTCTACCTTCACGACTTCCACGGCCAGAATACTGTGTTGTGCCCGACGTCATCAGTCAAGACGACGACGAGATCCGCTTTTACGTGGCTTGTGAATTGGGCCTCCTTGACGAAGTCGACGCTTTCATGCAGCAAAACAGACCAAGCCAAGCTGTGCGTCAATACGCCCTCGAGCAAGCTTCGTTTGGAAATCAACCAGCCGTTGCGAAGTACCTTCTGGAACACGGCACGAGTCTACACGGCAATGTCTTTGGGCGAGGGTTTCTTGTCCAATACGAAGAATTTGCCTACATAAGAGACGACGCCATCTTTGATGAGTATCAGCCGGAAATCAATCTTCTGGCTCTTCTCAACGTCTTTCTCGCCTTTGGTTGGCACCCTAACCAGGCATGGAGCCGGGGCCAATACGATGAGGGCAGGACGCCGCTGCCTTACGAAGGGTGCCTCGCCAACCGACAACTCGTCAAGCTCCTGTTGGAACACGGCGCGGACCCGAACATCGGCGCTGAGTCTCACAGGCAGGAAGGAAATCCACCAATGAATCGGCAAGGCGGAGATGCGCTCAACAGCGCCGCGCGACTCGGGGATGTCGTGCTCGTTGACCTCCTCCTGGCCCACGGGGCTGATCCGGCATTCACAGCGCCGCTGCATAGCATCGTATCGTGCCAGATAGCAATGCCTGAGCATCTCCGGCATAAATTCACCTTCACGGGGGTGCCTTTTGCAAGGCGGCGCCCGATGGCTGAGCATCTTCTCGCTTCCGGGGCTTTCTGCGTGAACGATGTGAGAAAGGTACCATGCCTTGACACGGTCGCTATTCAACCTCGTAGCAAGTTTGAGACGACCGTTTTTGCACATTGCTGCGCAGCTCAAGACTGGGAGTTTGCTGAATGGGTGCTGGAGAAGGGGGCGGACCCGGGTTTGCTGAATGGCAAGGCGTTTTGGGGCGAGTGTTACTCATATCCGCATATTGGTCCAACTGATCCTGAGACTGTGAAAGAATTGGTGAGGAGAGTTACTGCAAGACGTCTAGCGAATGATTCCGATGAAGATTGTTAGACTTTAGACCTCTGCCTTTGTAGAATTTAGATCTATGTTGATTTAACCATTGAGGCAGCATGAGGAATTTCGGGTTAATGTATATGCGTCTAGCGTATCTATAGCTCATTATGAAACTACGAAGTGGTTCCAATCGTTTAAGCAAATAACTAAGAGGGAACTCTATTAAGTGGGACCTTATCAGGGATAACGAATTACTGGAGCGCACGCGCTAGCCGATTCCGGTGACTGCCGCTTGTCAGAAACCAGAACATCTGGCTGGATGGCACTCGTCTTCGTCCAATTCCTCAACTGCTAGAATCCCAGACGACACTCATCAATCGCAAGAATAAGACGAACTACACTCAATCCTTCAATTGCCATGGCTTGTGGCTCGGGATGTTGCGATCCACCACGTGTGGAGGCAACTACTGCTGCCGACCGAGGTCCCTCCCTTGAACGCGGTGGCTGTGACGACGCGACGTCTTGCGTTGACAACAATGTCAACTCGTCTGCTCATGAAACCGTCATCCAAGACAGGGAAAGCTGCAAAGATGGCTGCTGTGACTCTTCTGGCGACAAGATGGTGTCCGCTGATAGCTCTATGGCAGCAGTCATCGACAATAAGGGCGATAACTGCCTGAAGGGTTGCTGCGGCACGGGAGAACATGCAAACGCTGAAGGCTTCAAGGAGGCTTCATATGTCGGCCTGTTGAACAAGGAACGCCAGAAAGGATGTTGCGTTTCGACTCTTGCCGTTGATTTGGCTGGTTCTGGCTGCACAGAAGCTGCTGGCGACGACCAGGATGACTGCTGTGGCGAAAAGCCGAGCAAGGAATCCGATGCCAAACCCGCCCGCGAGATTGCAGGTAAAACATACCATGGACAGAGGAGAAGAGTATTTGATAGAAGGCATATTGCTAACACGCGAGTATAGCCAGTTCCTGCATCGGCAAGATTGATGGGCAACCGGGTGAGTGTTGCTCGCCCAAGCCCGTCTTAGACGGCGGCTGTAAGAAGGGTTGCTGTGGCTCCATGGCCGAGGCCAAGCCTACCGAGAGCCTTTCTATCATCTCTAACAAGGAGGATCAGTGTGCCCCGAAAATCAAAGTGGAAGACGATTGCAAGAAAGGCTGCTGTGGCTCCGCGATCGAATCCAAGCCTTCCATGAAGCGTGCTGCCGTTAGTGCTGTGGAAGGCAACTCCGGCCCCGAGAAGGCCAAGGCTGAAGACGATTGCAACAAGGTGTTTTGTTCAGCTCGCCCAGCCATGGTTGAACAGGATCCAGCCCCTAGCTGCTGTGAGGGCAAAACCTCGCCTTGCTGCGATACGACCTGCATTGAACGTCTAGCCCTTAGAGAATGCACCGGCATCAAGCGGACGGCTTCCCGCGCTTCTGGAAAAGGTTTGCCACACCTAGTCCTAGATACATCTATAAGACTGACATTGAAGTTGCAGCATCTCTCGGTGCGGATAGTTGCAATGGTGGTCGAGATGGAAAGCCATGCCGCGGCCATTCCAGAACCATCCGTGAAACCTACCAAGCCAAGCTAGATGCCCTCGGTTGCATTTGTCGTGCCCTTCTAGCCCTTGGCCAAGAGTCTTGTTGCGCCCCCCGGGAGAGGTCATCCATTGAGAGGAAGAGAGTTTCGGCCGTATCGCTTCGCTCCCGCGCGTCCATCGACTCATGCTGCACATCTGGACCTAGCAAGTCAGCCTGTACGACCAAAGCACGCCCCAGGACCAAGAAAGGCTGCCGCCCACGCACCCCGAAGCCCAATGGAGGTGGGTGTGCAGAGGCTTGTTGTGCCGAGCCCGCCACTCCTAGCATTGCGGCCTCATGTGCGGATTCCTGCTGTGGCGATGAAACGCCGCCTCCCAAGAAAACAGGCCCTGAAGTGACCAGTACCGTTGACCTCGAAAGAGGCACCTCCGGAAGGGAGCACGTCATTCTCAGCATCTCGGGCATGACCTGTACAGGCTGTGAGACGAAGCTCAAGCGAACTCTGGCAACCCTCAACGACGTCAGGAATCTGAAAACAAGCTTGGTGCTCGCCCGCGCTGAGTTCGACTTGGAGATTGGCAGTCAGTCGGCAGAGGATGTCATAAAACATCTCGAACGAACCACCGAGTTCAAGTGCGAGAAAGTCACTAGCCAGGGCGCCAGCATTGACGTTCTGACACCTGGATCACCCGACGACTTCATACATCAATCTTGGCCTCAAGGTGTCACAGACATTCGAGTCGTCGACAAGAATACTGTTCACGTAGAGTTCGACGCTGAGGTTATAGGGGCGCGGGACTTGGTCGAGAGAGGATGGGGTAACCCCGTGAAGCTGGCTCCTCCTCGTGCGGATCCAACCCTTGAGGCCGGTAGCAAGCACGTTCGCGACATTGGGTTGATGACTTTGCTCTCTGCCGTCTTGACCATTCCTGTTCTTGTCATGGCCTGGGCGCCCTTGCCTGAGAATGAGATCGCGTACGGCTCGGCTTCACTGGCACTTGCCACCATTGTTCAGGTGGTTATCGCCGGTCCATTCTATCCAAAGGCCTTGAAGAGTCTGATTTTCTCGAGAATGATCGAGATGGACCTGCTCATTGTTCTGAGCACGAGTGCTGCCTACATCTTTTCAGTTGTATCCTTTGGCTACCTTGTCTCTCACCAACCCCTCTCGTCCGGCGAGTTTTTTGAAACGAGCACATTGCTCGTAACTCTTATCATGGTAGGCCGGTACGTCAGCGCTCTTGCGCGGCAGAAGGCCGTCGAGTCTATCTCGATTCGATCTCTACAGGCAATCAACGCCATTATTGTCGACTCAAGCGGCCAGGAGAGGGAGATTGATTCTCGGCTTCTGCAGTACGGCGATGTCTTCAAGTTGGCTCCAGACTCTCGGGTTCCTACAGATGGTACCGTCATCACTGGATCATCTGAGCTGGACGAATCCATGATAACTGGAGAATCTAGGGTTATTGAAAAATACCCAGGCTCCCCAGTAATAGCTGGCTCAATCAACGGTTCCGGCACTCTCAGCATCCGGCTTACTCGACTGCCAGGAGACAACACTATCAGCAACATTGCAGGAATGGTTGACGAAGCCAAGCTATCCAAACCCAAAATCCAAGATATCGCTGATCGCGTTGCAACATACTTCGTACCGGTGGTGGTTGCCATCACAATCATCACCTTCGTCATCTGGGTCGCTGTCGGTGTCGCTGTTCGCAAAGAATCCGGCTCTGAGGCAACCATCCGTGCCATTACATACGCAATCACCGTTCTCATCGTCTCATGTCCATGCGCCATCGGTCTCGCTGTTCCAATGGTGATTGTCATTGCGAGCGGCGTTGCGGCCGAACGTGGCGTCATCTTCAAGTCCGCAGACAGTATCGAGGTCGCCTACAAAACGTCGCACGTCGTTTTTGACAAGACTGGAACCCTCACAGAAGGAAAGTTGAGCGTGGCCAGAGAATGCTACCTCACTGATCATCAGGGCGCAACGCAAGCGCTCCTTCTGGGCCTCGTAGGTGGCATCAAGCATCCCGTCTCTGCTGCCGTGGCCGCCCACATTAAGAAAAGTGGCATGTCACCTGCGCCGGTATCCGATCCCAAGACTTTGACTGGAAAGGGTGTCGAGGCAACCGCATCTGGAAGCGTGCTTCGCGCTGGCAACTCGAGGTGGCTAGGCCTCTCGTCCGATCACAACGTGGGGTCCATCTTGAGCCAAGGACTCACTGCTTTTTGCTTCACGGTCGACGGCAAATTGGCTGCAGTGTTTGGTCTCCAGGACTCGGTGCGGTCCGACGCTCGCGACACAATCTCCCAGTTGCAGATCTCTGGCATCTCGGTTCATGTACTTTCCGGTGACGACGACGGGGCCGTCCGGACAGTTACATCGCAACTGGGGATCTGCGAAAGCAACGTGCGTTCTCGTTGCACCCCCAAAGATAAACAAGAATACATCCAACGTCTTCTGGACACACCCTCCCTCGACAACAACGGAAAGCAGAAAAAGCCAGTTGTTCTTTTCTGCGGCGATGGTACAAACGACTCCGTCGCATTAGCCCAGGCTACCATTGGCGTACATATGAACGAGGGCACTGACGTGGCCAAATCCGCTGCTGATGTAGTTCTGATGCGCCCCAGCCTTGCCGGGATCCTCACCGCCATCGCAATAAGCAAGAAAGCCATCAACAGGATTACTTTCAACTTCGGCTGGAGCTTCGTCTACAACCTGTTTGCCATCCTGCTTGGGTCCGGGGCTTTTGTCAAAGCCCGAATCCCTCCGGAGTTCGCTGGCCTTGGCGAGCTCGCTTCTGTCTTACCCGTCATCGCCGCCGCCGTGCTTCTGCGTTGGACTAAGGTCTAAAGTGATCATCGATACAGGATATCGGTGGTGGTGCAAAACACATGGCGGGAAACTTGCTCAGGAGAGGGCGTGTGACGGCCAAGGGGGGGCGCTTGAGGAGGTGCGTCGGAGGCAGTTTCAACATCTGTCTTACGTATGTTCTTTGGAATCGGAAATTAGGTAGTACTGGTTGACCGTTGCGTGTGAGTTCAGCGGTGGCAGCGTGCTGCCACTTCAGGAAGGGCTTTTTCTTCACACACTCTTTACATCCTTGTAACCAAGAAGTATCAAATAGAAGCAGAAGTTTGCTTCGATTGCCAAATGACGAAGTCACTGCTTGGCCCTCAGGATCCCACCTCACTACTCCAGAAAGGGTTGTCGCTTTTGCATGATGTCCATCAGCCACCAAGCATCCACCGCTATGTAGCAGTGGCACAGGGCCGTTCCGTCGTTCAGTTGATTCAACAACACACATTAGACTGCCTTTTGATCGGTCCATAGATATTGTGTTAGAGACGGACCACCGCAGAATTTCGCGATGGAGGGTATGTTACGTCCGTAACCCGGCACCTGCAGTCAAGCCCCGTGGGACGGAATCGTGCGAGCCGCGTCTTAGCGTGTTGGACGGGGAGGGAACGTCGAGTACATTTGCCCGAAGTAACTTCAACCCTTAGAGTACTTCGTGATGTCTAGATCCCACATTCGTGGGCGCTTCCGTTCTCAATTTTCCATCAGAACAACTGAAGCAAATCAGTTGAGATTTCAACAAGGTAAAGCAGCCTGGTGTTACTGTTTTCTGGCGAAGACTCATCAAATTTCACAAGAAATACATTGATGCCGAGACGCATGCAAAAATGTTGATGTTGGTATCGATGTTGCGGCGAGATGAAAGTTAGGTTACCTAAGTCGAGCGGATTTCTGCGGAGCTTACTCCGCAGCCGAGGTCCTCATTCTGCCATCCGAATCTGAACTGTCGTGCCGCGGCACCATGTCAACGGAGAGACAGTACGTAAAGATAAGCGCGAGATCAGTCGCGAGATCAGTGCCCACTGGAACGGCATGTATCCTGTGCGGCTGTGATAATGATGCTCGATCTTCAGTCGCCCCGTCATAAACATCCATCGGGCCAAGCGTCATAGTCATACCGCACGATGTAGAAGTCTTGAATTCATATCAAGAGCCATTCTTCGACAAGGCATTCGGGCTTAATCGGGTATGAAGCCCGCGGGCACCGTGTTCTTTCCTTTTCCTGGGGACAGGACCGGAGGCCCTCCGTTGCTCTCGACTGGAGTACCGGCTACGTGTTTCTTCGTCGTCTGCCGTGGGACGCCAATGTGGAGCGATGTCACACATGCATCAAAGTGAGTGTGAGTGTGAGACACGGCCGCATTAGTGAGCGGCTTGCAGCACCGCATGTGAGCAACCCACCGACGGATGAGGCACCCTAGCGCCGTGACTGCCGCGCGAAGGTCGATTCGTTGCCAGCCTTGCCCTTCCGCACCCTGTGGAAGACGATCTGGATTCGGAATCGGTTTGGAAGATTGTACAATGCACGGGACGGGCAGCTAGTCATCTACTCGCAGGCCGCGCCGTTAGATTGTGGGTCGGGCGTTCTGACTGGCGCCATGCCGGAGGCAGCATCCCCGACTTGGCGCAGTTCGCTATCTCTGAAATAGTCTCCAGCTCGCACCACGCAAACATTCTCCTGAAGTCGGTCCTGCAGCCTGCGTCATTGCAGGGATGTATCGCAATCCAAATGCGCTTTGCTTACGTACCTCAGCTTCGGTGCCTTAGTGGCGCGGTTTTTTGGTAGAAAAGGATCAACTGAGTAGTACGAGTTGAATCCGACCCATTAGCTGCTGGATTTGAGGGTCAACATAGGGACCGGCACCTATTACTTTACTTATCTCTCCGGAGGGACTCGAACACGAAATAAGTGGGTACATTCCATCCGGGACACGGCCTATACGTCCCCGGAGACGGCGCTCCGCTCCGAAGCCATGGAGCTGGTGTCCGCGACTCCACTCGTATCAAGCCAATCAGAATAGCAGAGACTAACAGATGACCCACAAATCATCCATGTATCCTGCAGTACGTTCCGCGTGTGCACCATCTCATCTGACATGAGTCTCCTGTCTGCACCGGCAGGCAAAGCTTTTAGATGGGTTAGGAGACCAGTCTAAGCTGTATTGACTTGCAGTTATCGAGTTATTGGCGGCTTTTCTGGGCGCGCAGCGCATTTAATAGAAATATTGTCATTAAAGAGAATTACTAGAACAAGGAGAATGTGCGAGGAGATGCCCCTCGCTACCTAAGACATGGGCTGCTTGATGACCTCGTCTGCGCTATCTAACTTGCGGTGTGACTATGAAGTGTTCGACTCGCAGGTTCGTACACAATCGGCTGCTTTACCCGGAGGAGGCTACGACCAATAACAGATATTCATGGCTAAGGTAGCCATAACACAGCACTAGCCAGAAGTTGAGTACCTACCCAAGATGGCGTTTTGCCGTGTCTGGCTTGTATTGTTACGTGTCTGCGGAGTAGACTATCCTGGTCTTGAGCTACTGCATCCGCGCACCTTCTGGAAAAGCAAGTGTGCATTGGATGGGCTGGACAGGGTCGAGCCGGCCCTTCCTGCCTCGTAGGCTCGTCCCGGCCCTCGCCTGGAGTAAGGCCGACATCGAACATGGAGACAAACGTATCTGGAAGCTCGAATTGAAGAAGTACTTCTCAGGTACATCTGAAATGCTGTGTAGGTCTTAGGATTTTGATACACCGTAGGACGTAGTGGGATGAATCTCATGCAGACGTAAAGCAGGGTTCAGATTGGACTCAGATTAGGGTCTCTGTCTCTGGCAGCGGCACGACGCACTGAACACCCACCAGCACGGCCAGGCCAGCCACCTGAAGCATGCTCTTTGCTATTGAAAATTGCGTTGAATGTCAGTGCAGTAGACGTACCCCTGGTGCCACATTGGAGTTGTCTCTTTTCTCTCTCATTTGAAAAGGAGGATTTACAGAATCTCATTACGGCATCCCGGGTCTAGTGTGTCTGATTTGAGTGCGCCATCGAAAGCTTTTCCAAGGCTTAGGGGCTGATACAACAGTACTGCTAAGACGATGCTGGTGGCTGTGTGGAAACGATGTTGAAAGAAGTCTGGTAGGCTTACATGAAGGGGAAAGTTCAAAATGCAGCGGCATTACGATTACGTGTAGCCTAGCTCATCATGTTGCAGGATAAGCTCCGTGACCTACATAGTAGTGTTAGTGTATGAAACTGTAGAGTGGATGGGTGGGTGTCACTTGGTGGACACACTTGACGAAGGGCATTAGCAGTTTGAGGCATTGCCTGGATTCGGATGAAGGACTTTGTTGACCAAAAAGTCCAGGACATAAAGTATTTGCGTGTTGTGATGGACTGCGTCCCTGCACCATGTCCGACTTCGGGGAGAGTTTCCAAGGTGGATCAGTAATGGCAATAAAGGGCGAGAAATCATCGCGCCAGGGTCGACCAACAGATACATACTGCCACACAGTGTGAGTACTAAGCCACTGTACTCAGATGACCTAGATTTAGAGATGGGCTTGCACGGGGAGTGAGGGGCTTTGCTGCAGGAGCCTGCCGTTGAAGCCAAGGTATGGAGGTGGAGGTGGTTCTCAAAGCTCCAGCTTAAACCTCAGCGGATTTGAGCTGAACTTATTCAAGTCTCATACCTATGTTGCCTGAAATATCACCTTGCTCTGCGGGATCAGCAGGCTTGCCTCTAGGAGGTGGCTTTCTGTCACCTCCCCGGCAGGCAATCTCGAAATGGGGGCTGGCAAGTGGGAACACTGCCCCTCCCTCTTCTCTCAAAATGTACCCAGATGCATGAGAATAGAACGATGCCCCGGATGATTTGGCGAATGGAATCAATGCAGCCACCGGAGCACCGCCGGCTCCGCCCGCCTATCATGGATCACCGTCGTTTGATATCAACTTCCAAAAAAACATAAGCGGCAGGCTGAGCGGCGTGTCTCACTTTCAATCGTATGGTGGAGTTAAGACACGTATCCATGCCGCAAGACGGATCACTAAAAACGTATGGGTGAGAGCTGATATCATTTATGACAAAGTTGGAGTGGCCTACGTGCCTGTATGCTTGATCCTACAGGATACTACGCCTGCAGCACACACAGAAGAGCGTAACTCCTCATTTACAGCCTGTGACGATTTCTGGTAATGTCCGTGACGGACACTGAATATTATGGCGACGCCATCCGCTGGATTGCGAAAAAGTTGAGCTTACCAGTTGTGCAGAGAAAGCGACGAAGAGGGTGTGGTGCCGGGGTCAGGGTATACGCTTAAAGCCACCATTCCAGACCTTTTCTTGCGATTTCTGGCATACACAACAATCCCGATTTCCTAATTTGCATTGCGCGGCGAATTGCAGTTTTCCGGTATACACATGTACCCGCGAACTCTTCATCTAGCTGGGATTGCCTAGCGGATCTAAGGAACAGGTCTATAAAAGCAAATCAGTAAAGTCACTGGGTCTGAGTCTGTGTGGGGGAGCCTGTCAGATCAATGACAGCTGGCGAACACGCTCCTTCTAGGTCGACACCAAAACAGCTTATCTCAGTGGATTCCGTCAGTATCCTGGTATCTAAAGCTGAGCATCCGCACGAGAGCAGGCAAAGGAGTCTGTGTTCGAACTATTTACGGTCTCATCAAGTGTGATTTGGTGATTTGAGACTTCCAAATTTGTTCTGTTCAGTGCAGCTGCCCTGTCCTGATTAATTGCGCGCGGAAAATGAGCTCACATGCCTCTTGATTATGTTCGAAAACCACGCTCGTCAGAAAACCCCAAAGCGATGATATTGTATTTTCGCATCGATGGCTAAGCATTTAATTTCCTTGCACCTCAAAAACAGATACACAACATTGCTCCTATAAACATCCAGTCTGGCGAGACGCTGCTAGTTGCCTTTTATTTTGAACTCTCACGCATAAGGAGCTATGGACGAGGCGATATCAAAACTCCGTAGTGCGTTGAAAGATTCTATGTAATCTGTATAGCCCATCTGAGCCACTGGATCGCCCAATAGAACAGAGAAGTTTGGTCTAAAACTAGCTGAAACCTTCGCTGCGCATTCTTCTTCACGTGATGCTTGTAGAAGAGCGTCATTGAAGATTGATCTTTCTTTCGACTCAGATCCACCACGTGACTACAAGCTGAAATTATTAGGCCGACAACTTTTTCTTTTCTTACAGCCCGAGCTACTTCAGCATCTCCCCATCCGGGCCGGAGACCAGGTTGTTGTAACGGTCACAGTTCGCTCGTTTGCAACGGGACCCTTTCGGGGCATCACCATCCTTGGAGCAGTGGCCCGAACATTGTGCCCACCTTTCACGGCTAGACAGGTTATCGGATCATGCGGAGAGCTAGCTTCTTGGCGAGACACTGCTATTCGTCGTTTAATTACTATGCAAAAACCCTGCAATGCCTTCTTTCGGCGATTTGTCTCCTCTCTCAAACTCCAAACCAATCATGACTTCATATCAAGCTCAAATCTCTAGAAAACGGGCATTCCACCGCCCTGGAGATGAACATATCACTTTTACTGATCTTCGACCGGCTCCTTCTCTCGATAAACGCCCCTCACGCCTCACGCCTTACAAGATACAATAATGCGAATGTTCCATCTGGACCCTGCAAGAACCTGCGAGTGACACCGGCTAGCGGTGGAGACAGCTTCCCAGTCGATCTAGCAGCTAGCCCTCCTTTCTATCAGCCATACCAATACCAGCAGACACGGTACATGATATGTATCATATACGATGGCAATGGGACTAGTACCAGCTCTCGTGAGGTTGAATGGTCAAGTACCCGAGAAAAAGCAAGCGACCCGGCAGAGCGTGAAGGCAATCTGCAGACAAAGTGATCCTCATGTTTGGCTGGCCGAATGACGGCGTTCTTAGCTCAAATTGCCTGAGTATATCCCATTGACTCTTTCCCATGATCCTTTCCATCAAATCTCACACTGTTCTTACAACCGGCAAATATTGTTCCACTGCCGCCTCTTCTTTTATTCTTGTCTGACAGAATTCCTGACAGAATTCCGGACGATTTGCCCACGTCACTGCTCACATGAGCTAGCCTTCTGCCAGTCACACACGAATATCTGACAAGATCTATCAGATCACAGGCCGAGATCGTTGGTTTTGACCCGAGTCTGTGGTCCGCTTGGGTGCTCCCAAGTAAGAGAGGGGTCCACACTGGACATGTTGTTAAGCTGAACTGGGAGCCAACAACGTCAAGTACTGTTAGGTACTTTCGTCGAGGGAAGAGACAAATCAGCAGTCAGCAATGGAAGTCGAGTGTTGGGTCGAGCCAAACCGGACCGACGGCATGGTGAGTTCACGCCACCTTCTATCTAGGTGTCCGGCTTAGAAGCAACACTGAAGTACGATTACTGACCGACGGATCAAGGTCTCCGAGGAGAACTACTACACCAATAGCCAGACCCCAGTTTATGCCAGCTTTTCGTCTTCGGCAGCAACAGCGCACACTCCTTATGATTACTCTCGGGCTCAAGTGAGCGTATTCCAACCTTTTCATGGCCTGCAGACTACCGCAGGGCCAGATCCTTCTGTGAACGAAGCCAATTTCAACCTCGAATGGGCCAGAGTCAATTCAATCGGAGATTCAGGTCAGCAAAGATATTCAGTTGAAGGTGTCCAAGGCCAGCCTGGATCTTTCATTGCAGCATCTATGCATCAAGTACCCGGTTCCGGAACCTTACCCGGATTTCCTTCGGCCCATTCGCACCACGGCGCTGAGAGCGTTCCTTCGGTCCCTCAAGATTTCTCAGGTCACAATCTCTTCACCAACCCCCATGGCATAGCCCCAATGCAACATCCACAAGGAATTCGGTTTTCTATGATTTCTGCATCAGCATCTCAACCGTGTATGTCGCCATCTGCGAGCACGCCGGGTACAACACATATCGCATCCCCTCCTTCTATCACTTCCACCACGTCTTCACAATCGACTTTTGGATCCCCAGCGGAGTCCTTTTGCTACTCTCCTCCTTCCGGCATACAGAGTCCTAGAGCTGCGGCTCCAGAGTTCTCAACGGGCGGCCCCTACAAGCAAGAGCCACCCACGAACATCTCCTTCGTTGGTGGAATTCCGGCCAATCCTCAGCTTAGGAATGATTCCGACACCAATACTGGAACACCTCGACTACGGTCTCCTGCAATATGGCCATCGCAGCGACCTCCTGACCATTTGCAGGACTCACACGGAGACTATTCTGATATCATGCCGCCTCCTCCGGTGAAAAAACAGAGGAACATCGACAAGGGGCTCACCAAGGCACCAGTCAAAGTTTCCAGCCGCAAAAGGTCATCCAGGGACGAATACGAGAACGCGCCGCCAACGAAAGAATCGGCATGTATTCGTTGCAGGATGCAGCATCTACATGTATGCCTTCACCCATGTATTTCATTGGATGTGAGCTAACACCTCGGACAGTGTATTTCGGACCACAGCAGGCCCAACGCCCCATGTGAGACTTGCTCTAAAGTCAACATGAGGTCAGCTAGAGTGGTTCATCGGCAACTCTGCTTTCGAGCAAAAATAAGCGACATGCATCTTTCCTGGCCGACCTTCCTGCAAAATGTCGGTATTACCAACCGGACGAACCTTGCCAGACAAGACATCAAAGATTTGTCTGGTAAGACTGTTGAGGTCATGATGAAGACTCGAGGACTATGCGAAGATGCTTTCTCAATTCAGATCCGCAAGTTCAGCCCCAGGAAGAACGAGAACGACAAGGTCAACTATGAGTGGGTAGGTCCCGGAGGGCCAACGAATGTCAGAGTCACTGATGTTCCACCCTATGCTCTTGACGACATCACTGCAACAGCCCGCGAGTTCAGAAGCTACATGAATCGGAATGCACTCAAGAGTTGGGAAGACCAGATCAAGAGAAAGGCCATGGATCCTCTGGTGCTTGAACACTACAAAGAAGCACTGGCTCATTATCATCAACTTGATGGTCCTAATGAAGAACGCGAACTTCTATTCAACCTCTTTGTGTTTCGATTCGCCCTTCGTAAGTTATCAACTCCTAGTTCAGGAGAATCTTTGGCTGACTGCCTTTCCTGGAGATCACTGCACCAGCCCTTCCTGGATCTATGAGGACGGCACTGGAAGTTACAGATGTCTCGGAAGGTCCCTCATTAGGGATGACGGTCATCCCTTACGGGGGCGAGTTCCAACTCCTCGAATGGTTGTTGCGCAACTCCATGCAGTCGCTTCGAAGTTGATGGAGGATGCTGGAAAGGAGGTGCTCGCAGGTCTTCAAAAGCTGTATGGAAGAGCCAAGTCTGGCCCATTTTTTACAGTTTACGTCGTAACATTCTTGTTGCTCCATGAACAGGCGAAAATGATTCAACAGCAAAGATGGAAAGCAAGAGCTGTGTTTAGCGGCGTCGTGGTAAGTCTCCTGCCTCTCTTGGGTGTAATCTCAAACGACTCTGGATGTTGACCAAACCCGCCAGGATCCGAACCAAGACAATGCGATCGGAGACTTCCGGTCGAAGATGCGGAACAACGCGGAGATTTTGCTGCTGCATTGGCACTATTACAGAAGAGCCCCAACTCATCTGGCCGACGCAAATGACACAGAGAAGGATGATTACGCTCACGACTACGTCAACAAGGGTTTCTTAAATGATATCGAACCGGAGAAAAGGTCTCTATATCTCCACGCTCGCACTGAGCTCGCGAGCAAGGATTCTTACAATAAGAGTAGGTGGAAGATCTTTGACTCTTGATTATGATTAAGTGCTAATGTATGACTAGGATTCCCAACGAGCTCTGTCGAATGGATCGAACATGGCTTGTTCTGGCCATCTGAGATGTTTGCCAGTGATTGGGTTCCGGAGTTGGAGCGGGAAAAGACTATTCCCGCCGCGATGGCGGGCAAGAGCTGGGAACAAGTTGCTTACACCCCCAGAACACCTCCAGCCGAGCCAATGGCTATTGAAAATCTGGAATTCAACCGCCAGAGAAAGAGAAGGAGATGATACTTTCATTCTCGGTCACAGTGTCACGTGCAATGGCTTTCACGAACTTATGACTTCATGAATGCATTGTGGCGAAAGCCTGGGAGCACGGTTGAAGCTGAAATTGTGTAAGCTACGCAATGTAAGACCAGATATGTTTTGTTGCACGTATGGCGTTTTTCTCGTAGCATCAGCTTTAGGCAAATATGTTCATGTTGTGTCGTTGTTCAATCATGAGATAACAATGAGATTTAAAGAGACTTTGACCTTGCTTTTATTACTCTGATCTCTTAGTTATTCATGTCTTTGTCTCGAGTCCAAGAACAGCATTGTGGCGAGGTGACACATTGGAGGAGATCAAAGTAAGTGAGTTAAACCCAAGTTGACAAGCACATTTCTTTAATCTGTTGGTTATTAAAGTATTGAGATCGTTGAATACAATAGTAGTAGACAAGATCTCAATCCACAGCTTCTATTTTTTCTGACAGATCAATTCTGACGGAATATTGCCAGCCACCTGAGAGGTAGTATGGATCTTAAGGCCGACAACTCTCAAATTCTCACTGTCGTATTTTTATCAGGAACAAGTGCATTGAATTTAGAAAGAATTAAATATCGATGAAATACAGCTCCCACTTTCGAACACCCATATTAGTTTCATAACAACCAGTCGATGCAAAAACGATCGCCACACACGCAACTAACGTGACCTTGATGAATGAGTTTTCGTGCTCGTCTTTCCCGAGGATGATTTGTGTCTCTTAGAAGAGGCATACTCCAAATCAACCTTGTACTGTGACCCTCGACTTGAAGAGACAGAACTATGTGAAGTGGTACTTGGTGCGGTTGACTTATATGAGACGCTACTGTGAGAGGAAGAACCAGACGTAGATGATGACGTCGCTACTTCATCGCCCTCCACAGGTAGAAATCCGTTGACCCTGGATACAGCAGAGCCCCGGCGGTGAGACCGGGTGGCAGAACTGTACCCGAACTTGCGACTAGCCGTCCCCTTGCGAAGTTCGCCAAACGTCATGTCGGGGGTTGTCACACGCGTCGGTACTGTTGATAAGTAATCAGATGTGCCAGCTCACATTATGGGGAAGAAGTAGACTCTTACGGTAGCGTGCACATTCTGCGCAACAGCCGTGGTCACATGTCTTGGTTTCCTCGGCAGCCATGTCATCGAGTTCATGCAGCGGCTTTGGCATTGTGCACCAGCCCTGTGTGTTGGGACCTTGTCCACATTGACAGCAGGTCCAAGCCCCTCCCATTGCCTTGTACTGGCAATTGAGCAGAGGGCAGTCGGCGTTACTGGGTTGAGCGGTTGCGTAACTGAGATGGGTGCAGGGAGTCTCGACGCCGGTCTCAAGATCGATCAGAGCGGATGGGCAGTAGTGCCAGTTGATTGACGTATGGGAGCAAGGATGCCAGCGAGGATGACCGTGACACATTTCGAAGGTTGTGAGATTTCAAGAACGCGGTTTCAAACTCCAAAGTAAAGTATTGTGATTGTAATGGCGCCGATAGCTCACGATGATGCAAAGGCGAAGAGAACATTACTTCACTGCATGCACTAGCCGCACTTTATATACTTTACATGCCAGAAAAACCAAGCGAAGCTGCAAGAGATGCTTGCTTGGTAGCAGACAAGTGGCTTTGGCATGATCACTATTCGATCCAGTCTGTCGATTGACGCCTCATTCACTTGCTTTTCCCGCCAGTTCTGACACATATTAACTTCTCACCAACCATCTCAAACATGATCACGTTTTCGCATCAAATCTGTCATCATGGCCGCTTCACCGACAGTAAGGGTTGTACCACTCTGCAGTGGAGCTGGCCCAAGTTGACTCTATCGGGACCCAATGTCTCGGAACTCGATATTGTTGATTATGGTGGCGTGAATAAAGTGCTGCACTACCACCAACCAGAGGAAAGCCTTGTGTGGATGACCAATTGGAATATTGCGCGACGTAGTTCAGAGACATGAAGGACATCGAGGGCAAATCTAGGTGAAGTCCCCGATGGGTGCTTGCAGCTGAGGTTACACCGATCCACGTAAGTATTGAATTACGGCGATCTCGAGCAACCTAGCTCGGTCACACGACTGATGTGCGCTTCCATGAGTTGGAATTAGTCCACGAGTCAATGAATAGGGGGGAACAACTCCGGTCTCCCGGTGCCTGGGTACTGGAGATCTTTCTCTGGATAAGGTGAACAATGTGTCTCGTATTCACTGAGTCGGAGGGGTCTTACGATAATCATGAGACTTCCGGACTGAAACTCAGCCCAGAACTATGGTTCTAATGTCGGCTGCTGATAAACATGAGTGGATGAGTAGCCCGTGGCGTTGGTAATGCAGGTGAGGTGGCTGGATCGAAATGCAAGACTGCAGGATCTGGAGGCTGATTAGAGGTTCCTCTCATCTGGGTATGTGAACAGCATTCGATCTTGCATTTGCAGTAGCATTTGGCGTTTTGTGCGAGCGCCAGTAGATACGGATCCCATTGCCAACTAATCAAATCAATCCCAAAGCCTACATAACGACCACACAGATTATCAAGGGGCCGATCGGTAGATCGGCAGATCACTCGGCCAAGCGTTACGAATAACACAAAGCACCAACAGTTAGAATGGCAGATACGACAGGCTTGATATTTTTAACATCCCAGCTCCTGATTTCCAACTGTTCTCATGTTACCAATTTCTCCCCCAGCCCGAGCTTTATCCAGCCAACTTCAGTATTCAGAACTCAGTCCGAAAAACAGTCCATATCCATCACATCTCCCATTAAGACATGCGTTCCGTACATACCACGGAACAGAATCCAGATGTCGACATAAACTTTGAAGTCCCAAACGTAGACGTCAAGAGAGGGGAGGAATCGAGTTTGAGGAATGAACATCTCTCATCCATCTATAGCCGCAGTGCAAGTGCTGCAGCAAATGTGCTCGCAGCGATATTCGGTCCCGTCAATGATCATGACGCAGCTGCACCGACCTCCATCATTCCAGCCTTTACCACACCAACAGCAGTTCCAGAGTCGGTTGCGAGCCTCGTAAGGACAGCTTGCAAGCGGGCACTTGGGCGGAGGCCGCTGATCATAGCCCGGCGGAGGTGGGTAGGGGATGTTTTGCTGGGTGACGTCCCTGCAGGTTTTTCGGTTTGAGGGATCCTTTTTAGAGGCGGATGGTGCCTTGGAGCAGTAGTTGACCTGGGTTTGGACATGCTCGCACGGCAGCTTGTAGGAGACTGTGTTGCACATCGTGTCTGGTAAATGGCGGGACGATCGGGCTTTACACGAAAATTTGTTGTATGTTGAAGTTCTCTTGACAGGATGCAAATAACTGATGGCCTGTGTAGAAGAGTACCAGGACTTGAAGAAAGAGGATTGATTCTGAAGTTGCGTCTGAGAGTTTTCAATGCGACCAATGGCTTGACTTCGAAATTTTGCAATCTCTGGGGAATCTTGTCGAGATCTATATATTCCATTTTTTTCTCTTCACGAAACGAACGAGAACAGAAATTCCGGTCAAACATCCCGAGCGTGTCAGAATATTGGATGACGTGGAGGCGGCCACGATCTCAACTTTTCCCCTGTCGATCACTTACCACCCCTCAAGATGAGATATATCAGCGTGTTCATCGTGTTCCATTGCTGGCAGGATGAAGACTGACTCGCAAGATGCATCGAAAGGAGCAAATAGTGTGAAAAGATATTGACGGAAAAACGTGGCAGCCAGGTTTCTGATATTTGTCAATCACCACGTCCAATGCATAAAGACAACCTTGTGTTCGGTTCTAGGTCCGGAGTTGATGATGTATCGCAAGAGATTCCATGGCAAGGCAAACGTGCGAACCATGTGTATGAAACATGCAGTTATAAAGAGTCTATGTCCATTGGTCTATCTTGCACGAAAAAGTGTGAAGGCTCCCAAGCCATGTTGCTCCCCATGTTCAGCCTCTAGCCCAATTCGAACCTTCAGTGATCAGCCCAAGGATGAGCTGGCTACAAGAGGCGTCACTCATCGCCGACTCCATCCTTGCCGACAGAACTCCTTCAATGTGACTGGTCACCTTGCGACCCTTTGTACCACCTGATTTCAGCTCCCGATTTGCGGCTCGCGAGTCTAGACTCGACTACCCTGAAAGATAGGGCCACATGAGATACCGAGGGGTTGGATATGACAGCTGGTGAGTGGCATCAACTCAAATGTGGCGCCATCTATTCCCACATTCCGAAACGCTCAACCCTGTTGTTTCTTGAAGAAATTCCAAATGCTCTTTTTCCACATTTGTCGTGTATTCTTGCCTGGGTGTTGCGGCCTGTTGACCGGAGTTGGTCTCCAGAAAGCTCAGCTTGTGGTGCTGTCCTGGCCAATTGCAGTTTTCAGGAGCCGGCATCTGGAGTGCAGTTCTCACAAACTCGGTGATAGCAGAATGTGTCTGGGCTCTTCTTCATCTTGTGTCGACACCATCGGAGAGAGTTGCTGCCCCGGCTGCATTGGCAGCAGGTCCACTGCCCGTTGAGTTCTTGAAGTCGGCAGTTGCCAGAACTGCAATCAGGTGATATGAGACACCCTCCGGTGGCACAGGGGTTGTCGAAGTCGATTGACTGTACAGGATCATAGAAGACCCTTTCGCACGGAACTCGGGTTTTGCCGTCGGGATCTATTCCAGCATCCCTACAAAACTCATAGTGTACGACATAGTCGATCGGGCGAGCACATGGCTGAACATGGTGATGGTGGAGGTAAGAATAGGTACACATTTCGATGTCTGTCGGCTTGCGTAGTTGTGGAGCGATGGCGGTAAAGGCTGATGCTTGAGTTCCGAAATGATCGAATGATTATTTTTCTTTTCCGTCCCGTGACTTCTTATTTCTTGAACTGGTAGAATCGAGCGATCCGAGATTCGGGCTCAATGGATTGGGTTCTGATCGGGTGTTGAGGTAACACAGCAATGTGGACACAGGACAGAGCGCCGAAGTGATTGGAGTTTCTGCCCTTGATTATTGAGAACTCTGGGCGAACCAGGATAAAGAATCTCCAAGAAGCGAGAGTCCTACTCAGACAATAAATAGAAAATCTGCCTGATCAAATGAAGTAGTATAAGCAGCTTGCATATGCAAGGCAATGGTAAGTCAGGGGTTAAACGACAACAGCGTAAACCGCCTCAGTTTGAAATGAGAGGTGCGATTGTAAGCTTGATCTCTGCCGCAAGTCTGTGGTGGTTTGATGAGAACTTCTGCGATGTGGTGAGTGGAGTAGTCGTAGTCTTATATGAAGCTGTCAAGTGCTCACTCATAATGCTTTCTCTATGGGTAGCCACCGTTCGGTCTGGAGGATCATGTATGGCTCATGGTAGTCTGATGTGGCTCTTGCGGGCCATTCGTGAGTCTTTCTGGGGTACCAATCACCACATTTTGCTCAAGTTGCCTTGCGAAAGACGTGAGATGGTATGATTCTGGTACCAGGCTTCAATAATTGGCCGCCATTGTCAAACCCGTGGGTCGCAATTCGTCTTGTCCCTCCGGAGGTTGGCAGGGCACGTGGCGTCCGCATGCTTACCGGTCTTGCACAAGCAGGCTGTTTTGATAGAAGCAGCCAGTCAAAGCAAGAAGACCAAGACACGGAGACGCATGATTGTAACAACACGCGACTTCGGAAGGGCTATTCTCCTATAGTCCATATGGAAGCCACATGAGAAGGTCGTGGCAACGAGCCACAAGTGCGAGAGTGGCCGCTCAGCAATGCGTGTTTATCCCAGCTACCACGAGCGTCCCCCTCCATCGCAAGGGCGGTTGTTTCATATACCAGGGATATCCGGTCCGTCGAACAAATTACATGGACAGATGGAATATTCGAGGGATATTCTAGAAAACCCTCGGTGCCAGCCATGATTCCCTTCGCTTGAAGCTCGTGCGACAATATGTAACCCACAGTGCCTTCTGGCACGGCTGCCGCCCACAACACACTATCAGCTTCTATTTCCCAAGTGCCGAGCACATCCAACTAAGGAGCGTTATGCCAACAGAAGCACATTTGAGATCACTGACAGGAACATTCGTCCGAGATTGATTATTCCATGCATGCCATCGATGATCACAGCACCATCCCGCAAATGACAGCTAAGCATTTTCTATTGCGAAACATCTTGGCTCCAGTGGATCTCGCTCGTGCGGATCTCATAGTGGAAGAGAGGGGTCACGGAAATCTTCGGTTTACAGACGTTGATACGATGACTTTTGGATGTTGGTAATTTCTCTGTACTAATGTCTCAAATGTCGGAGAAACTGAGACAAACGGGGATGTCGGCCACCTCATAACAATTCAGGGACTCGGAAAACTTGCTTCTTCCCGCGTCAAGCATCTTCAGTCCCAACTTATGTCTGAAAGAATGCTTATACCAAAGATATTTGAATGTTGTTTAAGTTGATTGTCACGGGCTTACCATTTCTCTAGAAATGGTGTCGCCGCCTTCCCGTTCCTGCTCGGCTACCACGGTGGGATTCAACTTCAAAATGCTCTTCTCCTACTGATTTCTATGCAATACGGTCTTGATTTAATGGAAATTTTATCGGCAAAGGCTCATTTTGCGCCGTAGTTGTAGCTAGGCCACTTCCGACGAACGGTCCCGTCGGTTCCAACATCAAGGTCAACTAATCACCAAAATGCTTGCTTCGCCTCCGTGGCTGTTTACGAGGGGTCACACAACATGTGATCAGCACACGGCAAGAAACTGTCTCTTTCAAATTCATGCAAGGGGAGGTCTGGGTGTTGGCTAGTCGGAAAACGAACCGGACAGCCGGCAAACAACTATTTAGACATAAGCATTGGTTCGAAAGGTTTGACAATATTTCAATAAACTAAGCGCCATCCCTGAGAAATCGTTCAGCTAGGCGTTGTTTTCTCATTTCTCTGTTTCCTCGCGATATAGCTTTAGATATACGTATCCCAGCTGGGTCGAATCAAAGCTACCCAGAGAGCCTCTGAACAAGACCAAGCTGCATCAATTCTTAGACACAATTTCGGATGAAGTAACCATTTGGGGAAGTTTTGCCGTGGATAGATCATACCACACTGTATCTGACTCCTCGGAGCTGTGGCTTCCCGTGGGTTACACAAAGGCGGGCCGAGCCTACAAGACTCGGCTTTCAGCTGAGCTCCAGAAGTGTGCTGATCTTCAAGCCCGGATTTTCTGCCAACACAAAAAGTCGATTCCTTCGGAGGGACTCATTGGGATTATTGTCTAACGCCTATCAATAGCTTGGTTGCCTTTTTCTTCAACCTTTACGGCCGAATTGTGAGAAGCAACTACAGCATGCTGATCACATCCGAAAGAGGCTTGCGCCTTGCATACGTCCTGTGCCACGATGGCGTTTGATGCTGAGTGTGTACTTTTACAGTAGGTCACACGAGGGCCTGGACTGCCTCATCGGGATTAAATTACCGAGGGCCAACAAGGTTAGAAAGCTCTAGACGGCTCTATGATGCCTAAATAGAGGTTTACGGGTCTACGACTCTGAGTAGCTCGATTTTGTGAGTAATAAGCAGGACTTCTGCAGGTATCTCGATCCTCGGAAGACCACATACTATATCATCCTGGCAAAGAAGACAATCCTGAGAGACAAGACTTCGTTCATAGCTTTCAACACATCTCTGTCGATGTTTTTCCACTCATTCATTAAGGGAATTATCTGTGTAAATTATGTTCGGTAAGCAGTTCAACGGTGGGAGAAGCTCGTAGATGTCGGGAGTAAATATCACAATATCGGAAGTCATCCGCTCATGCGACCAAAACCACAATACCCAACAGCTCTATTCTGAGAATGAGACCATCGCGGCAAAACTGCAAATTCACGCAGCCTCTCAGACCTTATGCCATGCATGATCGCAATCATGTATTCCACTGGAATCCGAGATGAAAGCTGTATGGTAAGTTAAGTAGATAGCGCGTGAGTTTGACTGATACGGGTTTCACTGCCAGCATCAATCCCTGCCTCCTCTGCACGCGGCACGAAGCCATCGCGTGTATTCAATGGTAGAAAAGAGGAATCAACCGCGTTGATTAGTAGCCTCTTCATGTGAAAGAGTGGTATTACATATCACTTTCATGATACTGATTGCCATGTTGAAGCGTATATGTGGGCTGTTTGCGAGACATTCGCATTCCCTGGCCTGCAAGAGAAACCTCTGCGTACTTCAACTTCTTGGCAAAATCCTCTCAGTTTCATGTCTTGAATCTGTCGAAAGAAATACAAAAACACAATGGAAAAACGAAGAGTCGGTAGATTTCTTTGCCGTTAAGCCGTGAAGTGGCCTTCAACGAAAGCTGAGGGGGTGTTGTCTGTCAGGACTTCCCGAACCCAGGCGTTCTTCGTGCGAGAAAACATCGGCAGTCTGTGCGGGACGTTTTCTGGCCGCTTTTTTCTCAAGTCGAACCAAATACTCTCATTTCGATCTTGCTTACTTGTCCATCATTTCGGGTCTCAGACATACGTTAATGAGTTCCGCTTCCAGCTGTACATGTGTCGGGTGGAAGAAGCGATGCAAATTAGACGTAGGTACGGGTTTGTTTTGATGCTGAAATGAACAAATACCTGTGATTATTGACAACTATGAAGTTAGGCAGTGGAACGGCCTGTGTAATGATCATCCATATTGCCCAAAGACTCGAAGGTTGACGCCACTCCGTTCCCGGCAAAAGCGAAGCACCTCTGAAGCTAAGATACGCAGCCACACATACCTTATTTCGATGTTTTTTCGAGAATCCATGACCTTGGAATGATTACCATTTGGCCACTCTCTCCCATATGATAACCCTCGAGGCCATTTGTATTTCTTTGCATGCCCTTCTTGAGCAGGTTTTGCTGCATGATCCGTTGAACCACTTTTTCTCATTTCTGCAGCAGCCGGCTCGAGCTGTTCATAAACTTCCGTCATGCTGACTCTACGGCAAATCTGGGTTATCGCGAACGACATCTCGCACACGCTGTTCGGATCGCCAGCGCTTCGAGACGTTGCTCGTGGATCCACAACTCTCGATCTATCAGCGAACGTTACCGTTGCAGATGGATATCCAGGATATCCTGATTTCAGTCCCACCGGGAGCAACATCGATCATTTCAGATGCCAATACCCAAGTCTGAAAGGATGGCAGTACTGCGGGGGTTCCGAGGATCAGTCCTGCTGGCTCCGCAATCCCGACACCGGAGAGAAGTTCACAATTGATACTAACTATGAGACTCAAATGCCCGTCGGTATCGATCGGTACATCACATTGGACGTCTCGGACGGCTGGATAAATGCAGATGGTTTGAATTTCACTGAAGCAAAGTTATTCAACAATACCTTCCCCGGCCCCTTGATCGAAGCATGCTGGGGAGACACGGTTCACATCAATGTCACCAACTCTTTGGGCTTGAACGGGACCAGCATTCACTGGCACGGCCTCCGTCAACATAATACTATGCATATGGATGGAGTCAATGGTCTCACTCAGTGCCCGATCGCCCCTGACGACTACTTCGTTTACATCTGGAACGCCACACAATACGGTAGCTCATGGTATCACGCACATTACAGTGTCCAGTACGCGGATGGCCTTCAGGCTCCAATTGTCAGATGCCTCATTCTGCCAAGAAGTAATTTTGAACTGACCTTTTTCAGACCATCCACGGCCCTACAGTCTCCCCTTATGATGAAGCAATTGAGCCTCTAATTGTCACAGATTGGCGTAAGTTTCGGGTCCAGAGACCTCAAAGTCGGATGAATGACAGAAATTTGATGCTAATGAGAATCGACTAGTACACAATGGCGCCTTCAATGCTCTTTATCAAGGCGCCCTCGTACCTGACATCTTACTGGGCGGCGTTGGAAACGCTGTTGGAGATATTCATCGTTTCAACAACAGTGAGACAGCGCTTCTGCCGGTTCCAAAGCCTTATGAGATTCATTTCGACAACATGGCCCCGAACCCTGTCACCAGAGCCAAGAGATACTTGCTTCGACTCATCAATACGTCTTGGCAGACCACATTCGTTTTCTCAATCGATAATCATCTAATGACCATTGTGGAGGCCGACTTCGTTCCTGTCACACCCTTCAACACATCGTCTCTTCTTGTCTCGATCGGGCAAAGGTACAACATCATCGTCGAGGCCAGCCCAACCGTCAATGCCTCCAACCCTGACCAAAACCCTCTACCAAAGGACTGCAACTTCTGGGTACGCGCCTGGGTGGCTGGTAGCTTCCCGGGCGAGTGCGGACAGAATGGAACAAGCCAGGAGTATTCCGAGGCAGGCATCCTTCGTTATGATGCGGCGAGCACAAGCAATCCTACCAGTCAGCCTTGGAACATCAACTTGACCTGCTCCGACACAGACACCAACTTGAAGTTGCGACCCGTCGTGCCTTGGACGGTGGGGCAACCGGCAAATGGCAAGGCCGATGATAACTTCAACGTGTCGCTTCTGCACGGCGAAGGCCCATACGGAACGTCGTTCATATCCCTCGATCGCGCAGGGAGTGACAAGCAGGATCCGTTCCAGACTGACTACGGCAACCCTACGTTCTTGAACCTCGATAACGTCCAGGGCAAATGGCCGGTTGGATGGGTTGTTGTTCCAGAGAATTACACTGATAATGACTGGGTAAGTCTTTCTGTCGAAGACATCATCATATTTAGTACTAATCATTATTGGTAAAGGTACACCTGGTTCTCTTCGGCGCATTGGATCCCGAGAACCAAACTTATGGCCCCCATCCGGTGAGTCGAACAGCCGAATTTTAATGGTAGCGACGAATGCTAAATAACGCCAGATTCATCTTCACGGTCATGATTTTGCCATTCTTCGGCAGGTTGATAACGAAATATGGGATCCAGCCACCTATGATCCCAGTAAAAACAACCTGGACAACCCTCCCCGTCGCGATGTCGTCTTGCTTCCAGCACAAGGATACGTCATCATCGGATTCAAGACCGACAACCCAGGCGTCTGGCTCATGCATTGCCACATCGCTTTCCACGCTGCGGGCGGACTTTCCATGCAGATCATGGAGCGCCAGGGCGCTGCCAACGAGTTCTGGCCACCAGGTAACTCGGCAGACCTTGATGAAGCCAACCGGCTGTGTGCGAACTGGAATAGTTGGGCGTATGACTGCAGGAACTTCTGGCCTGGCGAGGTGCCGAAGTTGGATAAGGATGGAAACCCGACCAACCAGACCCATTGGCCCGCGTGTGAAAATGCGGTAATGCTTCAGAACGACTCTGGTGTCTGACCTTGATACGAGCACAGCAAAGGAGTGAAAAGTTTTGTTCTTGTTTCATGCTACAATATTGCGTTGATTCTTAATCTTATTCCGACGTATTTCTCCCGCGGCTGTTCGAGAACACTTGAATCGGGTTGCTGCTGGTGGCCGGGGCGGTCCGGATTTGGGCCCACTTTCTCGGTACCTGCGCCGTCTATCTCGGCCCGCAACCGGGTGTTGGGTCGTGCAAGAACCATCCAAATATTTCATCATGCACTGTAGATCTCGCGTAGATCTCGACGAGAGGAATCATCGCAGTCCACACGTAGAGGTTGGAGACAGACTCAGCGCTAAAATTGCACAAGCAAGTTCCTAAAGTAGCCGTGTGTGAAGCGCGTCGCCTTTGGGAAACTGGAGTGTCCTGTTTGAACTCTTGACGGCCCTGGCGAGCCACTTTACAGGGTTCGAACTATCTTTGTACGGTAGACCACAAAGCTAAGCGTTGTGTCGAAGGATCTGCCAACGCTGGCGAGCCAAGCCCGTCAGCACTTAACCCGTCATCTGCGCCAAGATATCCTATTAACTGAGGCAATCACAGCCTGAGGTACGCGGGATCGTTGTTGTTCTGCAACACGGGGCTTCTTGCGTGTTTACGAGCGGGCATATGAGTATTTAACCAGCTGCTTCGCTGGCATATCGAACAGGGCTGAGCCAAAGATGCGTGTGCCTACGTCGAAGTAATATGAGCATCGGAGCGACCCAGGCCAGTGGTATGGAAAAGGGGGCTTATCATCGGCCAATACGAAAAAGGCGTCGCCCACCTGTCGTAAGCATTGGCGGCAAGCCCGTCAGCCGCCCGGCGATTTCGCATGGCTTTTCGTGGACAGTTGCAGGGTTCGGTGTTTTCGCGGCTGGGACGGATTGTGTTAGTGCTGAGCCGCAGGAAGACATCGCCGGGGAGGGACACCGTTAAAGGAACACTTCAACACATGATTTTTCTGGTTTCGGAAGGTTTAATCGTGGAATGGTGATGTTCGCGGGAAGCCCCCATGGACACGTTTTTCGACTCAGCAGCGGTTTACTACGAGTGGTTCTTTGAACCCCGGAGAGGTATAATACCCAGGACTTCTTCCAAGTGTCTCGCCAGTCCCTGGCCAACATTCCGCACCGAGGCCGCTGGGGACAAAGACAAAGAAATGACCGAAACATTACCAATCATGTCCTCGTCAACAACATTCTCCAGATTCCCCGATCTTCCAGCCGAACTCCGTCTCAAGATCTGGGATGAAGCTTTGAACGGCCCATCGATGCACGTCTTCGACGTCTGCTTCCCCTCCTGGCGCGGCGCGGAGCGCAGCAAACGCGCCTTCCAAGACTCTACCGGCAACATCTCAGAAGAAAGTCAGAAGCGCTGGAGCAAATACAGCCAATGCGTCTTTCTCGATGCCGTCGAGTCGGGGTCGGCGGAGTTGAGTCGCAGCACGAGAGTAGCGCGACATGCCCACGACCCGAGCGTGTATAAACTCCGTCGAGCGCGAAGATTGACATCGGCCGAGGCCTCGGCGGCCTCGGCGGGCCGGATGATGGGTGGTACCAACACCGTCTACCTTCCCGGGCGAAACGAAAGAGTTGTATATAACAACGACGAGGACGTGCTGTTTCTACGGTTCCGGGATGGCGGGGCGTTGACGGAGTTGAGTCAAGGGGTGCTGTTCGGGGAGTATGAGGCCTCTGGGGCGAACAATCTCAGCGAGGTTCTCGAAGGGCCGTGGAGTGCTGAGATGGCGACGACGTTGCATGGCGCTGGGAAGATTGCGCTTGATGTTGCTGAGACCTGGACGCCAGCTACCGTTGGTGCTGTGTTGCTCGAGGAGGTTGCGTATTTGGGATGTTGTTTGCAGCAGGGGTTGAGAGTGTTGTATCTGGTTGACCATTGCCCGGGCCGATGTGCGAGATGCAACAGGACGGACAAGAAGGCGTCGCGGCTTCAAAGCTCTGGTGCATTGTACAAGCAATTACATGGCGATGAGGTTGCGGAAAGAGCACCGGATGTGATACGTGGGGTCGGCAAGACGTACCGTGAGGTTTTCGACCTGGAGGGTCTCGGGTGGTCGGATAGTCATCCCAGCTATGTCTTCGCGAGGGCCATGAACGAGACGATCAGGAGCCAGCAGGCTGATGCGGATGCGAAGAATTTCCAAGGGGTGCGGGTATTGGTGGTTGAGGATGACAAGGTGGACGGTCTGGATACGACCACGTTGATGGACTGTAACCCGGAAGACGCTCCGGAGAAGATGATGGACAAGGTCTGGGAGATGAGCTTGCGATGGTCAAGTTGATTCGCGCGAAGATGAAAGGTCGTCGAAACTCGTTTGGATGATGGTGTAAGCTTACGCAGGACTCTGGGTGCTGACGTGAGTCGACAAGACAACGCATCTAGTTGGCAACCTCGAGCACATGTGTTGATCGGGGTTTGGCTGGGACACGTTGTATTACTATAGCCTCAAACAGAGACGGATAACAATGCGGCCACCGTAATTCACGACAAAACGTGCTGAGCCCTCCAGCTTTTGACTGGGAATACCTTTTGACGCCATACTATGCATTATACCACAAAGCTGAAACCACAATAATTACCCGGCTAGAATCTGTCGGGTTGTTAGTACTGCTCCGGCAAGAGATCTGCGCGAATGAACTTACCGTATCTCATAGGAACCCGCCCTCGTCATATACCGCACCCATTTGACGCTCGAATAGTTACTCTTCTCAAATACCTTCAGGTATCTCACCAAGAGGCCTGAACTTGTAAACATCAGCAAGCTGAAGTTGAGGCTGAGCGGTGGACGAGACCAGGCGCGCTGGTTCGTCATGCTCGTCAGGATGGCTTCGGCGCTCAAGACGAACTCGCTCTGGCCAGTGAAGCGACCAATCTTCCACACGATGTTGTTCTCGCTCGGCTCATACTTGGCCTTTCCCTGGGTACAGCGCTCCGTGATCTTAGCAGTATTGAGAGGTGTCGGGATGCGGACAACAACGTTGGTGGCGAAGAGCTTGGAGCCAAAGTTCGCCTTGATGCCGATGCTGTATTCCACCTTGGTTCGGCCAACCTCGTTGACGATGGCATGGACCTTGAATGGCAAGTTGACGTTCTCAGTGGCGCGATAGCGCATGAGCTCGAATTCGCCGTCCGGGGGGACGAAGGAGATGATGCGATCGCTGTCGAACTTGCCGAGCTTGACACACTGGTGGAACTGGCAGTCCTCGAGAGTGACACTTCCCGCCGCTGCTTTCGTCGCCTTGGTACCCATCCTGTTCCCGCTCGGTAGGCTGAGGAGACCGTCGTTGTCGAGAAGGAGGCGGTCGTTGAGGCCGAACTTGCACTCGGGTGTGCCGGAGAGGTAGGCGCGCATGATGATCTGGCCGGTCACGTCGGCTCGGAGTACGGCGCCGGTAGCGGACATGAGCAGGTTGACATCTTCGATGACATCGACGAAGGCCTCGTTCTTCCTGTACTTAACATCGGCCTTGCGCCACGAAAGGGCTCCCGTCGCCTGCATGGTAATCTTGGCCGAGTCCTCAGCGGCGCGTTCTGACTTGACGCCTTCGGTCGTGATGTACATCTTGAGGGTATCGGTTTCGGTGTTTTGAGGGTATCCGAAGTCGATGATTTCTGGGAAGGAATGTTAGACACATCTTGTCAGCCGAGTCAGAGAGTTTAGACATACCATCGAGCAGCTCGTAGACAAGGACGAAGTTGTTCTTAACAGCCTCCTCGTCGAACTTGCCAAAGTAGCCTCTCCCCAAGCCGATCAAGCGGTACAGAAATTCGAAGACGAGAGCGGCATTGGCATTGCTCTTGGTGATGGCGACCAAGTAGATGTTTTCGTGCTTGACATGGCTGAAGGTTGTGCTGCCGAGAGTCAAGATGGGAGACCGCACCTGGGCGTTCGAGATCACTTGAATCCGGAAGACGTCGGCCAGGCGGGGTCTGCAGTCGTTTCGAAAGGCGCGGAAGATGAGGTTCTCGCCCTTTTGGTTGAAGATGAGGATGCCGGACAACATCTTGGGGAAGTCGGCGGCGCCCACGGACGGCCGGCGATTCGGACTCGGTGTATAGGGGAACCAGAACTGTCGAGCTGGGTTGCGTGGTATAGCAGCTGCCTCTTCGATACGAGAAGCTCTGGGCGGGCGGGACGTCGTCGGCGGCGGGGTGTGGAATAGGGTCGCGACGAAGACGGGATCTCGGTCAACCGTCAGGGGAGCGGGAGCGGGAGCTTCGCTTGGCCTTGGACTCGACTCGTTGGAGTTTCGGGCTCGGGCGCGGTGGGAAATTCTGCCGGGGATGGGAGGGTCCGGGCGGTGAGACGAGGTGAGCTCCAGTTCCATGACCGATGCTGAGTGGGTCTTCATTACGTGATCCACCTTCCACATACGGACGGGAGGGAAGTGGCCTGTGCTCATCGGCATAGCGGCATATCTTTCTTCCGGTATCTTACCTAAGGTGGATGTGCCTTATGTAATCATCTAAGTCAGGTAGGCATCGTCGGGTGTGAAGTAGGTACCTCGCCGTCTTTCCGTCTGCTTCGACTTCGTCGTCCGTTTTCTTTGGAATCATCCGCAATCTTACACTGACAAAACTATTGAAATGGGAGACAGCCCGATATCCCTGATTTCAAGAGGGCGGATCGAATGGCCCCGACGAGCAAGCCCAACGGCGCGCAATCAGCACCACCAAGGTGACCTCGCCCACCGGCCGGCTTTGCACCATATTCGCCCCAGCAGATACGTCTTACGATGTGACACAATCTTCTACGAGCTAGAGAATTGAATTTGGTCTCCTATTATACCACATTGTCGCAAAACGCCTTGTCGAAATCACGTTCGTGACGCTGCAAACATGGCATGAAGTCATTCAAGTTACAGATCGACAGCAACATCAATATCGATCACTACCGCGAACCTGGGACGCCAAAGTGCTCATTAATTCTTGTTAGTCAAGCAATAACGATTGATTGCTTGCTCTCAGGGCATTCATCAACTCAAGACAGAGCCGAATGCCACTGCACCACAAACGACCCGGCGCCGACCACCACGAACCCCAAGTTTCCCCAACTCGCTTATGGCCCCCTGCCGTTCCTTGCGTGCGGCTCGGCTTCAACAAGAGATTGTCTCCCCAAGAGAAACATACAGCGACAGGAACAGGAACATGTTTCCCCTCGCTGGCGGTACCTGGAGCCATGCCGCTTTCGACACGCCTTCCGATTCCCCAGCTTGGTCACCCCATGGCAAACCGTTCTCGTCCGCGGACACTTTCGCGATTCCTTCATCGAGCAAGCTTCCGCTTCTTGATTGATCGCGCCCAGCACGACACCTGAAGTTCAGCTCATCTCGGGTGCTACAGCCGTCCTTCCAGCCAAAGTTTTGCTGGAAATACGACTCGACCGGAAGACTCGAAGCTCCTTCCGACCCCTCATGGCACCCTTCTCGATGTTCCCCACATCCATCGCGCCCCCATGACCCAGACCATCTTCCATTCACGGCTATCATGGAGCGTGGCCTCCGAGATGACTGGCGGCTGCGTTACATCCAGCCCGACGCCGGGCCACACCTCGAATGGCGGACTTCTGTCGCGAAGGCCATCAAACATCACAAACGGTCACACAACGATCCGCCGCCGACGAGCCTACATCGACGCCCAGCCTTTATCCCTGGTCTCAACATGCCTTTGCCAAAGCTGGTACCATGGATCCAACCTTAGCTTCGGATGCCTCGTCCATAACACCATGGTCATCATATAACGATGGCTTATACACGGCTTCGCCCGCTCGCTTGGCGCTTGTCTGAAAGGGGCAATCAGGCTAAGAACACCGAAGCTTCGCTCCGAGATCGTGGGGCGAGGGCCTCCTCGTCCGACGAGCCCAGAACACTTTCATCCCGTCGATCCGAAAATGTAACCGGTGGGTTTTCAAGGAGTTGGCGGTTCTTGAAGATACCGGACACCATAAAAGGGCGTTGGTCCCCGGTGTCCGTTTCAAGTTTCGAGCTGTTGTCCACGCAGAACCAAGTCACTAGACGACCCGAAGGGTACATATTTTAACAATGTCTGCACGATCGCTTCTCGCCGCCGCTCTTCTGGGCAGTGTTGCTCTTGCTGTTCCCATCGAGGAAAGACAGTCTTGCGGAGCTGCCTGGTAAGACCCCCCGCCCGCCGGAGCGTACAGACGGGAACTAACACAACATAGGTCGCAATGTGGTGGCACCGGCTGGACTGGCCCTACATGCTGCGCTTCTGGCAGCAGCTGTGTCGTCAACAATGCGTGGTACAGCCAGTGTATCCCCGGCGCCGCTGCTCCCCCGAGCTCAACCGCTGTCGTCACTCCTTCTCGGACATCGTCTACCGCTGCCGGCGTCACAACTACCGCCATTAGCTCCGGCACCACTCCGGTCCCGACTGGGGGCGCTACTTACACCGGCAACCCCTTCGTCGGCGTCGATCTCTATGCCAACTCCTACTATGCTTCCGAGATCTCGACTTTGGCTATTCCATCCCTGAGCCCTGCTCTGGCCACCGCTGCCGCCAAGGTTGCGAAGGTCCCTACCTTCATGTGGATGGACACCCGAGCTAAGGTCCCCTTGGTCGACGCCACCTTGGCCGATATTCGCAAAGCGAATCAGGCTGGTGCCAACTACGCCGGTGAATTCGTCGTCTATGATCTCCCGGACCGCGACTGCGCCGCAGCTGCGTCCAACGGCGAGTTCGCTATCGCAAATGGTGGCGTGGCCAAGTACAAGGAGTACATCGATGCCATCCGCACCATGATTCTCAAGTACTCTGACATTCGCATCATTCTTGTTATTGGTTCGTCCTCTCCTGCTCATCTCTGCGGCAACATCTAACTTGCTATCTAGAGCCTGACTCCCTTGCCAACCTCGTCACCAACCTGAACGTCGCCAAGTGCTCTGGTGCCCAAGCTGCTTATCTCGAGTGCACCAACTACGCTGTCACCAAGCTCAACCTTCCAAACGTCGCCATGTACCTGGATGGTGGCCACGCGGGTTGGCTCGGCTGGCAAGCCAACCTCTCTCCGGCTGCCCAGATGTACGCGAAGGTTTTCAAGGATGCCGGTAGCCCCAAAGCTCTCCGTGGACTGGTCACCAACGTCGCCAACTGTTCGTATCCATCCGTTGCTTCCGTCCTTTGGTCAACCTCTAATACTTTTCAGACAATGCTTGGAGTGTCAGCTCCCCTGCCCCTTACACTCAAGGTATGTGTATACGCCAAGGTCCTTGTTATTTGCTCAATGGCTAACTCTTCCAGGCAATTCCAACTACGACGAGAAACACTACATCGAGGCCATCTCCCCTCTTCTCAAGGCCCAAGGCTGGGACGCCCAGTTCATCGTCGATCAGGGCCGCTCCGGCAAGCAGCCTACCGGTCAAGAGGCTTGGGGTGATTGGTGCAACGCCATCGGCACTGGTTTCGGCCCGCGCCCGTCCACCAACACGGGCTCTTCACTCGTCGACGCGTTCGTCTGGGTCAAGCCTGGTGGCGAGAGTGACGGTACCTCTGACACCACCGCGGCCCGTTACGACTTCAACTGCGGCAAGAGCGACGCCCTCAAGCCCGCCCCCGAGGCCGGCACGTGGTTCCAGGCCTACTTTGAGCAGCTCCTCAAGAACGCGAACCCTGCTTTCTAGGGCGGCCGTTTTTCCTGCCCCAAGTGAGCCTCGTACTTGTGGGCGAAGATTTCTAGATTCATTTCTTGTATATACTTGACATCTTTTCGAAGAACTACATTTACGTCTGAGAGGACAATACATTCGTATCATCAATGCTCTATCTTCCCATGCGTTTACCCTGGTGGCTTCTGCCTAAGCCGAAGCTTTCGTGGTTGTCCGTCAGCGCCAATGAAACTTTTGCAATACCACGTTTATCGCACCTCTCTTGTACCCAATGAAGTTTAACATTCAGCCGAAGAGGTTGGTCCTGCAAATATTTTCTTTCGCTGAGACTTTCGAACGTTTGCTTTCGATCTTGCCAGTGCCTCAAGATGTTCGAAACGTTGTCTCGAGCTTCTCCCAACGTGCACAAGTTTTGAAGAGATGCCGGGGTTTTCAAACCTAATCCAACAGAGACAGACAGTCAGCGTGCCACCCAGGAATCAGAAAACACGTGCAGTATCCGCGGAGTTGAACAAGATGGCACCAGATAAGTCAACTCGCGGTCCGAAGTCACCCTCTCTGTTGAGACGTCTCTCGTTCCGATTGCTCCGGAAGGTTGTCGCTCTTGGGTTCAAGACATATCGCTTGCCTTCTCGATTGGGCCTCTTGTCGTAGGGCTTGCTCATCCTCCAACCGAATCACATGCTCGTTGCTGACACGTCGAGCAGAAAGAAGACCATCACTAGCCTCAACGATCCCTCTCATCCATTGGTCGCCGTCCTTGCTGACATTGTCCAATGCGCGTTAAACCCTGGACCGTCTCCAGAGGAACAGGGAGGGGGTGAGGGACAGGGTTCTATTCAGGACGTCGGTGAACACGAGTGCCCTGAAGAACAAGAAAGGGAAGAAGAACATGTCATCCGCGGTTTCGTCCAGCGCTTGGTTCAACGCAAGTGCCCAAGCTGCTCTGGCGACGTTAAGGGGACCGACCCCAGTGTCATTTTCGGCCATGCACATGACATTGTAGTGCCCATTCGAGGTTAGTTGACTACTTTGGATTTCTCGGGTGACTTTCCGCCAACCTCGTTGACGTGAGTTTGACGCTCCCTCAGCTAACACGCACAGCCGCTGTATCAGTCAACTTACTCGTTCGACTTCATGACGATCAGAAGACGAGGTTCACATGCCCAAAATATCTGTGCGGAACGGTTTTTCGTCCTTGTTGTTTGAGTTGGAAATCCTCTCGCGGCCCTCTCATACCCTACGATTCCTCTTCTTCCTCGTGGACGCGAGTGGAGGAGTGGTGTTGCGACGCCAGTCGGCTTTTTCACATCTTCGCTCTTCTTTGCGGCCCCCACGCCCATCCCCAAAACAAACTTGCGTCTATTTACCAAGACTTACCGATAAATGATCAGCCAACCAACCGTCAGGCCGTGCCCGCTATGGGTTCGACAGACGGGTCAGGTCAAAACGGCATAGGATATAGCAGAGATTCATCATCTGACGAGTCAACCACAGCGTGGCGTTTCCCGAACCTCTTGGAAAAGACCCTAAGTCTAGCGGCTCTTCCTGGTGTTCTCACGGAGCTTGCAAGAGTCTGGCCGAAAAAGGAGCGGAACAGCCGCTTCGACCAGGATCCCCCAAAAATCTTGCTTGCGATGATACGCAGGAGCCCTATAATCATCAGAATGGCAGAGCTGCTCCGGGACGATCGCATCGAGACGGTGGTTGACCATGCCATCCTTTATAATGCGCTCTTCAGATTCGTCAACGTCCTCGCCAATCACCCCCTATCAGCTTCGATCGTTTACGAAACTCGACCAGTCTACCCGTTTGCCAAGACGATTCTCCCTTTGGCTTTCGGCCGGGTTGATAGAGAGCCATCCAAAGCCCCTGAGAGCGGCGGCCCAGATGTTAAGGGTAAAGGCAAGGCTGTGGTCGGACCGAGTCACAAGCGGTCAAACATTGACCATGTGAAGCCCCTCGCCAGCTTCTTTCCGGCGTTGGCGCGTCAAGCGCAGGCGGTAATGAAGCATCGCCAAGTGCATGGCGAGAATGCCAAAGACACGAAGGCTATGTGCCGCCGAATCTGTCACTTTGCCGCGAAGCATAGACTTGCCGCGAAAGCAGCGTTGGGCTCCTCGAGTGAAGCACCGAGGGATCCGAGCAGTGCCCGTCAGGAGAGGAACGAGGAACTTCGCAAGTGGCTGTCAGACAACAAGGTCGCAGAGGTCGAAAGCAGGGATTGGCTCTCGGAGTATCGCTTCAGCGACGCATTGAAGGAGACGCGGGACTTCACCCCAGCCCCGGGACGGATGAAGCGTCTGGTACGAGAGCTGTCGATTCTGAGATCTTGTCTCCCCGAGGGTATTTTTGTCCGCTACGACGGCGATAGGTTGGACGCGATGAAGGTCTTGATCACGGGCCCCGCAGATACTCCCTACGAGAACGGCCTCTTCGAGTTCGACCTGTTCTGCGATGTCGAGTACCCCCGCGAACCGCCTCATGTCCTGTTTAAGACGACGTCTCTTGATCGCAGAATTAACCCCAACTTATATGTCGACGGAAAGGGTAAGATGACGCCGCATCATCACCTATTACTTGACGCTATGTTTGGATCGCAAGCTAACGTACGCAGTCTGTCTTTCTCTGCTCGGAACGTGGGACGGCGAGCCCTGGATCCCGGTGAAGTCCACCCTTCTTCAAGTCCTCGTTTCCATACAGGCCATGGTCTTCTGCCCTCGGCCGTGGTTCAACGAGCCGGGCAGCGACGTCGTTTATGCGAGCCCGGACGTTTTGGCCAAGTATGACACCGGCGTCCGGTCCGATACTGTCTACTTCGGCATGGGGCAGTGGCTGGAGAAGCTGCAGAACGGTCCGTCGGGGAAGAACGTTTGGTCGGAGGTCGTCCGGAAGCACTTCGAGCTGACGTGGAGGGAGATCTTGCCGGTTATTTGTGGCTGGAAGGAGGCTCACAGTTGCATGGACAGCGTGTCCCGGCATAGGTTTAGGGATGGAATCGCGGCTGTCAAGTTGGCCGGTTCGCAATGGGCTGACGAGGGTGATGCCGAGGATGCCAGGCTTACAGGCTAGATGAAGTAGTAGTTCAGAACACCAAGCGAGTTTATAAAATTGTCTAAAAGTATGCAGTATGCTGATCATCCTTCTATACATGCTTGTCATGAGGAGGTTCTATTCTTGGCCATATGATCGAAAGGTCGTTTTAAAGACCGTTGAGCTCGATAACGACCTCATGGAGAGAGGTGACAGTTAGAGATTGCTGGTTTCCACTGCCGAACTGGAACTTCCACATGCCACGGTGGTGACTGATCACTTGGTCTCGCGTGGTGTCGAGGTATTGTAAGTTGATATGGCGACAAGCGATGTCTGTTTACCTTCATGTATGCGCCCGAGAACAATCGTTTCATCGGATGACACAAGCACAGAAGCAATCCAGAAGTTTGAAGGTAAGGCCACCTCAATTTCACGCAACCGAAGCAAACGAGAAGGGTAGAAGCAAACTTACATGAAGCACCGGCCTGTCTTCACCGCGGTCCTACCACCCTCCATTGAAAATCTTGGCTGCAACTGGAGCTTGCTCCGCTCCGAGCTTCAGGATCCGCCGCTCCGGTACTGGAGGCGGCCAGTGCGCTCGTTCTCGTGTACAGCCTCGGAAGAAGTGAGGTTCGTGGACAACCTACGGGTAGTGAGGTAGAAACGCAGTCGGCGGTCAACGTCAGGCTGCAACTCGGCGCCGTTTCCCCCAACTGGCGGGGCTGCCGTTGGTTGATGCCTTGAGACAGACGCCCGGCTAACACGGACGCGTTGGCGCATGGATGTTGAATCAGTCCGGATTCGAGTGATTGGCGCAATTCTAACTTTTGCGTAGCCGCTTGCGCAGATTTGTCTTGTTGATATCGTGTCCCGGTAAATTGCCCAAACAAAAGGCCAGCCTTGGGCGTACATTGATCGTCTTTCCCTAGCACAGCTGATACGTTTCGACCCAGGTCGTCGGAGGAAAATCGAGCTCAGAAGCTGTGTGTGCAGGTCGTACTGGTTTTGAACTGACAAACCGACCCACCTGAGAGTAACGCAGCGTTGCAAGCAGACACGATCAACGGTCCGGTTGGGGTTTGTTGGGAACGCGTCGGCCGCGGAGGCCCGTTCAACAACGGCCGGGGCAGCGACGCGCAACGAGACAACGATGGCCCTGGAATTGGCGCTTAGCGGCTGTCGGGGTAGGTATTGGCGTCCTGACTTGACTTCGCGGCCGGCCGTGCAGGGTTGCGGCCGTCAGTGTCGGCTCGAGAAGTGACAAACCTGAGTCGAGCCGCTGGTTGTTTTGGAAACTTCCACCCAGCTCAGAACCAGCCGTTGGGAAGTCTGGAGGTCCCAGGAGTCTGTTCCCACCTACATACCTAGGCATTGCGGGACACCACGTGGAAAAGGTGGACACAGGACTCAGACCGCGTGTGAGTGGGCGGTAGTAGCCGTTTATCCCATTGAACATTGAGTATCCGTAGAGCATGTCCGAGCCGGACAGGCCATGACTCGGGGCCGGCAATCTTGAGCTGTTCCGAGAATAGGGCACCGCGACCTTGACACGAGGCATTCGGAAGAAGTCAAATGAAAGCCAAGGCGTGGCCAGGCCCGGAAACGAGGGGCTATTGGGGATGACATGCTTAATGAAACTCGAGAGCTGGGAAGTTTCGACGGACCAGGGCGGCCAGGTGAGTGGTGGTTGCCCAAAGCTTCGTGAAGCACGTAGAAATGAGATTAGTTCCGCCTGCTGAGCTTGATCATCACCGTACGGCGGTGGAAGTCAAGGGCACGAATCATGAAATAGTCGAGTGCCAACTTGGGCGACTCGTTCAAAAGGTAATCCAAGATGGTGCCGCATTCAAGGTCCCAGTGATGTGAAGTCTATTCCCACGGCAGGCAAGACAGCAACTTGACGGCGTCGCAATTGGCCATACGGGCGATAGGGAGGTGCCGTCTGTTAAAACCCCATGCGGTCCACGAGGCCAGGTGGTGCCCGGCGGCTGGGAATGGGGTGTGTTTGCCACGTGCCCGGCATGCAGTAGAGAAGCCAGAGGGGGACACGCGTGAGAAGTACGATGAGGGGGAAGATACGAAGATGAGGGGAACCAGCCACTGGCGTCGTCCGTCAGACCAAAGTGGTATTGAAAGTGGTCTGAGGAGGGCGGCATGGCGGTGTTGATGGTGTGAGAGGGCGGAAGACACAAAGAGGCACACGATCTGAGACTGGCCCCTGTGTGCGTGTGGTTGTAAAAGTGTGTGCCATTCCCGGCGAAGTGAAGCAGTCGAGATGCGTCGATGGAGACGAGAATTGCCGACTGGTGGCTGGTCTCATCAAATGCCGATCGACAGTCGCAGGGTCTTGGATGAGCAGTCGTCATTCTGTAGCCGTTTTCGAAGCGGCAAAGTTGGACGCAGTTTGGAGATTGCTCAGCGGCGCCAGACGATGCCAAGTTGTCTTTCACTGAAGAACAAACACGCTGGGTTGAGGCTGGCGGTCCGGCCGGTGTCCTCATGGCCTGCTGCGGCCCGCTCGCCGCCTGTCCCAGCAGCACATCCTGTTGTCCTTCACCGTAATTGTGGTGGTATCAATTTTACCACCTTGTTGAAGGGCAGGATTGCAAATGAATCTGTCACAGGTCACTGCAGAAATTATTTTGGGCATCGGGCATCCAGTTGGGCCAAGACGATCGACAATGGTCTAAAACGCATTGCGGACGAGGTCTAGCGTGTAAGCGGAGATGACCAACCGGCGGTTTGATGGTGACCGAGACCTGTCTGACAGTCATCGACTCGGCTTCGTTCGGACACTGCGGATGTTGCGATCTGCTTCATGGCGCAAGATCTGGCAGCGATCCGGCGGTTTGCGGAAGGAATGCCGGAGATGAAGGCTGACTGCGTCGCAGCGTACATATGTGGCCGAAGTAGGGCAGCATATCCGCGGGCATACGGATACGATGGATGGATGGTAGTTGGCAGTTGGTGGTGGCATGAGCACACACAAGAAAGAGCAGTGAAAAGCGGCCCAAACTCAATTGATGCAGGCGACACGTGGGAGTCGCGATGTGTTCCTGGGTAAGTGTCTGTGGTTCTGACGAGTGGGTGTGAGCATGTCTTGTCTTGTGGTGAAGAATGATTTGACTGGAGAGGGTCCCGCGCCCCTTCAACGCGTCAATAACTGTTGGATCTGGTGGCATGTAGCAATGTGTTCATGAGACGGAGGCGGATGATGAAGCCGGAAACGGGTGACTAGACCAGCACTCGTAGAGGCGTGAGGGGAGGAAGGCGATGTGCGAGTATTCCTCCGGTTGATTCCTACACTATCTGGATTGGCGGCCCCGTGCCCCCTTTTCGCTGATGTCGGAGTCTGAGCGGGCGGGCCCCTTATGGTTTCCTTATGGTTTCCGTAGTGCATCGTATCTCCGGGCAATAGTTGGTGGCCACGGAGCCATATCTTACATGATGCATACGAGGGGCTAGACTGTGCAGAGTATCCGTACTCGGTAGGCGCGGTTTAGACGTGTGAGTGGTGGAGGATGGGTGGTGGTGGCCGGCTGGATGAACCGAGCAAAGTTGATTGATTGATGGATGAATGAGCAAGCGAGCGAGCGAGTGGAAGGCGGCGGCGGCGGAGGCGGTTGGGTATTTGGAAGGTCGATAATTGATTACTGTTTCTGTCGTCGTCTTTGATTATTTTTGCGGGTGTCCATTCAGCTTTGGACTGCAAGTCGACGCATCCGGCGGAGGAGGAGGCGGCGAGTATGGCGGTTGGGGGTCCAGATGCAGGCGCAGAGGCAGGCGCAGATACAACGCTCACAGCGGCAGACGCAGGCTGACGATAGCGACGGCGACGGCGACGGCGATGATTGGGATCGGGACTTTTCAAGGGCCCAGGGCTAAGGCGTGTAAGTCCAACGGGATGCGTGGTGGTCGGGTCTTAGCATCGCGGGATATGCGACATGGGACTGGGAAGAAGAAAACAACAAAGAGTGGAAGAAACGGGATATGGCAGGGTACTCTGTAGGTCGGAAATGGATAGTACTGCGTAACGGGTATCTGGGAAACATTGGCACCCGCAGACCTGGGAATGAAACGCGGCAGACGGAGACGATGATGTCGTCTGGTTTGTACCGAGAAGAAGAAATTCAGCCGTAAGCCGTCAGAGGCTCAGTTCTCTCGTCTCTTTCTGAGGGGTTTCTGACTTGACGAGGGAAGATCCGTCTTGGATTGTCGGGTCGGGCTGGAGACTCCTGCCACAGATTAATTGATTTGTACGGATACGTACCCCGGCACTGCGCACGCGTACCATTGGAAATGTCCGAACGGGAGGAAGGAGGAGAGTTGCTATTCCCATTTCTCGATAGCAAATGGCAATAGTGAAAGTTTGCTTGCTGATGGGTAGACGTGGTGTCGGAGAAAAGAAAAGGCTGGGAAATGGGAATTAGTCAACCTGTCAGATTCATCGATACTGATACATTGCGCCTACCTCTTGCTCATGCTTCGTATAGAATGACAATCGTGTATGATGCGTATTCATGGCGATATCAAAAGCGCAGTGAGATGAAAAAAACGGCTAAACAGAAAGCATGGATCGGCCTGTACTGGAGTAGGTACGTATCTCGTCCCCCTGTCTTTAGATCCCTGTTCTGCACATGGCTGCTGCTTGCGCCGTGGCAGAAGACCGGCTCCACCATCACTGGCAAGGCCGTTCGGCTGGACCCACGCGCAAGGTATGTTGTCCACTCAGGTGCGACTTCTCCTGATCTGTTTGAGATTGAGGCGCCCTTTCCCAGGCAGGTACCACAGCAGTCACTCCCTTTCCTCCTTCCTGCTCTTGCTACCGACACAGCAGGACTCAGGGCAAGAGGGACGGAGGGTAAGTGCTCTCCTGCCCCTAACTCCTGCCCCTATGGATGAAGAAGGCAGGCACTTGCATCTCACTATCTCACTGGCTCCTGCTGATTGAACGTGGCTGCCTTTCTCTGCCATTTCCCGCCCTCTGTTCCTGCCTGAAGATTCAGCCTACGACCACTGCGGTAAAGGCAGGTCCAGCTAACCTGGATGGCCAAGGTACGCGCCTGCCTCTTGCCTCTGTCACTCATTCACTGTCCCTATCGGTGCCTCCTGCCTGCCTGCCTAATTATTTCCGTGCCTTCCTCTTCCTCCCTTTCCAGTCCCGGGTTCCCTCGTCTCGCTTCCGCCCGAACCTGACTGATCCTGATCCTGATTCCTGAACCTGCATTTCGTCTCCCTTCTCCGTGTTTTCCATTGTCTCCTCATTCTCTCTCACTCCGTCTTCTCATTTCATCAAAATCCATCCCTCTTTTCCACCATCCTCCCGTCGCCTCGCCCAAATCTCCCCTCTTGCTCACCCACAGCGACCCCTTCTGCACGATACGACCCAGGACCCAGTCCCCAGTTCGGACCCATCGATCGTCTCCAAGACTCAAGTCTCCCCCGAACTCCAATCTCGCCAAATCTCTCTCACCTTGACCTCGACATCCTCTCCATTCCACTTTGTACCGACAACAATCCACTTCCAACTCCCCAGCCAACCACTCTCGCAGCCGCCTGCATTCTTCACGGTCTCCAGTGAACTCACTCTCGCCTCTCGCCCCGAAGCGACCTCCTCCTCCTCCCCTACCGATACCGATACCTGTCAATTGCTGCCGCTACCGCTGCCGCTGCCGCTGCCGCCTACGCCCACGCCGTGCGCCGCTCGAAAAAATTAGAACCACAGACTCACAGCCCGCTCGCTCCTCGCCCGTCGTCCCAATTCCTTCTCCTCCCTGTACCAAGTACGGATACCCGTCCTGCTTGGTCCGACATTCGTGAAGCAAGCCCCGGGTTGTGGAAACTCGAACCATTCTCGTCAACGCTGCACACTGCACACTGGACGGGACGGCCACATCGACGAACCTTTTTTTCCCAAGCAGGGATCCCGCAAAAGTCAAAAAATTACCATGCCTACCTCCCTCGACTCTTCTCGTCCCATTATGGCACCCTCAGTACGTTGTCAAGTCTCCTGATATTGCCTTTCTAGCTTTGCTCTTCCCTATTCTCCTTCCCCAGACCTAGTGTGCTGTCTCCGTCTTTACCCTCTCCTCACCGACCGACCTCCTCACCACCCAAGCAAGCAAGCAAGCCTTACCGTCTGTTCTTCCCTCCCTGCTGCGCCTCCATCCTGATCCCTTTTACCTTTGGGCTCTTTGACGCCGCACCTCCCGACTGCTCTCTTTACCTCCCACAACCCGGACCTCGTCTGCCGTCTTAATCCCAACTCTTCCCCCTTCGACTCCCACCTGCACTCCCTCTTCGTCTCCGTCCTCTCCAACTCCGACCAAAATGACTGCTGTTCTGACACAATCTTCCGTCCCTCAGGTGCGAGCCTCTGTGCGATACAGTACCTACAGCATGGCGCCCTCATTCGCAAACACCGTCCAGACGAACGACTCGGCTCACGCCGAGATCGCCGACATCGCGACCGGCCTCGACCGCATGGAGAACAAGGCCTTGAGCTCCCAAAGAGTCACCCTGAGCGAGGAGAAGACTGCCAACATGAGCAAGCTGGCCCTCGGTGCCAAGCTGGAGCGTGCGCTGGACAGGAGAATGAGCAGCCAGGATGCCGTCATGCGTCCGCGCGGCAAGACTCTGACTGAGAAGACGACGGCTGCGTAAGCCACATCAAAGTCATTAGTCAACCCACACAAAAGAACGGCCGTCGGAGGCCGTTCGCATCGAATAGCACGAAACTTCTGTCCACGACCGGAAACCATCATAACCGGCGACCGACACGACGAACAGGATGTGAAGGGGACGAAAGAATGGCCCAGGCCATGAGATGGCTGGCTTGATGCTCCGACCCGCGGACAGCACAGCCATACAAAGCGGCACCGAGCCGAAAACGAGTTGATGGACCTGTAAATGGCAGCAAGGGAGGATAATGGGAAATGAGCGGCTGTGGACACGAGCACCCTCATGCATGTTTTTTCAGTTGGTCTGTTGGGATATCCAGAGGATGTCGGAGCGAAACCGCAATGACGACATCCCACGCATAGTGTTTAAATGGTTTACTCACGCTTCGGCCCCGTTACATACCTCTTCGATTCTTCTCTTAAGCATGACTCCCGAGACGACCACTCGAATCACGTCACGGCTTTTCACGGATTGGGGAAGGGGTTTCATAGTCTTTGGTATTGGTACATGTGGTATACTAGAAATGCTGAACGGCCCAATTCCACCCAGACCTGTTGCTCGTGATTGCGACGTGCTACGACGTCCCCGCAAAGATAATCGACCTGGGGCAGGTTCCTAAGCGCAGCTGACCTCGATCCACCGCTGACCTATGATGCGATCCGTCGATCCTCCGATACCGTCCTGTCCTGCCCTTGGCTCGGCCTCGTCTCCGCCAAGTGCCTGTCGCGAATATGTTGCGCTGCGCGGCTCAGAAGCGGCCCGCCTTGATGATGATCCCAAACGCCTCCGGTCCTGTGCGCACTCAAGCACTCTCCTTCTTCTCAATCTTGGCCTCAATCTCCTTCAGCTGCGCGACGAGCTCGCCCTCCTCGCCCTCGTACTCGAGAGCCTTGCCAACCCAGTCCCTCGCCTCCTCGAGGCGGCCCATCTCCATCAGACACCTCCCGCGGCGCCACCAGGCCTTCGCGTTGCCGACCTTGCGCGCCTCGACGCTGGCCTCGGCGTCGACGGACCCCTCGGCCCACTGCTGCAGGGCCATGTGGGCCTGGGCGCGGTTGGCGTACAGGCTGGCGACCTCCTCGCGGACGAGCTGGGAGGGCTCCCAGAGGGGCCTGGTGAGGGCCATCTGCAGGCCGAGGGTGTAGAACTTGACGGCCTCGGCGTACTTCTTCTTGTGGAACTCGGCGTTGCCGCTGTCGCGCAGCTTGGAGACGTTGGCGGAGCGCTTGGGGTTGACGGGCATCGGGGGCGGGGGCACGCCGTGCTGCGTCGTCGTGTCCGAGGTGACGAGGGAGCGGTGGAGGGCGTTGAGCTGGGCCAGCTCGGCGTTGAGGGCGCGCGACTTGGACGTTGTCGTGATCGCCTTGGACTGGGGCTCTATTTGGAGGGGGAGGAGGTCGAAGTGTGTGAGGTCCGTCATCTTGGGCGGTTTGTGTGTGGTTGTTTTCGGGGAAATTAAGTAGGAGGTTTCGTTTGGAGCAGGTTGTGTCGTCGTCGTCGTCTTCGGGTATCTTTGGTCGTGGGGTTGGGTGAAGGCGACGGGAGTCGTTAGATCGTGGGTTGTCGTTGTGGTGGTGTTTGAAGCCAGCTGGTCGTCCTGGGATCGGACCTTTTGGGAATAGGTGGACTGAGGACACTTCTCTGGATTTAGGCTTATCGACGCGCCGTCACGTGCTGATAGCACTGGACCTCCAGTGTCTTTGCATGTGCTGACGGGAGGTCCACATCTACCCAGTGAACACAGAGGTTGTCTTCTCAGATCTAGCATTCCAACAATGAGACTTGTGAATTCCGATCATGTTTTAGATTTGAGTGTTCTGCATTTGTGATGTAGTAATACTTGGATACTTCATTCGTCTTTGGCTCTGCTGCAATCTCGCCCCAACCAAGGCAAGTCCAGAGTGTTGGTGACACTGCACTTACACCAAGTGAGAGCATTCACTGACCTCAATCGCATTTGCAGGAATCCTCTCAATAACCATTCATCTATGCAAGTTACCTAACTAATGCTACGCTTTTAAAACCGGTGGCAGTTGATGCACCAGAAAACCGCAATGCCAACCCATACCCAGCCACGTTGAGCGCCGTCGCAAATACATCCCGTCAAACCCAGAGTAAACATGATCCGGACCCCTCCTTACAGCTTAACATCTCACTGCTCCTTGTAGTAAGACTTGTTCAGCCCCTTTTCAACTGCGGCAATCTGCAACGCCAAAGGTACAGAGAACTGCCGGCAGTACATGAAGCTGCCGGTCATGTACCAGAACCCAGGTACACCGGTCGATCGCCACCACTGCGAATCATCGTCAGTAACACATCCACGCTAATCGAGTAGATCTCAAAACTTACCCCAGATCTCTCCTGTTCCTCATCCAACTGCCCAAACTTGCGCAACCTCTTCGAAACATCCGAGCCCATCAACTTCTCAATCGTCGATGTCTCCTTCTGGAACCCCGTCGCAAGCACCACAACATCCGCCTCAAGCTTCGTCCCGTCAGCGAGCACCAGGCCGTCCTCCACAAACTCCCTCACGCCCTCCTCGCATCTCTGGATCTTGATCCTGCCGTCGATGATCATCTCGTTCGCCCCTTGGTCGATGTAGTACTGTCCGCCCTTGATCAACTGATAATCAGCCAGCCCGTACCCGTCGTCACCCTCCTTCAGCGCCAGGCCGGCCTTCTTCAGCCCATCGTGTACAAACTTGTCGTGCTGGGCCATCATCTTCGTTAGCCCGATGCTCATCGCCCTGATAACGGCCAACGGTATCGCGTTGCCCACGATGTCCGCCTCCTCCGTGCTCAGCCCGTCGATCCGCCACAACGCCAGCATGAAGTTCTCCCAGGATTCACGCGAGATGGAGTAGATCGCGCGCCGCTGCATCATGGTCACGTCCTTGGCGCCATGCGCGACGAAGTCGGCCGAGATGTCGTGGCCGCTCGTCGCTGACCCGATGACGACCACCTTCTTGTTCCGCACATCCGGGACGTCGGCGGCGGATCTGTGGTGCTTGGAGTGGTAGACCTGGCCCTTGAAGGTCTCCTGCCCCTTGAACTCAGGGATGATGGGCTCGTCGCCGAAGAGGCCGGTAGCGAGCACCACGTGCTTCGCACGCAGCGTTTGCGGTCCCTCTGGCGTCGTGACTTGAACGGTGTACTTCTTCGCCGCCTCGTCGTAGGTCACCTTTGTGACTTCGGTGTCGTACTGGATGTCGAGACCCATGAGCTGGCCGTAGTGCTCCATGAACTCGGCGACCTCGTCTCCCGTGAGGAACCGGGGCCATGTCTCGGGGATCTTCATGTAGGCCCAGTGGTCTGTATAGGTCGGCGTGTGGAGCGTGACGCTCTGGTATCTCTTCCTCCACGAGTCACCCAGCCGAGAGCTTCTTTCGAGGAGACGCGTCTTGATGCCCATGTGCTGGAGGCGCGCGCCCAGCATCAACCCGGCCTGAGCTGAAGATTGTGTCAGTTCCGTTGTTTGACAGTACCTCGAATCCCAAGACTTACCTGCGCCAATGACCAAAACCTGCGGATCTTCCGCCTCAGCGTGCCCGTTCACGCCGTTCGTGGCGGGCGCCAGTGCCGGCGGAACACAAGCAGCCCTCTCCTTCTCCAACTCGTCCATGTAATCAAGCCTTTCGAGCTGCGTGAAAACAGTCCAAGCCTTCCACTCCCCGACGCCGACGTTCATCAGCTTCAGCAGCCCCTTACCCTCGCCGTGCGGCGTCTTGAACGTGAACCCAGACTGGATCCAGACCTGCCCGCCAAAATCGACCAGCAAAGGCTGCAACCCGCCCGCCATCCGGGGCAGGAGCGCCGAGAGCCCGTGATCCGCCGTCGCCAGGTAGTTGCCGATCGCCTCCTGTCCATGCTTGGTGGTGAAGTCCCACGAGAGGCCGACGATGTCCCTCCACCAGCAGTTGTCGATGAACAAATCTCCCAACCCCGCAAACGTCTTCTCGGCGAACCGCTTCTCGAGTTTCGAGAGCCACTCGGCCGTCAACTTCCCCGCGTCGACATCTTCTTTCTTGACGCCCTCTTGGAGTTTGAGGTCCGGTAGTTCGGGGAGCTTCGTGCCGTCCATGATATTTTTCTGGTCAAGTCGTCCCTCGGCGATGTCTCAGAGAATTCGTGCAAGGGGGGTGAGGAGGCGGGGAGGGGTTGCGGGAGGAAGCGCTGAAGAACTGCCGGCGGGCGGCGCATCGGAGAAATCGGGGGCGGCCATGTCGTACATAAGAGAGCGCGATAGCGTCAGATAGCTTAAAGCGGCTTCGTACCCGCCACCGTTCCGCCGTACAGCTGCGGCGGCCCCGCGGGCCATTTCCAATTTTTATTGGGCCGTGGCATGTTCGCGGGTTCTCAATCCCGAGTTCGGATGGTCTCCGGCGTGCGGTTGCGTTTGCTAAGGTTTTTGGTGGAGGGGGAGGAGGGGAGCTGGGAGGTGGGATGGGTGAGATAATCTTATCTGATCATCTTCCCCCCGCTTGTGATCGTCGAGTCGCGGCCAATTGAGATGCTGCGGCGTGGCGGTTGTGGTGGGATTGGATGCGGCTTTAAGCGGTCGAATTATGTAAGAGATGGGTGAGGGATTCGTGGGTGTCGGTCTTGGCTCAGTCGATTTGGAAGGTAGGACGAGAGAGGTTTCGGTCCGTATGTGAAGGGTGGTGCGCGGTTTTTATGGTTGGATTTCACCTCCATGATGGGGTTGCCGGCTTGGTGTGTTTTGCGACCAAGTGTTCTGAGTTGTGCGAGTCGTTTTGGACGGGCTTCAAGCAGTCATATTTCATCGCTCAGCTCCTGCGCATACTTCATGGGCCGCAAGACAAAACACCTCAGGCAATTGTATGTGGGTTAAGAAGAGTGTTTTTACATCTAATGTTTAGTAGATGACGCGTTTCTACTGAATTCACGGCATGTCTGGGTGTTATCCGCGTTTGTCAGGCCCCGCGCGGTCACTCACTTGCTCGGAGTTATTCAAGCTTCCATTCTATCTGAATAATATTGCGCTCTGAATTCACAGTTAAGAGTCAAGTGAAGTCAGCAGATGATGTAAGCCTCATAGTTGGATGCTCTAGTTGTCTGTCGTGTGCTTCTTATGTCTGTCCCAGAAGTTTGTCGCAGCTGTGCCCAACACCAGATCTCCTCACTTGACTTTAGTACCACAAACCCGACTAGATGCTATCCAGATCAGTTGTTGATGAATGTGTCTGTTTCTTCTGGACTTTCACTCAAGGTAGCAAGCTTATTGCTTTCGTATTCGGATACCCGTTTCCATTCCCCATCATAACATCATACTCCGGTCATATATACGTGCAGGATTGTAGCCCTCGCGTGATGAAGCACGACTTTACGAGCAGGTTTTAGGTACTGGGCTGGCCGCATCAATTTCGTGGTAATATTTCCTGCTTGAAACTTGAAAGATGTGCAAGAGGGTGGCGGCTTCCTCGACTAGAACCCTATCGCTCTCGTCATTGGCGACGGGAAGACAGCGTTATCTTTTCTCAGTCAGCCCTCAGTTACCAGATAACTGCCGTGGATCGAGATCACCAATCCTCTGTATGTTTGTTAGCTCGCAGTAACTGACTTCTCGAGTGGTAGGCGTGACACTGAGACTTGTGACTTTCGACCGCCGAGAGGGGCGGACTCAGAAGAATCCGATGAGATTCTTAAAGACAGAGAAAAGGATGAGGGAGATCGCATGTCCGAGATTATTTTGCCTGGAGATCATATCGGATCGTCTTGCTATCAAGGTTCATCAACGTCGACTCCCTCTGTGTCATGGATATTAGCTCGGTACCGTTTCGCCAGATGTCACATGCAAGATATTGAAGGTTGAAACCAAATCCTTTACCAGGTCTATCAAAATGCTACAAAGATACTCAAAGGCCTGGACATTAGATATGTTCAAAGAAACCTCTCATGGGGAGGATGGGACGCAGACGGATGGCAGAGCTCTTCGTTGAGGTTTCGTAGGACATCATTACGGCCACACGTAACATCTCTTGACGGTTTCCCTAGGCCTCGGCATCTGTGTAGTCTGCTTCGTCCCTGAGCGATCAGCTTCAGACGGAGTGTCACTGATAGCTTGACGCAAACCACGGCCGTCGACGACTGCGGCCTGGGCGATAGCAACAAATACTAGTTTGTGGGATAAGAGGGACTATTCTGGCTTCGGTTGATGTTCTATGTCACAACGTAGGTCGGCTGAAAATACAGGGAGGCTATCGCAGATACGAAAGGCTGCGAAGCCCGCTCGAGCGAGTCTGTTGTCGATATTCACCCAACACGAATCTGTGATAGTCCTCAGACCTGATGCCACATGCAGATTATAGGGCGCGCAAGTCCAGCGAATGGAGGCGTTTCACGGTCTGTTCATCGACAAGCGGACGACGACGATGCTCCTGGGCTTCGAAGCACTCTCATCGGTCGCGAGGGGGACGAGAAGACACTGGAGACAAGTTCTTCAACATTCTCAACACTAGGTCCACTCGAAAGGCAGGAAATGCTACCGAGGCCATAGGTGACCATGCCCTGAGAGAGGGGTTGGATATTGCTTCGTCGTAGCTGGAACGCATCACCGGCACGGTGGTGGCAGCAAGGTCCCAATAGCTGTACGAAGAGCCTTGGTTGTCTATATACGGGTTGATAGGAGACAAGCAATCTCGAAAGGTGCTTAGTTGAGAAGCCTAATCGATAATGCCTCAGAAGAGATCAGTGTGCGACGTCAGGGCTGCAGAGAAGAAGAACACAACAGGCAAGTACAAACGTCGTTGGCAAAGTCTTGGGATATGAAGCCCAGCCGTGGCGAGGCAGAGCCCACGAAGGCATGCCAAGGTGCCCCTTATCCGCCCAGCGTTCACCGCATCCGCCAAGCGCCTTGTCGAAATGCCTCAACAGTATGTCGATCGAATGCGTGGATGGAGTAGAGGCGGCGTCGAGGGCAAAAGCAAAGTCGCCCAGGTGCCAAGACGTGAAGCCGAAATGAGTGTTCAACACCAAGGTCGCCAAGACATCACACATTCACCGTCACAAGACGTCGTGGGCCAGCGCAGCGTTGAACAAAGAGAAATTTTCTATTCGTCGCACACAAAAAAAGACACCTAGAAAACAATACGATCCTCTTTTCGTGAGGTCCGAGTTCATGAAGCAGAATAGCTGCTGCCAGCGAGGTCCCAACGCCATTTGATGATGACAAACACAAAAGAGCCTCTCATGCCGTTAAAATAGAGTATAATCCTGTCGAGCCGTGACTGTATTAAACGAGGTACGGCTGATGTACCTGCTTGGATATCCTACACGCTCGCATAAAATGTGTCGCCCATCTCCCCGGGCGCCCCGTTTTCATCCTCCTCTTCTCATCAGGTGGTTGGCGTCGTTTACAAAGCGACCATGGCGGCACCGACAGCGGCGGCGGCGACCATGTAGGTGCCGACGGCGAAGCTGCCGAAGCTGAAGAGGGGCTGGAACTGAGCACCAGCAGCGGCGTTACCAGAAGCGCTGGAGCTGGGGGCGGAGGTGGAGTCGGGAGCGGAGGTGGCGGTGGCAGCGACGGAGTTGGCGGCCTCGGCGGAAGCAAGGGCAGTCTTGCAGGTGTCGTCGGTGGAGGGAGTGGCGACCTGGGCACGGCCGTCGAAGTCGCAGGCGGTGCTGGCCTTCTTCTGGTTCTTGTAGTAAGAGTCGAGGACGAAAGCGAGCTTCTGCTCGGCGTTGCACATGCCGTAGGCACCGTAGACACCGGTGGAGGTGTTGGCGCTGATGCCGGAGCAGGCGGAGGCGTCCTGGCCGCAGATGTAGCCGAAGATCTCACCAATGTCCTTGGCCTTGAGGTCGGACTTGGGAGTGCAGGACAGGGACTTGGTCATGCACTCGCAGAGGGACTTGTTGGGGGTAGGGGGAAGGGCCTTGCCGTTGACCTCCCAGTTGGAGCCGACGGCGGGGCACTCAGCGGCGGTGTTGGTGGGGTTGTACGAGTCCATCTGGACGGTCTCGGGCTTGGCAGCGAGGACGTTCTTGGCGAGGGCGTCGTAGTTCTTCATGGTGGTGGCCTTGCCGTCCTTGATCTTGACGAGACCGTAGTCGTTGGCCTCCTGGTGGTACATGTAGACAATACCTCCGGAGAAGACGTCGGTCATCTCCTTCTGGTACAGGGCGGTGGTCTCCTGGAAGATACGGCCCTCGGCACCGTCGGGGATGTTGCAGCCGTACTCGGCGAAGAAGACGGGGACGGAGTAGTTCTTGAAGAACTGGACCTGGGTCTCGTAGCCGGAGCCCTTCATGTCGTTCTTACCGCACCAGGAGTAGATGTTGTAGCCCCAGAAGTCGATGGCGGAGGCCTGGTCGCCGCAGTTGAAGTAGTGGGCCGAGTTGTCGCGGATGTCGGCGTCGTCGTTGGCGGCGTAGCCAACACCCATCCAGCGGTAGCCCTTGTCCTTGATGTGCTTCTTGGAGTCGCGAACGGCGGCCTTGACGAAGGCGGAGGCCTCGGTGTTGGTCCTGTTGTTGGAGACCTCGTTACCGGCGAAGAAACCGATGGTGTTGTCGTACTTGGCGAGCTCGTCGATGACGTCGGTGTAGCGGGTGAAGAGGTCGACGTTCCACTGAGCGTCGTCACGGTTGATGGAGGTCTTGGGCTCGCCCAAGTCGGAGACGACGTAGATGCCAGCATCGGAAAGGAGCTTCATGCAGGCGGAGTGGTCCTTGGTAGGGTCAATGGCGTAGGTACGGATGGTGTTGGTACCGGCCTTGGCCAAGATAGGGACATCGCGCTTGCAGGCGGTCTCGTCGGCGAGGGGGTCGTTGTACTCTCCGGTCTTGGACTCACCACCGGCGGCGGCGGTGTCCTGCTGGTAGGCAACACCCTTCATGTAGAACTGGGTGCCGTTCTCATAGAAGAACTTGGAACCCTGGTAGGGGGGTTAGCGACTATCGAGGTACGTTTGGAAGCCAGACGGCATACCTTCATGACGATGGGGTCGAGGGCGGCGGCGTTGCCGGCGAGCAGCAGGGCCGCCGAGACAGCAGCGGCGACTTTACCCATTGTGAGATTTGTGATGGTTTTTTTTGGAGGAGGTAAAAGTGTTGGAAGGTTGGAGTCGGGATCGAGAAATAGGCGTCGCGGGATGTGGATGACGTCTGTTGAATTGACTGGAATTCGGTGATTCGGTTTCTCGAGCGACGAAGAAGGTGAAAATTGGTGAAATAACGAGTTCTGGTAATGAGTGTGTGAAGTCGATTGGGATTTGTTTTAGATTAAAAGAATAGACATCAAACCAAGAGGCGGATTCGGCAAGACTGATCTGATACGGAATATTCTCTTCTTCTCTCCTTGGTTCCCCTAAAAAAGAAAAAAGCGATTGTTGAGGGAGTGACGGTTTAGAGGAAACACACGGAAGAAAAGGAGAAGCAGCAGAGGGCCGACAAGAATAGCGACAGGAGGGAGCGACGGTAGAAAAGCAGAAACAGGCCCTGGAAGGAAAGTGGATCCAATGTCACTTCGTACCTCGAGTAGGTATTTCGTAGAGAAACGGTTCTCAATTCCAACTTCCACTTCACCGTGGTCTCTCCTTCTGCCCACCAAGGATCGACTGGTGAAGCAGACGAGGCAGGCTAGACCTTCCGGGGCCTGGAATTAACAGCGGGTAGAGAGGTGCATGTGCAGGGGTTGCGGCAGGGAAGGAGCCAGGGATACGGTGGAATGTGGGGTCCAAGGTACATGGGTGGGACAGGGGTGGGTCGAGTGGCCAAGGGGCGCCTTCTCTTCTTTTCAAGCTTGATGATGCCTCAGTTGTTCCTTCCTTCCGTTCCTTCAGTTCGTAGACCGTTTTGACTTTCCATTTCGTCTCTTCTTCATCGTCCCTTCTCATTCCCGACTCCTCGTGCTTTCCCATACTTTGCATTTGCATCCATCACTCTCACATAAAGATGCACTCAATTGAGGAGGCGCAGTCATCTTCACTTTCCAAAAGAATGAAAGCTGAGGCGAATGACACGGTACCTGAAGCCACTGCGCGACACCATCGAATCACGAGCGGACAGGGCCTCGTACCAAGGTTACCAATCTGGCAATCCCAGGAACGGAACCGCCTGGGCCAGGTTCATCTCGTTTCACGCCTGTGAGAGACCTGCCACAGTGTGGAAATGCCTCCTACCTACAACTAACGGTCATGAGCTGATATCTCGTCGCCACCATAACCAGCACCAAACATTGTTAGCGGCTCATCTTCGCTCTTATTCCTCCCCTAAACATCCTCCGCATCCATCCCCCCTTCAGACACTGTCGCCGCCTCCACCATGACCGTTAGTGAAATGGCGAGAAATAGGGGCAATCTCCACAAACGTGAGCTTCGGCCTGGAGTAGCGGCTGACCTTCCCAGACCGGGACGTACGGACCCCGGTGCCCCTTTCTCCAGGCTCCTCCCGCCGGTCAGTTCGCCGTCAATCATCGGGCAATCAATGTCTTCATCATTGATGGGCATTGGCACTGGCACTGCCGCCCGTGATAGTTTGCAGTTGCCGCTGCATCGTGACGCCCATCACCAATAGCCTTCCCTCCGCCAAGCGCCGATTCACATTGCCAGATCAAAAACGACATGGCCGCCAAGAGATCAAATACCTCAAGCATTGGCATTTCTTGTCGTCCACCCTCTGCGCCTCAAAAACCCTCACCTTCCCGCTATCAAACCCTCTACCGCCCTCTCACCAGAGTCAAACTCATTTTAGCCCCCTCAATGCCCAGCCCTCACCAAGTCTCTTCTTCAGGCCGTCCAAGATCTTGGACTCGGAGACACGCTGCAGCCAATCCATTCTCCTCATTCAACTCGACCAGAGAAAAAACAAAACATCAATCAAGAGCCAATTTCATTTTCCGCTCCTTGCAATCATTATTACAATCAACATACGGCGATCGGGTATTGCTCCACTTCCCTAACTCCCCCTCGGCCGCCGTGGCCGCAAGGCCGCTCATTGCTCATCAGAAAGAACCACAAACAATGGCAATGCGCAAATCACCAACAGACGTCAACAACCAAGCAAGACTGAGTCCAGATCTCTCCTGGGCCTCACAGCCACCCCTCGCCATCCACCGAGAACCACTCGTTAGTGCCACCGTCCACGGACATTGATCTCCAATCATCCAAGATCCAAGGACCGGACCAACAAGCACGTCCAACTGCCTGCCTGCCATCCATCCATCAACCTCGAACTAACCGGACCGATCCATCGTCCTGCTATCTGGGTCTCGAATGTATGACGACGCTCGCCAGCGGTTGGTGCCATTGCCCAATCCTTTGCGCTAAAGTCCCTCTTCGTATTTTGACTTTTTAACGCTCTCAGAGTGCATAGCCGCATACCACTGACCAGATCATCCGTCTCGTGTGAGAGGATTCAGTCAGAATGACGATCGGTGCAGCAGCACATCGAAATTCCACAGCGGTCGCAGAGAATACGAGGCACACTCGAAAAACACCGCCCGCCGTGTTCCCTGACTCGAATCACCGTGTCTCTCTCAATCGGAATCGCACGGCTCAGCACGCAGTAAAATACGGTGCAAAATAAACACAACAAAAATAGGACGGCGGCGGGAGTCAATTAACTCTCTTTTCTGCGGTCTACCCTAAGTTAATTACGCGCTCTAGCCCAAACCGGCCGAGCGGCGGGGCCAACATTGGCCCAGTCGACCCGATTCGACAAGTCGTCCGCCTTCATTGGCACCAGCTGGAATTTGATGTTCATGCTGCCAGCTCACTCACTCACTGCTCACTACTCACTCTCAATCTCATTTCACTCGCTTCACTCTCACTCACTGTCACGGTGACCTTCACTGTCATGCCATCGTAATGTGTCAGCGGGCCGAAGACATGAGCACAATCAATAAATGTGGCCGATGAGTGGGACCGGCCGACACTCGTTCATCTGCCGCGGCGGCATCGTCAGCCAAAGATATTTCTTCATTCGATATGGAAAACCGGCTGTGTACAGACTATCTTATTCTTGCTTGTTTCTCAATCTCAATCTTGTCTACCTCCCATCACTCATGTGTTCATCCCACGCCGATTCCACCTTCGCGCGTATCCGTACCGTTTGTTTCTGAATCCCCGGGATCTACCGTCCAGCCCCCGTCCACGTTGTTACTGTCGGCAAACCCGCGTTTCGCCCTCCATGACCCGTCGTTTCAATCAATCCAAATCCTCGCGTTTTTTTCAGCTGGCTCGCTGCCCGTGTGTTCTCTCCTCCGTATCCCACACGGCTGAACATCCCATCAATGATCCCGCGGCTTCCTCTCCCTCCAGCGGACGGGAATCCCGGTCGCCGCCCTTCGCCTCACATCAGTTCCGACAGGCACCCCCTTGCCCCCCAATTGCACGATGCGCCCCTCAAGTCCGTGTCAAGTTGATGGGGTATCCGTATCTGTGAGTTTTTCCCAGCTGAGAGGTTGAGAGGCTGATCGCGGTGTTTCTTTTCTTTCCCACATTTCCGACGTCATCGGTGGGCAGCGGCGTCGCAGTGTCCAAGTCGATGCCAATCTTGCGCTTTCCAAAAGTTCCCATCTTTTTAATGGGTGTGGTTCTTCAATTGTGGTTCCCCCTCTGGCGTGGGTTCCTCCAACTTTGCCGTCATGGTGATCGTCCAAAAGGCTTCGAAAAATGCTTGATTTCGTTTGTTGCTCACTTCCTTGCGATCCTTCAGCCCTTTTTGTTGTTTGGCTGCGCGCGCGCGCGTATCTGCGTTCTTTCTTCCCCTCGGCGAATTCTTTTATTAGCATCGTCGAGCGGTCTCGAATCCACCCCCCGTCCGTCCATCACCATCTGCCGGTGATCTTGAAGTAGGCCTTCCCCACGCCGTAACAGACGCCATCCCAGACCTCGTACGTCTCGCGCCAGACGGTTCGGAGTGGGTTGCGGCCTGAGCGGCCGTGTCGGTGTGTTTGAGTGACGGTTGTCATTATTTCGTAGGATGCTTATTTTGATGTTTCGTGTGCTTGATTGATGATCGATGCGATGATTTGTTGGTCACGGTTTTTTGGAAGTAATCTTCTCTGGACTACTCTTTCTTTCTTGACAACCCTCTAGAAGCATCACACAGTCTGCTCTGATTTATATATGTCTGGGCATTGCGAGCCTCTTTGGAAACGATGAGAACAAGTCAACTGCCTTCCTGCCTGCTTGGCACCAGTCATCGCCGCCCGGCCGCAGCACGGCAGTCACGAGCACGCCGCGCCCGCAGCCCGCACCCGTCGTCCGCCTGCGCCGCACCGGCTGGCCCCCCCTCCACACCCGCCTGACAGCCGTTCCACAGCGTCTCTAGCACACCACCAAAACACCCGACCGGTGCACATTCGCCTAAAACTGTGGAAGTAGATCAAGTGCCTATTCGCTCCGCGTCATCCAACGCTTAAATCGACATGCTTACTTTCCCCCGCGGTCCAACGAGACACCCGCGCCTCCCCGTGAGTGTGTGTATGTATGCGTGTGTTTTGGGGTGTGGTACGGCGCGACTGGAACATGCTCGATCAGGCAGGATGGGCAGGTTCCTGGTAAGGCTCACTCTGCACCATCTCCTCTCACTCGTCGGCTCGAGCTGGAGGGAAGCGGGCGGTGAGTTTAGGTCGAGTGAGAATAAGCCTTGTTGGGGTGGGATTGGCGGCCCGGCGACCTATCGCGTCGCGCTTGCGTTCTCGGGACCGTGAGATGTCCGGTCGGCGATCTTCACTGCGCATCTTCTTCCACTTCGTCGTGAGCCACAAGGCTCGGGAGGAGGAGATCACTTCAGATGTAGAAAAACCGTTGAGGATGATCTGTGTGACCGCGCGGGTGAAGCAGTTGGGTCGCCTTGTCTGCCTTCTGCATCATTTGAGAGGTGCGTCGGGCTGGAAGCTGCACGAAGGGTCTTCAGCAGGGCTGTCTTACCTGTCGTCACGGGATACACGCTTGCTCAAATGTTGCAGAAGCACGTTGCTCGCCACCAACTTCTTTCCGTATCATGCAGGTTTGTTGATTCAAGGCTAGCAGAACGAATGGTACAGAGAGAGCTATCCGGGCTGATTTATTCCTCGTCGCCACCCTGAGCCACGTGGAGTGAAATGCTTCATCGTTTCCGTAGCCCTTCCCAAGCCCTTCCCAAGCCATCACGAAATGTCGCGATATCTCGTCATGCATGCAGCCCTTCAACGATCCGTAATCTCTCCCATGATTCTCGTAACTTCCATCAGGTGTCCTTCTGGGTATTCTTCCTGCTGTACATTGGCATCTTGTTTCTCATGGTATCGTAGCAATATCGACGTAAATGATCTTCGTCGTGTCATCGGGTCTCGTAAGAGCAAATTTGGCCTCTCTGGATTCTGTTCCGCAAATGTCAGTCGCGCTGCTGGGGTGGCAAACACGGGAAGAGTTGGACTCACCAGAGACGTGTCTTAGCAAACGTAGCTTCCTTCGTGGGAAGGGATGTTGGTGAATGAGTGAAAGCTGTTGTTCTGGGCCGTTCACTCTATGCGAGCACGCTTGGTACCTGCTTCCCATGTCAGTACTTGTTGGGGCGGAATGTCAAACACAAACGCGAACTCACCACGAAGCCCATCGTTGTTAATTTGAATAGTGATTCTGCTGTCTCCGGCAGTGATGGAGATATCGATTGGCTTGCTGTCGCTACCCTGCTGGCTCATGGCGGTGTGGTCCTGGGTGTAAGAGGGTGCCACGTCGCAGACGGTCATGATCTTCGAAAGAGCGATCTTCTTCTTCGACGGCCCACGAGGCTTGCGAAGCGGCTTGGCGGGGGTAGGAGGAGGGGTAAGAGCCTCGATGCTCTGCTTCGCTTCCTGCCGCGCGAGGAACACTCTGTGGCAGTCCTCGAACTCGTCCGTCGCAATGTAGTCGCAGTTAGGTGACCCGACCTTGTGCTGCGCGAAGGGGTCATCTTTCTCCTCCCACTTCCAGGCCTGAAGCTTGCAGCTGTGGCAGGTGACGCTGTCGGGGGTTTTCGTGCTGCCAGTGAAGTAGAAACCAGCGCCGGCCATGTCCTCGCCCCGAAGAGTCGTGATGGGCCACGCGCCAGCCTCGGCCTCATCTTCGGGCTCGCTGCCTGTTGCATTTGGGTAAAAAGAAAGTAGACGGGCGGAATAAGTCTCCATTTTTTACAGAGAAGAGGGAAGAAATGAGTGTGTGTGCTGTTGCAAAAGAAAAAAAGTTGTGAGTAGCTGAAGAGCTGAAAGCGATGGTGGAGGTAAGGACTGAGGATATCGCGAGATGGTTGGGAGCGAAGTAGCGGAAGGAGAAGAGAGTTTGAAAAGGTTTTTGTGGGTGGGAAGAGATAAAGGTCGTCTATCTTGAGGGCTAAAAAGACCCAAGGATCAAAAGGAAGGAGCAAATTGGTCGAACAAACTCTTCTTCGAGGGCGGTTCCTTCCCTGTTGAAAGCTGCCCGTTGACGAGAGATGGGATGGAAGTTCAAAGAAAGGAGAAGTGTCTTGTAGACCGGTCCCGTCTGTTGAGGGATGGTTTTGACAGACTGGCACTCATAATAATCTTAGAGTACAATCTAGAATCTAAAAAAGGAAGGAGCCTACCCGCGTACTTGAAATAATTTGCTCCTTGGTGGTGAGAGTGTGAGGACGTGAAGATGTGCTCACACAGACAACTTACCAAAGTCCAACCTCCACCGCTTCGTGAGATGGAAATGTCAATAGAGTGACTCTATAAAGCAGGCAAAAATCTCTCAAGCCTCCCAAATGCCATTATATTCAACGCATCGCTAGGTTGCTCGCCGCGTATTCCCTGGCAAGTCATCGACACATCACCAACATTGGACCCCGATTCCGGCCGAGTTCATACAGCCCCCAAAATCTCCCCAACGGCCTCGTATGTGTCCTTCTTATCCTTAACCCAGTATCCAATCGACGCCAACCCCGTCACAATGACCATATCCATGTCAATGCTCTGCGGCGGAACATACACCTCAAAGGTCGGAGGCGTCTTGGACGAGCTGAACCTTCCGTCGGGATGCTTCTTCCACCTCGCCAGCAACCTCCCACTCCCATCCTTGAAGAAGATCGTGCTGTGCGAACCGGACATCCTCGATAATGTCCAGCTGTACGGCACGCCCATGTAGTCGAAATCGTGGCCCATGCCTGCCGAGTTCCCCTTCATCTTGAACTCCATGCCGCGGAACACGACGTCGATCTTGGACGACAACGAGTGTAGCTTGGCCGTGCCGAGGGCTTGGTCTGACATCTGCTGCTGCCGCGGGTCGGCGTGCAGAACGGCGATGGCCTTTTCGTCGTTGTTGTGGAGGATGTAGAAGGGTGTTGCGTGCCCTGTGACGAGATCGATGCGGTCGACCGTTGTTTGGGCGCCGTTGAAGCGCTTGTTTATGCGGAGTACTTCGCAAGGAGGGTTGATCGGTTTGGGGTCCTCCAAGTAAGACATGATGCTGATGTTAGAAGGGTCTGGCTGTCGCTCGGCAAGATTCAATACGAGTGTTGAATGGCGGTACTTGGGCTAGGAGAATGGTTGTGAGTACGTCTGTAAAGTATGTAAAACCACTTATCTGTCAGTTTGATGCATGAAGTAGGGGGGAAAGGACATTTTATTTGAATATGGAAAGCCACCGATGTCAGCGTCTTCAATACGCGGCACGATGGATGCGACCGCCTTCACGGGACCGCCGTTGCCGCTCGCGCGACACATCCAGCGATGCTTGAATATGCTGAGCTTCCTAGTAGAGTCGATTGACGATCTGTAAGGCTGCTTTGCTGTGTCGAGCTGCATGGCGGGATCCTGAACCCTGAATATCGCAAAAAGATGTCTCAGCTCGACGAGCACTCTGGTTGGCGAACATGAACTTGGCGCTCCTAAGTCTCGTGCCACCACGCGATTCAACTGGCTAGAGTAGCTCTGAGGAAGTCGAAGTCGGTGCTGATTGGTCTATTGTGCGAGAGAGCTGATTAAGGCCGACACTGGTGCTGATGCTTGCTTGCTCTTTCCGGGGATGCCATTGCCAGCATTCTCACATCGCTGACAAGGCGGGGTTTCTTCAAGACTTCCTACTTCCCAAAAGGGCAAAACGCAGTTTACCCAACTCAATTCCAGCTGTCCAGCGTCACGAGCCGACAATGATTGGGTAACCATGTCACGTACAATCGATCATTTCTAGTAGGGTATCTCAATCGCACAGGGAACGTCACATACACTTGACAGTGGATGATATCCGCAATATGGGCTGCTGGAGCCCTCGCCGGCTTGAAGTACGCCGACCGGACAATCGACTTCCAATCAACTCGGACTGTCTTACGTTAGAATATCCAATTGAAGGGAGTCTTCTGGGTAAATTGATGGGGAGTGGGGGCTCGTTGATGCCAGAAATCGGCGCTGGCGACATCAACACCGTTAAAGGCAGTTTTTCCCACGATTTTTGGCATCATCACGGCTCGCTTCGGCTCGACCATCCAATCTCGGCTCGACCTTCCACCTACAGGCCGTCTCGAGATTCCATCCCGATAACTAACACGCGAGAACCACATCGCCGATATTGATGGCTCAAGATTTCTCAATAAATGAAAGAAAGGTAGAGAAATTTCATTCCATTTCTTTCTTTCTAGTGCATCTCATTATCTCGATCTTTCCGCTTCATAACGGCCATTGTCCATTTGCTGCGGTTCATTCCAAGGTCAGGAAAGTCAATATGACCCTTATTGAGACTCTCGACATCACCCAGGCAAGCATTTGTCAACTTCAAGATGCCTTATCAAACACCACATTGACCAGTGTTGACCTGATCGCACGCTTCCTCCACCGTATCGGTAAACTCGACCACCGCGGCCCCTTGCTCAACTCCGTCTGTGTACTCAACCCCAGAGTCTTCGAAGAGGCGCAAGCATCAGATGACTACCGAGCCTCTGGGAAACCCCCACGGCCTTTGGAAGGAATACCCTTCACCATCAAGGACAGCTTCCAGGCCAAGGGACTCACTGTCGCGGCTGGCTCTCCAGCTTTCGAACATCTCGTGGCATCCTCTGACGCTGCGGTGGTTCAACGTCTCCGCAATGCTGGCGCCGTCCTTATCGGGAAAACCAACATGCCTCCCATGGCCGACGGCGGCAGCCAGAGAGGTCTTTACGGCAGGTCACTCAGCCCTTACAACCCAACATACCTATGTACAAGTTTCGCGTCAGGCTCGTCGTACGGATCTGGCGTGGCCACCGCGGCATCTTTTGCACCTATTGGACTTGGTAGTGAAACCGTATCTTCAGGCCGAGCGCCGGCTTCTCATAACGCACTTGTGGGGTACTCGCCCTCGAGAGGTGTCGTTTCTTCTCGCGGGCTCTGGCCGCTGTATCCGACATGCGACGTCGTTGTGCCTCACACAAAATCGGTTTCTGACATGCTGTCCCTCCTCAATGTCATTGTGGCCGATGATGAGGAGCCAGTAGGCGACTTTTGGCGTGAGCAGACCGTGGTGCCTATCCCATTCGCATCCGATATTCGTCCTCGGGACTATCTTAGTCTCATGGACCCTGACTCCCTGAAGGGTAGACGTATCGCGGTACCCAAATGCTACGTCGGTAAAAAGACATCATCTGGATACTCGGTGGTCTTCACCGAAGCCACTGGCTTGCTTTGGGGACAAGCCCGAGCCGAACTGGAGAACCTCGGCGCAACAATCACCGAGACCGACTTTCCCTTGATCGAGAACTATTCCGAGCAACATTTCCCGGGACAAGCCGCCAATGTGCCAGGGGTTCCAGAGACATGGATGGCTATTGAACGATGTCAGATGATTGCGACGGCATGGGATGACTTCCTCCGATACAATAGCGACCCGAACTGTCCTCGCTTAGACTGCGTCGATACCCGGAAGATCAACCCCGGATTTGCCCCCATGGACGATCCAGCAGAGTTCACCGAACTACAAAACCACGTCCGATACGCCGAGATGATTGACTTCATTCGCAACCGACCAGACAAGATCCACGACTTGCCCGGATGCGCCGAAGCACTCGTTGCTCTTGAAGCTGCCCGGAAGCGAGACTTGGAAGACTGGATGGATCAGAACAGCTTCGATGTCATTGTTTTCCCCACTAATGGCGATGTCGGACGAGCTGACTCCGAGGAGAACCGTGAGTCGATGCTGCACACGCTGCAAGACGGCGTGAAGTACTCCAACGGCAATCGCGCGATGAAGCATCTCGGTGTTCCGGCGGTCACCGTACCAATGGGTACGATGTCCGACAAGAAGATGCCTGTCGGCCTCACTTTTGCTGGAAAGGCTTGGTCCGACAATGATCTGCTTCGCTACGCCTTTGCGTTTGAAAACGCTACAAAACGCCGAGAAGTTCCCTCAAATGCCCCTGCCCTGGAGACAGATTTTGTGAAGCTTTCGAGAGGCTCATTGCAGGGAAGCGTTGGCCCAGATCTGGTGATCACCGATGTCTGCGTGGAAAAGTTCTCCGAGGAAGATGAAGAAGTTCGAAGCGTCTCGATACAAGGCTCTATTCACCCAGGCGACACTTCTGCCATCGTTGAGAGCATATTGGTTTACGTCAATGGCGATCTTTCAGCCCCAGTTACGTCGAAAGCGACCAAATGGGCGTGGAACAGCAAGTTAAGGCGCAGGTTAGTCGCTGAGAAGTATCCAGCTCCTAGTAAACTGCTCAGAGATCAGTTCATGGTGGTTGTCATAGCGCATGCCTCGAATGGTCGGTCGATGGGCCAGCTGATCATGCTCGAATGACAACATCATAAAATAATGTAAAATAGATCTCGACAACTTTCGTTGAGCTACGAGTTTGGGTTTTGCCAGATTTCAATCGATCATGAGAACGAAAAGTGACAAGTTCCCCTGGTATAAGCTTAACCGGCATAATTCTTACCCGGGCTTACAGATGCCTTCTGCGGCAGCTTGCCGACCCCATCAACAGGTTCTTCCCTCGATTCCTCCAATGAGCTACTCAACCACGATATGAAAGATCGTTATGTGGGCAAAGCTTTTGCGGTTTACCATTCTTGGCGAGACTCGTTTACAGAAATGGTCCATCCCCTCGGTATCCCGTCGGGTGTGGCATCATCATCGCATCCAAAGAGGAGACCTTCATGAGTCTACCCGAACATCCCTTGCTTTCCCCAATCACCATCTTCTGTCATTCTCGTGCCACGGCAACCCCGCGCGAGGTTGATCGGGAAGCGGACCATCGGTTCATCTGATAAGATTAGATCCAGAAGATCGACATCAACGTTCCCAATAGTAGTAGTTTGAGGCTGGGGAAAGATCCATGGGAATAGAGTACAGATATTCCGGTGGGATCATGTCTAGCAAGTATAAGTGAGGCCGTTTGGCGCCATAGAGACACGGTCATCCTCAGCTCTCCCAGACTCGACTCTACCAAACCCTCCTCAACACAAATCCAATCGTCAACTACGCCAATCCTCAAGATGCAGTTTTCTACCATCACCACCCTTCTGGCCGTTCTGGCCGCCGCCGCTCCCGCTATCGCCGCTCCCGCAGCTGAGACTTTGGAGCAGCGTGCTTGCCGTGCCTCTGGACGTAAGTCTTCTCTTGCAACCATGGCATTGGAAACATGAGTTCAACTCGTGTGCCAATTCGATGTGAACCTAGCTTGATGGTGGAACTATTGGCAAGAATGAGGCATTCCAAGAGATGTTGCTGATTAATTCTTCATCTAGAATCCTGCTACAGCGGTTCCGATTGTTGCTCGGGTCACTGCCAGGTCACCATCGCCGCCACATACTGCTCTTGAACGACTTAGGCGACGTGAACCCGAGGAATCGGCTTGAATGGAGGTGGCTTGGTCGAGTGAAGAGTAGACTGAATGGGTTGAATGGAGTCTACGTGCCTGCCTCCTGTAACATGCGCGCATGAGCGTCTCGATAGCGAAAACACAATGACATAGAACCTATTCATGCGCCACTTCCAAGTCTTTCATAAATACTAGCTCAACTGGTACAGAAAAAACTGAATCCAAAGTAGCCATGTGAGGCATGAATGTGACTCCTTGTGACCACAACTCCAGCTGAAAGTAAGCCCGATACCATGGCAAACTGGCAGTTAATGATGTTGGGTTGGCATGTTTAGGCGAGAGCATTGTATCACAGCTCATCCATTTTCGCGACCCTTCACAGTTCCTGCCTATTGATGCACAAGACTTCATCTATGAGACACCACTGTAGTGGAACCTCTCGGACAATCAGACTAGACTGTGTATGCCATCCCCGCATCTGAACGGTGTTGTCATTTTAGATTATCGCGCATGGTGATACCATGCTGTGTCTCCCGGGCGCGGGGCAGGAATACCAGAGAACTGTGGGTTCTCCAGTCCAACACCCGATTCTTGGATCTTTGAAAGTCCCATGCAATGAGCTTGCCGTTGTGGTTCGATGACATAATTCTCACAGGCAACTCGCGAGTTGCTGAGCTCATCACATGCGTCCCCCGGGCGAACTCTCCGCCCGAGTTGAGCCATTAAAAGATGCTACGATTGCCGAAAATCGCCTTGAGATGATGAGAGCAGAACGACATATGGAACTGGCCTAGAACACCTCATCGAGCTTCGGGATGTTGCCGCGACTGGGCAAAGCTACGCTGCTGCGGACATAAAATCGCTCACGATGAAGATCCCTTCGGGCCTGTTGGATGGGATGGGGCACCATGAAAACTGGATTTTACTTCATGGCAATGGATGGCAATTGGCAAACGTCGAGAGGGGTTTCAAAAGATCCTGACTGCTCACCGGCCGCATACCGGTTGCCGCCTTCGAGAAGTGCCACGACGGGACATTTCCCGTTACATAAAAGTACCGGCTATCAATTTGTGCAAGTTCGTGTTACAATTGGGCTCATTTCATTGGCGAACATCGCCATCTCCGCTTGATGGGTACTTCATACAACTGCAAGCACTTCTGGCCAGAACGTCGTGTGCCCCATCAACAGCTGCCGACATGACGCCAACGCGCCATCACGTCTCCATCAGGGCGCTTTCCTGCCCGTCTGACGGCGTTAAGAACTGCCAACTTTGATGTGGATATGAAACTGGGCAGAGGAGACCGGAGGCGGAGAAGGCCGCCACCAAGTCGTGCCGTGTGCCAGCTTTTCGGTGATAAGTGTTGGTTGGTCAGTTCAGCTCTAAGCTCCTGAGAAGAAGAAAAAAGCTGGCAAAAAAGTCCTCACATGCTTGGAAGACAAAGACGCCTGTGGAACCTCGAACTCGACCATTCAGAAGCAAGTTGGGAGAAAAACTAGCATGGTTGTACCACAGTAGAAATCCGCCCTGACGATCGCTGCAATGCTACGGTGTCGTGGCTGCTTTCCAGTGCGAATCCTCGTCTTCCGACTGGACGGCCGAGAGTCTCCGGCCCTGCGGGTGACCCGCCCGCAGCTCCGCGCCGAGTCAAGCGTCAGGGCTGGAACCGCGTGGCGTCAGGTTCCTCATGTGTTTTGTTTCGTCCGCGGCCTTTTTCCTTCCTTTTTGCGTTGTTTCCTGTCCCAACGTTGTGCCGTGTACCTGCATGATGATCCATCAACCGTCAGCCCAAGAAGAGGAGAACAGCACCGGCACACATCATCCGCCAGCGTCTCTCCCGTTCCGCAGCCGGCCACGAGCCGCAGCCCCCCCCGCCCTGCCGCCTCCTTGGACCCCATTAGCCCCCTTTTCGACCTCTCGGCCTCTTGGCCGCTGTCTTGTAAAGGTCGAAAGAACGTTCGGTTCCTGACGGTTTCTCCAACTAAACCCTATCCGGTTCTGCCGGGGGACCCATGAGCGATTTTCATCCCTGACAGCGCGCATCCTCTTTTCCTCCTTGGGCCTTGGCCATGTTTTCTCAACGTGCATTTCCCGAAACCGTTCACCTTTGGCTTGCGATGTCGAGTCTTTGGCAACGTGTTCCTGGTCTAGCGTGACCGACTTTCCACCCCTCCTTCAGGGCTCTTCTCTTAGTGCGCAACTCTGTTTGTGACCTTGCTTTTGATGGATCACGGCAGCGTCAAGGACGTTTCCTGTGGTTCCACGACGTGCCTGTCAGATTCCTGGCAGCCCTTGATTGAACAGCTGGCCCGACTCGTGTGCTTGCGGGTCGGGAGGCATCCACAGCCTTGGCCTTTCTGACTGTGCCTCTCTCAATTTCTCCATCCCGAAGGATCATTTTCAGCGGACCATCATCATGTTGGTTGGTACCTGGACTACGACGCCAGCGGGGCTTCGAAGCCTGCTACGTGGGCCTCGTAGATGAACCGAACGCTGGTTCGTCCGCGCTCTTGGGTGACATCTCATCTCCGGAGGGTAAAATGCTGTTGGTCAATATTGCCATCCGTTCTTGTAGGGATGGAATTTTGGTATATAAGTTCCCCCAGTCTCGTTGTTTCCAGGATGGCCTCTGTCTGATCACCAACAATCCCTCACTTTCCTCTTCCTCCAGTCTATCACTCCCTCGGCCGGCCCCGAAAGCTCGCAGATCAGGTTACACTCCTTGAACCACCCACCAGCTTCACTCCTTTGCAAGCCCACCATATCCAGTCTTTCTGTGAAAGAACCCTCGATCCAACAGCCCTCGAACCCCGGCAACCGACCCTTTAGGAAAAGAATTACAGCTCAACGCTTCTTACACTTCAAACCACCAACATGTTCGCTACCACTTTGACGACCTTCCTTGCTGCTTCGGCCAGCTTGGTCTCGGCCGCGTCCATCCCCATCCGGGACAACGGGAACTCCGGCTCCGCCTCCATGACTCCCCACGATCTCTACTCGTCCTCTATCGGCGTGTTGGGCTGCAAGATCGACACCAACCGTGTCGCGTACTGGCCCAATGCTGTCGATTGCGACAACATCTGCCTCAAGGTTTCTCACGCTGGACGTAGCGTCAAGCTCCTCCGCATCGACCAGTCCGGCGGTGCCTATGACATCTCCTACGACGCCTACAACTACCTCGTCACCGGCAAGGGCGCTGCTGAGGCACCCACCCAAGGTGGCCCGGTCGGTATGGAGTGGGAGAGCCTCCCTGCCAGCGAGTGCAGCCACCTCATGAAGGACGGCAAGCTGCCTCTCTCAGCCGCCAACAGCATGAACTACCTGGCTTCCTGCCTCGGTACCGACAGCTTCGTTGGCAAGAACCACGCTCTCTACAACATCCAGAACTCCGCTTGCACCTGGGGCGTCGACGAGCAGTGCAACCTCGACCTCGCCGTCAGCAACCAGGCTGCGTGCCCCAGCGGCCTCGGCATCACTACGGCACTGAAGAACCAGCCCGTCAAGAACATTGCCTACGGCACTGGCAAGATGGAGGTCGCTGTCCAGTAAGCGTTGCAGGAATACATCAAAGGGATACCATTTTATGAGACATGACCACACTTATGATACCTGTATATATTTGTAGAAAGACCCAAGAAGGAGTCATTTTGAGCGCATCCAGTCAACTGTCCTATATCGTAGTGCCTTGCTTGTGACATTCCCTTTGTGATACTGTATTGGTTGACCGCAGCTAACTGATCTTCAACTCGTGCTATCCTTGTCCTGACTCTTTCCGGCGGAAAGCTTCAAGCATATGGCATCAACATCACCTGTATCAACAGGACCTTGGAGTACAACTGAAAGAAAAGACCGCCCACTTATCTCCCGGTCCCTCTTGCGGAGGTGGCGCCTTTACCTGAGTAAACGTGCTCGAAGACTTTATGATGTACTCTCGTCATAGACCAGACTAGACGAGATTCTCCTCCGTCAGCTGAAGCATAGCACTTATGAATTGGTCAGAAGTGCAAGACTGGAAGCGACGATATTCGCGTAACCTACGAGGTCAGGGGACGCAGAGACAGGGCCTACTGAAATTGGTCCTGCTCAACATATGTATGGGTGATGCGCTCGTTCCGGTAGGCGAAGTATATGCCCACGGAATACAGGCCGTTCGTGATGTGGGATGGTGATGGCTGAAATATTTCTATCTTGCTCCATATACGCAAACTTCTGTAAGTGAATGGTGATACTATTCAATGGCGATGGGACAGCTTTGGTGGCCAGGCCTCTTGGATCATACACATCTCATAGGTTCCGCAATTCATCGATTATCTTCTTCTCTTCAATCCGGAACTTGACGATGAGTTTGGCCTCATCATTCTCCTCGATGCCAGATATTCCGCTGAAGTCAAAATGCTCGTCGGATCTCCGCCGGCGTGGCCAGTAACCATGACCCCCGAAAAGCCATATACAGGTTCTCTGCATCTCGGATAATCTGAACTCTTCAATTGTCCACGACAGTCGGGCGCGGGGAAAGAAGAGCTTCATATTCGAAACCGCAGCACATCTTCTTTCCAGATCCGTTGTTTGTTCCCAGTCCCATATGAGATATGCGCATTCCCAGAGGGCTTTAGAGAAGTACTTGTCCACCACGATCTCATAAACCTCGTCTTCTTTGTGTGCTTGGAGCCACAACTGGCAAGGGTTTGAGGAAAGCGCATCCCGTTCGCCGTCCAATGGTGTCGATAACTTGGCAATATTGGATGATGAGCATTCGCTCAGTGGAACCCACCATTCGACGGGGTTCAATTCGTCAACAAACGCTTTCTCGGGCATCATGAGACGCAGGATCTCAAAGGGGACGCTGTCGTAGTATCTTTTTGGTTTGGGATGCATCGGCAACAGAGATTCTCTTTCGCCAAATGTTCGTGCGCGGAGAACGGCGACTAGAAAAGGAAGTCCACGGCAAAGCTTTGTTGTGATGGTCAGAAACAAGTTTGAATGTGTTTGATAGCTTCAATCTTACGTGTGACTGGATATGAGAACTTTCCGTTCCGTCCTCCTCCCAATCGATTGGCATTTCACCGTGATCCACATCATGAGCAGCGACATCATCGAATGCTAGAGATCATCAGTCAACTTGCTCAAAATCTTGACGTGTCTCGGAATACCTTACCCTCTGCCACCTTTCGCTCGAGGTACGCATACACGCAAAGCATCTGCTCATTCACCCATGGAGAGAAGGACGAGAAGAAACATCGAGTGATTTCTTCACAAGATAGAGGCCTACCAACTTTGCAAGGAATACAGAAGAGGTTGCACATGAGCTGGTATCGTAAGAACGCCCGATTCAGTCGGTAGAGTTCTTGATCGGAGGCTTCTGGTGTATGATCAAATTCGAACCTGCTCTTGAATAAGGGAAGAGTTTCGGCTACCATGTCGTTTCTCAGAATCTCAACGGCTGAGAGGTCGCGGCTCAATGCAGCGTATGCAGACAGTGGGTAATGGCTCAATTGGCCTATCTTAGTGTTGTTGCTGGTAAGGGTAGTTTCCAGCTGCGAAAGGAGTTCTCGAACTGCGTCATGCTTGCTCGGGTTGACGTGGATCGAATGTAGGAGAGCAGCCGCGTACGGAAACATCCCTGGAGGGATCTGGTTGAGAACGACGCTTCGGGCGACTGTCTGGCTATTTTCGTTGAAGGCATCATGGAAAATTCGATGACTTCTGACAACGAGGCTAAGCTGGGCGATCGTGTCCAACTGGGCGAGAATACCACTGGTGACATGCAGGGGAAGTTTCTCAATGGATGATGTCGGTGCCATTTTTGCCAGAGGATCGGTAAAGACCGACTACTGAAGTTGGGAGAAAACAGATATGGGAAAACGAACTACAAGCGAGGGAGGGCTCGCCGTCAAGCTTAGACGCGTGTATGGGTTTCTTGATCGGCTAGTCTGACTCATTTTGTGGGCTAACAGCGCTTACAGGTGTTGCCCCAGACTGGAGTCAGACCCAAGTCCCGCCTCCAGCAGCATCATGGCTTCCAACTGAAGCCACAACAAACCAGGACAAGACCTGGGAAAACTCGCGATGACCGTGGTGTAGTCGGGCGTACCACGGGAACCCATGATTTCTTAATAATCTTCCGGGTGGGAACTTTTCTTCAGCGTCAGTGACGCATCGTTTCTCAATCCAATGAGTAGGTTTGTTATCATGGTGAACACAATAACATACTCCGCTCCGCGGTGGTTGATGGGTTTCGTTCCTCCAGAGAGGCTGAAACGCATAATTATTTGAGGTTTGAGATCGTATTTCTCTGGGGATTGTATGGTGATCGCTATCAGTATCACTATTTGGCGTTGGCCTTGGACCAGAAGTACGGCTATGTGTGAAAGTAAAGGTAAAGCTTTGGTTTTCGTCGGAATAGCCCGCTTGTGCCTGTGTCTACCTGGCAGCCTCCCATTCATTTCGATAAGTCAGTAAGTTATCATAGATCCAGTCGGGATAACCAAGACATACGAGAGATGTTTTGGGCATTGAAGAAACCTTTCTTTCAAGGAGTTGTATCGTGTTTCGACTTGGTAGTCTCAGCTGGGCCAGGAAGTTTTCCGCAAGGATAGTTTGGGAATAACCGGCAGAAAAGAACGTCGTTTCGGACTGTTGAAATCTCATAGTTTGTAAGTTAGATTGGAGTCTCATGGATGTATGGGCGATAGCAGACCAGAGTCTGAATGAAAGCCCCAGCAGTCAAAAAGTCAAGAAGACTGACCAGAGTAGCATTTCCAGGAGGCAGTCTCTCGAACCCTGAAAAAGAAGTTGTCTGGAACAACCGAGGATGCTCGGCGCTTCTGAGGCCTCTGGTTCGTCAACTTGCACATTTCAGGTACGTACATCAAAGGCAACGATCCTTCCTCGGCAGCCCTCACTCATCACCTGTTCCTTCAGCGTGCACGCGAGGCGCAGATATGCAGCCCAACTCCCCAGGCGCCCGTGAGCATACGCGAAGACAATCATTCGGAGGCTGAGACTCTGCGGAAGGCAGGATCACGATGGAGGCTGCGTGGTTTTGTACGCTTTGGGCGTGGTTTGCGAATCTACGTCGCTTGGTCTTCCAAGGTGGCGGGCATTCATGCAGGACCAGACTACCAAGAACGACGGCGTGGAACGACGCGTGCAATATCTCCAGTCATTGGAGCTTGTGTAGTTGAAATTAGCTTCAGAAGTCGTTGAATTGGGCGCAGAGAAAGGGGCCAACACCCAATGAAGTATCGTAGACGGGTCGAGGATGCCGAGGTTGGACGAAGCCCAGACTTAGTCGGTTTGGTTTAGAGCGACTGTTAGTTTTGGTACATATCAATGATGAGCAGCGGTTGTTTGTGGAGGGTGGCGTGTGTGAATCATGGGCCTGAGAGGAGGGAAGAAGGTGCATGATCTGAATGTGCGGCAGTGCATTGCCAATCATGACGGGGGCTTGGTGATGGTTGCACGAAGCATGTAAGGTGTAACTGCTGGCTGTAGGTCTGGCCTCTCTGTGCCAACGCCAACGCAAGGGAGACTGGATACGATGTCTGAACCGTGGTCGCGGTAGCGGGATCTAATTTGACCATTCTCTGGCCCTCCCCCGGAATGATTGGCGCTAGGATTCTGCGCACGAGACATACATATGAGTGCCGCCGTGTCCGGAATGGACTGTGACTCTCCCAAGTAGCATCCCGTTGAATGTTTTCGACGACGTATTGACAAAAGGGTTGCCTCGAGTCTGCCAAGATCAATGGAGCCACCTTGGCACCGGTGGCAGGTGAGGGTTGATGGTTCGGAGAATGGACTGGTTTAAGAAGGCCTCAAAGATGGGTGGTTGTTGTCATCTTAGACATGTGTCAGAAAGTCCGAACGAAGCGAAGTGAGGTTGAAGAAGAGATTGCGGTAGTCTCGGAGTCCGGGGCGGAATCCATTTCGCTTGCGCGTTGGTTGAGACTTCGTTCCGTCGTGGGTTTGCTTTCCTCTCGACATAGCAGCTCAGCCCATGTCAGATCTGAAGGGGCCTGCGAAAGATACGAAAAGATAATGACAGATGGCATTGTGACCAACTCAAGCTCCATCTTACCTGTGACTCTCATGTCACTGCTGCGAGAGGGTGTCATTATATGGAGACACAGGCGAATCATTGCCGTATGTTATGCTTCAACCCGAGAGTCCCTCACCCAGTGCCCTGCTGTTCTTCGTCGATCTTGTTCCCCCACCTCCCCTCCGAATAAAGGCCTGCTCATTCATTCCTTCCCGGCGCTGTAGAAGCAAAAAGCAACAGAAAGCAAGACACGATATCCAGATGTCATGTCGCTTGCTAGTACGTTCTCGGGTCTCATCGCGTGGGCTTGCATGCCTTAGTCTCAGCTTCGCGTCTAACACCGAAATGGGCAATCGACCGGCGGGCCGTCCAATCGCATATCCGCCAAGCCGCTCCGGTGCAGACTCCGAGTCGGCCGGCCCATCCATGACATTTCCATTCGGATTATTCGAACCACTTTTGGGCGATGACAGGTCCCGTTACCCCGGCTTTTCCATGTCTGCTTTTTCGTCTGCTTGGCTTCAGCTTCTGTTTTCCTCGCCTTCCACACTGGATACGGAGAAATTTGCGGCTGTGAGGGATGAGGGAAAAGGAGAGGGCGGACAGGGAAGCGGCTCCATCTCCAGACGACTCTCCACATTCACCCCATCCTCTTCCCCGTCCATTCCCCTCCCCCATCCCATCGTGCGTTTTACCCCGCAGCCAAAGGCCGGGACGAACCCACTTGCTCTCATACCCCGGATTTGACATTGACGCTGTTCTTTTTTGGTGTGTTGGAGGTGGTCCGCGACTCCGCGTGGACGGGGGACTGCCAACTATTCTGGGAGACATATTCGTAGTTTGATGATATGAGATGAGGCCCTGCGGGCAAGGGGTTTCGGGGACTGGGAGATTGCCAATTGACGTCTGGGAACGTCTGCAGTGTCTTTGCCGAGAAGCTTCGCGTGTCTGTAGGTCTCACTTCTTCGTCTTCTTTCCGTCTTCCGCGTCTCTGAGGCCTGGATGTGTTTCTGACCGCCAGCTCTGCGAAGCCGCATGCCGCTCCGGAATCCTCTTCACGTCCACGTACTTGTGCCCTAATGCGGCCACGCCTTGCCGTGAATCGTGACAGGATGAAGTTTCCATGCTAGGTGGCATTCGCCGCCACCCTCGGTATCTTCACGTCTCCTTTTGAGTTTGATTGGTTCCCCCGCAGCCAGCGACACCCCCCAGTGGCAGCATCCAGGGTGGTTACCCCCTCCCCAGACGAAGGCGGGGATGTTGGAACTGCGGTCCAAGTGTCTTGTCGTACGCACTTGGGCTTCCCGGTATCCTCTTTTTTCCTGGGGAAAGAAAGAAACAAGGGACTTGGTCGGGTTAGATGGCTTCGTGGAACTTCGTTAGTCTCGAAAGGGAGGCCGGGAGTTGGAACTGGGTCCTCTGGGCAGTCGAGTATATATCCTATCGATGTCGTGTCGTCCGATACTACCTCCCCTTCTGTGTGCTCCTCAAGGGTTTTGTCTTTCGGGTTGATAACCTTCTGGCTTTTCCCGCTGCCGAACCACGATTTTCCCTTTTGCTTGTTCCCACACCAGTTCCAACACAAAAACAATTGGAATTCCGATTCTGTTTAAGTTGGTCTGTTGTGCGACACACATCGAGGCCCAGACCTTTTTCCCCGACCGGCCCCCCTCCCTTCGCTGAAGTGACGCACAACTTGCAGCTTCGGCACGTCTTCCCTCACCGACAACTGCTGTTCTCAGAGATTATTTCGGGACGCAACGACTCAGTCACTTGAATTGAGGAATAGGGAAACTATCGCCGCGAGCATGGATCACCGACACTCCGATCCCGAAAAGGCGGGCTACGCCGGCTCGGATCCCGAGAAAGTCGGCTTCGAACACGACGACAACGCCGTCAAGTCTAACTCCGTCGCCGGCTCAAATGATGCTGACATCGATGGAGGCTTCACCAAGGAGGAGCAGCGCAACATCATCCGCCGCGTCGATCGCCGTCTCGTCGTGACCGTGGGCGCCATGTACTGCGTCTCGCTGATGGACCGGACAAACTTGTCAGCTGCGGCTATCGCAGGCATGACGGTCGAGTTAAAACTGAATCTCTTCAACCGATATGTAGGTTGACTTTGAATCGCGTGAGGCTGATTGGCGTGCGGTCTTGCTGACGGGTGACTGGACAGAACATTGCCTCGCTGCTCTTCTTCATTCCCTACATCATCTTTCAGCCGCCCTCGACTATTATTGTCCGAAAGATCGGCCCCAGAATTCACCTCGGCGGACTCACCCTTCTCTGGGGTGCTGTCATGATTGGAATGGGTTTCTCGCAGACCTACTCGCACCTTTACGTGTGCAGAATTCTTCTCGGAGTGCTCGAGGCCGGCTTCTTCCCCTCGTGTGTGTATCTGCTCAGCACTTGGTACACCAGATGTGAGTTGCACGAGTCTCATCGAAAATAGAGTTCGACTGACCGAATCCAGATGAGGTTGGCAAGCGATACTCCGTATTTTACCTCCTCGGCTGCGTCGCCTCGGCGTTTGCTGGTATCCTTGCCTACGGCCTGATGCAGCTCAACGGCCGCGAAGGACTCACGGGTTGGCGCTGGATCTTCATCATCGAGGGAGTCCTGACTTGCGCTCTTGGTGCTGCGGGATACTGGCTTCTTGTTGACTTCCCGGACTCCCACCGCAAGTCGTGGAGTTTCCTCGGCGAACGCGAGCGTGCCTGGGTCGTCGCTCGCGTAAACCGCGACCGTGGAGATGCCCACATGCCGGCGTTCAATATGAGGAGGTTCCTCAGCGCTGGTACCGACTGGAAGATCTGGGCGTACGCCATGATCTTCTTCAACACCACGACCGTCTCGTATGCCCTGGCGTACTTCCTTCCCATCATTCTGCAGGCCAACATGGGCTTCGATGTCGCGAAGGCTCAGTGTCTCGGTAAGTAGAGCGGCAGTTTCTGAGAGAGATGTCGACTGACAGTGAGCAGTTGCACCCCCGTACGCCTTCGCCGGCATCGTCATGTTCGGGACCGCATGGCTCGGCGACAAGTACAAGTTCCGCGGCCCCGTGATCCTCATCAACATGCTCTTCTGCATCGTCGGCCTGCCGATCATGGGCTTCCACCCCAACGCCTCGGTCCGTTACTTCGGCGTGTTCCTGACGACCGCCGGTGCGAACTCGAATGTGCCGGCCGTCATGGCGTACCAGGCCAACAACATTCGCGGGCAGTGGAAGCGCGCTTTCTGCAGTGCGACGCTGGTCTCGTTCGGCGGTGTCGGTGGTATTGCGGGTAGTCTGCTCTTCCGCGAGCAAGACAAGCCGCACTACCGCCCCGGCATGTATGCTTGCATCGCTTGCAGCTTGCTGACGATGATCCTGGTGGGATTGCTGAGTGTCGACTTCTACTATGAGAACCGCAAGGCGGACAGAGGAGAGAAGGAGCTCGAGGCATCAGATGTGAGTTATCGCCGCGAATCGTCGGATGAACTGAACGATGTGCTGACTGATTCCTTAGGAGGGTGCCCAGCCTGGATTCCGGTACACTTACTAGGGTGTATGTATGAGAGGAGGTTACGAATATCGATAATGAGTGATATCCCGATGCTGAAGCATGGAGCTTTGTGAGGGCCACATCTGGAATAGGATACCCGTAGTGTGACGAGCCTATGAGTAATGAGAAGGTTGAGAATATTGCATGCCAACGTTCCGTCCGTCCTCCCTTGAGATTATAAGAGTAGCCGCTGCAAAGCACCGGAGAGTAATCGTTTAGTGATCGACCTCAAGTGCCGAGGCATGCAACGCCCGGCTGTTGGTAGACGAGAGGCGCATGGCGGCAGCTGCAAGACTCGTGTAGAACAACCCACCTGAAGCTGTTCCGGCGACTGTGGTTGGGTGGAGTGTTCCGTGGCCGGTTGGAAGTCTCGGCGCCGGCGCCGGTTCGACGCCTCCGGACGTTGGGAGGTAAGCACTACGAACCGTTGTCCGTTCGATGGATTTGACTATGGATTCAAGACGTGGCTCTTTCACTCCCTATTATGAGTTACCGCGGGAATATTGCACAAAACTAGGACATTCGAACCCGGGACTGCTTATTGTATTTCAGGTAGACGCCGGGCACACGCCATTCATCGCCAGCATCGCGCCACCAGCAGTTGACCTGCAGCACCTTCATCAGCAATTGGTTGCGAAGGTCCCGTGATTATCATATGCGTGAAGAAGTGTCTCTTGTGAGGGTTCTCCAGCCGTTAGACGAATTGATACAGCTTGTGATCAGTGAAACCACAGATGAGCAGACGCCTATGGAAAGCCATGTCTCACAGGCTTCTTGCTTTGACGATGATGCATACGTGCAATGAGGCCGGCACAGGCAGTTTCCTCCAACACACAAATGAACCGACGTCGTACTCGGGCGAGACTTGACGGACCATGACCAAGAGTTCGCCAAGTGAGGTCCTGAGTTCCCAGAGATGAGGCTGCATGAACGACACGGCCAGCTGTTCATGGTCACGGTTTTCCTGAAATATCGTCCATGCCGCAGAGAGCTGTCTGTACAGATGGGACGAGTATGCAGAGAGCATGCAAAGTTTTGAGTGTTTTGACGTGACCTGTCATCTGTGGCGCGCTCAGTGTCACAGCTGTCGAAGCGCGATTTTGACGAACCGCATTTTGATATTGACTCCTGAAGTCACGGCAAAGGCGAAAGTCAAGCTTGGCTCACTTGAGCCAAGGCGCGAGTCACTTGAGTTGCTCGGCTTGCCACCAGGGATAGGGTCTTGGGTGATGAGATGAGGCGGAAGGGAGACAGAAAACAAGCAAGTTCAGAGCCCAGGACACTAAATGTTTAATCTAGCGTGCACTGTCAAGACATTTTAGGTATAATGAGGGCTCTTGGCAGGCGCTGCGAAGAGCCGTTGGCATTGGGGCAGTGCAGTGTCCCTTCGTACGCGTCGATTGAGAATGGTAATTTGCAGCAATTCAGAAAAGGAAAAGGCAGACGGGGACATGGTCTTTGACTTCAGGTTTACGGTGAGAGACTACGGAACGGGACAGTGGACTGGACTCGACGAACGGCGAGAATTGAATCTGGGCGAATCGTGGCATTACTGAGCGCCCCCACTTGCACGACAGGGGAAGCATGCCTTGAGCCAATAGAAACAGCCTCAATGCGGTTATGCCGTGTCGGGAAGGCAAACGGTGGAGGTACGTACCTACCGCTCGATTCTGCTTACGAATGGGGGCCACCTGGATGGAAGTCGCGGCCTGGCAGGAAGGAGCCATCACAAAAAAAAATCCAGAAGGAAGGAATGCGATGAGGCAGGTGCGGACTTCTAAGTTGGTGGGCTGCATACAGGCTCCTTCCATTGCAGATGGAAGATGCAGGTGAGTGCGCCATGTATTCTTGCTGCTGAATTCCGCGTAAGAGTACATCATCTATGCGTAATCGACCCCCTCCAGCGATCCCGTCTCTTCCACTTCACGACAACATCTCAATGTAACTCTCCGCACAAATTTGTCTGTGAGGTACTTTGACGTCCCACTAGCAATATGGGCGTTACCGAAGCCTCCGGCTCGTCCAGCAGCAAAGCCACCGGGTCTTCGTTTTGGGGCAAGCAAGAAGGAGGCCGCTCTCCCGTCTGTCTTTCCTCCTTTCCTGCCATCTGCTCTGCCCTTGAGTGAGCCTCAATCAATCTTTTTTCTTCCTTCGTCACTCTTTTCTTCTTTCTCCCCCATCGCATATCGACGACATCTCAATCAACGGCCGACGGCTGAACCATCTCGTCGTCCTAAAGATAGCGACCCGAATTCGACACTCAGACCCCCCTCCCTCTGCTAACGCGACCGAGGGTCCCCACGTCCGGTACATGCGGCAGTAGGCATTCGCTTGCTCTACTCGCCTCAACTCGCTTCTTGCTTGGCCTCCATCCGCGACTATTTGCCTTCGCGGTTTACCAGTTATCCTTACGTACCTGGCCTCCGCGGCACTGGAAACCGTACCATACTTTCACGCAAAGAGTCGAGACGACCGCCCGACACCACCCCTTCTCACCACCACTCGTCCGAACCTCGCCAATTGCGTTGCGACGCCGTGACGCCGCCCCGCTCTCCAGGCTCAAGTCTGTGACACGTCTGGCTCCAGCCGCCTCCAGGGCCTCTTGCTGCACAGGGGCGCCTCCTGCTTTCGAAACACCCAGTCATGGCGCCGAATTCGTTTTCTACGGCCTTGTCGCCGTTGTCCATCTTGGCCTCGTCAACACCATCGTCAAAGGCTCTTCTCGCTGCCGCCTACCTCTTCACATCGCTCCCCATGGCTCTCGGTCACGAACACGGCGTCAGCCACATCCAGGAGGGCGAGACCGTCTCTCAGGAGCCAATCGACACGACACTATGGATTCACATCTTCATCATGATGCTGGCCTTCGGCGTCATCTTTCCCGTTGGCATGGTCCTGGGAGTAAGAAAACATCCTTCCGGCGCCTCCGGGCACCATCGCGCCCTTGCTAACAAGACCTTTTCTCTCCGTAGATGACGAAAAACCGCTGGCACGTTCCTACCCAAGTCCTCGGTACTGCGCTTGCGATCCTCGGTTACTTCCTCGGCCACATGCACCGCGGTAGACAATTTGTCCCGAGCAACGTTCACTCCGGCTTCGCGGGCTGGTTGATGCTGATGCTGGCTGTTCAGGTTGGTGTGGGAATCTACCTGAGGCTGCATCTCGAGAAGGGAATCAATGGAAAGATTCGGAGATTCATCAAGCCTATTCACAGCGTCCTCGGAAAGGCGTTCCCCGTCTTGGGTTGGACACAATTCCTGTTTGGAGGAATCACTTCTCTTGGGTTCTGCCAGGGCGACCACCTCGGCCAGTGTCTTGCCCACTTCATCATGGGCAGTGCTTTCATCGCCTACGGCATCATCTTGACGTTGCTACTTGTTGTTGGTCAGCTGTGGCTCCGACGATCCGGACGATCCCAGGAATTCTTCGACAGCATTGTCATTGCGGCGTGGGGCTGCGTGAACACCTTCACCGAGCATCGCTGGGGTACCGAGTGGGTCAGGAACGACTGGCAGCACACGACCATGGGCATCATTTGGTGGTGCGCCGGCCTGGCTGGTGTCTGGCTTAGCCGCGACCGCGACGGAAACCCCCAGCGAAACTTCATTCCCGGTTTCGTCATCTTCATCACCGGCTGGGCCATGTCCGCGCATCCCCAGGAGCTGCCCATCAGCGCCATGACCCACGCAATGTTTGGCAAGACCTTGATGGCAGCCGGCATTACTCGCATCATCGAGGTGGCTTTCGTGGTCAAGGACGCAAGTGGAATGTCGCCCGATGGACGCAAGACCAACAGTTTCCAGTACATTCCCGTATTTGTAAGTCTACGTTGTCTCCAGTTGGATACCTTGCCGCTAACGATTTGCAGCTTCTGTACGCTTCTGGTTTTCTTTTCATGGGTGCCACGGAAGAGCAAATGCAACTCGTCGCCAACTCCGGCCTCGATCACGTCTCGTACATCCTCATCCTTTACTCGTTCGCCTTCCTGGTGTTCCTCTTCACCAACATGCTCATCCACCTCTTCGACCGTAACGCGAACGTCGACGAAAAGGTCAACCTGGCCAACGGGGAGCCGGTGGCGAATGGCCGCGCTGGTGAGCCACGTCAAGTGCGCGACGCTGAGGAGTTTGAGCTGGAAGGCTTGATGAGCGATGACGAGGACGACGCCCGGAAAGGTCTTCGTGACGACACGGATGACGACCAAGGTCTGGGCAGCCCCAGCACGGTGGGCAAGAACAGTGATCGGGTGGCGCGGTGATAAGGGCGTAAAAACGAAGCTCGGCGGTAGTAGGATACATAGACAGGGATGGCATATGCATTGAGGGCTGGCGTTTGGATCCGGTTGCCGCATACTTTTAATGGGCTGGAAAGCGTCTGAAGGGACAAGAATATTCCCGGTTTTGTTGAATTAGAGACCCAACCCTATCATTGCAAATGGAAGATCTAATCTGCTTATTGCGACACAAACTCTATCGGGTGCTTAGCCACTGTCACCGCTGGACTCACTAATCGCAATGTTGAATTCGGCATGAAGGCGAGATGCAGACTTTCAGGACTGTTCTTGGTGATTCCTTGCACCGATCAACCTACTTACCATCCATGATCTCGGTGTAGGTAAGGTAGCCAAGGTGTGGTCGGTGTGGAGTGGGGCCGATGGAGGGGTGCGGGGCGGACCTGGACCCCGACCGCCGCTCGCGTGCAGCGCAGCCCGCTAAGCTCCACTAAAAAAATTCCCAGGCGGTCGACATTTCGATTTCGATCTCGTCCATCGCAATCCCCCAATCCTTTTCCTCCTCGTCACGACATACCACCCCGCGACTACCTTCACGATGCCGTCCGTAAAGACCCCGAACCACCGCTCCAAGAACAGGCTCGCCGCCCAGGCCAACAAGGCCAAGAGGGTGCGCCAGAAGAAGTCGGAGGAGAACAAGAACAAGATCGCAAAGACCGACTCCATGCGGGGCGCCCGCCCCGGTCTGCTGCCCACGAGCGGTCCCAACGCGCCCCTGAGCAAGAAGAAGGCCAAGAAGCTGGAGAAGAAGATGGCGCATGCTATCCGGAGGAAGATGGCGGCAGAGGGCGAGGTCGAGATGGCTGGTGAGCATGCTGTCTTTCTGTTGGGCGAGAGATCGAAGCTGACGGGTCACAGATGTGGAAGAGGACGAGAAGGCTGGCGAGGAGGAGAAGCCTGCCGCGGCTGATACGGAGATGGATAACATCCAGTGAGCGTCCGTGGGCTGCAGGTATGGCAAGCGGTTTTGGTGCTAGTCTGGAGGGCATGGGAAGGGATTCACGGGGAGGCAGATATGGCCATGCTTCGTGAGTTTGTCACTCTTCATTTTCCTGGTCTATGAAACAACTGAGCTAACCTCTCCAAGTCTAGAATTGCAGTGCGCGAGCGGATCCAGCCTGAAATACACACGAATTGATACCCAAATAAAACACACTATTCCCGCACATGAACGTTGTTGATTCACAGGTCTTCCTCCTCATTGTCCGAAGAGTCGGCCGACGTCAGTACGATCTTGGGCAGCTCGCTGTCTTCCTCCTCGCTCTGGTCCGTGGGCACCTCGACCAGGGGAACCGGCCGGGAATCTTGTTGGATGGGGAACTGGCCGGGCATCTGGAACAAGCTTGGGGTGGACGATGTGATGCTAGCCAGCGAAGTGGGTGAGGAAAGACCCGCAGGCGGCAGCTCTGAGCGCGTCATCGACGGGCTGTGTCGCGAGGCCGCAGCAGCGACTGGGCGTTGGGAGGGGAGAGGCCGAGTCGCCGTCTGGAGGTTGATGAGGGGGTTGACGTCGTATTCACCACGGCGGCTGCGAAGAGAGTGGGATGACGGGCTCTTGGGGGCGTCAGACGGGGTAATCTGGGAGAACAGGGGTTTCACGGAGTTGGCGGCGTACTCGGCGCTGTTGGGCTCGGGGGGAGGAGCGTTGCGATCGAAGCTAGTGGAAGCAGGCAGCTCCACGGGCTCGGGCGAGGCGGTGGTGTCGGTTTTGGTGACGTTTCCGAGGGGTAGCGATGAACTGACGGGGACAAGGCCAGTTTCAGGATGAGTAAAAACGTCCTTTCTCCTTGGTTCTCCGAACGGGGAGAGGCGTTCAGGCATGCTGCTGCTCGTTGGCGTGCGAGCCGGGCTTAGAGAGCGCAGTCTCTCTCTCTCTTCGGCGAGGAGCTCTGCTCGTTCCAGCGCGAGGAGCTTGCGACAGGACGCGGCCCAGTCGGAGGTGCTAAACCCGTCTGTATCGCTCGGGAGTGCAGATCTCTCCCATGGAAACCGGCCGACGGGCTGAGGCTTGCATCCGCCGACTGTGGGAAGATGGGGCAGAAGACTGCGAGAGAAGGTTTCGGTTCCGAACATGTTGATGTGGACGCGCAAGGTGGGTCCACAGACGATGCTCTCTGCTCTGATCTCCCTCTCGATGTCGGTGTCTTTGGCGGGATGGAGATGGGCAGGTAGCGGCGCGTTCAGGCCGCCCCAGACGACACCTGTTGGAGAGCTGCTGGAGTTGACGAGGGGAGTGCCGAACCCGGTCTCCCGAGGAGTGCTGGAACGAGCGGGCATTGGCGCGGACAGGTTACCGAACAGACCTCCGGTCGAAGAACTGCCAGAGCTGACGCCAGGCATACCGATCTCTCGAGAGGTACTGGATCGAGCAGGCATCGACGCGGACAGGTTTCCGAAAAAACCTCCGGTCGAAGAACTGCCAGAGCTGACGCCAGAAATACCGACCTCAGCCTCTCGAGAGGTACTGGAACGAGCAGGAATCGGTGTGGACGGGCCACCGAACAGGCCGCCGGTCGGAGGATTGCTGGAGCTGACGCCAGAAGTGCCGAATAGCGAGGAGGATCGGCCGCCGAACAGGCCGGTTGAAGAATTGCCGGAGCCAGCGCCGGAAGTCCAGGGCATCGGGGAGGATCGGCCGCCGAAGAGGCCGGTTGAAGAATTGCTGGAAGCGGCACCGGAAGTGCCGCTGCTGCCGAACAGATTGCAGGTCGAGGAGGATCGGCCGCCGAACAGACCGGTTGAAGAATTGCTGGAGCCGGCGCCGGAAGTACTGCTGCTGCCGAACAGATTGCATGTCGAGGCTGATACCGGCGTCGGGCCGGTGCGCGGTTGTCTCCTCGTCTCGGGAGGATGGTATAAGGACGGCTTCAACATCCTCTTGTAGGACGGCTCATTGCGGGACCATTCCAGAAACGTTTGTCGAGCTTCGCTGATCGCCCTCTTCTGCTGCGGCGCGCCGACAAAGGGCTCGTTGATCTCGGCGCCGAACTCCTCGACTTCCACGGCATCTGTCTCGAAGGACGGGACGTTACCGAAGAAGCGGTCCTGCAGGATGGACTGCCGAAGGATGTTGGACCTGGCGAGCTCGGTGATAATTCTGTGCTCCGAGACCCGAGCCTCTCGCTCGTACAGCATGAGAAGCTTGGTGGTATCGATGCCATTGATGATTTTGGATTGGTTGAGGCGGTTGGTCTCGGGGCCGGACTGGTCTCGGGGGGCGGTGAGGACGTTGCGAAGGACGGTGTCGATTGGAGAGCTGAGGGCCGAGCTGGAGGGGGTGTTGAAAGGGGTGCTCGACGAGTCGCTGCTGTTGAAGGGGGAGCGATTGGACGGCACGTCCTCGTTGAGAAATCTCATGTCGCAAGGTCCGTCAGGGCGGCGACTGTGAACAGAGACGGGCGAGAACAAGCCGCCAGATGGAAATAGGCTGGCCTGGGGCTCCTTCTTCTTTCCCATCTCTCTCGAGATGGGACTGGACGGAGTCATTGCGAACGGCTGGAAGGTCGACATGAGCATGTCGGTGGCATCCGACAGAGAAACGGACTCGTTGAACTCCGGCGCCAAGGGGATGCCGTCGATGCGAGTCCGAGCCTCCGAACTATGGTCGCGGGAGAGGATCAGATGACGGAGGGAATGGATTGCATCGTGCCAGCCAACATGGTACGCGGCTTGATCTCTCGTGTCTTCCTGGAAGGGGGCGTGGCTGGTGATCTCCAAACACAGCAGCTGGCAGATGTTGTCCAGGATCAAGTTGGTGTCTTGCTGAGTGGTGCCGCTCGGCATCCTGCAGCTGACGATGAGGCGATCATTGGTAGGTGCTGCATGTTGAGCAACGTCTCTGTGCATGCCGCGGTTGGGGATGGGAGGAAGATCGGGAGGCAGGTTGATTTGCGTCATGATGGGTGTTGAGGGTGCTCTTGGTCTTGTGGTTGTGGTGCGTTCTTGATGGAGCTGCAGGTGTGTTGTGGATGAAGAATTGCGAGACAGACTTGCGGATGCAGTGATGCTTTATGGGTTCTGAGAGATGCTTGATGGTCGGATGCTCTGCCTTGGGTTCTGAACGTGAGTGGGGGCTTCTAGATGTCTGAGGCAGATGTCTTTGTTGGTGAATGAGACCATCCCAAGCGTCACGGGCAGCGTCCAAAGGTTCTTGTAGGTATTGCTTCGCCATCCAAGACAACTTTGAAGTAGGCACATCTTTTCAACGTTCATTTCTGAAAGAGATGTTCCTCTTCAGGCGGTGAGAAACCTGGAGATCAACTGATGTCGTGATCCGTAAAGGAGCTTATGCTTTGGGTAGATGTTGAAATCATTCTTATCTTGAGTTGCCTTTATTACTTGGAATCTCAAAGACACTATCAAACAAGACTCTCATTTACTGGAGCCATTGGCTAGGACAGAGTGGAATGCTCAAAACTAAGCGGGCATTGTGATGTTTGTCGCATTGGCCCAAGTCACAACCGTCGCGTCTGGTCCCAGATTTCAGCATACCATACCATCCCGAAAACCTTTGCTTAGAATCGAAATTTGAGCTTCAAGTTGCTCGCATAGGCATCTAAATGGATGATGATGATGCCTCTTCACCCCACCATTCTCCCTCCCCCCAAGGTCCAACCCCAGGTCCTTTGAAGATCTTACCTCCTTTCCACACCCAGCCAACGTTGTCAATCTTCTGGAGAACCTTCACATCCTCCACAGGGTTCTCCAAGACGCCAATGACATCCGCCTCATACCCGACCTTGAGTTGTCCCGTCTTGGGCGCCTGGCTTCCCACGCTCAACGGCCCGTTCGCCGTCGCTGCCTTGATAGCTTCGAGATTGCTCATTCCTGCCTTGACAGCGGCCTCAAGCTCTACCGCCATGTTGAATCCCGGCCCCGTATCTGTGCCGAGCGCGATCGGGATGCCTTGCTCAATGGCCATCTTGTACGCTACCCCATGGTTCTCGGCGCAGACCTTTGCTTTCTCCCATACATGTTTCGGGAAGCCCTTACCACCGCTGTCGATGATCAAGTCCATGATGAACCGCGTGGCAATGTAAATGGTGCCTTTCTCCTTGATGAGGTCGATGCATTCCTGATCGGCAAACGAAACGTGCTCCACCGTCGTCACGCCTGCCTTAACTGCTGCCAAGATACCAGGCTTGCCGTGAACATGAGCCGCGACGGACCGTCCTAGTCGGTTGGCTTCTTCGACGATGCATTGAAGCTCTTCTGGGCTGAACTGGGCGTACAGCGGGTTATCGTCTCGAGACATGACACCCCCTGAAGCCAAGATCTTGATGCATTTCGCCCCACGACGAATCTGAAGTCGTACTGCTCTTCGGCATTCATCGACGCCGTCAACGAGCATGCTCACCGACGTGCCGAAGTGACCGGGGGTGATCTGCGATACGCCGAGGTTTAGAAGGACGTCTCCCGCAGGCAACGAAAAGACGTCGCCGTGGCCTGCCGTCTGACTGAGACACGCTCCGGAGCTGTACACGTTCGGCCCAACGATGGTGCCTTCCTCGATCACCTTGCTGATTTCACATCCCAATCCTGCGACGTCGCGCATGGACGTGTATCCTCTCTGTAAGGCTAGCCAGCATCCGCGGGTGAGACGCGCGCCGATTGCAGAGGGGTGTTCGGTGATGAAGCCAAGATACGGGTCGCCGTTGCCCGCGTCCTCGGGACTGCCCATCACGAAGTGAGCGTGACATTCCCACAGGCCCGGCATGAGATACGGGACGGTGTAGGATCTGTGGGTTGCGTCGGTGTATTTCGAGGGGATCTCTGACTGTGGACCGACCCAGTCGATTAGTTTGTCCTTGATGACGAGTGCGGAATCTTCGACAGGCTCGCCATCGCCGGGAATCAGCAGGCCTGTTTTTATGATGATGAAAGTTGTCTTCTTTTCGGTGTGAAGGTCTTCATCCTGGAACAGGTCTGAGGGGTATGTCGGCCGAATCACGCCGCCTAAGCTGGTCGAGTAGATCTTGGCTGGTCTTTCAATGAGGCGTCTCGTCATTTTTTCACACTTTTACAACAAGTTCAAGAAATAAACGAGCTAGTTGCAATGATTACGAAGGGTTCGCCAAGTATTTCAAGGAATCGGTGTACTGCATCGATGATTTGAGGGGGCTGACCATGTGTACCGAATAGGAAGGTGAAGTCTGCCAAAAACTGTCAGCCGATAAGATAGAATGTGAACCAGGATTCAAGCCGATTATCCGAGCTGATGTTTATCGACATCAGGTGGTCATCTTTCGAACGGTTGCTGCATTGTAGTGCGCAGCGAACTGTGAGTGTCATCTTGAACTCAACTAAACCATGCTGTCGACCACTCCATCAACATAAACAAGAAGACCATCAGGTGAGGGGCAAGTGATGCTCCCTTTGTGGAGCTCAAGAAGGGCTTCGACGAAATGGGGTGGTTTCCCGATAAGTGACCAATAGTTGAGCTCGAAATTGCTGACACGAGAAATCTTAGAACCAAGCTGGCAGCTAAACCCAGCCAGCAATTGCCAGATCTCTCCGTACGGTACTACTTGGCAACAGCATCAGCAAGACAGCATGTTTCCTGGTCAGTTCTATTATCTTGGTGGGCACTGACTTCTATGTTACTTTAGTTGAAGTCCAAGCCTAGAAAAGCATCGCATCACTAATTCGCGTTCTCATCGCAGCACCCGAGAATCCCCAACATGGATTTTGAAGCGCTTGCCCGAGAAGAAGCCTTAGATCATGGCCCTTCAACATCAAGTCAGAATGAGTCCCCTATACCGGCTTCTCCTACCCAATTAGCATTTCGCACCCAATCGACAGGTCATACGGTTGTGGAAAGTTATCACTACACGCCTCTTGTTGAGAATGACGAGATACGCCTACTGGTTTTGGAGCCATCACGATCATTCAGCGCCCCTTTAAAGGGCTTCCTTCATCATGCGCTCCTTCGAAAAACGGTCGTCGGAAACATGGCGCCCACGTATGAGGCCTTGTCATATGTTTGGGGAAGTAGCGACAGGGTCGACAAAATCATAACCCCTGACGGACCTATGTTCATCACGAACTCTCTACAGTCTGCCCTACGCCAGGTCAGGGATGATGAGTTGCCCCTCTTGCTATGGGTTGATGCTGTTTGCATTAACCAAGCAGACGATGACGAAAAGGCGGCTCAAGTGCAAATGATGGGCAAGATATACTCATCAGCACATCGCGTTTTAGCGTTTCTGGGCAACGAACCCGAAGATACCGAAGATACTTCGTTCTGCATACGAGTTCTAAAGCTTCTCGCCAAGATCCACCGGAAAGAAATTCAGTATTTGGATCCTCGAGTCTGTGAGGCTGCAGAAAAGATCATCAAGCTGCCGTGGTTTGGGCGTGTCTGGGTCATCCAAGAATTCGCGTTGGCGAAAGATGTCGACTTCATATGGGGCAGCACTTTCATCAACTGGACGGTTTTCCGAGATGCGTTCGATGAAAACAAGATGAGCGATCTCATCTGGCATCCATCCACAGGCAGGATGAGAGAACATATCATTGACTCTAACCACTACTACCCAGACGAGTTTGGCCAACATAGAAGCGTCACGAAATTGATGGAAACTCGCCGCCGACTCCAGCTCGATCCGGATCACCCGAGTATCCGTCTGTACAATATGTACATGATTCTTAAGGGGACCAATTTCCAGTCTACCATTCATTCGGACCGGCTTTTCGCACTACTTGGAATGGTACATGATAGCTCGCATGAACTGTTGACTCCGGACTATGGTGTTCCTTTCGAGACGGTCTTGCAGCGATACGGCGACTACATGCTGCGGGATGTGGGATTTGGGCTGTTGACCTGCGCCGGTCTAGGATCTCCAACGTGGAGCGGGCCTTCATGGCTCCCCCATCTGATGGAATCCAGTCTCGAATATGGGTTTGTCAGTCTTTTTGGAGAATTTCAAGCTGGTACCCAGAAGCCTGGCCCAAGTGATTCAGTGGTTTCTCCCAACATCTGCGTGGAAGGCGACGTTATGATGTTTGATGGTATACTGTTCGACGAAATCAGGAACATCGGGCCGGAGTTATCCTACACTGAGGAAGGACGTACGACGTTGTACGATGAATTAGCACCGCAGTGGGGAATATCAATATTTCGGCGGCGTTTTCAACCCGGGATGGAAGCCTGCCACACAGCGCCGGCATTCGAAGAGCTGTGGTTGAACTTCCTGGAGGATCATTATCAACACCGCCTTGCAGAAATTCTGCGGAAAATACTCCTCTCGTTCAACAAACTAGTCGAACCTATTCAACACGATGAGTATCCGACCCACGAGGACCTTTTGACAGTCCAACTGCTAGTCGCCACGCACAGCAGAACGAGACCAGAAGAGGAATATCGGGTTCGATATCATCCTGAGGAATGCCAGTGGGAGTCGGACGACGATGTTGAGGCAGATGAACTGGACAGAGACCCCAACGATCCCATCTACAGGCTGAAGAAGGCGATCTCCTGGTGGACAAGCCCGGAACTGGAGAACGATCCGACTCCCCGGATGGTTGACAAGTACCTCACCTACGACAGGATGGTTCTGGACGCAGGCGGTGGTTTCTACTTTGGCTCAATGGTCCATTCACAGACACGATTTGGCAGCACCATGAGAGGATACCTGGGAAATGTGCCTCGACACACGAGGGCTGGAGATGTTGTTTGTATTCCTATCGGGGGAGATGCACCACTCATTCTGCGCCCGAGTACAGAGAGACCAGGAATGTTTCAGCTGGTTGGTATTTGCTATATTCACGGAATCATGGAGGGGGAAGTATTTGGTCTGGAGCACACGTGCGAAACTGTCAAGTTGTATTGATCAGTACCAAAGCCTTTCTTTGATAGCGTACTGTTTCCAAGTAAACATGCTCTTACCCGCGCGATGATGGACCCAAGATTATGCCGACGTTTCTGATGCTATTGTATTATCAACAGGTTCTGAACTGAGTTCAAGCATCATGCCCGTCTCGTTCAGCCCTACGACCATGCCCCAACCTGGACCCTCTGTGGATCTTATTCGTCTCATCTTGAGATGCCCTCAACACCTCCACTCTGGCCCACAACTAGCAACACATACCTCAATCTCAGCGACTCCGGCATGCACCGGTCAAGCCGGATATCAATCATCATCAGCGCCGATGGTTTAGTGGTAAAATTCTCCGTTGCCATCAAGCAGCGTCGGGGAGCCGGGGGTTCGATTCCCCCTCGGCGCAACATTTTAGTTTTTGAACTCTCAGATGGTTCTACTTTTGCTAACATTACAGCGTAATTGCGTTTTGATACATTTTGTCCGCATTGTAGTTACTCAAGCAGTTGTAAGAGGCTGTCTTGGCTAAATGATGTGAAGTTATATTACTTGTAATGCGACTTTTTAAAGGCCGGGACGGAGCCGATGCGCCCCACATTACCGGAAGCCGTTCTGTTCGGGCCCGTGCCGCTTCTGACCGAGGACCTGCATGTGCTACTTCGACCCCGCTCATCCGATATGAACACGGCGCGGATCGCGCGCAGAGGCAGACCAAGCTTTTCGGAGCTCGTCTCTAATAATGCAGAATGAGGGGAAAAGCTACGATGAGATGAAAAACGCTGCCTGGGAGGGAAGTTCGGGACCGAGAGGCGTGCGTATAACTACCGGTTTGCTCTTCTTTGACACTTTTTCAGCAACGCTTCGGACTGTCCAAGAATCACCATGGCTTCACTAAAGGGGAAAGTTATTGCAGTTACAGGCGCAGCATCGGGCATTGGCCTAGCCACAGCGACACGTCTCGCATCCCTCGGCGCAAGAGTCTCGATATCGGACAACAATGAGAGACTCCTTGCGTCCCTTGCGTCTGAGCTATCCAAAAAATACGGCGAGACAAACGTCTTTCCCAGTGTAGTAGACGTAACGGATCGCAAAGTCGTGGAGGCATGGATCGCCGAGACAACCAAAAACCTAGGCCCGCTCGACGGCGCCGCGAATGTGGCGGGCGTCCTCGGCAGACAGGGCAACGCCGTAAGCATCCCGGAGATCGAAGAGGATGAGTGGGATTTCGTGATGGGCGTCAACTTTGGAGGCGTTCGAAACTCGATGGCCGCCGAGATCCCTGCCCTCCTTGAAGGTGGGAGAACGGGAGGGGCTATTGTCAACGTGTCGTCTGTCGCGGGGAAGATGGGACTGGCGCTCAATGGAGCGTATACTGCGAGTAAGCATGCCGTGGTTGGACTGACCAAGACCGCTGCGAAAGAGTTGGGGGCGAAAGGAGTGAGGGTCAACGCTGTCTGCCCGTGAGTACAATTCTTGTCTTACCGTACTTTGTTTCCTGAGAGATTGGCTTTTGATTTCGAAGAGCAACTCGTCTAGTCGTTATGAAGACGCCGTGTTAATGAGACAGCAGAGGAATGATCGATACACCGATTCTGAGGGCAGCACTGTCGTTGCCACCAACAGAGTTCCCACCTCCGTCGCCATTCTTGGGCAGAGTCGGCCAGCCGGAGGAAGTGGCCGCCCTGATTGCGTTCCTACTTGGAGACGGAGCCTCATATATTACGGGACAGGCCATTGCGGTGGATGGTGGCATCATCATGTAGCGGTTGTCGGCTCGTATGCGATGTGTAGACATCACTTGTCGACTGCTTTCAGTTGTAATGCCTTCATCATGAGACTAAATCAAAAAGACGCGAACTGTTGTGACATCGTGAATTGGTTCACGGAAAACTAAAAGTAAATCTAGCAAGCGAGTGCCAAAGTGGTATCAAAGCAAGATATGAACAAGATTATTATAGATAGTAAGCCCCCTCCCTTCTTTTGAACTGCCGATGTAACAGTCTATGTGTAATTGACAGTAGCCTCCATAGTGATATTAGTTCGTTGTCGTGGGTCGTTTAAACGGTCTTCTCGGGGAGCGAGCTGTGGGCGGAGCTACCGACAGCCTGGTCGTGGCTGCTGCCGCTACCGACAAGGTCGGAGACGTGACGCGTGACCTCGACGTAGTCGTAGGCGAACTCGCCGAGCTGGCAGTCGTCGAGGCCGAGGTCCTCATCGTCGATGTGGACGCGCAGGCTGAGGCCGGGGATGAGGTTGAGCAGGAACAGGATGAGGCAGGTTAGGCCAAAGGACCAGGCAAAACCGGCAACAGAGCCGGCCAGCTGGTAACCAAGTTGGACGTAGTTCTTCTCGATCCAGCCACCGTCGATGACAAGGGCGCCGTCAAGAGCGGCAATGTAGGAGCTACAACATGGTTAACGTGTGGTGCTAAACGGGGTCCTACATGGATGACTTACGCAGCAAAGATACCAGTCAGAACGTTGCCAATGATACCGCCAACACCGTGGACGGCGAAGACATCGAGACCATCATCGATGCCAAGGACGAACTTGAGCTTGGTGGCAAAGTTGCAGCCAATGGCACCAACAATTCCGAAAATGACCGCAGCCCAAGGGGTAACGAAACCTGCACCGGGGGTAATAGCGACCAGACCGGAGATGGCACCGGAGCAGAAACCAATGGTGGACCACTTCTTCTCAAGGCGGTAGTCGAGGAGCATCCAAGTCACACCAGCAACACCCGCGGCAAGGTTGGTGTTGAAGCAGGCCATGACGGCGCGGATGTTCGAGGCAAGAGCGGAACCGCCGTTGAAGCCGAACCAACCAACCCAGAGGAAAACAGTTCCGAGAACGACATGGGTGACATTGTGAGGTCGGTAAGGGAGTCCGTGGAGCTTCGTGTAGCCGGTGCGCTTGCCGAGCATCAGGGAGTAGGCAAGGGCGGCGGCACCGGAGGAGATATGGACGGGTGTGCCTCCGGCGAAATCGAGCGAGCCGAGAGTGTAAAGCCAGCCGTTGGCGTTCCAGGTCCAGTAAGCAATCGGGTCGTAAACGATGGTAGCCCAGATGAAGGCGAAGACCATGGCGGGAAGAATGCGACCGCGGTCTGCGATGGCACCGAGGGCGAGGGCAGGACTGGTTTCGTGTTAGTCGTTGCTTTGGGCAGAATTTGTGTGCGAAATTTGCGACCTGCGTCGCAGCGGGCGCAAAACCTGCACGAGTGCGGCGCCGTGACCAAAATCTCACCACATGCGCGATGAAACCGTAGGTAAGGAGCTCAACTCACGTAATAGCAGCGAACATGCCCTGGTACAGGCAGAACAGAATATCCGGGAGCTTGGTGGAGCCGACGGAGGGCTGGGCAACGACGTCCTTGAGGCCGAAGTTGGACATGTCGCCGAGGAAGACGGAGCCGGTATGAGAGAAAGTCAAGGTGTAGCCCCAGAAGAACCATTGGAATCCCACCACTCCCACACATATCATGGAAATCAAAATGAGTGACAAGGCTGACTTGCGGCGAGCAAGACCTGAGTAGAAGAAGCCGACACCAGGAATCATGAGCAGCACGAGTGCTGAGCAGACCATGATCCAGGCCATGTCGCCTGACTACACGTGGGCATTAGGCAAATCCATAGAACGACTTCCGCGATAGTGCTCACCTCGTAAAATACATTGAGGTCAGTGACGCCGGTAGAGTATCCGGCATCAGCTGACCCCTCAGTGCCATTGTAGGGAAGGGCGTAGAGAGACATGTCGAAGGTTGTGCGCCGGCGCGAGTGCGGTCTGTAGAGGTTTGTTGCGCTGGATGGAACCTCAAAAGCGTCTCAACTCTCGCCTGGACACTTGTCCTCGTAAGCCTCGAGCAGATGGAATGAGAATGGAGGGTCACAGGAAGGAAGAATGAGAATGTTGAGGAAGAGGGAGGAGACACGGTTATGAGGCCGGGCCGGGGCTTGTCAAACCAAATGATACGCAGAACATAATCAGCGAGACTGGGGCGTCACTTCGGGGCTCTTGGTGAGCTGGCCGATATTGCGCATGCAGTATCTCTGAATATGGGACGTCCCCGAACAGGGTAGGGATAGGCAGCCAGGGAACTGGCGCGGGAGAGATGATGAAGGGGGTTCGAAGAACGAAGAGATGGGACGGGGAGGATTCTGATTGCCCAGTCCTCTATGCCGGGAAGACCAATAGTGCAGGGCCAAGGGGTGGAGAGGAAAGCATAAAAAAGGGCGTGAGGGATTCGAGGTGTAGGCTGATGAGAGGGTTTCTTGGATGAGCTTCCCAAATCCTTCATTCTCTCCGGAAGACAAGCCGGACATGTCTCTACGCCGGCGTGGCTGCGTGGTGGTGGTACAAGGCCGACTTGTCGCGACAGCTTCATGGACGCATTCCACGAACGTCGACTTGTACACCACATGCCTGCAAACCCATGCTCGTGTTCCTTGTCCGATGTCCCCAGGCAGTCTGGTGTGGATCAGGAAATATGTGGGAACTGATAAGGGATTTGGAGACAGGCCGGGGGTTGATGGCCGTATCCTTGGGCCGGGGGACTCGGATGGAGGCTAATTCAAGCCATTCCACGAAGCCATGTCGCTTGGCGGGCTGGGCCATTGAACGTTGGCTCATCCAACCCCGACCGAAAACACTATCCGCTGGGCTTGAAAGGTTTCAGTCGCGGACGCTTTTGAAGACGGAATAAAGTGTTCGCGCCAAGACGTGGCTTGTGCTTCGTTGATCCCCTCAGATTCCCGTCTGTGGAGGAAATCGGGATCCATTGTCCATACGGAGTACGGATACAGAGGCTGGGTAACCATCCATCGTCCGGTGTTGCGAATTGTTTGTTTATTTATCGATCGGACGGAACCTGGGAGGAAAACGGCAGGTAGCCATCGGTCTCTTGAGCCGCAGCGCAGGGTAGTCCCTCGGGGCATGGTAATAGTCGACATAGAATGTAACATTGGCGACCAGGAAAGAGTTTTTCATCTCTGGACGCCCGTTTGGCCGGACAATTCAAACGTGTTGGCCCAAACGACTGCAAGACCCGAGACAGCCAAGGCTGCAAAGAACAGGCGATCAGGACATTTGAGGTTGAAAGAAAACGCTGAGGCATGCCACGCCACGGCAACGCGCGACAGAAGCGTATTACTGAAGCGAGGCCTCAATGTCAAGTGTTTTGTTCCCCTTCCTTGCGGGGTGCTTACTTTGCCGTGGACGCCAGCTCTACCTCTCAGCGGCAATGTGGGGGTTCGACTTTGGGACAGACAAACACCACAAACATGGCCGTGGTTCGGGACAGATAACCCGGTTTCCATTAGCCTGCGCGTCAAGATCAAACTTGAGAGAGGCCCTTCTAGTCGGCCTTTTGCTGGCTCTTCTCTTAAGATGAACGGATGAGCGACGCTTGTCCATGGGTCCTTGTTCACAATGAATCGACCCACCAAACAGAATCCTGAGTACGACCGCCTTCGAGAAGGCTTCTGATCAGAGGATTCTAGACGGGCCGACGATTGGCAGAATGCCTGTCATCACGTCGATTCCATCTCTAGCACGAGCGCTTGTCTGCGGAAGGATGCATGCGACCGAGCGGTACGCTGTTCGGCAGGGCTGAGATGGTTTGCAGGTCTTGTAACGCCACAATCTCGTCTTTGGCACCGACAGTGATACAACGTGCCTGGGTGTATGTTGTGTGTGATGCTGCCGGTATCTCCCAGGGAATCAACCGACGAAGTCAGCCGAAGGAACGCTTTTGATTGCCAGCAGATTCAGCATCCCGAATACCAAGTCCGATGAAGCAGCCACAAACTTCTATGCTTGTCAAGCGAGAAGGGACAGGAGCACCCGCCGTTGAGGTTTGACAAGACTAGCTTTGCGCCATCCGTTGAGCTATCGAAACGCCCGTGTCGGAAAAAGCAAAGAAGACGGAGTCGATTATGATAAGCCTGCGTCCAGGAAACTGACCCTGTCTCCGGTTGTGCGGAAAGAAGCAACGACATCGGACAGCTTCTGTAGCGATCCCGGTGCACAGATTTCGAGAGAAGCAACACCGATGTCGCAGGCCGTTGCTGCATCGTGGGCTGCAACTTGGGTGCTGAAGTTAACCGCAGTCGAAGCTGGTCGGGTTAGAGGGAGGTGTGCTGTGTCCAGACAGTGGGGTGAAAGGTCCCGATCCAAATTGCACAGCCCACATCGGGAGCGTGGCTAATTACTGAGCGAATGGAACACGCATGCATGCAGGATCGCTGAGGGCCACGCGGAAAGTCGTTATAAGCCCCTCTCGGCGCCGGTGAGAAGAGACCGAATCGCTAATCTGAGCTTCCATCCATCGGAGGGAGCTGGATGTGGTGATGTCGGAGTCCTGATGCGGCAAGGTGGGTTATAGGTGAGCATGACCGGGGTTGGTTCCGTGGATTGATTTGATTGCGGGCCTCGGCCTGAGTGATGCGCGTAGAAGGTTGAAAAGATGGTCTTGTCCTGGTGTTCTTGTTGGTCTCCTTCCGCTACTGCGCCGCAGACTCAAGTGTCGGGAATCCTTCAGGTCCACCGATAGATAAGACGGCGGCGCAGGCAAACGGTCGGAGGAAGAGACAGCTTGTCGTAAGTAATTTGAATGCCTAAGAGACACCTCTAATCGCATCTGATATCCTGATGCTGTCGATTCTTGGAGCTTTTGTTGGATCTTACTCGAAGCCATCAGTATTCTAGTCCATGTTTCTCATCGAGCTGAAGGAATAGTCGGTGGCTGCGGCGTCTTGGGCGTCCGTCACTCGGCTGAAAGGAGCGCCAGGTGGACGACTTCACCGTTTAGGAGCCAATTGCGCGGTTGTGTCTCACAAGAGGTCGACATGTCGTCATGTTTGCCCGAATGGAGCATAGAGTAGTCGAGCCAAGACGCGGGAGCTTCCTCTCATTTGTTCTTTGAAAATCGTTGGCGTTGCGGGATGTGATGGTGGATGTTGAAATGATGGATCATGGATTGACGGCATGAGGTGGGCTGTCTTTTTCCCCCCGGCAGCCAAGGCCGAGACCCAGACCCAGCACGGGGCAACTCGAGAAATGAAGGTGCATCCGAGGGAAAGGAACGCTAGAAAGAACATGCTCTATTTCGCTCCATTCTTTCCTGCCTTGTGGACATGAAATTTCGAGGAATGAGGTCGACCTGAGTGACGGCTTCCAATGTGAAGCGATGGAAAAAAGAGAAAGAGCAACTCCACTGCCACGATGCCATTTGGAGAAGCTGCAGTCGGGTCCAGTGCGCCCTGCTGTTGCCATTGGAAGCTGCCTTATTGGCCAAAGCTTCTTATCTCTCGGCACGGTGGATCCTCGTCTTTTTAGCGTCATCTTGGCAATGATAAGGCCAGCCGGGGTCCACTCTGACCAACCGCACCCCTGCTCGCCATGCAATCATGCAAGGGTCCCCCCATGCTCCTCCCCTTCTCGACTGCCTGAAACGGGGGTCACACTTGACGGTTAACTGTCAGCATGAACGACGTTGATCCTCCTTACGTGACCGTCTTTCGTCTTTATAAATCTGCATCTGTTTATAAGGCAAAGCATCAAGAAAGTATCAAGATTGACTCTCACTTGAACTAGCGCTCTTGGAGCTGATGTTGGCTAGGTTGAAGATCGAATTCATTGGACTGGAAATACCATCGTCGATTTATCTCATGTGAACCTCAAATCAAACTCATTCCACTGCTGACGCCAGTCGTCTTACACCCCTACCGTCTCATATCTATCTGCATCCCCGTTTCTGTTCTGATTCGTCCTCGTCCCCGCCCAGCTTCCACTGCATAAGCCCAGACAAAAGGACGGAATCTGCTCTGTTCATCTTGAGATAGACATCTGATATCGATATCAGAGATACGCGGCCACTGATTACCTTACATCTTTCTGGCGCTTTCACTGGCTGTGTGTTGGCATATCTCTGCTAAGTTGGCGACTCATTGTGCTCTCAGGGTCAATCTCGTCCCCCGCCTAACCCCAGGCCAGCAATTTCACCTTGACTCATCATCATCATGTTCTTTGGTAAGATAGGCCCATTCATGGGAAGGGATCATTGAAGTTCGTTTGATGACACCAGCAGTCTTGCTTGGGATAGTCAACCAACTTACCGTGCACGATGTGACATGAGGCTAGAAGTGGGAAGCCAAAGACTCCTCCGCATTATCCAGCGGCCGCACAGAGCTTTTAGGCTTCTTAGATCACACCTGTTCCTGCTTGCCGTCCCGTCAATCTGGTCTCGTCCCACCGTCCTGCGTTCTTGCGGGCGTTCTCGACCATCCATGTCTTAGCCGCTGCTGGGGAAGCGCCATTGAACCAACTCTTGCCGTGTTCAAGGCGCTCATTCGTCCCTCACGTGCTTGCGGGCGCAAGCAGAACGGTCAACATATAACATCATCGTCCGCCTCTCTTCTCACTCTTCCTTGGATCGTCCGTCTGCTGTTTCTACACCCGTGAGAGACTGAATAATTCGCGAGTTGCATCTTACCTCCGGCCGTACGCGACAGGTACACCTGACCGGTAACGAAGAGTCGATTCAACAAGTTCTGTGACCACCGGGTTACCATTCAAAGCGATATATCGAAACGACATTCACGCAAATCTTTATGCTCTCATGAAGCCGTTGAAGGAAAGTGGCGTATAATACTCATCACACATTCACCACGCTTTATCTGAGCATGGAAAACGTCAAAACTCAAACAACATCAACTAGACATCGGCGGTTCAAAGGAAGCACTGTATGACAGTAACTTTGGAAACATATCTCTCTAGTCCATCATTTCGAACCCATCGACGAGTACCGGTCTAGTCTCCGTGAGCATGTAAAGGAACGAACCAGGGTCTCAGTCAACTGAAAGACCGCGACCATTGTCAGCCATGCTGTTGGATGTGAATGCTGTAATGATTGAAGTCCGGATTTTGAAAAAGCTTGCCTCGGGAATCACGATTGTTCTTCTTTGCAGATGAGAATATTGCTGAGTCAACTATGGTTGGGTAAACCCTTATTTCTTTGGATACGCTAGAGGGAAATGGTAGCGGTCTAGCTCTTCGCATAAGTTGAAAGCACGCAGCCACTCGAGTTTGAGGAAGACTGAGAATGAGGGCCTACTATGATTGTAATGGCCCCTTAGATTCACCTCTCGAACAATTGAGGTGACATCGGCGCTCAGGACGGATCAGTCAACGTTTCGACAAATGGTGTCAGAGGTTCTGAAGTTTTCGTACACGCTGAGCAATGGTCCACCTGAGCCGGCCACTAGGCACAAGGAGCTTTTCAAGGATGATACCGTTCAAGAACCGAAAGCTTCAACCCGAACGAGGTAGCTCCCCATCAAAGCCTCCAGTTACAACATGACTGACGAATCTAGTCCCCCGGTGCCAGTTGGGTCTCCCGGCTTCCGCAGCTGAACGAGTCTCAGGTTGAGCGAACTGACGAGTTCTACCACGATCGCTTACGCTCTTTGCAGGCCGTAGACAAGATGGTCGATCAAGTCATAACTCGCCTAGAGTCACATGGAATTCTCAACACCACCTACATATTCTATACTTCAGATAACGGATTTCATATTGGTCAACATCGACTTCAGCACGGGAAGAAATGTGGGTATGAAGAAGACATCAACGTGCCTCTGGTCGTGTGCCGCCCGGGGATCGCAGAGGGAGCAACCATCGATGTTCCAACTTCTCATCTTGACCTGGCACATACATTCCTCAATATTCTTGGACTTCCACTGAAGGATGATTTCGACGGTTTTCCCATTCCACTGACTGCGGAAGATTCAGTTGCGACATCGCGAGAACATGTGAGGTCGAATTTTGGGAAAAGGATGACCCAAACGAATGGGAAACATAGACCAGTACGTTGCGTGGATGAATAAACAATGGCATGGAAGTGCAAGCCTAGGTAACGACTTTTGTTCCTGAAAGATGACGTCGGGTTCAACAACACCTACAAAAGTCTTTGACTCATAGGCGACAGTTACAATCTCTACTACGCGGTCTGGTGCACCAACAAGCACGAGTTATATGACATGAGTGTAAGTCTATGACTATAAACACTCATAATATTCCAGCGTCTGCGGTCTGGCTAACTTTGCTTGCAGACCGATCCGGGTTAGATGACAAATTTGATTGGACCTGAAAGCCGTTCTATCTTAGGCGTTTCTACCGTAAAGGTCTCAACTCGATTGAACGCGCTGCTCTTCGTTCTGAAATCATGCCAAGGAGAAGTCTGCCGTCAGCCATGGCAGGCGCTGAAGCCTGGTGGGAGCGTCTATGGCCTTGCCGATGCTCTGGCCGCCGAGCACGATGACTTCTTTGACGTTCAGATCCCAAGAGTATCATTTTCGGCGTGTTTAAGGGTCATATTTTGAATGCGGTGGGATCACAGTGTCGTGGAGAATGATGCTTAATATCAACTGGCTGACGAAGATCAATCAAAGGCTTCAACTTAACTTGATCAGCCTGATTGAAGCATTAAACTCTTATGGCCCTCTAGATGTTATCTTAAACTCTTGTTCCACCCGAATTTCGCCTGGGCCGACGGGTGATGTTTGATTCTCCCTGCCGGCCTGGATTGTGACCAATTCGATATCGCTCCTGTTACTCTTCTTTCCGTCCGACCAAGTGTCGTCTTCCGACTCGCTTTGCCTTCGGTTGTTCTGAATGGGGTTGCCGGTATTTTGCAATGATGTAACCATATCGAATCCGCCTCCTGTTTGTGTCCTTCGCGCCGAGGTATGGTTCGCCGGAGCACCAGGGCCGCTATATCCGTAGCCGTAAGAGGCTTCGGCGGAGGAACTCTTGAAGCCGATTCGGAGATATGGACGGAGAGATGGTAAACAAGCAATTATCAAAGCCATGTTTTCGTCAAGGATTGACCATGTTTCTGGTAGAAGGAATTTGTTTAGTCCATATACGGTGTTTCCCCTGCTGCGAGGCTTCTCGGCATTGGGATGAATCTTCATGGGCGAAGGGAGCTTACGGATTAGGGTCAGTGGCTTGAATGACCCTGCGCCAAGATGGATTGTCGAGAATCTAGTCAAGCTGAAAGCCAAATCCACGAATCCCAAAGCAAAAGTTGCGTAAATGCCGATTTTGACCTTCCTTCTCATCTGCAGACCTCTCAAAACGAAGAATGGCAACGTCAGAACTGCGATCGATCAGTGACTTACGTCCATGTTTTGAACGAGGGGACAACCGACTGCAAAGATTGGCACTGAAGTGCAGGGACCACGCAATGTAGAAGATGTTGGCTATGATCCTCATATCACAAAGTCCGGCGGGATTAGATGCAAAGGACCTGCAAGGCGAAGGTTAGCACGAACGTGAAAGGTTTCAAAGTTCATAAAAAAAATCAACATACCAGTTCCCTTCGATGGGCCAGCACAAGAAAAGCTGAACTGACATAGACACAAGGTATCCTAAGACGCAATAGCCGATTGTGACATACAAAGCAATGCGTAGCTTTTTCATGAACGCTGGAAATAGTTGAAGGTAGGTCGCCAACAGGGCAAACTTGCAGAAATAGAGAGACGTGAAGAAAGGAAGTACGCTTGTCCAGATCATCTGCCCGTCCGTAAGTAAAATCACAAACCGAAGACATGACATCCCCGAGAGAAATGCGGGTAAGAGCCTGCCTTTGTCACAAATTCGATCTTGTTGATATCGACATCCCAGTTTTGCAGCGTGTAATCGATTTCTGGACGTAAAGCCCCCTGTGCAGCGAAGATGACCACGAAGATGGCATGTGCCAGTGATCCGCACCATGCTATGACTAGAAGCCCATCGCTGAGTACGAGAGATTGGGACTGGATTCTGAGCCGTAACCAAAGTCGGGCAATGATGAGAAGACCGGCTAGACCAAGAAGTGTCCAAAAGCAACCCTAATAGTCACCAAGTTCCAGTGAACCGATAATCAGTCAAATAACTTCCAATGCAGTTTTCAGGGAAGAAGTATCATGCTGTACATACTAGGACTCCTACGGTGGAAGGAGCCATGATCCGAGCTCGGTGTTGAGGGATGGCAATCGGCAGGAGTTAAGACAGAAAAGTGTTGAAGGCTCCCGTTAACAGCCCTTAGGAGCTTTCGAGAAAATAAAACTCATTTTTCTTTTGTTCCTTCTTGGATATCTTTCTACTTGAGAGAGGTCGAGAGTCAAGGTTAAGAAGAGAAATCCATCGTTCCAGTCCTCATGAGTAGTAATCTGTGAGCTGGGGGAGTGCCAGGAAGACGCACGTCAGGAGGAGGCACAGTAAAGCTAGTATGCTTGGTGTTTCTAGGATCGGATCTGTCAGCTGTGTTCGAATGCAACTCCGAGGCACTGATGTCGCTCAGGAGAACCACTGGCAAGGTATTCTGCGTTCTGCGCCTCATAGTTGCAAGGCACCAAGAGCTGACTGTCATTGTGCCCCCCCTTTTGCTGTCATTCTTGATTTGAAGCCCATTTTGGGTCCCGTTTTGACCTTGCAAAACCTTTTTGTTGGCTCGACGGTCATGATTCTGACATTCTTTCATCTTTGATTGGTACAATCCTCCAATACGGCACACCGTTCATACCATAGAAATTACTGCAATTGATTTCGTGACGAGAGGCGCCAAGCCGATGCGTCGGATTCGCCGGCAAGGAAAGACTCTCGATACGAGGGATTTTAATGTGCTCTATACTTCACGCCATATCTGCGTTGGTCGTTCTCTTAGCGGGGGCTTCGCGTGTAGAAATTGCATGCTTGAAGAAATCTGAGGAGACAGGTTTGCCGTCCGCAATACTCATAGATCGTGTACAAGCGAATACCAGACTGAACCTGTCCCACTTAAATCACCAACCAAAGATCCTCCTAATATACTTCTCTGTTGGTTGGTGCTAGATCTTGCGTTGTCTCCCCTTGTTGGTTTAAACTTGGCAAACCCGCATCCCCCGGAATATCCAATGAACGAACCACGTACATTCAGGGTCGTCTCCCGTCACTGCACGGCACCAACGGACTTTTCTTCAAATCTCGGGACTTTGCACCGATTTGGTAGCTTTATGCGCTTCGTGTTCGACCGAACTTCCGAGCCAGCATACGTCCACCGGAATCATGTTTGACTAAGTTGAGTCTCGGCCGCAGAAGAATGTCGGCCCCCTTACCGGATGCCTGATCTTTGCCCCGGCTGGAGCTTTCCAATGGCACAGACATGGAACAAGGAGGTGGGAATGGTCGAAAAACTCGTTACCTCTGTGAGGTACAGAACAACAGTGCTGGATGGACGACTGAAAGCCTCTTCATGCTGATTCCAGACATACAACTTACAAGAATAACACACAAATGCCACCGCGCAACCGAAAGAGCACTGTCATACTATTAAATCACGCCTCTTAAAGTCCTTCTTGGCCTTCGCCGGTAGGCGTGGGACGGTACTGGGTTATTGCCACATGCTTTTCAACCCCGGTAGTGTCGGTCTCTTGTCATGCAAGATGCTGTCTGTCGTTCCACTTTTTTCAAGGTAATTTCACAGTCATTCGATGAAGTAGATTGCCATGTAACCGAGTATCGGTTTCTGCATTAAATTATATTTCTTGCGCCCTACCCATCCTGCTGCCACTCAGGCGTCGTCGCGTTGCTAACTCTTTCACTCCCGGTAGCCTCATCATCGTAGGTAGCCGACGAAACCATGGCTCGGCTGTTGGCTATTTGGACTGCGGCGCTGTCTATTTCTCACTGGGCAGCTGCGCAAACCATCGTGATCGATGGTGTATCATATGGTAGGCTTTTTTTCATTATACACGCCCAGGAGTCGTTATTGTACGCTAAACATCTATCAGATGCCACGGAAGCGAATATTGCTTCAGTCGCGAACCACTCTCCCGGCAATTTCTTGCCGGAAGAGTCTCAGCAGTTGACAGATCAAGCGCTCGCCAACCTAACAAGACTGAATCTGACCGATATATCCTACTTTCATTTCGACGACTCCGACGCTGCTCAGAGCCAAAAAGCCACCCAAAGACGCAATACCATTCGCTGTAAAACCTTTCCTGGCGATTTCTCTTGGCCTCATGACATTGCCTGGAAGGTGTTTGATCTGCTTCTGGGCGGCGCATTGATCAGAACTGTGCCTATAGCGTCGTCGTGCCACAACAATTTTGGAAACTTTGATCCTTCTCAGTGCCAGTCGATCAACAGCCGATGGAATGATTCAATGCTACAGTACTACCACCCCAAAAATGTCTCAATTGTTGAAAAAGAGAAGCTAATTACTTTCTGCCAGCGTATCCGATCCCACATCTGTTATGAGTCCCCTGTACCAGGGTCTGACTTGCTTACCATCTGGCAACTACTCCGACGACTGTACGATGGGCGGATATCCCGAGTACGTTATCAAGGCAAGAAACGTCGCTCAAATTCAACTCGCCGTCAACTTCGCTCGAACCACGAACATGCGCCTTGTTGTTAAAAACACCGGTCATGACTTTAACGGTCGGTCTCTCGGCGCAGGTGCTTTGTCGGTCTGGACAAACAGCTTGAAGGGACTCCAGTTCTACGAAGACTACAAGGGCATATCTTACAGTGGGCCTGCGATGAAAGTCGGTGCTGGTATCCTGAGCCACGAGCTTTACGAGGCTGCAGACAAATATGGCATCAATGTGGTTGGCGGAGAAGGCAAGACTGTCGGCTTTGCGGGCGGCTACCTTGCGGGTGGCGGTCATTCTCCCCTCAGTCCGTTGTACGGCCTCGCTGCCGATCAAGTCCTCAGCATCGACGTAGTAACCCCCAACGGACGGTTTGTCACCGCAAACGAGAAGAACAACGCCGACTTATTTTGGGCTCTCCGAGGCGGCGGTGGGGGCACCTTCGGCGTGGTCACCTCGTATGTTGTCAAGGCTCACCCAAAACTTGCGGTCTACTCTGTCGCGAGCTTCGCCTTCGGTATCGATGGGGTAACAATTACCTATGAAGCTTTTTGGGAGGCGATACGAGCATATTGGGAGATGATCCCCAACTTCAATGCGCAGGGAAACTACCAGTACTGGTTTATATGGCCCGCTGGGCCAGGGAAGGCCACTTTCGTCATGTCACCTTGGTTTGCACCGAACATGACAGTTGCGCAGGCCACCAAGCTCACAGAACCGTTGTTTGCGAAATGGAAGGCTCTGGGCATTGAAGTTGACCCCAACTGGTCTGAACACTCCACGTTTCTCTCTGCATGGTCGGCGGGTTTCCCAGTTGAACCAGCAGGTTCATATGGAAACAAAATGGCATCGCGTCTCTTTCCCAAGGAAAATCTCGAAGAGCCTGCCCGTTTCAACGCCACATTCGACGCTATGAAAAGCGTCTCAGACCGTGGTGGAAGTCTGATCGGATTCGGTATCACTGGTGGCCCGGGTCCGCATCCCGACAACGCAGTCAACCCTGCCTGGAGGGACGCGGCGATGTTTGTGATATCCTGGGTAACTTGGGATGCTGATACACCTGTTAAGCGTATCGCGGAGTTGAGCAAGGAGTTGACGGATGTTTGGATGCAGCCATGGCGCGACGTAGCCCCGAACTCTGGAGCATATGCCAGTGAGGGCGATGTCATTGAACCCAACTTCCAGCAATCCTTTTACGGCGACAAGTACGAAAGACTCTACCAAACAAAGAAGAAGTTCGATCCTTGGGGTGTATTCTATACCCAGATCGGTGTTGGTAGTGAAGACTGGCATGTGACCGACCAGATTGACGGGTTGCCAACCCAGAACGGCCGCTTGTGTCGTGTTTAGGCAGTCTGAGAAGCTATTCCAGCATAGATAGATGACAAGTTAAGTATGTAATCACTAATGTCTCCAAAAAAGTCACTAGTCACATGCTGCACTGCGAGAATTGATACTGATGTTTCATCGAGTGGTTTTCATCTGTTATGATTTCGTGGTCTTTTGCCATCGTGCAGTCTTAGCGACAAGTACCGCATGTCCACATATCGGTTGCTCGGTCAGACAAGTGAACAGAGACCTTTATTTTGACGTTGCCTTCTGCAATTATTTGTCCTCGCTCATCATGCTTTCCCCGAGTCATGCTTAGCCTTCGAGGTCCTTGTCGGCGATGGGGGGCTGAGGGAGCAAATATCGTCTTTCAATTGCGATGAACATGGTAAAGACTCGACCCGACTGATCAACTCGCCAGGAATTAATCAAAGCTTCAGTTGCCAAGACTACAATCATAGCATCAAGCCTGAATCACCGGCAGACGAGTCAAAAATACCACGTAATTGGGTTCGAGAGCGGATCATCACTCTAATTAAGTCTGAAATTCTCTATATTTCACACAAGCCAACTCGGTTTCACCCGTCGGTCTGGACTGCTCCGTTGAGTTGCGATGAACCCAACCAATATTTAATGTGACATTTACGCTGCTCACTGCCCTCCCTATACCTTCCAAACCACAGGATAGGCGTTCGTTTCTTCAGCTTGCATCGCGTAATCTTTGCGTCTTTTGAGAATCCTGGAAATGAAGGTCGCCACTCTCCTCGTCGTTCTCTGCAGCACGATAGCTTCTGCCGCTATCTCCAGAGTTATCTGCCAAGACCCACCCTCAGAATGGGGGGTACGTTGCGTTGATACTCCATTCAAATCCCAGAGCTGACAGAATACCAGCGAGGTAACTGCAACGGCGACGATAACTGGGCATGTGGTCACCGCTGTGGCGAGGTTGGTCGTTCCCCTATCTTATTTCAGCGTGCTTTCTAACGACATAAATGTCAAGTGCATGGATGAGAACGATCGCCACGGATATGCTGGCTACTGGTAGGTGCATAGGTAAACCCTGAAGTAGTTCACAACTGAGTGCAATGCAGGAGAGAATCGGATGGCCAGTGTGACTGCTACTGCTGGTAGCGAGCCAAATGCTGCGGCCTTGTCGACGGTGCCTGTCGACAAGTTCCTTATCATTTCTCAACTTACTGACTTCTTGTATATAATTCGATACAAGGACGGTTCTGGTATAATCATGGAATATCATATTCTTAGTTCTGCGAACTGTCTCATTAGCCCTGTAATCGGACTGGGCCCCCAGAAAGCGGCAAAGTGCAACGCAATGCAACGCGACCTAACACGTGTGATCCCGTCAACTTGGATCTCTGAACATGAGGTGCCAAGCCGGGGAACTAAGATTTCGCGTGGCTCCCGGACTTACGGTAGCAGTGCATCAACTCTGGCTCTCAATTCAACTTGGACATTGGCCCAAGAAATGTGTCCCGCTGTCGAACGGCCGCCTGTTGTTCATCCAAGAGGCGACTATCTTCACACAGAGGCGAAATTACTGCGTGAACTGCCAAGAACTGACAGACCAGAATACGGTTTTATTGCGCCCACTCACTGGCATAATGCGAGCGATTGAGTACTTCTCAAAGTCAGGAAAGCCGGGCGAGCGTTATCGCAGCCGCCAAGGCGGATCTAAGCTTAAACAGGGAGACGCGGATGGGACAGGAAGGTGCCGAGGAACGGGCCAGGAACTTTTGGACGGCTTAAATGAGGAGGCAAATATTTGAGGAGCTGTTTGTCCGAAGAGACCACCCCTTCTCTGATGTTTGTAACAACTTGATTTCAATGAGTGCAGCTCAGAGTTGCAGACGAGTGTGATGAAATGGTGTTTGGTTGAGCATTTCGAAGTTGCAACTCTCAAACCCGCTTCATGAACTCTCACGCAATCCAAGTGCCGGCAGCAAAAAACGAACAAAACCTCTCGGCCGGCACTGACAAACAAGAATACGGGGCGTTGCTGGACCGCTAATTTCGGGGGAACATCGACCTGCCGCATCGGGACAGGATCCCCCGCATCGACGGAGCTCCCGCGGGGTCCTTGTCGACGACTCTGAGGTGACACTGGCGTAGCTTGGTGAGGGGAACGACGCGTGTGGTTCGAGACTCCTTGCTCGGTTCGCGTCTTTCCTTGCAAAAACCTCCTTGGCATCACAAAAGTCTCGGGTCGTTGGCGAAAAGAAACACCGACAAACAGTCTCAATGGCTGGACCAACCGGTGGTACTACCTGTGACGGACAAAAGCCCCCGACAGGTACCAACATGGTCAAAGTTGGCAATGTTTGCGTCGCCGGCGGTGAACCCATTCTCTAGCCAGCTTGAAGCATCTGGGCCCGGTACCTTGAGACTGTGGCTAGCCGTCTTCTGTGTTCATCAATCAATGTTGGAAATGCTCCAAGCCGCAAGGCGGGCAGGGACAGGCCTGGGCCGATGAGCTCGGCGATCAACATCATCATGCAGCTGCATACGCCCGGGGTATGATCTGGGCGGAGCAGGTCAAATGAGTCCGTCTTGGCGGCCGTTGTATATAACGCACATGGCCGGTCGTCCTCAGCCTGATGGCTCTGCTTCTCAGGTTCACGTCAAGTCACCCAGGACCGATAGACAACCCGTCTTCAGCCTCGAAAATGAAGACCGCCGCCTGCGCCCTCCTCTCCCTCGCTCTCCTTGGAGAGGCTTGTCTGCTCCCCCATGAGGCAGCCGGACGCAAGATTGCCCGCCGTCAGACTGGCAACAACAACACCGGCGTGGCCATCGGCACCGGTGACCGCTTCGACGGCGGCAAGAAGTTCCCTCGCGGTCTCGGGTCCAACCCCAACAGCACCGACGCCCAAACCCTCCTCAACGTCAACGAAATCAAGAGCGCCGTTCGCGGCCTCGTCAACGAGTACGAGATCGACTACTTCGAGTCGCCCTACAAGACGTACCAGAATGCTACCATCTTTGGCGCAAGGGTTGGCGGCAGCGGCAACTGCACCGACGCGTACCGCGTGTACTTCAATGCTGCGATCCACGCCCGCGAGCGTGGCGCCCCGGACAACATCATCTACTTCATCTCGGATCTGTTGTACGCCAACAAGCACGGCGAGGGTCTGACGTACGGAGGTCGCACGTACAGCAACTGCGACGTCCAACGCGCCCTTGGAACCGGTATTGTGTTCACGCCGCTCAGCAACCCCGATGGCGTGGCCTACGATCAGGCTACCGGCAGCTGCTGGCGCAAGAACCGCAACCCGGCGGCGTCAGGAGGTGACCCGGAGGCAATTGGCATCGACCTCAACCGAAACTTCGACTTCCTGTTCGACTTCCTCAAGGACTTCGCCCCGACCGTCGGACCGAACGTCGCCTCGGAGAACCCGGCCGACGAGACATACCACGGCGCCGCCCCGTTCTCGGAGGCCGAGACGCAGAGTATCAAGTGGGTGATGGACGAGCACAAGCAGGTGCAGTGGTTCGTGGACATTCACTCGTACACCGGCACGGTGTTGTATAACTGGGGTTCCGACGAGAACCAGCTGCGTAAGCCGTACATGAACTTCATGAACGAGTCCTACGATGCCGTGAGGGGTCTGATGCCGGATGTCCCCGCAGATGGCGGCTTGTACGGCGAGTACCTGCCTACCAAGGACTGGTCGGACAAGGTGTACGCCGCGATGAGAATGGGCAATGCCATGGACGCTGCCGTCGGAAGACACCACGAGGTGCAACAGAGCGCGTACCTGTACCCGACTTCGGGTGCTAGCGATGACTATGCGTTCTCTCGTCACTTCTCTGACCCCTCGCTGAGCAAGATTCACGGATTTACCGTCGAGTTCGGATTTGGCAACGAGGAGGTCGATTGCCCGTTTTACCCGACACCAGAGCAGTACCGCTACAACCTGCTTGAGACGAACGCGGGCTTCATGGAGTACCTGCTCGCGGCATCTGAGATCGGTGTTGGAGAGCCGGCTACCTGTGCTTAAGCAGCTTAATTAGGGAAGGAGGTGAAGAGGTTTCCGGCGACGAGGACGGGAAAAGGGGGGTGTAAAATAGTCATAATGCCCAAACCAGTCTATGATGACGACGGGATTGTATGTTAATGTAATGACTGAATGAAAATTTCAAAAGAAGACCTCTTACATCACGCTTATCATGGGTGAACTTGACGAAATAACCGGCCGGCTTGGTCACGACAACTGTGACAGTAACTTATTGGCAGAAATGATCTGTGCATCAATTGTTGAGGAAAGTCTTTCAAGCTCCCCGATACCTCATGACACAAGTGATTCGGAGACCACCGGTACCTCGTCCAAAGCCATTCTCACGTGGGGTGGGACGCCGGGGCTGACGCCATACCGGCCCGACACTGTATTTCGCAACAACAAACACCGCCGGTGATTGATATCCGACCATCTCGGACAACACATCCCGGAATCTGCTCTGCTCAACGTTAGACAGGCGACTTTCATGGCTGCGCCCTCAGCTACATAACGCACGAATGCGCAGACAGAGACAATCGACATATTTTCTGGGTCCAAATCGAATCTTCATAAGACCTATGATGGCGACTTCAGGCCCCAACCCACCCCGTCAGCCGTTCCGGGTCCTGGTCTTCAGCAAAACGACCGGATACCGCCACGACTGCATCCCGGCAGCCGTCTCCGCCGTGCGCGCTCTCGGCACTCGCACCGGACTGTTCGAGACAGAAGCCACGGAGGATGCCGAGGCGGCCATCACCCCGGCCTCACTCGCCGGCTACAAGACCATCGTATTTCTCCACAACACCGGAACCGACGTCCTCAACGAAGACCAGATCGCGGCTTTGAAGGGGTACGTCAGGGCCGGCGGCGGCTTCGTCGGCGTGCACGCCGCCGCAGCGGGTATGAAAGATGACGAATGGTACGGCAAGCTCATTGGCGCCCATTTCGATTTTCACCCGCCGCCCGAGGAGGGGACGGTCGTTGTTGAAGACTCGGAGCATTTCATCATGTCCGCGGGGGAATGCTGTAGCGAGAGGAAGTGCGTGGACGAGTGGTACAACTTCACGTCGCACCCCCGGCGCAACGAGAACCTCCACATCCTGGCCCGGGGCGACCCGACGAGCTTTGCGGGGAGCACCATGGGTGGAGATCACCCGCTTGTTTGGTGTCAGGAATTCGACGGCGGGCGGTCGTTTTACACTGCCCTCGGGCACTCCGATGAGGCATACGAAAACGAGTGGTATATGGGCCAGATTCTCAGAGCGATTTTATGGACGGCGCACGTTGACGAGGGCACATTGTATGGCCACTGATATAAAGCATTAAATTCGTTAAGCAAGTAATGGGTATCATATCTAAATCATCACGGCAACTCCGTAGCCATCTGACTAGCCCGCCATCGCAATCCTGTCTTCGGGTTCTCCGCTGAACCGGACCTCGATCCTGGACTCGAGAGACTCTGACCAGATGTCATGTTCGAAGTCGGGCAGATGAAGCAGCACGCCCAGCTCCTGACTCGTATACCAACTCGCCCGGTCCAGGTTGCCAGAGCCGAGGAGGAGGAACTCCTTGTCGACGAGGGTCATCTTCAGGTGCGAGACGACTGGCTCTTCCGGGTCTCTTGCTGCTGTGGCTTGTAGGTTCGGGCGGTAGTAGAAGATGTTGAGACGGCCTGGGCGCTGAATCTGTGACTCGGCGTCCTCTAGAGGTTTCCGGGCATATTGCGCGCAGATCTGGGCGTATTGTTTTATTAGGGCCTTCAAGGTCCATTCCGTAGTGGTGAAGGCTGTCACGAGCTGCTCGATTAACATCATGTTCTTGCTCGTCCGGATGCGGACGTTGACGCCGCGGCGGAGGGCATCGAGCAGGGCATCGACGACCGTGCGGCACGTCAAATTGGGCGTCACGATGTCGATCTCTACGCGGGCGTTGGCGAGCAATGAAAGCAGAGCCGCATTCAATGGCGTTGTGGGCGCCGTGGTACGTCGCCAGAGGGGAATGTAGCGGAACCCGGGGTACCAGTGATGAGATGAAGGGAGGATGAGGGTCGGACATGCTGGTAGACTTTCGAGGCTGAGCCGCCGGTACGCAATCTGCTCGTCTGATGGCTGGCCAGGAGCAGTTCGGCCAGCGTCTCCGTCGACATCCCGGCGGACTTCGTTGGTGGTGGCATCTGGAAGTTCCCGCGCGCCGTTGGGCTCCCACACACTCGTGTAAAACCTCATGAGCTGGCCGACGGCGGTCCCCTCAAACTCGATGCAGCCCTCGAACCAAGTTTCCCAACTCACGTTGCAGCTCGGCATCCAGGCGCGCTTGCGATCGACAATGACAAACTTCGGATGCATGACGCTGAAGGGCAGGAAGAACAGGCTCTTGACCGAGAGGTCGATGCGGGCCGCTTGGAGAGTGCCGTCCGGGGGCAGGCCGAGCTTTGGCCACGCGGCTCTCGGGTACGCGTACCCATCCCTGGACCACGGGTGGAAGATCTTCTGAAAGAAACCGCGGGACGAGAAGCAGATACGGACGCGTAATGGGGCGACGGAGGCTTCGCCGTTGGCGCGAATGGCCTCCTGACGGCGGGCGGCAAGAGTCTCGAGGGTTTCGCGGATGGCGTCGAGCGTGTCGGACGGAGCCCAGAAGCACGTTACCAGGATGACCTCGTGTTGCGCGGTCAGGATGCCCGGGAGAATTGCGTTTCTGTAGATGGAGGCGCCGTTACCGACGGTGAGCGACTTGGGGCTGCATGTCGTCACGAGGGTTTCCGGGTCGGAGAGGTGGTAGTTTGGAAAGTCGTTCAGCTGTTCTTCTCGGTGAGCCTTGAGCGTGTTCGCCCAGTGGTCGAGAAAGGACGACGGGAACGCGTGTGATGTCATTTCGGAGATGGTGATTGGCGATTGACGATGATGGGGATCAGGGGTTTTGGATTCGGGAGATTCAGTTCCATTCGGAGGACGGAATGGCTCTGATTCGACTGCGAGGCTCGTATGTCGTCATGCAGGTGGTCGAGGATGCCCGACGACGCCGAGTCATCAGCAGCGGGCGGCTGTCAAGGCTCAATTCAGTCGCACAGGAGAGTTTTGGTTGGTGAGATGAGGGTGCGGTGATACGCGGTTAGGGCGTCGCATGGACCTCTGAATAGGAGGTGTTTATGCTGCTTCCAAACGCCAGCAAAGCCAAAGAGTATGAGAAAGGGGCGAGATTATTGCGAAAAGGCCGGCTTGATCCCAGCAGCGTGGGCCAAATTTGGTGAGGAAGGAGGCGCAGTCGACAGGAAGCTTCAGAGATGCAGCGCCTCCGTGCGATGAGTAGAAATGCACGGCGGTCTTTGAGGTGAGGTGAGTGAGATCAACAATGAATGGATGGACAAGTGCGTATTGACCCTTTATGCAGATAAGCGCCAACTTATCTACGCTCATAGTGTTGCCGTACCTTAGGTAAGAAGGCGAACATTTGAACCATAGATGATGTCTACAGACGTTACTCCGTACAGCGGAGACTTTTCCGAATGTCCGCTTGAGTTTGGCTGTACACTGGTTACACCATAGCGAAAAAAGAAGTCCAAAACCATACTGCTGAGTTATGCCCTGCCGAGGTGTTAGGGAAACGAGTTGCTGACTGATCGGTGTTTGAAAGTTTGCCCGTGGTACGTATGAAGCAGAATGCTCTGAGGCAATGACCGGGCCGCTCAACGGCGTATAACATAAATCGGCCTACTAAGCTTCAGTGGACACGAATGTTTCCTGGCTGTCTATGGGAAACGCCGCATCAGAAACACGATATAAGCTGAGAAAGTAGGCGAGCAGAGGAATTGAGGAGGGCATAACTGCTGCCACCGAGGCACCTCTCATCAGACCGTGACGGTACATGTGCCGCGCAGTGTTTAAGACGAGCAAATACTCAGTCAGCCGCAACGGACTGGCCAAACTGCCTACTGCGTGGTTGAACGGACACCCATCAGACGGGAGGATTGGTAGTGTGCTTCAATACGGTGACGGGGACTCCCCCGGATTTCGACAGCTGTCCCGCGTGTGTCAAGTGATGTAGGGCGAAAACAAAGTTTGGACTTTGGGGGCGACGGTTTGAGAAGTATTGGGACCAGCGCGTCGGTTGGTATCGGGTGCTTCAAGTGAGTTGTGACTTGGATGGTGAGTGAGTGTCTGAAGGAGGTGAGTTGAGGCGAGACGGATCACCGAGACCGGATCTAATGCGTGGATACGCGCGCCAAGGCGACCGAGGAAAGGGCAGCATGTCCAGCCGTCACTTGGGCATTTGGTGCTTTTCAAGCGTCGTGACACTTGGTGCAATTGATGTGTCTAAATCATCCAGTCTATCGGAGCAGTGGGGGTGCTTGAACGACGAAGCGACTCGTGGCAGTCACAGGTGGTCGCCAGTTGGCAGTAGGCGTAGCTAGTGACTGCCGCTACCTGAACAAGCGAAAGTCGAGGTTTGGGTCCGTCTGGGCCATCGGCTGGCAAGCACCGGCCTGTTTCCCCCATCATCCAGCATGGATGAATGAGCAGATTTCGATGGGAAATGATGGGAGACGTGCCACTTGTGTCTCCTAAATGACGGTCGACCACCCATGAACCCATCTGTGCCGGTCATCGCATCTTTTCCGGGTGCAAGACGAGGCGAGTGAGCTCATAATAAGCTCAACCTCCCGAGAAAGACGCAATGCAGCCCAGTACCCAAGAGAGCATGGAGCTTCCGATACGAGAGCTTCCAGGCTAAGCCTCACGGGGGTGGGCATCTTGGCTTTGGAACTCGCAGCTGTTTCCCGAGTTCGTGTCCCATCGTTTGGTGTCTCTCACCCACACCTGAGGCCGCTTGGCGGCAACAGTAGCGTGTTTGCGGTGGTGTTGAGATCCACGAGACAGGGAAGCCAAGGGAAACGGTCTTGGTTCCGTCTTGGATATTGTCCTCGCCGTGGCCAGCAGCAATGCTTCTCGACTTCTCCTTGCCGACAGGGAGAATGGGAGGACAGCAAGGGCCCACCCGGTCCCCAACGAGTCGTCTCGATTTAGCACAGCCATTGCTCCGTGTGGGTGGGTGGTGGATAAGATCGGTCGTGTTCCTGGATCCCAGTCCCAGTTCCGCGGCGTGATACGGATAGAGGGTGGGTGGGTGTCTGGGTGTGTCGTTGGTCGAGAATCTGGACAATTCGACTGGCTGCCATGTTTCCGTGAATGTAGAGTTGGGAATTGGGGATTGATTGGTACGAATAGGTATTTGTTCGTAGGTACCTCCAAACACTCAGACTCGCAGCTAGTGCTGCATCCGCAAGATGGCGCCGGAAAAGTGGCCGACGAGATGCGACTGTTCATCAACCGCCGGATGGCAATGGTTGGAACGGCAAGTGTGAGAGAGCATCAAACACGCCAACGATGGCAGTCAAGCATTCCAGTCCACCGCGGAAAGCGGGCTGCTGGCTTTGGAGACGGGAGACGGGAGGCTGGAGAAAGCTGGAGTAGGAAACAAATAGCCGGCGGCAGAGTTCCATTGGCTGTCATGATCCCGTCATCCACCCAAAAGTTGGAGATAAGAAGGCGGTATTCCAGGGATGACCTTTCATAGTGCAGCAAGATGGAAGGAGACGGGAGGAATTTCAGGTGAAAGAGCAGGAGGAAATGACCTTGACCTTGACCGTGACCATCTTCGTCGGCAGCTGTTTGGCATGGCGTGTCGCTTTCTTTTTGGATAGTCCCTGCTATGGCTTGACGAGAGAGTGCCGAAGAATTGGCGTCGACAAGTGCGGGAAGGATGTTGGCAAGGCGTTAATTATCTTAGTGGTGGACGCAAGCGCGGGTTGTGGCGGTTAACTGTTTTAGTCGGTCCAACGGTCTTTCTCTGGCGGTAACGATCCTCCTTCTCGCGTTTGGGACACGAGACCTGGGAATACCTGTCTCGTTGGTGAGTCGAAATAAATCAAGTGTTGAGAGAAAGGAAAGGGTGGTGTCGCTCCCCTGGCTTCACTTGTGGCTCCCTTCATATCGCCATGTGCCCCTTGGTGGATGGTTATGGTTGGACGGCTAAATCTCTCCACCACCCCGAACCAAATCTGAATCCAATTCCCAAGCCCGGCCGGCTGCAGAAAGATTGTGCAGGTTGGTGGCAGACAATTGCGGGTGCCAACCACTGACAGAGGTATTATTCCACCGACTGCTGCAATGGCAAAGGCGAAGACGGCGGCGGCGGCGGCGGCGGCGGCGACACCACGATCCAGGCCTTGGAGCTGCAGTGCAACGATGGACTGACAAGCTGCATGGCGGGCTGGACCCTTTATTTTTCTGGTGATGCTCCTCTCCTCCAGGAGTGGTCGGCGAGCGGTACCGTTGAAGAAAAGCTACCTGATGCCCCACCGAGATTTGTGCGACGCTAGGAGTAGCTCCCCTTTCTTCGATACCGGCCGTCTTGCTCCGTACTCCGTACCCCGCCTTCCAATCTCTTTCCATTCTCGATGTTGAAGGGTGGAGACCTCCTCCCCTCGTGGGCCACGGCTGGCCCTTTCCTTCTTTTTCTTGCTCCTGCTCCGATGCTCCTTAGCGGCTCAGCAGCAGGTGCAGGAGGAGGAGGAAGCAGGAAGCAGGAAGCAGGTTATTGAGATGTCCTTTCCTTCCCTTCACAGTGTGGTGTTCCTTCTTCTTGTGAAGATGAGTGGGTGACACTCGACCCGACACCCACCGACTCGGTACGTACCTGCATGCCGTAGCTCATGCCTTAGCTTGCGTTCCAAAACCCACCTCCCGCAACAGAACAGCACCCACGGAAGGTACGAAGTACTTGACACACCGTACCGTCACTCGTGCCTGCCCCGGTGGAAGAGCACCTCTTGCCTCATTCCCACACATGCATCTAGACCAGCAATTGCATCTGCTCAGCTGCACTTGCCTCTCATCTGCATGGTTGTCGGCTAGTTAGAGGTAGCGGAGAAGAAGGCAGGTAACAAGTATTTATCAACTCGCTAAAATGTCCAGACACCTCCTACCAATGCCATATTAAAGTACCTTTTCTCCATAACGTACACTTCCTGGCAGCTGTTGTGGCACCTGCACCCGCACCTGCACCCGCACATGCACCTGCACCACCTGAGGTACAGACATCCATCGTCTTCCTGACCTGACGGAAATTTCCCAATTCATCAACCGTCCGTCCCTTCCCTTGCTTTCACTCGCCATTTGACTCTTGCTGTCGCTGCTCCTCTGGAAGGTGCACCTTGCCAAACCGTTCACGTTCCCGTTCCCGTTACCATTACTCTGTACCATTCCCGTCCCCAACTCTCACCTCACGCCTTCCATTCCCTTTTTTAAACCATCTGCCATCCCTCCACACCCCCTTCCACGGTCCTCCGTCTACCTGTCCTGTCCTTGCTCTCGACCTCGACCTCGACCTCGACATCGACTTCGTTCATCCTCGCCGTCGTCTTCGCCCCCCGTCCCCGTCCCCGTACCCGTACCCTTACTACGTACGTCTTCGTACTCACACACGTTCTGCCACTCGCCCTGGCCCATGCATTGTCGACCACTGCCTGGCTCTGTGTGATATTCATCAATTCGCCACTGTATCCTCACTTTTCCTCTTCGACCGACCAACCGCCCTCGACTTTTCCATCTTTCGACCCCTTTCGCCCTCCAACCACTCTCACTTACGAAACAAACACCTCCGGCCGGCTTCCGCCTTCCATCGTTCGTCTTCTTCTGCGAATAACCCACCCCCGTTGAATGCTGGCATCGACCTGATTTCGACCCCAATACGTCTCCTAATTACGCCGCCCTCGCCTCGACTGTCAATCCCCTCCCTAATCACCCGACCTCGCCTTCGTTCCACCGATTGTCGAGAACAACACCGCAAACATGAACTTCACCAAGAAATTCGACCGCGCCTTCCAATGGGCCGGCGAGAAGATGGGCTCCGAGTCCAAGACCGGCCACTCGGACGAATTCAAAATGTTGGAGCAGGAAATGGCCCTCCGATATGACGGTGCGATATCCCTGACACCCGCGAGCCCTCACGCTGCGGGCTCCCAATCGATACCGACATACTGACAAAACGGGTTTGCAGGTATGGAAAGGCTGCAAAAGTCTACCAACACATACGTCAAGTGGATCGCCCGCCGCGGCGAAGGCTTCGAAGACAAGGAGAAGGGACTGCCCATCGCCTTCGTCGGTCGCATGATGATTTCCCACGGCGAGGAATTCGAATCAGACTCCGATTTTGGCGCCTGTCTGCTCGGTACGCAGCACATCCAAGTTTCGCTCCCAAAAGCGGCCCAGCTAACCCTTACATCACAGCCCTTGGCCGAACCAACGAGCGCTTGGCCGGCATCCAAGAAGGCTATGCGTCGGAAATCACCAACAACTGGCTCGAATCCGTTGAGAGGTCGCTGGCTATGATGAAAGAATACCAGGTACGTACCGACGTCATGGCTCGCTCTATCGTGGTTTCAGCCCGTCCCATCTGACACACTCCCCGCAGGCCGCACGGAAGAAGCTCGAGTCGCGTCGATTGGCCTATGATGCGGCCATAAGTAAGATGCAAAAAACGAAGCGCGAGGATTTCCGTCTCGAGGAGGAACTCCGCACCGCACGCGCCAAGTTTGAGGAGGCAGGCGAGGACGTGATGCGCCGCATGCAGGACATCAAGGAAGCTGAGGCCGACAACGTCCGCGACCTGACCGGCCTGCTCGACGCCGAGTTGGACTACCACGAGCGCTGCGCCGACGAGCTCCGCCGCCTTCGCCAGGGCTGGGCCGGTAACAACGCTCCCGCCTCCCCCTCCGACCGCCGTCTCGGAAACGGCCGCGGCAGGTCCAACACCACCCGTTCCTTCAACGACTACTCGTCCCGCAACCAGCACGTAGAGGAGGAACCCGAGCCGATGCCCGTACGCATGCCCATTCGTTCGAACCGTTCCGAGGTGAACCGCTCCGAGAGCACTAGGTTCGGCGCGTCGGCAGAACCCGCGAGACCGTCCATCGGTAGGTCCCAGACGTTCCAGGGCCCAGCCGCCGCCGAGCGCCGATCGATTGCTACTCCCCCGGTGCCGAGTGTGCCCAACGTGGGCTCTTTGCGTGGAAATTTGAGACCTACAGGCAAGTCTCTTGGTAGAGACGATGTTTTTGCCGACCGGGATGATGACCACACGACAGCCAGCGGAAGCGGCAGTCCAGAATGGGGCGACCGCAGCGCCAGCCCCGCGACGAGCATGGGCAGCCTGACTAGAAGCACGAGCAACCTGCAGTCCAAGAAGGCGCCTCCTCCTCCTCCCCCGAGCCGCGCAAAGAAGCCGGCACCACCGATTCCCGCCAAGAGAGAGGTTGGGTATTAGATTTACAGGACCTGATGGCTCTCTCTGTCACTCAGACTACGTCGGCCAAGGATGGCTGCAGTGTGTGCTATACTCTTTGTTCTCGTCTCGTTGCATAAATAGACTGTTGATTCCGTTGTCGGGGTAGGGAACCCGACGGGAGCATGGCGTTGGGGCGCATTGATATCCGTGGGCTGGATCCGCAATCGTTGGTTCCCTCATCGCATAGCTTCTGCTGGGAAGGGCGTGATTAGACGGATGTGTAGGCTCGGATCGAACATGGATACTACTCTATAAACTAGTTGAAAAGCAAAGTTATTCCCAGCTGACGTGGCCCAGTTACACGTTCACTAGCGTGACATGTGAGGCGTTGATACCGTGCTGAGACCGCCCGGCCTCTGCCAAAAAGTTCTCGACTTGCGCAGCCTCCTCGCTCGATGTGTGACAGGTCAAACTCACATAGCTCAAGAGCGTGGTACTTTTCTGCGTAGCGCGTCGTCAGGAGTTGGACCCTGAAAGACTGACTCGTCATTCGTCATTCCCGCAAGTGGGTTGAAACCGTTCCATGTCAACGGGTTTGTTCCGGTACAATAACCCCACCCGATCGGAGAGGTGTAGCCGTACCTGGTCGTCTTCCATGCCGGCAGCCGGGGCAGACGCCGGAAAATCAAGCCACACCTACCTAGCAAAAAGCCAAGTGTGGCTGGATCACGTGCCTCATGTGGCTCAAGCTTCCCGGTCACTTCCTGCCTGCCGGCCAGGGCCGGTCCGGCGCTCATTCGCGATAATGGAAACATGGAATCGCTCTTTCTCTCTTTGGTTTCTTGACTTTTAACAGCCACACCTCGCGTTCGCGTCATTTTTCCAAGCGTCACTCCCCGGAGACTACCAATTGACCACCGTCTGCTTCTCAACCTACCGGCTTGCGCGGTAATTCGACCGCCCTCGTCCTTCGCAAATTCGGCCCGCGCTATCGAATCCGCCAACATGGCGACCGAGGATGCGCGATACCGACTCTCGACGCAGTACCGACTGTGGTCCTTCTCCCCCACCAAGCTTGCCGAGCTGCGGGAAACGACGAACTCGCTTGCGAAAACAAACATCACCAGCCGCCTCCTCGAGTTGAGAGGTGGCAACCAGGATGAGCCTCTGCCGGACTTCCTGACCGCTGCCGAAGAGACGCAGCTCCTCAAGTTTTTCACCGTCGAGCTCATTCGTGCTGCCATGTTTTGTGGTCTCCCCACCGAAGTCAGAGCCACTGCCACCGTCTTCCTGCGCCGATTCTTCATTACCAACTCCGTCATGACCTACCCGCCGACCGAGCTACTCAAGACGTGCCTGTTCTTCGGAAGCAAGGCTGAAGGATTATATACGCGACTGGCAAAGTAGGTGACCCGATAGCTTCGAGGCGAATGCAGACGGGAGCTGACGACGTGGGTCTACAGATTCGCAGACAAATTCCCCAACACGACCGAGGAGGAGATCCTGGCCGGAGAGTTCTTGCTCTGTCAAGGAGTGCGCTTCGCTTTCGATGTTAGGCATCCATTCCGAGCCTTGGAGGGAGCCATACTTGAGTTGCGTCGCCACGCCGATCTGGAGGTACGCACCTCAAAATCAGCTGGGTCGAGAAGAATCGCTGACCAGAGTAGAAACCTCGAATCGACTCCGCGCACATCAAAGCCCGAGAAGTCCTGAAGTTCAGCTCGCTCGTTACCGATGCCTACTTCCACTATACCCCCAGCCAGATCATGCTGGCCGCTCTCTCCCTAGCCGACCGAGGACTGACCGAGAGACTTGTACAAGGCGCCTTCGCACCGCCGCAGGGCGAACAGGCACAAGGAACGGATGGCACTCCGCGATCGGATCTTCGGGACAAGGTGATGGGAACAATAGAGTCGTGCCGAGAATTGTTGGCAACAGAGCCTCCGGAGAGACTCGAGGAATACTGGGGAACGGTAAGTTGACCAGAGAGCGCATGATGGAGACCGGCCGTCATGGTTGCGATACAACGAAAACTAAGCTGACAACAAATCACAGCCGGAGAGCACCAAGCTGATCAAACCGCTCCTACGAAAGCTGAGGAAGTGCAGAGATCCCGATAGGGCAGATCTCGTGGCGCTGCAGAAGGCCCGGCGGGAACTGGCAGCTCAAAAGGAGCCACGTCGGCAGAAGGCCGAGGGGGACGGCGTCGCGGTCGGCGGGGACAGCGGAGTAGCCGGCGGGAACGAGGCGCGTGAGGCTAAGCGCAGGAAAGTGGCTGAAGGCGACGATGTCTTTGGCCCAGCATTGGGCTAGAGAGATTGCCCAATCCCGTATTGCCGAGCCCAGTTGGCATTTTTCATTGCCTTAGGACGAACGCGCATGGCGTGATTGTGCCGTGGGAGGCGCGCGCATCGCCATGGCCAGCAGTTCCTGACGACGGGCTCTTTGCCCCAATTCATACATACGAAGATACCCCATGAAGTTTTTGCATTGCTTATTTCGTTTGCTCTAGATGGTGAATTACGCCGAGGTGGCTGGGGAGATGAAGAGTTTCTCGTCATCCTGGTATTTCGAAACGACTACGGATACGAGCAACGGTATTCCGAGGATGCATTGCCTCGTCTCCTTCATTTGCAACATGTCGGTTCATCTAGACGACGTTCGGAGGCCTCAACGGGCCAAACTTTAACGCATTCAGATGAATCGTGATCAGTCAATCAATTGTCGACATGCGAGCGCCAAGCTGTCGTGTCGATGGTAGGAATGCGCCATTGGCTCAGCGACTAGAACAAGCGCCGAATTGGCGATCGACCCGGCGAAATCGATGACGCACGCATTCGACGATGATATCGTTGTTTGCTATGGGCAATGAGAGCTATTCGGCACACCCGGCCCCTGTCAGGCTTGGTTCCAAGAAGCTTCTCCAATATTTGCTTTGCCCGGCTGCTTGGCCACGCTGTCGACATGAGGCTAGACTCTTAGCGGACAGCTGTCTCGGCGGCCTAGCAAGGATGTGCTTTCATTGGACCCTTCGCATCTTTTCGAGAGACACTAGGCACTCGAGGCATTCACTGGTCGAAGCGAGGTCAGGGACAAGCGGGAATGGCCCGAATAACCCTGCGTCTGGAGTGGGATGCGAGCTGGAGGATGCGGGGAAAGGAGCTGTTCGACCCTGACCAATTTCTTATTCCTGTTCATCACCCAGATACAACGTCGAGACACCGCGATGAATCCCGATTAACAACAAAATCCTGCATGAGGCCCATCGACGACGCGAGGCTTGGTCTGCGGTGAGATCCTATTTGGGCTTTACGAATACTTCTCGGACTCGTGCTGACAGTACAGCAACTCGCCATGTTGTCGGGTAGCATTGGCGACCACGCCAAACACGGCTGGTCGTCGGCGCCGTCGGAGCCCCTCCCGTCCCAAATGGCGCTAAATGGACTATCCTGACGACATTGACTTTTTTTCCCTCTCAGTCAGCTTCGAAGCTGCGCCAAACTGGTTGCAGTGTTACGCAACTCCCAAGACATGGCGTCTTGTCAATGGCATCGGGCTTGTACGTTCCAAGTGGAAATGGAATACTGAGCATTCCACGGATTCTTGTGACTTCACCATCACGACTCCAAAAATGCCAGTTCCGTCGCAATGGATCACCCCAGAGTTCCATGTCAGGATGAGCTTCGAGTGAACTCAGTGCGCCAATCGAAAGTTCATGCTATTACCAGACGCGATACAAGCTCCGTAGCCACATGAGACCATGATTCCAGGGGAAGCCATACTAGTCCAAGGCACAGTAGGCCGTGGCTTAACGAGACCACCGTTCGTTCCCCCGGTCTTTGATCCGATCATCACGGGGCCAACGTACAAGGTACCACCACCGCCGTCTCACCGGCGAACAACTACACATCCCCGCGATCGACTTGGCGGTTCGCTGGCGATCCAGTGCGAAGAAAGCCTGTCGCCCGGCGTGGGAAGCGTCGCGTCGTCTCGCGGGCTAGGGATGTTTCTCCACTCCCCAAGTGGTGGCCAGTCTCAATCCCTGGCGCGGTCGTGATGTCGACCAAGACCCTTGTCTTGGGTGTTGACGAAGGAGCCAACGGGCTGGCTTGTCGGGGCACCTAAGCAACAAGCTTGATTTGCCCAGCCCACGACGACAGGTATTGGCTCCTCTGGCGTCTCGGGTTAGCTTCTAGAGAAAGTCTTTGTCATGACTTTTCGTGGTTGGCTGCGCCAAGAGAGAGGGAGTCGACTTTCTTTAAAGAGTGTGTCTTCGTCCTCCTCTCTCTTGAACTTTGCTCCCTTACTGCACGACAAGATCAGCTGTACTACACGATACCCACTCTTTACTCAACAACAACATCAGCAACCGTTGCGGCCACTATCTATAAAGACAAGTCACGATGCAAATCAAGAACATCCTTCCCCTGGCTTTGGCCGGTGCTGCTGCGGCGCAACAGTCGAACCTCACCCAGGTCCTGGCTTCTCAGAACTCGAGCTTGTCCAGCCTGATCCGTAAGTCTCATGGGTGGTTGTTTTCCATCAACACATTGTTCTGACACATGTCCAGAGCTTTTGGGCACACAACCCACCCTCGTCCAGGCTCTGTCTGGAGCCCAAAACATCACCATCCTCGCCCCCAACAACGAGGCCATCGATGCCCTTCTCAAGTCTCCCGAGGGTCAGGCTGCTTCTACTGACCCGGGTCTGGTCGCCGCCATCCTGTCCTACCACGTCCTGAACGGCACGTACTACGCCTCGGCCTTCAACGACCAGCCGCAGTTCATCCCTACCCTCCTCCAGAACCAGACCTACGCGAACATCACTGGTGGACAGCGTGTTCAAGGCCAGACAGCCGGTGGAAACGTCACTTTCTACTCGGCTCTGCGGGCGAACTCTACTGTGGTCCAGGGCAACCTGAACTTCACCGGCGGAACGATTCACATCATCAACAAGGTCCTGTCCGTGCCCGCGGGCGTCGCTACCACTCTTCAGCAGGCGAACTTGACTGCGGCTGTAGGTGCCATCACCAAGGCCAACGTCGGACCCGCATTGGCTTCTTCTCCCGACCTCACCTACTTCATTCCCAACAACGAGGCTTTCCGCGCCATTGGCAGCTTGGCTGGTGGTCTTAACGAGACAACTCTTCAGAGCATCCTGTCCTACCACGTTGTCAGCGGTGCTGTTCTCTACAGCCCCCAGATCACCAACACTTCTCTGACCACGCTTGGTGGTGGTAACGTCACCGTCCGTGTTGTCGACGGTTCCGTCTTCGTCAACGACGCCAAGGTCGTCGTGCCCAACGTCCTGGCTGCTAATGGTGTTGTCCACGTTATTGACAAGTAAGCTGCCGTTCACACACCCGAAGACCATGACTAGAAGCTAACATGTGCACAGCGTCTTGAACCCTGCCAACGCCACTGCTCAACCCGATGTTACGGCTTCCACTCGCCCTCCCGCCTACACCGAAGCTAGCACTGCTACCGACGGCAGCAACCCCTTCACCAGCGGTGTTCAGGCTCCCACTTCCACTCCTCCCGTCGCCACTGAGAGCAACCCTGCCAACGGCGGCGGCGGCGTTCAGTCTACCTCCAGCAGCCAGCAGGCCGCTCCCATGAGGACCGCGGCTGTCGGTGCGGCTGCCCTCTTCGGTGGTATGGCTGCGTACGCCAATATGTAAGGTTGTGGTCTGAAGGATAAAAGTTTGAAAGAGAGGAGAAGTGAGACGCTAGGGGAGAGTGTACGATGTCTACACCGTCTGATTTGCAGATGTTCATTCATTTATATCGTCAATACCCAAGGGGAGGAAGGAGAGATTTCTTAATGTTCTTCTAGGTGTAGTAGATTGCCATAGTGGCGTGTGAAATAAACGATAGCGGGGTTTATGATACTATTGTTGATCAAGAGTCGCCTGGTGTTCATCGAGCAATCACTCGGTTGCAACCCTTGTCGCTTGCCTTGGGTTCACCAAGTGAGTGTTGTACGTGTGATACGGCACCGCTGATGCCATTGAACATGCGGCTGGGCTGAAAGGCTTGGATATTATTTCTCTCAATTTTCATGTTTTCGTACTAGACTACTATGGGTCAAGCACAGCAAGTGGCTGTACACGAAGCCAACTGTCACCCGTGGACGTGAAGCATTTGACGGACAAATAATTCGCCGGCGCTTTCATAGGGAATCGAACTGAGTTATGTGTGACGTTGTTTAGGTTTTGACACGAGTCGTAGATTTCGTTCGGCTTCAGGCAGAGTTATTGTGATTATGATGGGACGACGAACTATAAGAGCCGTGTCATCACGTTGCTAATCTAGATGGCGCGGACGACGGCTCTTAACGTATCTGGTGAGACTAATCTCTGGGCTTTATATTGTGACCCCGGGCACCGGCAGTCACTTGTTCAACTGAGGAGAAATTCAGAATATCTTCGGTGAGATTACCAACGGCTTGCGTCAGCTCAGCTTGCAGTTTAACGCATGTTTCTTTGAACCAATTCGGACGCCCTAGGGTTGTGGAGTCTGCGGAGTTATTACATGTATATTAAAGGTTTCTTCAGGCTACCATCCTTGGGTTTCATCCCATGACAAATCCAAAGGGTTTGCGGTTCTGCTCTTGTGTCGTATAACCGCTGTGTATATGTAGCCAGGCAAAAACATCACGTCTCCTTCGATTTCAATAATCAGGCGGTATTGCACTAGGAGTCTCTTGTTGGCGACCTCACAACCGATTCATGTTAATGTGGCGGACTTCGTCTGGTGTTCGGCGTGTTGGGGACCCCGTTGATACCTGTGATGCTTCTTAAACCTAGTAGTCATCTGAAGTTTCGGACAGTCTCTGAGGGAAAATTAAGAAACTCCTTCGCAATCTTTTTGTTCGGCTCCCACGCCAGATACAGGATGGTTTCGGCTACTTGAAACACAGGGTTCAGCACTGCGGCACTCCGGCGAGTACGAGAGGTTCGTGAGCTGAGCATAGTCTTCGCCCTGGAAGGCCCGAGCCTTACAGAACCACGCCATTCCCAAAACTTACCGCCATTTTCAGCCAAGGCAAACACAAATCTCGGTCTCTTGCCGTGGTGATTGGCCGGGGATAGCTTTCCGTTTCTCCGCAACTTCGCCCCCTCAAAGGTTGGCCAGAAGTTCGTAAATCGGCGTGTGGACGGAACATTCTATATCCCTTTCTAGAGCGCTTCCATTTGAGCCCAATATCGATTTCTGCCCATCTCCAAAAGAACTAAATGGTTTGTCGTCGCCACGTGGGCAGGCCGGCGCACCTTACGTCTAACAAGGCATGTTTTCTGCCCTTGCTTGATGTCGAGAATGGAACTGGGGAGCCTGGCTCCTTGGCTTTGGTTTCTCAGTTGTGTTGCCCTGGCTCAAAACACCTCCGAGCCTGTTGTTCCTTCGCAACCGATGAATAGTTCTCTTCCGACAAATGGTTCAAGTTCAACGAACGCCACCTCGCCAGTGTTTCCGCCATGCTCAGTAAGCGCTCGAGCCCCTCGCCCGGCAAATGAATATCAATGTCTAACATCACGAAGCGCGACTGTATCATCGCAGAGATTTCCAAATCCCCTTGTCAAAGTGTAGACAATACTACGTGTGTCTGTAATGATCCCGGGTTCTACAAAAAGGTAGAGACCTGCATACTGGCAGGATGCGCTCCGCCTGAAGGCATTGGTAAGTCCACCCTCACGATTTGCTAGAACGTGTTAATGGAGCTCACTCTCTTCAACACAGCCACCCAAAGGGCTAAGGCGGACTATTGCCACGATCCTGTCCGATCACAGGTTATTATGCTGTATGGACTGCGATCTTTGGAGGTCGCTGCCTGGCTACTGGTCCTGTTCCGCTTTTATGCTCGCTGGGTTACACAACGCTTCTTCGGCTGGGATGACTACACCATGATGGTCGTTGCAGTAAGTCGTTTTAGTTTATTGATAGACAAAGATCATCTTTTAACACCTACTCACAATGCTATTTCAGGTCATTTACATCCCACAACTAATCATCAGTCAGCTGAGTATGTCATGCAAGCACCTCAAGAGTTGCTGAGTATTGAGCATAATTGCAGTGGACGACAACGCTTTCGGCCGCGATATCTGGAACTTAGAGTGGAGTAAGATCATGTTGGGTTTGAAGGTGAGAGAATTCCCCTCTGTCATTGTTGCCACAGCTGACAAGTTTTAATTGCAGCTTTTCTTCGTCCAGGAACCCCTTTATCTATTACAACTCGGCCTCACGAAAATATCGATTCTATTTCTCTACCTCCGAATCTTTCCAGGTCGGCGGTTCAAGATCATTACCTACACGTTCATGGCCTTCGTTGCAGGCTCGACACTGACGCTTGTCGGCGGATCGGTGGTAGAGTGCTTGCCCGTTGGCTACTTCTGGAATGCCTGGAACACCGAGTATCTGATCCACACGACGAAGTGCGTCAATCTGACAGTAGCAGTCTTCGCTGCGGCAGGACTCTCCATTCTGCAAGACATCATCATGATCATCTTGCCCATTCCTCCTCTCCTGAAGACACAGTTGCCAAAGAAGAACAAAATTGGTATTGCCACCATGTTCATACTTGGTCTATTAATCACTGGAGCCAGCTGCTTCAGACTACAATACGTTAACGTGGCATACTCTCCCGACCCATTTTGGGACTTTGAGCCAGCATTGCTCTGGTCACTTGTCGAGCTCGCCATGTCCTTTCTGGTCACTAGCCTCCCGGCTTTACGCAACTATTACACGAAAATAATACGACCAAAGGTGCGGGCATACATGCAGTTGCGGCGCGAGACCAAGGCATCCGAGACCAGCGGAAGTGGGAATAGCAGACACATGCAGAGTCACAGTCGTTCGCGTATACGAGATCGACTAGGGAGGACGATCCGAGGGGGAGATAACGGCAGTCTAATACCGACCATGGCTTTTACGCGCGTGTCATGGAATTCGTTGACGAACAGGGAGGCTTTAGGGCCGCGAGATGGAGGAAGTAACGAAATACCTACGAAGGCACCTCAAATATCCCTGAGTGAGATTGGAATATCCCCCCGTGTGGGAAGTGACATGGATGAAGAGCAAATCATATCAATCTCGACAGAACAAGGCACGTCGATGGAGCAGAAAGGGATATAGTAAAGTGGCTTGGCATGGAACGATAGGCGTGAAATCAACAGGCTGAAACAGCTCAACAACGATGGACTACTTTATGGAATGCTGTCATTCGAGCAGAGGTTGTGAAATACAAAGGACAAACTACAGGCTTTAGCGTTCTACCTATTTCTCATGAAATCACATGTCAGCGCTGTGCGTACTGTTACCCGGGTTGCTTTCCGCCATCAATTGAGGTTTTTGATCATACCATACTACTTTCTGTCACAGACCGCCAGGAGACATCTACGTGCTACGGTAAACCACGGTTGAAGGTCCTGCTTCACGCTCCACGATCCAAGCCCATGTTTCACCTCCGAAGGTTGTATCGCGGCTGTCGAGAAGCTCCACCATTGATGTTGCCGAGCATTCGATCACACGGCTGCTGCAATGAACTGAGCCGAAGATCCCGGCGTCCGGGCTCCCGCACGGCATGGACCCACCCGGAGAATTGAAATTTCGTCTTAATTGTGGAACCCGGGTCTCCGACAACGGCTGTTGATCTCATCGTCATCAAATGCTTTGCATTCTGTCTTCAAACCGACCCAGACCGCTGAAGGTTGATCGGAGCAAAGCTGAAAACTTGGAGAAGCCGACAGGACAAACGAATGCTCGCCACCATGAACAAAGACGATAGAGTCATCATCGTCGGGGCTGGAGTTTTCGGCCTGTCAACGGCTGCGCAACTCGCGTCGGAAGGCTTCAAGCATGTTGTGGTTGTTGACAGACACACGCCGCCGGTAAGTTATGTCCAAGTCTTAGCGCAATATTCAAAGCGACTGACAGACAATTAGGTTCCAGATGGATCAAGCAGCGATATTTCTCGCGTAATTCGTTTTGATTATGCCGATGAAGACTACTCGAATCTGGCCTACGATGCATACCTTAAGTGGAGCCAAGAGTCGAAATACAATGGCATCTTCTATCCGGCCTCGTTTGTCTTGACTGGAAGTATGACCGGCGGGGACAAGTCGTGGATCGATAAAACAACGACTCAGCTGAACAGGAAGGGTTTGCCGTGGACAAAACTTGACGATGCTGCGTCCGCAAAACAAGCATTCCCCATTCTCACTGGCAATCTCGCGGAGCCCAACTTCAAGGGATACTTCAACGAAGCTGCAGGGTGGGCAGATGCTAACAAGGCAATCACGCTTCTTCGAAACGAGTGCCTTGAGCGCGGTGTTTCTTTCCTTGCCGGAGCGGCCGGCACAGTTGTCAAGTTCAACACTGACTCAGCCAAGACGATCATCTCAGCCCAGGCACTTGATGGCACATCGATCACGGGTGATCACTTCATCTTGGCCGCAGGTGCTTGGTCGTCAAACCTTGTATCAATGTACAATTCTACCTTGGCGACAGCGCAAGTCGTAGGGTATACCCCCTTATCCGATGCAGAGGTCCAGAAGTACAAAGAAGTTCCCATATATGCCAATTTCAACACAGGTTGGTTCAACTTCCCACCGCATGAGGGCACCAAGACACTCAAAATGGCCGTTCACGGATGGGGCTACACTCGCGCACCTAGTGACGGAGAATCCGCGGTGAAGACAAACACCTCCACTCCACGTCTGCATCCAAGCCGCGAACGCCCCGACTTCTGCCCCGCTGAAGGGGAGAAAAGACTCCGGGATGGCCTCAGGGAGATCTTGCCGGAACTTGCAGATCGCACATTCGAGAGGGTAACGATGTGCTGGTATACCGATACTCCCTCGGGAGATTTCATCATGGACTACCACCCTGACTTTACGAATTTATTCGTCGGAGGCGCAGGTAGCGGGCAGTAAGTTTGATGACGTCGAGGATTGGGTGTTCGAACCTTTTGGCTAATGTCAATTTTCAATCAGTGCATTCAAGTTCCTTCCAGTCTTGGGCGAGTACATGTCAATGGCCTTGAAAAAAAGTCTGCCTCGAAACTTAGCTGACAAGTGGCGCTTCCGCACGGAGTATGAGAACCGCACTGATGTCTTCCTGGGTGATGGAAGTCGTGGTGGACCTGCTAGACGGGAGCTAACAGGACCGGAGAGGTCTCGCTTGGATGGCAGAGAGAAAGCCCAGCTCTAAAAGCTCTGATTGACATGTTGAAGTAGCGAAACTGTCATTCCGACATGTAAATGCATTTCATACTATGGAAGAAACTCGACAAACGTTGCGCAAACTGTGTCCAAATGAGATCAATCCTGCTATTCAAATAATGCGACCTTGAAATAATATCGGCGACATCTACAAACCAGCCTTTGTCTGCCGCAACCCCGTAGCAGATGTCGGCATGTCAACTGATGTGCTGGCTCCTATCTGTCCGGAAGAGGGTGGCATCCGAGCTAATTTAAGAAACGCCTGTTGCTCTGCCAGCTTTGCCGTTCTTGCCTTTTCTTCTTCATCTTGAATCCGCATCTGAGCCGCTACATCCTCTGTTAAAGAAGGATCTGTATGCCGTGGAGTGTTTTCCTTGGCGTCATCCCACCTCAAACCTTGCCGACGGTCTTTCTCTTTCTTGATATTTTGACCCAGTTCTGTATTCGTGTTCAGTTGAACAGTATACATGGGATTTCCATTCTCACCAGCGGCTGGGAGCATGCCACCTGGTTTCCACAACGGGATAGCTCTGCAAGCTGCCACCAAAGCACAATGAAACCGGTTGCTTCGCTGAGAACGTAGCTTGTCGTCGGACCAGTTGTTCCGATGTGTGAATGCAAGTCGAAGCTCCATCTTGTTGAGCTCATGGAGACTGACCACATTGAGTCCCAAACTGTCTGGGACGTAGTCTCGGGGGTTTTCGGCCAAGAACTCCTCCATTATCGTGCGTAGTCGCACTATGTCCTTGAAACCAGTCCTGAAGTCCACGAACATGGAGATGCCTTGGCGATTGATACCCGATCTTGAGAAGTTCTCGATCCTCTTCTGGGATAGTCGATCATTGGAGATTTGGAGGTCGCATCCGTTATCAAGCCGTCTGAAGACAGTGTAAAGGAGCGACTGCCGCTTTACAATACATTGAGTGCTAGCGGTGGCAGCGAGGTTGTAAATGTTTACGACATCCCCGACATCGTAAGGGTGGTCGAAGAAGACGAACACAATACCAACTAGTAGGTGATGGAAGGTCCTCCCGACAGCAAACGAAAGACCAATTGCCAGACTGGACAAAATTGTCTGAATCTGCTTGATAGCAGGAACATATGCAACCACTGAGGGCAATGTTAGTTGATTCATGATGGCATTGATAGAATCCAGAACTTACTGATAAAGAAGATCATCACTGCTGCGATAATGAGGAGCAGAAACCAGTCGAATGTGTTGATGCAGTGATCCATGTTGGTCATGTTCCGGTAAATGTTCTGCCGGGTACGCCCAGCCTCTGTCACAATACCAATGAACTCCTCAATCCGAATGTCGGGGCTGTTGTTTTCGTTCAGAGTCTTGAATATTTTGATGGCCTCATCTCGACGGTAAGGGCCCAAGACATCAATGATGTCGTTGACAGTAAGACCCGACTTCCCCTCAGCAACTAGGGGCAGCCATATGCGTCTCGCCAAGGCCGTGGCTGATGTTGGGTTGGCCCACGCACGCTCAATGACTGCGTAGGAACTAGCTGGTCGAAGCCAGTGGGCGTTCGGCTCGTCGGAAATGAAGTTACCAAAGAGACTTGTCATCTTGTAGCCGTCGATACCCATTCGCGCAAGATAACTGGAGACCCTGGTGCGACCGGAAGACTGTACGTCGCCTTTCGCGTTCCGGATCAACATGTCCTCCTGCGCAAATAAGGCACGATGAGGTGGGTGCAGATAGACGGATGCTTCGTAAAGTGTGATGAGGGCGTTGTGGAGGTCTTTCGTCCGTGTAAGCTTGACGTTATCGCCTCGATAGTGGTAGTGAATGGTGATGTAGGATATGAAGAGCTTCTCAATGAAGTAGAAGCTAATCCACAGTGTCAACTGCTCCAATACATCGGCTACCACGTCATCCCACCAGAAGGCATCTGGAGGCTTGTTGAAGTTGACTGCCAGAAGGTTGTTGCTCACTATACACTGGGACACCAACACAGTCAGATGCGATCACCCAAACATGGCGTGTTATGACATACCGCAGCGAAGAAGACGTATGTGATAATCGTAGTCCCAAGAAACGCGATCGGACGTCTCATGAACTTGAAAACTCTCCAATACTTCTGGTGGGAAGAGTTTACGTATCTAAAGGAGTAAGACAAGGATTCGGAACACGAAAGTGGGCGCGCGCATACCTGGCAACGAATCTGAAGAGGTATGGAAAACCAAGCCCAAGAAGATCGAAAAACACTGCCCCAATCCATGTAACCATCAGCCAGAGGCATATGTAGAAAACGAAGATCTTAGCTTGCTTCGACTGAATAGGTTCAGCGGTACTGTCTTCGGCGAACTCGGCATCATCACTCAATACGATGGTTGGAATGAGCAAGGCGACAAAAATAACAACCGCGATGAGGAAGTAACGGAGAGCCCAACAAAACAGGCGACGCCTGTGCCGGGCGAGGACGACTGCCGGAACGGGTTGTTGTTGTGCCCCTGCGTCATTCTGATATCCTTCGAGGCTTTCGATCTCGCGAGTCCCGGGAACAGGCTGGTATGCTTTGGAATCCGTCCAGCCTTTAGCTGGTGAGTCCTGTGGTGAGATTGGGTCCGTCTGCGAAGTTGTGTATGTGCTGAATGGCGCATAAGGAAGACTCGATGAAGACAACGCGGGCTCTAGATGGGAGTCCGGCTGAATGGGCTCAGTTTGGCTATTTGGGACCGGCTTCCGGTAGCTCGGTGGGAAGCTGTCGCGAGATCCTTGGTCCATGGCTTGATTCGGCAAAATGCACAAAGTTTTGGTGAATGAAATACGAGATGGTAGACAAATTGGCAGTGCGAAAGCTCGACAACGCTGCTGGCAGGAGACTCCCGTATATACCCCATTCTGCGACTCAAGTGGCTCATTCTGCAGATGATTCAATTTGAGGGGTCTTCTTGGTTGCATGCTGGAACAAGGCAACAGCCAGTGGCGTAAACTAAACGAGGCCCACGATGGATGCCGCCTTCCAGCCCGTCGGAAATTGAAGCAAGTCAACACTTTGGAAAGACAGAATACCTGAGAAAGGCGCAACTAAGCCCAATTGCCGTCACGCTCGGTCATTCAAGGGGGCCCTAGAGGTTGTCTAGGGCTGTGATAGTGTGGGTTTTCCACCTGCAAACTAGCGCAAAGCTCCTTCTCTGTTTTATGTTGTACAGATATTGAAGTCGCTTTCCTTGGATCGAGCTAAATGTCTTGGCTCATACAGAGCCCAGCTCTCACTAGCTGATTGAGAATGGAGTAGCTGCGCGCCAAACTTTAAAGCCCCGCGAAAGGCTGGTTTAGTGCTGATGCGCCTCATCCTTCATCAACCGCTACACGCGAACTAGGCAGCCAGTCTTGCTCGTAAGTCAAGAACATTGGCTAGTTGGTGCAGGGCTGAACGACGGACTGGTAAAAGACCGGCGGCCGGAAACGTCCTCAATTTTAGGTGATATAACCTCAACGCCACACTAAACGCTGTCGCCTGGACGCGGTGATCATTGACGGCATTGGAAGTTAACGTTGTTCCCCCGCCACCCAGCAGGGCCCCTTCACACTCACGTGAACGAACGTCTTTTTGGAGTGTTCAAGATCATATCGCGTGTTTCAGGGAATGTCAACATGTACGTTGTGATTTGAAGCTTTTGGCTTCGACTGGGGTTCCAGCTGCACCAGAGGGTGGCGATTCCAACCGGAATCAGTTCCGAGGGCAATGGCCGCGCTCTATAAGGAGTGATACTAGAGTCTGGCAATAACTACTCTATGCAAGTTCCCCTAGGAAATAGGTCGTTGGCTTTCTCATAGCTAAGAGCGGCGAGATCTAGTCTGCTGTCTTTTGCCTGAACAGATCTCTCTGCAAGAGAGCCTGTAGTGATATGATCGACGAATACATACCAGGTCGAGGTCGTTGCGGTACCAATAGCAAGGCTAATGCTGGGAATTGCGGCGTTTGGCTCCCCTTGACCTACTACCAAAGAGTGCGTTCCCATAGGACGGTGAAACTCCACGGAAGGAGGAGCACCAGATTCTCTCGTACTGCACAACTCGGTAAATGATTGTGTTCCATTAAGTAGAATAAGACGATACTGCCGTATATTGAAACTAACTAAGTCGGTCACATCATTACAAAACCTTCCAGCATTACTAGTCCTGCGGAGTCATTCTTGGTCGTCGGGGTGAAACACCAAGGCTCGAACTTCGATACTCTCTCGCGTTGGTGCGTCTTGAGGTGCAGTCGGATCAACAAAGGCGGTGTGAGGAACTCTGCGCGCTCGTCCATCCACCTTGCTGTCAAAACACTTGATGAGGATAACCTCTTCCGAAGTGAGGCCAGCCTTGTAATACCACTTATGTCCATGCTGGTATTTTACCTGATACGTCTCACCACGCCGATTCGGATATATAAGATCCGTCACCACTAAATCTGAGTCGGCAACTGAATTTGCATCTGCAACTGCCAGAGGGTCTCGCTGTATCGTCTTAATGGGCCGCCAGACATTGATAATCTGCACCCGTCCTTTAAGCAGCTCATCTGCATCTCCGGGCAGGTGATGTGGTACCCGAGAGAGAGCAGCCTTAAAAGACTGGTCAATATGAACTCTTTGAACCGGTCCCCTCGCATGACGACTTTGGGTTGCTGCACTGGGCGATTGACGACGAATGGTGTGGTCAAAGATGAAGACACGAGTTGCACCCGTACTTGATCAAGGTCAGGACAGGGCTTTCTCACAAAAGGTTTGCATTTGCCAACGGGACTGGATGGTCACTTACACGCTTTTCAACAACTCTTCAACCTCTTGGTAGTAGCCTGATCTGATCTGAGCTTCATCGAGAAAGTCCTTCTCGATAGCCTGATGGCGATGGATTTGAAACCCATTCTTGTCCAAACTGTAGTCTTCCTCCTTTCCAGTCACATCTTCGATAGTCACATTGTGAGTCTCGAAGGGCCTTTCGTAGGTTTCAGGTTTGTCGACATAGGTTGGGTGCGGCGGCGAGCCATCCTCGTTCTCTTTGTAGTAATACAAGTCCGCTCGGACGTCTTTCTTTGTTGCCGACTGAGAGATAGACTTGGTGGGATGCTGCTGGGTTGCTGGCGTGGAGTCCTCTGTACGCGAAGGGAGGATTTGCTGAACCGCGGCTGCAGCCATTTTGGAATTATACACGAGAGGTTGAATGAAGTGACAAGTCCTATATTGAATGCGGGATGGGCTGATATTGAATTGAAGGTTTGAATTAGTGGGTGATGAGTGCCGTCGGCTCGAGAAACAAGAAATAGTGTGTTCATATAAACCCTGGGTCTACGTGCTGGCTGGTCTGCATGTTCCCCGTGAGCACGCAATATTCGTCCGACCATTGGAGATATTCGATTGATAAGCATCTCCCACCAAAGCCCTCGGTATGACCCTGTGGGCAATGGCATCTCCGCATCCGATCAAGTACTGCCGAAATGACAGCCTGTTTACACGTGATAGAAGAACTGATTTCAAATCCAACCGAACGGGTGTAATACAGAGTTACTAATTATATTCAAACGTGTTGCCAAGAATCCCAGACACCGCAACATTACTACTCGATATCAATACATAGTAATGGTATTGTATTTGTCACGATATTGGCTTTGTAAGTGTATAGAGTGAATTTCATTGAATGAGGAGCTCTTAGATCTCCTCGTGACCGGTACGAAGCCACATCGAAGGCCTACTGCAAGAATGCAGGTCTTGAGGGGAACCTTGCACAACGTTCCTCAACGGGCTCTAGAAGTAATTCTGATGCAATTTGGCAAAATGGAGAAGCAATGTTCCCCATATAAGCAACTTCTTCTATGGTGTCAAGACACGTTGTGTGCTGACGTTGCTAGTCTTGTGAATATGCCACGTAAACCCACGAGCTCATTCCAGTTAGGCCTCGGTTCAGTCCACAGGAGTGTGTACTAGCTTCGTGATGGTTGTGCCATCCTTTAAAACCTCTTCCTGTTCTTCAATCCTGTAGCCTCGACATTTCGGAATAGCCACTGTCCAGATGCACCAGTAGATCACGCCGATGGCAAAGCTTGAATGGGAGACTTAGCAGCGACTCTGAAGTGGATGGAAGTTAGAACCTACATGCTGACACCGACAATAGCGTAAGTTGCATAAAACAGCCCGCTGGTTGGTTTCGTGTTTGGTGGAAAGAAAGGGGCCGCGAGGAGACTAAAGCTCAAGCAGATTCTCAAGACGACAGCAGGAAGCCATGCTTTGAATGGCCTCTTCAAATCAGGCTGCTTGAAGCGCAGCCACAACAGACCAGTACCCACGGCCAGCGCCACAAACTGCCCCGGGTACCCTTCAACCTCCAGGATGAATGAGTAGACTTCACTCGTAGGAGGAAGTACAATGACTAGAAACGAAGGAATGTAATGAACAAGCAGGCCTCCGAGCGGCGAGTTGAATGGTCTTGTGGAAGACAATGTTTTGGAAAATGGGAGAAAGCCTTGTCTTGCGATTTCCTGTTTGACACGAGCCTGTATGAAATCAGCTACAAATTACGATGAGTTGGCGCAACAACGACTGACCTGAGCAAAAGCGACAACAAGCACGTTTCCCCCCGCACTCAGCGCCACAGCAAGTGGTAGTATTGTTCGACCAACACCCTGACCAAACACACGTTCAAAGAACAAAGCCGCTATAAGCTCCCCGCTCTGTTTGATGTCTTGGATGGGGACGACGAGGAAATACGCCACGTTGATGAGCAGGTACATGCCGCAGGCGGTTGCCAGCGCAGCCATAGTGACAGACCGCAGCGTCCGAACAGGATCTTTTACCTCATTGAGAACAAGATTGGCGTTGTCGAGACCAGCGTATGAGTAAAAAACCTTGAAAAGGGATGTCGAAATGATTCCCCAATTCCAGTTGGTTCCCTGCCACAAGTTCTCCCAGCTGATGGTTGGCGCAGTCGCCTGAGCGGACTCTGTTGAGGGCTGGAATAGCACAACGTAGAAGCCACAGAGGATCATGAAGGCCACCAAGCCAACTTTGATCCATCCCAGAAAGTTTTGGAGCTTGACGCCGAAGCGGGGAAGGCAGCCGTGGACAAGGGTAACGGCAGTGAGAAGTCCTGCGGCAAGCCCCTTTCTGAGTGAGTTGCTAGGGCTGTCTCCCCCAATAGCAAACAACAAATACTCGCTAAACACGATGCAATTGCTAGCAGTAAATCCAAGAAGCACAACGTGGATTGCAATGAGTGTCGATGCTAAAAACCGGGGACGGCGGTAGGTAAACTCGAGGTAGACTTTATCTCCCCCTGATCTTGGTAGCATCGACCCGAACTCAAGCGATATCATCAGACCACAGGCAGCGATAAAGGCCCCAACAACCCATAAAAGCAAAGACAGACCTGGGCTGCCCACCGAACGGAGAATGGTACCGGGAGTGGCGAAGATACCGCTGCCAATAACTCGAGAAATGACTAGAATGTAGGCACTCTGCCAACTTAGAGTGCGTCCAAGACTCGACGTTTCTGGAAGAACATCATCGTCCACAGAGCGTGAGGGATGTGGGTTCCCGGCTGCAATGTTGGCCTCAGAGGCCGATGCATTTGTCCAAGAGGATGATTGTTTCGAAAGAGCTGTTTCGGTCGGTTCCACAACGGTTGATGAGGAGGGCGGCGTGGTAGGCAGCAGAGGCCGTCGCTCGGGGTCAATGAAGCCGCCCATGATAGGGATCTAGACTGCGTCTGAAAGTACTTTGTGTTTGAGCCGCTTTTGCTATGAGGCGCCGAGGTCGAGACGGTTGCGGAATAGAGGGTAAATAAATGGAAATAATGATCTTCATATGCACTCAATAGATCCAGCTAATCTTTTAGCCATCTGAAGAATAAGACGTTGAGGGATCGTCCCAGTGAGCTGTCCGGCTTCACGGGAAACACACGCCATCGAGCAAAGTTCACGGAAGTGTCAGCAGGTATCAGCCCGTGTTTACGGACAATTATGATTGATAAGAATGTGGATACGCTATCTCATGACTGCAGTCCCGTGAAGCGTGTCTCGAATGGCGTAATGATGTTTCACGAGGCTTAGTTCGGGAGGGAGACACTGAGATCGCAGATAATGCTTGTTGGCAACAGGGACACGGATTCGCACGCCATCATGGCGCAAAGTGACGAGACATGGGGTCGAGCTCTGTTGTTTACCCGCGTTATTTGATTGGTTAGCTTACTCGTTGGCACCCTGAATACCACCCCGTGCCGTTGGCGCCGAGTCCGTGCTGCCGCGGGACTTCGGAAGCTGTCTAGTTCAAACGAACTCGTCACATGCGAAATACATACTGGGAGTAAAATCGCTAATTAAAATTCGTTATCAAAGTTGACGGCATAAGCTGCAGTTCAGTATGCGAATCTCCAAAGTTTGCCCTGGAACCCAAAATGGCCCCAACAAAGTATCTCAATGCATGTGTAGTGACATTAGGGTTATGCGGAATTTCTTGGACTGCGCTGAGAACCGTTGAGGCTGTCCGATCATTCCAGATTGAAGCAGTCGGGTGCAGACACAACAGCGACTGGCCGAAGAAAGCAAGTCTAGTCGTCAAAATCATTGATGGCCATTTCGCCTTAGAGCTAAAACAATCCCATGATAGCGGTTTGATAGAGACAGTTGAAAACTTCTTGATTATGCACTAGAAGAATTGACAAGTCTAGTATAAAATCCTTTTAGAATTACAAAGACGGACGGCGAGGTAGTTGGGATGGGGATACCGACTGGGACGCAGGCGCCCAAAAGCCGAGTGGAGACCGGGCTCTAAGGATTTTCGTGGCCGATGCCGGCCGTTTTTACCGGTGCGCGCCGCCGTTGACATCCCCACTCGGAGACGGCCCGGCCGGTGCATTTTCAATTCCCCTTACTGGTTCCTTACCACACCTCCCGAGACAGCTAGGAACTAGACGAGTACCCCGCGTCCCGCCGTAGTCTCACATTTCTCTCGAACGCACTATTGACTTGTGCTGCAATACTTGCGAACTAATGCTACTTTAGGATTGCTCTGCGAAGCCACATGGCCTGCAATATATTTGCAGAGTTGCGATTGGGCGGTCTCCACTCAAACAAGCGAGCTGCGCGAAGCACATGTTCTGAATGCCCGACTGAACGTAGCAACGATTGGCATCGTCGTTTGTTTATCCCGAGTAGGTCACGGCTTTGCTCGTTCTCCTCGTTTTCGTATTTTGAAGATGCGAACCCGGAGTCATGACCCTTGCGACGATCGTTATATCCCGGGAAATGACGAACTGAGAGTGATGGGGTGGGGTGGGGCTTGAGAGATACAAAAACAGTTGTGGTCTGCACCACATCTCGGGAGATCCTCCACAAGTTCGCGAGCTTCTTTGGATCTCGCCGCTCGAAACGGCAACTACACTCGTTCGCGGTCCAACGGTAGTCACGACTTCATTTCTCAACAAATCGCCTTAGCAAAGATGAAGGCACTTCCTTTCGTTTCCATTGCCCTTGTTGTCTCGGCCAGCGCTTCACTGCTCAAGAGAGACGCAGGCTCCACCGCCTGCTCGGATCTAAAGGGCCGGCTCGGCTCGGCCAAGGTTGCGACGAAATTGGAGCTCGATTACACTCGGAGCAAGACAGAATACTTCAACATCGTGCAGAACAGTTACAGCCCATCGTGCGCGGTGTTTCCGACCTCAACAGAAGATGTCGCGACTATCCTCAAGTCGGTTCGAGCAGCCGGTTCGCGCTTCGCTATCAAGACGGAAGGACATAATCCCAACACCTTCTTCTCCAGCGTGGACAATGGTGTTTTGATCGACCTCACCCAGATGAATGAGCGAACTTACGACGAGACGACGACACTGGGCACCTACCAACCAGGCGGCAAATTCGGCGATATCTACGATTACTTCGCTCAGTTTGACAGAACGGTGGTCGGGGCCCGTCTCAGCGGCGTGGGTTCCGGGTTGGCTCTTGGAGGCGGTTTGAGTTACTTGTCGAGCCAATACGGCCTCGCTGTTGATTCATTCCGAGAACTCGAGGTCGTCCTACCCAGCGGCGAAGTCGTGACGGCCTCGCCCCTCGAGAATGAAGACCTTTTCTTTGCCATGCGTGGTGGTGGCGGCAATGCTTTTGGCGTGGTAACGAAGTACAAGGTCCAGACGCGTCCGATTGGAAAGCTCTACGCTGGCAATCTGATCTACCTCTTCAACCAGACGCAAAACGTTTTGGACGCCATTGGCAATTTTACGTTATACAACGAAGATCCGAAGGCCGCCATCATCGGCACGTATGAGAAGTTGGGCACTCCCGCCTTGGGATCCTTGAACCTTGATGATGCTGCAATCTTGTTTTTGGTTTATGACGGCGATCAGTCGGGCGCGGAAAAGGCATTCGGCAACTTTACCTCGATTCCCCATCTTCTCAACACCCTGGGTACAAAGACATACAAGGAGGTGGTTAACATGCCACTACCTAACGGTGCGGAGTTGTCTCGTGGGAAGAACCAGTTCCGCAACGGAGTGTATCGCATCCCATTTACTGGGAGCGAGACGGGCAACGCTTCGATGGATAACGCCTACCGCGATGTGCACACGGCTTGGACAAAATGGGCCGCCGAGCACAAGGGTGCTTACACGCTATTGTCCCTTGACTATCAGCCAATTCCCAAATCACTTACGGACGCCTCGAAGAACCAGAACGGTGGCAATGCAATGCAGATGCCTGATGGACCGTGGTTGTGGCTTTGCTTCCTCCTGCAGTCAAGCCCCTTTCTCACTAGCGGCCAGACGGCTGACATCGAAGCTAGTTTCAAGCGGATGGTAGAGAGCGTGCCCTTTGCGAAAGACCTGCCACTCTTCATCAATGATGCACATTACGACCAAGATCCTCTCAAGACTTTCACTACCTACGGCAAGCTGCAGGAGATCAAGGCCAAGTATGATCCGCTCGGTTTCTTCACGAATTACACTGGTGGCTGGAACTTTGATGCGTAGGATGACGAAGGATGCATTGATTCGAGAAATTCAATTCTGTTGGCAGCCTGGGTTTAGCCTCCTCCTCTTACTACATAGATTAATTCACTAAGCATAAATCCTTCGTAATCGCTGTTTAAAGCTAAAGCTTCCTGTGGGTAAGGATATGACTTAGCAGGAGTGAACGCGGCACTTTGCAGCAAGAGGTCTTGCTAGTTCGCCCGGAGGATTGGTGGAAAATAGGAGTTGGCTCAACATGAAGTCTCACTCAACCCACAGGGCCTCCTGGCTCAATCGTGCTCAAACGAATTCAGCCGGGTACACTGTCGGAACAGCTATTCTTCAATTGGCATATAGTCCCGCTATGTATCATGCAGCAGAGTGTGGAAAGGGTGAAGCCATGTTCTTTTAGGAGTCCTGAATCGTGCGCTCAGCCTACCTCGGATTCCTTTGACCTCGAGAGCTCCATAAACAGATACAACGTAAGTAAAACAGCATTGAGAGGTAGAACGAGGGAATGCCGAATGCAGTTGACAGGCTCCTTGAAGATGGTATGGCGTGTCTCGATGGAGACCCTTAGTTTGGCGCTCTCGTCATCATGTAATATTTAAATCTAGAGATGTTCCTGGCAAACCCTAACCATATTCATTCCCGCATGACGTTTATCTCGTCAACTACGTGTGTTACAAAACAATACAAGCAGTATTACAGCAGATGACTTGCCATGTTGAGATGTTGACCCGCTTGCGTGACTCTTTTGACTGTTCCAAACTCTTTAGATTCATTATACTCCCTATTGTCTCAACGAGAAGGCCTCGCAATAGCACAGTAAGGTGGTCATTAGACAGTGAAGTCTAACGGAAGTTTCGCGACGTCATGCCGGGGGTCCACAATCCGGGGATACAACTTTGGAAGTCATCTCCGTCCATCTTCTGCAGCTCACGTCTGGATCCATCGTGGCCCATGTAGGGGTTGCATGTTGTTGCCTGCCCGCCCCCACACACAGCCTGATTTCGTGTCGTGCGCCTCTTTAAATCACACCAGCTCCGTAGGCTGCAGCTCAAGTCAGAAGCGCATTGGTTGACGTGACCATGAAGGTAAGTTCTCTTGCAGGGTTTTGAGAGAATTGCCGCAGTTGCAAACCGCTTCGACCCCTTCTCTACACATGGCAATTCCCACGTGTTCGGGTCGTCGCCATAGCTGAAACCTTGCTTATCTGGATGGACAAGGCTGTGGTGGACTGTTCTGGGGTTTGGCTCCATGCTGAAGGGAACATTGTATCTTATTCGTGCCCTTGATGGTTGTAAAATGGGGCTTGAACAATGCGATCGTCTAAAGGTGTTGCAGTCGCGGGCAGGAGACCCGTTTGATGCTCCTTTTAAACAGCATCAGTGGGCAATCACTGTCTGTTTTGCTGGAGCCTACATATACCCTGGTTCTGGCGCTGCAGCTTGCTAATCCTGGCTGTAGTATATGATTCCGAGATAACCCATCAGAAAATGTCTTTCACTCCATTTAGCTTTTAACCGTTTCAACTCCATTCTCCCCGACTCCCACCAGCTCTAGAGCACAATGAGGCACGTGGTCGCAACTATGCTTGTAGCCCCCGCCAGCACGGCTGCTGGCCAAGGCAATTGCTTCGTCCCAAATGGCACCAATAGACATGAGCTCAGCAACATTGGAACCAACATTTACGAACCCTGTAGCACCACAGGACACAGCATGTGTTGTAATCAAGCAAACAACGAGACATGCCAAGACAATGGTCTTTGTTGGCATCCAGGAAGCAGTACTCTGTGGCGCGATAGCTGCACGGATCCCACATGGCAAGCGCCTGAGTGTCTGAGGCTTTGCGTATCAGCTGTCATTCTTGGTAAGTTCGGCCCCGTCGTGAGGAAGGGTTCCAGCTCGTGAAAACCGGAAGCTGACGATTCCGGGTATCAAGGAATGGACGATCGACCTCAGAATCAAATGGATCAAAAGATCACCCAATGTCGAGATGGCAGCTTCTGCTGTGGGAATGACGACCGAGCGACGGAGTGCTGCAATACCGGCCAAGGAGTGCAAATTGTCAACGGGGAGGTCGTCACTTCATCCTCAGCAACAGCTACCGCCACGTCATCGCCGACTACTGCAGTCTCTTTGACATCTTCCTCTTCCTCCAGCCCAAGTCCGACTGGAAATGGAGACGCCACTTCTGCGGGAAGCAATGCGGCCGTTATTGGAGGAGCAGTCGGAGGAAGCGTTGCTGGAATGATGCTGCTCGGATTGGGAGGGTTCTTATGGTACGGACGAAGAAACAGAGCCAGAAGAAGTGCTAATGTCCTCGCGCAGAGTCCGGGGATGGGAAGAGAGTTAAAATACAGCGGCGTTTCTCAGCAAAGTCCACCCTACAGCCTAGAGCGACGGCCATTAGAGCTACAGGGGCACTCACGAGAACCTTTAATTGAGTTAGATTAGATATTAGACATGTAAAAAGCTCTGGATTTATTATACTTTATCTATAGGCTTAATCGATCTTCAGCTAGTATTAAGAAGCTACTAATAAATAAAAGCTGCATAGAGTCCATCTGCGCCCCTAGGTGAAGAAGAGCCCTAAAGGAACTTATAGCGTTACCTAGAGCTAGGCTTATGTAGCTGCAAGACCTGCCTAAGGAAAAACAAATTGATGTATGAGAAGCCTCACTGCTGACGGTTGTCCCACAGATCCTTGAACCTGGACCGGTCCTCCTCGAGCAGCTCCCGGGGCGCGCCGACCTCGACGACCTCGCCCCCGTCCATCACGACGACCACGTCGCCCTCCACGATCATCTCGAGCCTGTGCGCGACGATAATCACAGTGCAATCGCCGAACTCGTCCCTCAGAACCCGCTGCACGTCCTCGTCCGTCTGCCTGTCCAGGCTGCTCGTCGCCTCGTCGAGGAGCACGACCCTGGACCTGCCGAGCACGGCGCGCGCCAGGCAGAAAAGCTGCTGCTGCCCGCGCGAGAGGTTCATGTCGCCGAGCTCGGCGTCGAGGCCGCCGCGCTCCTGCACGAGGTCCCACAGCTTGACCTTTTGCAGCGACGCGATGAGCAGGTCGTCGCTCAGATGCGGCGCCTCCGGGGCCAGGTTGAGGCGGACGGTGCCGCCGATGGTGACGGGATCTTGCGGGAGTGCGTTGAGGCGGTCCCGGAGCGTGACCCTTGGGATCTGCGAGATGTTGACGCCGTCGATGTAGATCGTCCCGGACTGGTATTCAACGAGGCGGAGGAGTGCCAGGATGAAGGAGCTCTTGCCGCTGCGTCGGAATCATGTTTGGTCAGACGTTTGCTCATGGGTTCAAGTTAAGGAGTGTGTGAAGCTTACCTCCCAGTGCGTCCGCAGATTTCGATCTTTTGGGTTAGGGTTAGGGTTAGGGTTAGGGTTAGGGTTAGGGTTAGGGTTAGGGTTAGGGTTAGGGTTAGGGTTAGGGTTAGGGTTAGGGTTAGGGTTAGGGTTAGGGTTAGGGTTAGGGTTAGGGTTAG